CACACACACACATACCTAGGTATACACACACATACACACATACACACATACACACATACACACATACACACATACACATACACATACATACATACACATACACACCCCTACACCACCGAAGCTGCAAGACAACAACAACCGACGGACGGACGGGCCCGTCCATGTCATGTTTCGTCTTGGAAAAAGCCGCAGCTCAGGGATAACAATAACAATAACAATAAGAATAATAATAACAACAATAAAAACAATGATGATGATGATGATAGTGTAAGATGGAGACGACCTCCTCGAGTCCCTCGTCGCTGCTATAGACGAAACTCTCTATACGAGGGAGAATCAATCCCCAATACCACAGTACTACGAGGTATAATCAAGCGGGCGTCCTCGAGTCGTCGTCCTACCTCCTTCCCGGTGGTGCGAGTCTTGGACGACATGGTCTGGGACGGACGAAATGACGACGGCGGATGGTGGTGGTGTGTCTCATCGGAATTCCTGGGCGTTCATCATCACGATCATCATTATTATTACTATTATCATCACTATCATCATCATCATCATCATCATCACCTATCCCTCGCCTAAGGTGAAAGAACAAACCCAAACCCAAACATCGTCATTCGCAGAAGGAAGGAGGGATCTTCATCCGTCGTCACGTCTGTCCATCTGACGAGGGTGCATCATGGGACCTCCGATCTTCATGGGATCTATCCATAGATGGATGGATGTAATGTAATGTAATGTCATGTAATGTCATGTAGCTGAAATCCGTGCGCCTTTCTTTTCCCACGACGACCGTGATCATCCGCTGCCTCCTCATCCTCATCCTCTCTGCGCCCGCAACCAAGACACGTTTACCCATCGCGGCTTGGTCGAGGGACGTAAGAGGCAGACGTCCAGTCCGCTCAGCCATCATCACACTTCCACGACCTACTGTAGCTAACCGGGGGGAGAGAGAGGGGGAGGAAGAGCGAAATGTGAAACGAAACCCCGACTCATCGACGACAACGCCCTCGTTCGTCCGGGGTTGACTCCGCGGGTTGATCCTGAGTTTTCCCCGGTTAGGCAAATGCTCGCAAGACAGAAACACCCCAGACGAGAGAGAGAGAGAGACATTCGCCAACGCGGGAGGATTCCCCTGACCGGCAGACAGCACTCCTCTTCCTCTTCACGACGACCGTGATCAGGGACCATCCATGGATGTCATGCATCCGCTTCTCAACCAACCCCGAGGCGGGTCCTGTAGCGCAGAGAATCGCCCAGGTTCGTCCGATGGGAGGTCCAAGGGTCGACCGTCCTGTGGTCAAGCACAACGATGCTAGGTAGGCAGGTGGGTGACCCGTAGATCTCCCACCGGCGGCGGGCCGCCATATATGGCACGGCGACATTCGGAGAAGAAGAAAGTCCACCGCGATGACCGATGAACAATCCGTGGTCATTGTTATTTATTTATTTATTCTATTGTCCCCCAGAACGGTGACGGTAGGGGTAGTAGTCGTCCCTCGGAAGAGCGCCCGTGGATTGGAATTCCGTCTGATGGGAAGAACATCCGTCGGGTCATTATCGTCACCATCATCACCGTCCTGCCTGGGCGGCCGGCGGCTGAGGAGCAGTAGGGACAGTGTCGGCACACGAGCCAACCACTCCACCCACGTACGATATACAGTAGATGGTTTTCGTTCGACACGGTGGACTGTTCTCATAGAATCTGCGAACGGTGAAAATAAAAATGAAACCATTGGACTTGTGTGTGTGTGTGTGTGTGTGTGTGTGTGTGTGTGTGGGGAGAAGAGCCTTGGGAAACATGACACGACTTGCACATGGTGAGAGAGAGGGAGAGGGAGAGAGAGAGACTTGGGAAGAGATGGACTTCGTCCCGAGGGGGAGCAGAGGGGAATTGATCGTTCGCTCTCGCTCTCGCCATCATCGTCATGATCATGATCATCATCGTTATCATTTCGTGGAATTGCGGATTCTGTCTCTCCTCATTCGCGGGTTTGCTTTTCCCACGCCCACCCCAGAATGCAGAAGAGTGATAAAGAAAAGAAAAAAGAGGAAACAAAAGAGAAAGCTTCTCCAATTCCCTCCCAAGAAGGGGAAGGAAAAACAAGAAGAAGCACGGTGCAATGCTGCGCTGTGAAAAGAAATCCCCAAATCATCCCCGGGGCCGCTCGCTCACGATCCGTGTCGGGACCACCGCCTGGAACGATGATGTGACTTCGCTCGTCGTCCGCCTCCCGGTTGCCTCTCCCGTTGACTCGTCCTCCTCCTCCTCCTCCTTCGTCCGTCATGATGGAAAATAAAGTGCCATGTGAGAGTCCGAAAAAGCCCCCCAGGGAAATCCTCCCAAACCAGCTTTCCCGCTCTGAATGGCTCCATTCCTCCCTCCCTCACTCATGTGGTCGGAGCAAGCCCGTGGCCCGATGATGGGCTTCCTCGGCGTAAGAGAAGATGCAAAAACCCAAAAAACGATTCCGTAGAAAGTTCGAAAACGGAGGAAGCGAAATTGCGAACCGGATGACGGCACGGAGGGAATCCCAAAACGTCATGACGTGACGGCATCATGGATGGGGAAAAAGTGAAAAAGGCAAATCGACCACCACCACCCGCCCCAGGTAGGTATAAAACTTTTTTTTGGGGGGAGCCGCTTGGTCGGTCATCGGGGCTCCCCCTCACAGATGGAGGGAAGGAAGGAAGGAAGGAAGGAAGGAAGGAAGGAAGGAAGGGAGTGTGTCCACACGAGAGAGTCGTCGTGAAGACGCGAGGAGGAAACGGAAAAGAGGAGAAAGGCATTGCGGGTCCGACTCCAAAAAAATGGGTGAATCATCATCGAACCGGGGAAAAGAGGAAAACCAAAACGGATCGGCGTTCGGGGGCGTGCTCGGTGGCTATCTTGCTTTCTTTAAGAGCTCCTTCAGCAGCTGTCGTCCGGCCGGTGTTGGAGGTTGATCGTGGCGAGCGTCCGGCGCCGTCGGTTCACGCGCAGGGCCCCCTCGGTGCGTTGGGCCAGCACTTCCCGCAAGGCGGGATCGTCGCGGTCGCGGTCGACGTGGTGGACGCGGACGTGTCTGCGGGGGGTGAAAGATGTTGTCAGTATGCAGGAACGACTCGGTGATTCATGAAGCGGAGAGTGGAGACGCATCCTCCGGGTCGCCGACGTCGTTACGGTTGGGGCGGGTTGACCCCTCTCGGGGTAGGAAGGCGCAGGGAAGCACGACGGGGTTCATTTTTCATACCTTTGCAGATTGTCCGGACGGGGGTATTTGCGCTCGATATCGGGGCAGAAGGGGCAGATGTAACCGGGGCTCTTGTGCACCAGGCCATGTCGGATCATCTCGTTTTTCCGCTTGAAGCCCTTGCCGCCCTCGCTGCGGAGACAGCCTTTGACGGGGCAGAAATGCGTGCGGACGGAGCTGTGGACGTTTTTGTGGGAACTGGGGAAAGAATTTGAGATGTCAGTCGCGTTCGCCGAGATGGAGACGGAGCCTGCGGACGACGGGGCGCGCACGGGTGCGATGGGGAAAGAAGAGTCTACGTACCTCAGGAGATATTGCGTCTGGAAGGTCGCGGAACAGCCGTCGTGGTCACACTTATACGACATCATGCCCGGTAGCGGGGGAAGCAGCCGCGAGGAGTTCTCCATATTTGACATCATCCCATCGACCGGGGTCTGGGATGCGCTGTAATCGTCCATGTGGGAATCGTGCTGCGCGCTCTCCTCGGACAGCGAGCCTATCCGGAAGGAATGGCTTCCAGCCGAGTAGTTACGATGGCTGTCCGTCCCGGTCGCGGCGGAAGCTCGTCGATCGGGGTTGTAGTTCGGGGTGGAGAACGGTTGTGATGAATCGCCGATGCTGGAAGTCCTGCGTAGAGGATAAGGCATCGAGGAAGCATGGCCGTTGATGTTGTTGTTGTTGTTGTTGTCGTTGTTGTTATTCGAGAAAGTGAAGAAAGGATTCGATGACGAGCGGGACGTCGCAGAACTCAAAGAATGGCTATGTTGGCGATGGGTCGGTGAGATCTGAGGCGGTGCTCGCGTGTCCTGCTGTGTCGCGACTTCGGCCAACTCGGATAGTTGCAGATGTCGGATCGAAGGGAGTTGTTGGGATTGTGGCGATGTGACTGCGGGAGGAGACACAGCCGGTAGACGATCTGGCATACCCTCGTCTCTCTGGATTACGTGTCTGTAGAGCGACGGCGAGTTGGCGAGGGTCGTTCCATGCTGATGCACGCCTGTCTCCGAAAGTGACGTCGATCGTGTTCGGAGTTTAAGGCCCGTGCTCGGTCGACTGTATGGTGAGCTCAGCATTCCTGGATCCGTTCGCGGTATTGCGTGGTGCTCGTATCGTGGCGAGGCTTGTTTGTTGGCTTCCTGTAAGACTGCTGCCGCAGTTGCCTCGAGTCCGGCCCGGATGGCGCTTCTCTCGACGAAGGTATCGAAGATCGAAGGTAATCGATCATTCCGCATTTGATGTGTGATATTGATCGAATGGATTGCTGGCAGCACCACCTGTGCAGACATTTCTTTGCTGGAAACCGACAATGTTCTCTGTGGTGCTTTGAAATTTGGTTCTCGGAGAGAAAAGAGTGAAGCCTGCAACAGACGAGTGGGTCCAGCCGTGATCAAGCCTCTTCTGATGATGTGCAGCACACGTCAAGGCTTTTAGCGGACACACCAACTGATTGCGCCAGGATGGTGGAATGAGTATTCATGCAGGTCCACTCTACCTGAATTGGGAGCATCTATACAACTCAGTGGTATAGGTCGTCGAAGTGGGTGACTGGATTTAAGCCTCGGTACGACCCCAAGCGCTGCAACTGACGAGAACGCCGGGCAGAGGAGAGCTTATAACCGCCGGTTCGCGATGGGGATCAGAATGTACAGAAATAGCAATCCGTCCCGAAATCTTCAGAGTGGTTGTGCCGCTTCGTTGTCCAGGTTGGGATACTTTGGTGGAAATGGGTGAAGTGGTGGTGGTGGTGGTCTGAACAAGTTTGACGACCTGTCAGTGATCTCAATCACAAGTCGATCAGGCTCTCAGGCCGACATCAATACATACCTAGGGATTATATTATAGAGCGGGATATTCGATCCGCCGCAGTGACGATACTGTGCAGTGCTGGCTCAAAGTTTACCATGGACAGACAGCAGAAGCCCTGGAACCCTCATGGACATCGAGTGTTGGGGACCTGTGCCGTAGCACGAAATGCGATACCGAATGGTGTCGGCTTACGTCGAAATGAAGACTCCCACTTGTAAGGGTATCGGGAGGAGTAGACCAGGACTAAGGATGTGGCCAGACAAGCGTGCTGAGGCTATGTGGACAGGATAGCTTCCGAAATCTGGCGATCTGGCGAGGTTGCAGCCGTCGACGAGGCCGACGATAGGTTTGTACGCAAGCGCAACGAGAAGCCAAGCTTAAACCTTAGGTTGAGCCTCTGTCGGGCTCTCGGTCCATCGAGATGTGTCGATGTTCCCGGTTAATGGACGAGGATGGAGAGGAGGAACGCCGACAAAAAGAACAAATCGAAGGACCTTGCAATCCCTCGATGCCGAGCAACGGAGCGCCAGCACGAGGTAATTCCAAACTTACATGGGGCATGTTTGTGGAGTGCTGCGATGATCGCAGCGCATGGGAAGATTTTCACGCGCTGATGCGGAGGCGGCTCAAGCATGAATACGCCACGAGGACGGCAGGATGTCTCACGACGAGGGAGAGGGAGTGTGTGTGGGTGTGTGGGTGTGTGTGCGTGTGTCCTCAGCCAACAGGAGACCGAATGACAGGGCCACCACCGGGCATGATCGGACAGTATGAGCTGCACGTCAACGTCAAAAAAATCCCCCTCCTTCGCGGAGAAACGGTTTTGATTATTCTTAGCACCCGGTCTCGAAGTAGACTCTTCTCCAATCAAGACCGTGCTTGGGGTAAGACCGGTTGATTACGAGGGGACCATGAGGCTGTCGATAGACCTGACACGGTACTTACATGCTATGGACGCTCGGCGCGCACACACCCTACATGCTTCAAGAATCCACAGGGTGGAAGGCGAGGCGTGGATGGCGGAGTCCTCGGGTAAAGAGAGAGAGAGAGGATGTGTGTGTGAAGGGAGAGGAAGATAGATGAAGTTCCAAAGTGCCTCGGCGGTTTCGAGATGCGGTCCTCGCGAGGCACCACTAAAAGGCTTTAGCGCGGTAGGACATAATAACCTTGGAAGCTGTTACATGCTACCGCCTACCGCACTATGCCTACTGTAGGTACAAACATTCACCACTGGCCGTCAGGAACCGGGGTAACCTTGGAGGGACTGCACTGTGCTCTGGCCGATACGTCGTGACAAGCGCCGCCGCCGCTCGGCCTGTGCTGATGATGGAGAGGCGTGAGAGGGAGGAATCAGCCGCGTGCGGGACAAAGATTATTGGGCCATGTGTGTGTTATTATCATTATTATGGGCTGGGCTGTAACAATCATACAGTAATGAAACAGGGAGGAACTTCTTTCATATCACCGTGCATCAGTCCGCAATGGGATCGCACCCTCCATGCCGTCTGCCCATCCATCCGTCCTCGCAGAGCGAAAACGACGTTGGTATTTGCCAACTGATGAGGCACATCCCGAAATAGACCGTGATCCCCAAGATGCATCGATCGGGGTGGTGCTCCCCTCCCCCGAAAACCTTTCTCTCCAGTCCGGCCGTATCAGAAGAGATATACACAGGCACGCCTAATGAGAGGATGAGTATGCTTGCCCTCGATGGCTCCGTCTGGTCGTGCCGTACTAGAGGCCATTGTCCCATGGCCGATCTGTTGGAATTGCGCACATCGCTTCCTCAACTTGACTCAGGCGGCGGCGGCATCGATGGGGAAATTCATGGATCCCGAGGCGCGGGGCGCGTGCGATTGAGGGGAAGACATCCACCACCATGTTCCCGCGGCGGGCGCACGTGACCATTGACTCCATCCATGGGATCCCTCGCAATGCAATAAGGAATTGTGGGAGGCCAGAACGTGTCTACACAGACAGACAGACAGACAGCGTACAGTACCTGTGATGGAGCACACCACCTCCGCTTGATGATGATGGTGTCGGTGATGGTGATTGCCATGCTGCTGCTGCTGCGGATGACGATGATGATGATGATGATCGTCGTCGTCGTCACGAGCGGGACATGCATTTGTTGACCAGCGCGCGCAATGGTTGGTGATTTCGGCCATAACCAGTACCACGCCGTATTGCATAGCCTGAGACTTGGCGTTTGTCCTCTCATGTGGATTCCGTCTTCATTTCATTGCTCTATTTCCTATTTCTGTATATCTTTCTACACAACCACCGTGATGCTGTGCCGCACCCATAGCGGCCGTCCTCTTCCACCTCTTCATTTTCTTCTTCTTCATCTGCTGCTCCAAGGCCCAGTCCTGACAGCGCAATAATCGCGCGCAACGAGGGACCTCGATCATCATCGAATCCTCTCGGTTGTTTCCGGGTCTGGTGAAACGCCACACCATTGCGGCGCTGTTGTGTATTCTGCGTGTGCGTGCGTGGGTGGTTGGGTGTGTGGGTGTGAAGAGGTGTGCGTGCGTGTGTAGCAGACACAGAGACTCTCTCACTCAACATCCATCTTTCAGACCATCACCTTCCACCCTGTTGGCCGCCCTTGAGATGATGTTTTTCGATTGACGCAAGATCGCGCATCCATTCCTTCACCCAGCCTCATGAACGCACGCCGGCTCGGTGTTGTTCGATTCCACTCGTTCAGGCTGTATCATTATCAGAAGGACCGTCTGGGCACCACCGAGTTCGAGGTTTCCTGGCTAATAAAATTCGAGTGAGGGTCCAGCAGCGTGGTTTTTTTTATCAACGTGCCCGCCGGTGTGCACAGCTGCATAAAGAGGGTCATCGTTATCGGGGTTGACATCTCGCGAAGGATCAGCGATCCCTGGTTATGAGATTGACACATGCTCCGCATGCACATGGACGCGCAAGGCCGCACGTTCTTGCACGTGAAGAGGATGGCATTGCTATCAAAGGTTATTATGATTATGATTATCATCAGTCCGTTGTTCTTCACAAGACGCGTATAACTCTTGGAGAATTCGCAGGTGAAATCTGATGGTCACTGGAATGATGGGGAATGACGTCAGGACCAATCAATAATAATACCTGTGGACTGTCATTAAATTCACGAGGACTTCGAGCGCAAGTGAGGTGGAGTCTAGGTATGCCGGGCGCCTCCAGTACAATACAATACTGCAGAATACAATACTGTATACAATACATACGTGCATCCGATACTCATCTCCGGCGGCTTCACCTGCCAGAATCGGGAATCAACAAGATCTTGTGCTCGTTGGAATTGCAATCACATGCTTCCGTCCGTCGTGATTCGATCACGATTGATGAAAAGAGTAAATGCTCCACCGAGTGTTGCGCGCGCAGCTCATCCACCACACCCTGCGCCGTAGCCTCGCACATGCCCGCCTCGGGAGGTGTGCTTATGCATCTCAGCCCGCCTCTGCTAAGCCTTCGACCATGAGCAAACGGAGAGCGAGCTCCAGCCAATCTGGCACCCCATCGACGAAGCGGGCAAAGCCGGAACCACCACCAGAATATCATCTCACGCCAAGTATCAAGGACGAAGATGGCACCGTCCAGTGGCCTGCTCCGAGGCGCGAAATCGAGCGTGCGCGGGAGATTATCCTCGAGGCGTAAGTCCTACTGCGCTGTAACAGCACCTGCATGAGATCTGTATGGCCCTCCCTCCGTCTACAGATGCTGCACTGAATCGCGTCCATCTGATGCATGTCCTGTCAAGAAGATGATCCTCTCGGTGATACTGACACTGCCGTGTCATCTAGCGCTGGGTCGAATTCGAAGGTCTTGATCCTTCCGGACAAAGATGCTGATGGTCTCTCCGCCGGCGCCATCCTCCGTCATACACTGCTGCTCCTGGGGTTGGCAGAGGACTTGATCCACGTCCATCTCCTCAGCAAGGGAAACAATGTTCACAGTGAGGCGGAAAGGGAGGCTATGCTCCAGCTCAGGCCGGCTTACATCTTTGTCGTTGACCAAGGAAGTCGACCCGGCCCTCCTCTGATTGATGCAGACCACACAGGTCTCGTCATCGACCACCACCACGCAACGCCGACTGACTTCCCGAAGGGTGCAGAGCATGTCACTGCCTGCAATTCTCCTCCTGTCGCGACGTCATCTCTGCTGGTGTACGAAATATGCCGCACATTGCATGGGGACGTGGCCAGCAAATGTGACTGGCTCTGCGTGGTAGGCACGCATGGCGACCTCGGCAACACCATCAAATGGGAGTCTCCCTTCCCAGACATGAAGGCCACCATGAAGCGTTACACCAAGAAAACGCTCAATGCTGTGGTATCGTTGGTGAATGCGCCTCGTCGGACCTCGCGCTTTGATGTCCGTTCGGCATGGGATGCCCTTTGTGACGCCACCGAGCCTGCACAGGTGCTGGTGGACAAAAGGCTTCTGAACGCTCGAGCAGAGGTCAACGCCGAAGTGGAGCGATGCACACACACTCCACCGAAATTCTCAGTGGACGGCAGAGTGGCCGTCTTTCGAATCAATAGTCAGGCCCAGGTACATCCCGTCATAGCCACGCGGTGGGCGGGACACCTGCAGAGCAAATCACTCGAGATTGTACTCGTGGCCAACGAAGGATATCTCCCCGGAAGAGTTAACTTCTCCTGTCGCGTGGCAAGATGTGCCAGGGCCAGGGAGCCGCAAGTCAACATCATCGAGAGCCTTAAAAGCTATGCAAGCCTGCCTGAGGTCCGGTACGAGGAGGGGAAGGAGGAGAGCGATCCTGCAGGCGGTGCGGAGGCGGCGCGGCTCCCTCTGCTGGAGAGGCTTGGCCACGACTTCGCCCGCGGCCACGTCCAGGCGTCCGGCGGCATCGTCGAAGTGGGCGAGTTTGAGGAGCTCATGCGACGCATGCAGGTGGGTGTCAAGAAGGACCCCGGCGACAAGACCTCGCCCACCAAAGCGAAAAAGGCCATCGATTCGGCACAGTCGAACACTCTCATGAGTTATTTCGGTAAAAGAGACAGCTAATGGAAGCAGGTTCGGCTGACCTGCTGTGATTCACCCACAGCAGAGCCAGCCCGGGATGGGCTGAGTGGGATTGTCACTGCGGGCAATTCTTGCCTCGGACCAGGTTCAGCTGAGTGGCGTTATTTTGGCATCCGCCACAATTTCGGTTTGACTACGCGTGCATAATCAGCCCTCTCGAGAGGAGCACATACCTTTCAACGAGCTGTCCGACCAACAAAGTCACATGTACAATTTCGTGTTCACATTGATCCGTTGCTCTGCGATCTATTTCCTACACAGCTTTGGCGAAGTCCACCGACGCGCTGGTCGGCGACACATACTTGTACGTCGAGTACCAGTTCTTGAGGAAAGTGTCGCCGACGATCCACAGGCTCTTCCCCGGGATCAGGTCTGCGCCGGCGATGCCCCCCAAGCACTGCCCCGGGAACAGGAAGCCGAAGAACCCCAACGCCTCGCTCGCAGTCCCGAAGTTGAAGTCCTGGTCGTTGATGGCGAACTTCTTGCCCGCGAACGTCAGCGACACCGCCGGCTTGGAATTGCACGGGTATGCGAAGAGCTGAGTGCTTCCGCCGAGGAACGGGATCGGGTAGGCGCCGGGAATCTTTGCGTAGAGGGCAAAGGCAGCGGCGGTTGGCGCGATGCTATGACAGCAGGTCAGCATTCCGATCGTCGGCCAGCAAGAATTCCCCTCGGGGTCCAAGAACGGCCGAACTTACATCAAGGTGGTGCCAGTGTCGATGGCGGCCTGGCCTGCGGTGTTTGCAATTACGCCCGAACTTCCAACATTCTGTTCCAATTTTTCCCTTGTCAGTCAAGCTCATCTTTCACATGAGACGGGAAATCCGGCCGGGAAGACTCACGGCGCCGTCAATGGCCACCTGCCAGTATGTCTGCGACGTCACCGGGACCGAGGTGAACGCGCCGGTGTATTTGGCCTCGTTGCGACCGCCCAAGAACATCTCGCTGTTGCCCGCCGTCCCGGACCGGGCCCGTCCGAGGTAGAACGAGAACTCGGTCGGGCTGACCTTGCCCTGGTTGATCAGGGTGAAGAAGAACGGGCTCGACTTGGAGTTGGAGATGGCCGGGAAAGCCATGCCCATGAGCCCGTCCGCGGCGGTGTTGCTGAAGCCCGTGGCGTTGGTCAGCGAGATGATGTTCTGGTTCGCGGCCGTCAGGCCCGCGATCGTGACGCTGTCGAGGTAGTTGTTGCCGACCACCTGGCCCGAGCCGTAGGTGATGGTCGTCTTGTTGCCGCGGTTCACGCCCTGCTGGTTGTACTTGGTGCTGCCGACGCAGCCCTGTGCGGTACCGCACGTCGGGCCGGGCACGAACGTGTCGCTGCTGCCGGTGTCGAAGTCGAAGGTGAAGACCTGCTTGGCAGCCCCGACGAAGCCGCTGCCGTAGTATCTTGGGGGAAATCGTTAGCACCGCATGCTCGAGTTGATATCGTTGCTTTGCTGCGGAGAAGCTGACTTACAATTCATCAGTACCGCTTTCGTTCTGATCGATCAAGGGCTCTGAGGCGTCGGTATCACGCTTGAGCAGTCCGCTCGACTCGAGGAGGAACTCGGGTAAGCTGAAGCGCTTGTTGTACTTCAGTAGAGTGTGTCGGAGATGGTTGAAAAACCAGTGGACATTCAGGCTGCCATCGCTGTTGGTCTGCAAGGTTGACCCTCGCTTCAACAGGGGGATCTTGACGCCTTGCTCACTGGAGGAGGTGGGAGCGGCAAGCGCCAACGTGCCCAGCGCGAGAAGAGATGTCACCTTCATGATTGTGATATGGAGGAGAGGTAGGTGGGAGGGATTGGAGGTGAGATCGATCGAAGAAACATGCGCGACACTATCGTATCATATATCTTTTGGATTCTGGGGAACTAGGCTGATCTCCTCAATGAGGATCAAATAACATCAACCCCCTCTGCGGTTCATCCTTCTCATGTGTCACGGTCACACACATCATCGACGCCAATGGCGTTCCTTAGCCGGGACGTCAGGGTCTCATGGCTACCAACTTCGCGAGACGGAGCATCGATCGACCCGGAGTATTTGCAGAATGCAGGATGTGGCGTTATCGTGGTTGCAACACTAGATACAGGGAAAGATGCACCAACAACACTATGAGTACCTCCCGGCGAAGCGATACGCGTAAAGGTGGGTGGACGTTATGGGCGGTCGTCTTTCGCGAGCCCGATAGCATCGTTTCCGCACGGCTGCACGGAAGATAGGAAATGCTCGAACGGACGTGTCGCGTGTCAAATGGATCACGGTTTGGTGGCTAATCGGCATGGCGGCGAAAAAGGTTAAAGCTTCACCCAGATCGGATTGGCCAGGAGCACCGCCTGCTGCCACGGGTGACGAGCACCCCCAGGCGTTCGGCGAAGGCGTCCACGACGTCCAAGGCGTTGAGCTCGTCTAGCATGGGACGCGCATGCCTTTCCAAATCATGGGCCAATGCGATACCTTTTTGGCGATAGAATGACCGCGAGTGGCGCTGCGCCGCTGCTTGTGAAAGATCCGTCGTATTGGCTGGCACTGCTTAGTGATGCTTGAATGATGGAAGCGCTGATCTACGACGCATTGGGACATGAGGGGTGCCCAAGCCGACCAATGATCAAGCCAGCCACGCGCTCTAGGCGTTCATGCAAGGAAAACACGCCCAGACTCGATTAGGAAGGCGTACGTGGGCACACGAGCATCTCCAGGATAGTATCGCTTGCAGACACATGGTTATTACTACCGAGAGCGAAGATGGCAATGTTTCCATGTCGCTGTGAACAAAGCCACCCGGTTATATCATACTGGCTCATATATTGTCGTTCGTCGTTTGTCATGTAGAAAGTTGCGCTGTCACCGCGTCCATCGCAGAGTCGGTGGCTCATCCAGCAGCGAGGGGACTCACTGACTCGGTCGGCTGGCCGGACTGACGACTCCGATGTCGCCGTTTTGTATCTTATCAAGGTTTCTGAGCAAGAAACTGCGTTTGAAGTAATCGTTCGGATGCAGAATCGTGTCCAATTGGCTCGCCGGCCACAAGGATTCGTCCTTGACCTATGCACCGACGTCATTAGCGGCTGATGCGGCCAAAACCCATCGCAATCTGAACATACCTTTTTTAGCTCGCTCTTGTGAGCGGACTCGAAGACGCGATTGCACGCAATGTGATATCTCTGCTTGCCAACGTCTTCGCGAACGGTGCGAAGTAAATCCTTATCGCTGACGCCCACGCTTTGCAGAAGTGTGATCAGATTGTCAGGGTTGTACGTTCGATAAGGGCAGCCGTGATTCTGCCCAGCTGCAGGCAAAGCCTCCGATAACAGCTTTTGACAGCTGTATGGAGTATAGCCTTGACCGCGTCGGTTCGCGTCGCCGCCGACATCTCCGTAAGCGTGGCGTATGTTGTAGAGATACTCCGATTTGAATTTATCTGCGAGAAAAGTCAGAACTGTCATCGTTTCGGACATACGATCTCAACTCACCATCCGTTATCAGCTTGAAACTCTTCCTCCAAAATGTGATACATTCGTTCATGTTCAGGCCGATTCCTTTCAAGAACAATGTGTATTGCAAGCGTGCAAAGTGCTTCAAATGACTGTTTTTGCGCAGCTCTCGTTGTAAATTCTGCATGCACAGCGGGAAGTGTTGGCTCTCTGATTCCACAGATGCAGCTGTGAAACTGGCCAAATCTGTGATGCTGGAGCTTTCGGCATATGCTGCGTCTGGAGCGACGAACGATTGCGACAAGTGGTGTAAGATGGGCGCAAGGCGGGTATCCTCGTCCATGCGCGGTAGAAATCGCGCGGCTTGCTCCAGTCCGGCCTCGAGCTGTCGCGAAAACTCGTTTGCGACCATACTGCTCTGCTCTCGGACATGGACGTATGCCATTCCATTCCTGAGTAGCACCTGCCGTCGCTCAACCAGCTCCGGAACGTTCTCCCACTCCACTTTGAACCAGTTTTCTTCGTCGCTCTTCTGGCAGCCTGTCGCTGCTTTGAGGTCGGCGAGCATTGATGCTTTCTCCTGTTCATCTACCGTCTCCCACGACATGGGTAGTGCATCAATGAACGCTCTCCTCTCCCTAGTATCATCCTGTTGCATTCGCAGCTTGAATAGTTGTGTCTCCAATCTGGCGAATCGTTGTCTGAGATCTTGCGTGCTTGAGAACGCAAGGCGGAGCGTCCAATGACTGTAATGATCGCGCTTTCGCTCCAATGGTATTTCCGTATTCCTCGAACTATTGCTGGACAGTGGTAGGTGTTTGTTCAGGAGAGGTCGCATGTACTCCTCCGTCTCCGTAGGTGTCTTGTTCCGGAATTGACACGCTTCAAGTTCGGAAAGAACCTTGAGCCGTGCAATGCCCCATTCTTCAAACTGCTCGAGGGATACATCGCCTGTTGGTGGTATGAGATAACAGTTTAGTCTCGTAGGGTAACTCTCGTCCTGCCATTTGGCGTTGCTGAATTGTTGCCTGCGGGGATTTATTGATGCACGCTTTCTGGCGTCAATTCGGGGAGTTGATGTAGCTGCCAACATCTTGCAATATGCTTTGAACTGTGCACGGAAACAGTGTTCGAACTCATGTAGACTGCCTTATCAACAGAAATGAAATTGAACGCGCTCTTCGCTCGGGTGACGCGTCGCAAAGCGGGAGGACGCGCTCGAAATTTGATCAGGGCCGGGGGCCACTGTTATCCTGAGGCATCCTTGTACTGGTGGGACCACGAGTACTTGGTTACGATTCTCTTGATCTCGTGGATATCTCTTACGTGGGTGTTCATGTACTATTTGTTCCGTTGATGAAATGTGATTTCCACATCCACCTGGGGACTCACTGTCGCTATCCACTGTCGCTGTACCTGCGTGATAAATCTTGCTGCTGTGTCTTTGATCGCCCGGGCGTGCTCGTCGCGAGAACATGTGATGGGCAGCCACAGTGTGGAAGACAGCCCTGGAGTCCTTTGATCAGTGCTACTTTGAGCATGAGCGACGCCGCATTCGCCCCACCATTGGACAAAGATGAGGAGAGCTCCATACATCATCCATTCTAACGTTACCTAATGATCATGGTGATGCACATATTCGCAGAGCTGATCATAACACCTTGAGACCGTAAGTGCTAGCTTATACTAGTGGGGTTATGTACCTGTGGCAATACATACCTCAACGTCTGGGAAGCACAGCACATGAAGCCGATCTGAGGCATATGTTCTGACAAACACACTTCGATGTTATTTCTTTGAGAAGGATATTGATTTCCAGAGTCTGCCGACGAGTCGCTCACATTGATCGAAATGGCTGCACTCAATGTCTGCATGGTCGGAACCGGCGAATATACGACCGGCTATGTAGGCGGGAAGCAGTCCGGATCGGACAAGAAAGTAGGTGTTGTAGGACTCACCTTGTTCGACCTCCGTCGTCGCGGGAAAGTCGGGAAGTTGAGCATGGTCGGAACGACTGGTGGCAAGTTTCCTGCCATCAGGGCTCATCTCGAAAAGAACATCAAAGAGGTATACAATGGTCTTGACACTTCATTTGAATCCTTTCCGGAGGACAATGATGTCGACAAAGAGGCATACAAGAAGGCAATTGATGCACTGAGTCCTGGCGATGCGATCACAATATTCACCCCTGATCCCACTCATTACCCGATTGCGTTATATGCTATCCAAAGGAAAATCAATGTCATGATCACCAAACCTGCCACCAAAAGACTGGCTGAACATCAACATCTGCTCCAAGAGGGCCGCAAGCACAACGTTTTCGTCTACGTTGAGCATCACAAGCGTTTCGACCCAGCCTATGCAGACGCACGAGAGCGGGCTATCAAAGGTGGTTTGGGGGAATTCAATTACTTCTATAGCTACATGTCCCAACCAAAAACACAATTGGAGACATTCAAAGCTTGGATCGGCCAGTCAGATATTTCTTACTATTTGAATAGCCATCATGTCGATGTTTGCGAATCAATGATCCCGGAATACCGACCCATGCGTGTCACGGCGAGCGCTTCGTTTGGCATTGCGAGCGATCTCGACTGCGACACCGAGGACACCATAACTCTATTGGTTGACTGGTCGAAGAAAAGCGACCCCAGGAGGAAGGCGACAGGCGTTTACACAGCAAGCTGGACAGCCCCGAAGAACGCAGGGCTTCACAGTCAGCAGTATTTCCACGCTGGTTTCTCCAAGGGCGAGGTCCGAATCAATCAGGCCAAGCGAGGCTATGAGGTGACTGAAGACGATGCCGGGCTCATGTGGTACAATCCCTTCTATATGAAATATGCTGTTGATGAAGAAGGCAACTTCGCTGGACAGAGCGGGTATGGCTATGTGAGCTTCGAAAAGTTTGTCGATGGCTGCCAACAACTCAGGGATGGCAAGGTGACTTTGGATGACTTGGACAAGCGAGGTCTGCCTACACTTAAGAATACTCTTGGAACATGTGCGATCCTGGAGGCCGGCCGGATCAGCTTGGATGAGCAAAGGACCGTCGAGATTCAGGAAAACGATGGCATCTGGTCCTTGAAATAGATTGGCTCGTCCTTATTCGTCAGAGGAAATATGCTGCTCACAGCAATGGAGAATTGTTCTCCTTAATATCATAATCTGCATGGTCGCTCATCCGCAAACGTCATTGAGCAACATAGGCTCGTATGTGATTGTTGTTAGAATTCTACCCAAAAAGGTAAGGGTTTATCTCACCGTCAGAAAATCGCGAGACAACACCGAGAAAGGAGCATGTTAATTGCGCAATGGCGCATTCTCATATTTGTAATCTGGTTTTTCCCGAGGACGAGAGCAATTAAACATGTGTGTAACTGTCAGCGCCGTGGTTCATGTATAGTATAACATGCATCGCGTGCGGATGCTCGAGGATATTTTGATGCAGGTCTCGCGCATAATTACGTCGTGGCAGTCCGGGGAAGGACTGTGCCTCTCGGCCCTGAATTGGGCCATCAGCACAATTATCAATTGCCTACAAACTCACAGCACACTTTTCGACCACCAAGGTCCATTTGCGAAAGGCGTCGGAGCGAGACTGTGCCTGAAGAATCGCATTGTCCGATCATGTACTACCAACATTCGCTATGACAGAAGAACAAGGCAACCCCGTACTTGTTCGGCGGCTTAATCTGATCCCTGTTGGGCTTAAAGAAGCAGCTCTCGATTCGCCAACGTTTCGTGCGACAGCCACTCATTTTGGTGACCAGATCGATACTGTGGAAAGATGGCTCGATGGATATGTCAAGTCGGTGTCCAAGATGGTCGCGGAAATGTCCACATTGGAGCCTTTGGTTAACACGTTTCTGAGCCATGCGACTCCACCGCACCAGATCACAGAGGCCATCCTGGATCACGACTACACTCTACTAGCGATGCAACGTTACGCGGAGGGAGCGAAAGAGTTTTGGCACCATACACTTCGTGTGGCCAAACGTTATGATGCTACCATTCTCGAGCCAATCCGAAGCTTCATGAACAGCGATTTGAAGAGCTTCAAGGATGCGAGAAGAGCGATGGACAATGCACAGCGCACATTCGATAACGTCATAAGTCGATACCTTGGCCAAAACAAGACAAAGGAAGCATCTTCGCTGAGAGAGGATGCCTTCCAGCTGCACGAGGCACGAAAAGCCTATCTCAAAGCGAGCATGGACTTTTGCGTCCTGGCGCCACAATTACGCAATGCGGTGGACAAGCTGATCGTAAGAGTATTCTGTGATCAATGGAAAGAGCTCAGAAATTCGAAAGAGGCGCATGCAGGTTCATTCACAAAATTTAGCCACGAGATGGATCGAATCAGAGGGTGGAGCAGGGAGATGGAGAATTCTGAACGTGCTTTCAAACGAGAGCTGGCTACTGCGCGCAAGCAACTCGAAGACAATGCAGAGCAAGCTTCACGGCCATCTCGTGAGCTAGAAGATTACGCTGCGTCGACTGTGCCATACCTGGGGACAGGTGCTTCGGCTGCAGCTACTTCGAAAGGTAAGACTCAGGATAAAGCCGAGAAGCAGGGCTGGCTGTATCTACGCTCGGTCACCGGACGTCCTCCGCGCACGGTATGGTCTCGGAGGTGGTTCTTCGTGAAAAATGGCATATTCGGCTGGTTGATGCAAGGGACGCGATCTGGAGGCGTGGAAGAGAGCGAGAAGATTGGCGTTCTCCTTTGCAGCGTGAGGCCTGCGTTTCAGGAAGAACGTCGCTTTTGCTTTGAGGTGAAGACCAGCGATGCTAGCATCATCTTGCAAGCCGAAACGCAAAGCGAACTCACTGAATGGATCACTGCCTTCGAAGCGGCAAAGCGCAAAGCGTTGGAGGATCCCACGAGCACACACGGGAGCTCGCATATCTCTGGCGTTGATGCGGCATTCGCAATTAGCCCACCGATCGCGCCAGAATTTGCCGCGAAGTCGGGTGATGGACATGCAGTACAAAACAGCGACGACTTCTCTGCCAACGCCTCCATGCCCGACAGAGAAAACGCTCACCACCAACGGGCGACTTCTGATGCCGTACTCTCACGACGTGTTGCCAGCCCTGATAGAGACGGTGAAGGTGCTCGGGAGCATGCTTCTCGAATCAAACAGAAACTTGATCTTACGAAGCGTGGCGCGGCGGCGAACCAACCAGGCTCAGGGGCGGGAGGCATCGCGAGCCTGATATCAGCAAGTCACAATGTCCTTCCGCTTGGCCCAGGTGCTCCTCTGGCTGCGAGCGAGGGTGTCAAGCGAAGCATGACGATGCCAATGAGCAGTCTCGCGCCTTCAACTTTGGCAAATCCGCCTGCGCCTACAAATCTCAGCCACACTGCCATCGTCGTTGGTGGAGAGAGGGGTTATGGCTTAGGTCGTGCCGATGGCTCTTCAATACCGTCAGGACTACTTGCAAATCTGTGGGGTAGCAGCAATTGGGCGTATATTAATCGACTCGACGACGATCTGAGCCCAGACACGCCTACAGGTGGCGACCTTGAGCGAGCGCTCGAATTACCCACCGTCTCTCAAGACGATTCAGTGGTTATGGATGGCATGAACGATGCTTCGGCCAAAGAATCCGTGTCGGGTGGTATCAGAGGCTCCTCGCCATCACATCGCAAGACCGTCAGTGTAGGCAACGACATTGCGATGGAAGCGCAAAAGCTTGCTCAAGACGATGCTGCTAACGAATATCCGAACTATTACCCTGTTTCTCTAAAAGCACAGAATTCTCAATTCAGGATGCTTTTCCCTCAAGTTTCCCGAAAGGAGAAGGTTGTGCTCGTTTTCCGAGCCACGTGGAACCCGAATGAGCAGCAAGAATTTCCGGGTCGTGTCTACGTAACTCCGAGGCAGATTTACTTCTTCTCGAATCATCTCGGACTGGTATTGATCACGAGTGTGCGCCTTAACACCATCACCGAGGTCACCGCGGCTCCTGGTCGTGATTGCGACTTCCTGTATTTGTTACTCAAAGAGAACAGCTCGCAGGACGATGCGCGTAGGATAACGGTCAAAGTCTTCCTCGAGCCGCTCAAACTACTGCAGAGACGACTTAATTTTTTGGTGGAAAACGCTCAGGAGTCGGAGCCTGCCAATCTTGAGACCATTTTGAAGAGACTTATCAAGCTGGAGGTCGAAGTACCGCAGCGCAGTTCTAGTGTGGAAAGCTGGGAGGACATCACCTACGCCGCCGATGAAGCAGCTGACGGCGCGACGATACCAGCTAGACAGAAAGGCAGGAATATCAAGACGAGCTTGCGGATTGACGACAACCTCTACGGGGATCCTGTGAAGACTGGTCGCGAGATACAAAAATTCAAGCTGCCAGCACAGCCTGTAAACTATGCACCGCGAGATATGCAGGCAAGCATGTCTAAAGATTTCACAATCAGTGCCAAGGCTCTCTTCCATGTCATCTTTGGTGACAAGAGCGCTGTCTTCCAGGTCCACTATTGGAACACGTGGGGCGAGAAGGTCGCGCAGTCACCCTGGTCAAAGATTGAGAACGGACCCTGGACGAGGACATTCTCGAGTCAAGACAACGCCGATGTGTTAGCAGACACTCAATCCATCGACATCTACAACGATCACCTGTGCTATGTGGTCACAAACACCAAATATCCCAGGCGCCTACCCTACGCCGACCGATTTATCCTCACAACCAAATATGTCATCACGCATTCAGCCAAATCCCGATGCAAACTTGCTATTTTTCAGAGCGTACGCTGGCACAAATCGCCGATACTGAGCTACGTGAAATATTTGGTCGAGCGGGAAGCATATAACGTGCTTCGGGCCGATGCCTCGGATCTCGCTGCAATCTCAACAGATCAAGTCAGCAAGCTGGGCACCCAAAGCAAGACCAACAAGTCAATTGATGTCTTTGGCAGTATAGGTGTAAATAAGCAGGCCGCGCAGATAGACTTCAGCCAAGCTCCATCCGTGAGCAAACTGCAAAACAAGCTGACGACAACGAAAGCGCGACTCTCACCCAGCATACATCGCCTGGTGTTGCACGACGTTTTATCCAAACTCCTCCAGGGCGTCTCTTTCATCGTGGATATCATCGTCGCCATCAGCAACAGTGTAGTCAGCGTTTGCACAGCCCACACCTTCCTCGTCGGCTTGCTGCTCATCTCGGCCCTCTACAATAGCTGGCATGGCTATCGCGACGGACTAGTCTGGTATCAAGAGCGCCGCGCCACAAAATTCATGGGCCGAATCGGCGTTACGCCGACAGTCTACCTCAGCAAGGCGATTTACCTGCAAGACATTTACGAACTCATCTCACCCACACTGGAGAATGACACAACGGCGGCTCTGTCCTCGACACCTTCCGGCATCGGACGAAACAGCTCCAAGACATGCCGGACGACTTTCAGCGAGAAGCTGGCCCTCTCCACAGCCATCGCGCCATCGACCTCTGGCATCGCTGCTCGCGTCGTGCGCACCCGGAACTCTCTCGCTCGTTACCGCCATGACCTCCTCGTGGCGCTACGCGTGGTCAACCGGGTGGAGCGCGACGTCGTCCTCGCCGAATGGGAGGATTGGGTGCGGAGCGAGGAGGACAATTGCGCCAGGATTGAGGGCTTGTTACGGCAGGGCGAACAAGGGGTTGGTCATGGGAACCAGGACGCTCATATTGTGGCTGAACTTGGCGAGGAGTTTCTGGAGTATTGTGATTCTTGTCGATCGGAATCACGCGGGCTTTCGGACGGGATGGAGTTGATTTGATTTGTGGGTGTGTTGTATGTCAGATTGCTGGGTATTCTTTTCGCGTGGGGGGTCTTGAAGCGACTGTAGCATTAAGCGACATACATCACTATTCGTTTGCTGGAGGTTCAGGGGGTTTATCACTAATATTATGCGATCACGAATCACATTTTCTTTTGGCACGATCGTACCTCAAACATAATTCTGGCCGCCGCTGTTCCTGCACGGTCGTAAGAACACCCCGTTTCTTTGACCCTCGCTCATCGCGATCCGCCTTTTTCACTGATCTCTGTTCATGAAAATTTGGGCATCCACCTTGACAGCTGTTCACGTCGATCTCTAGTGTCAGAGACGACGAGGGGCAACCTGTTTCAATCATGGCGTCTCTCGGTGTCTCCCGAGCCATTCTCAGGCAGCACAGGAACGCCGCCGTCGGCATCTGGCGGAAGATCCCAGCCCTCGCTCGCCAGCTGTGCGTTCTCCAATGCACGTTCGACAAATGCCTCCTTGCGTTGCTCCTTGGCAGCCTCGCTCTGCTGAGCCGCCTCGGCGCTACCTTTCCGCATAGCTGAATTCACGCAAACAGCAAGCATGGCTTGGATGGTGTAGACTGCATCGTTGCCCGCATTGTGCAGATGCCAGCCGACCAGGTCGAAGCCATACAGGATCCTTCCGAGAGATGTGGAATTGGGATTGTTCTCGTATGCGCGATACATCGCCGTCGTGTCGAGAGTGTCGAGAATGTTACCACGATTGAAGATATCAAAGCCGATCTTGCGGCAGTAGTTGACGTCTGACCCGAGATCATGACCAACAATGACAAGGTTACGTCTTTCATCGGGGGGATGAGTAGGTTTAGTCGACGAATCTGGACGGCTGAACGGCTCGTGGAAGCATGCCGTCAATGCTTTGCCGATGTCAGCAATCTTAACGAATTCACTTGTGCCAAAGGCGAAATTTTCAGGGCAGCCCTGGACATATTCTCGATTCACGTGGTTTCGATGTTCACTGATGCGGAAGTGCCGGGCTCGAATGTGTTTGTGCCAATCTGTGCCGCTGTTACCAGGCGCGACATCATGTAGATCCCGAGTGTCTAGCGTAGCAACACCAACCTCAGTGATCTCGTGCGAGGCTTTTTCTTTCGCTTCAACATCGATGGCGATGAAAATGACGTCGGACTCGAAGTTGTATGGTGTTGGAAAATCCAGAGACATGTTCCAATCGATGAGGTTCGACTCGAGATTCTCATCTTTACTCATCAGTGCCAGGTATCGCTGAGCGCGCAAATTTTGCCTCGCCATGTCCTGCCGTCGGATAATGACTTCACCATGTTTCTTGCTCTGCTTAGCCTTGGATCTATTCTTCGACGCCTCCGCAGCTTCGTCCATCTTAGCTTTGAAGGCCTCCAGGTCCGCCCTTCCGGCTAGTCTTTCGTTCAGCGCCATTTGGGCCTCTGATTCAAGGCGTGATGTCCAGTCCAGGTATTGTTCTCGCGAAGAACAATGTCCAAGCCAGCGTGGTCGTAGAATATCTGAGACGTCGTCGAAATCGATCAGGAGTCCGTTGGCCCGGTTGTGGTCCGTAATAGCAAGCTTGGTCTTGAGCTCTGAATTGATGTCGTCAATAAGATTTTGTAGCTGGTCCTCAGTCACGAAAGTCCGAACGCCGCTATAGTCAGTCGACACGAAATACCTGTAATATCAATTGTCATTGAGGTGCTCAAAGTCTCGCGCTTGCAAACGGCTCACAAGTCCCAGGTGCGTGTGTCGTAGATCTTATTGGCATCGAAAAAAGCCGATGCAACTCTCTGACCCAGGTGGTTCGGGATGTATTTGTAGCAGTACTTAGTCAAAGCCTGGAAAGGAACAAAGCTGATGCCGAGAGTGGACGATTCTCCCTTGCGAATATCAAACGGATAACGTGCGACCTCTGGTTGAACAGGATTCGGTTCTGCAGACTTGTGCAATTTTGCCGGAGCTGACGGTGTATTCGAGTGCACCGTAGCTTTTGGTTGTGTGACACTGACCGAATCGATCACGATATCAAGGGGTTCGGGTGACAATGGCTCCTCCACCTTCGCAAGCACAGGTTTGGCTCGCGGGGGCAGATTTTCTTCGCCGCCAAGGATGACAAGGAGACGTTCCATGCGTGACGATGAGTCGGCCATCGGTAGATTTCTCGGAGTATTGACAAGAGGAGAGTCGAGGGATTGAAATTTGCAAGTGACAATATAAGGAAGTGAATGTTGCACAAACCTGAGTTACACACGTGACGATTGTCGCAATATGACCTGTTTCAAATGTACCGTCATGATCTTATGCAGGAAGTTCCAAGGTCGAAGTGCTGCATTGACTCGCAGACCAGTCGTGAAAAGATATGTACCGCTCGTTATTCATCATTCTGTTACATTGCAATCCAGGTTCTTTTCTTCGATTCCACGTGAAAGGGTCAACAGCAGCGAAATGGGAGACGAGCGTGAGACACTTGCGACTGGGACCACACGCAAATGGCTTTCACAACAAATGTAAATGTCCTTCTTTCTGCCTTATAAGAAATGCAGGGTTCTCTGGGCTGTCAGTGTCGTGAAGACGACTAAGAGATGGTGACAGGTTCGTTTTGTACAGCGTCGTCGCGGAGCAAGTCTCTGCGGAGTCTCTGGAAAGTGTCCACCCCAAAAGCGGCACAGATGCTCGCACGGCTTCCATTATAGTTTTGAACATTTGGTACTACGAAGAAGAGATCTCTAGTTTTCTATCAAGAAATTATAAATTCTCCTGAATTCTAGAATCTAGGAGTAGCAAATATCGCCACATACGACAAACCGGCCGCTGTCCATTCAATTCCTCGAAATCTTGCACGATCCCTAATCGACGGCGAAAAATCCCTTCAATTTGTATATCACTCAAGAAGCTTCCTTGCCTGCGGTCGTCTCGCGGCCCGCGACGAGACTACGCTTGTTCACAAGCCTAAATCCACTAAGCAGCAAAACCAACGTGACAGCGAACATGACAGCCAACGTCACTATGGCGCCGATGAGACCATTGAGAGCAGCGCTCAAGCCATTATCACCCCTCGTTGCAGCTGCTGAGTTCTTCGCCTCGCCATTTGGATCGTACGCAGCACATGTGCCCGTGTAATTCCCACATGCCGTACACCATTGCGCAGTTGAGCCAACGGCGAATTTCTCCATGCCTGCGGCGAAATCTGCCCATCTGAGGGTATCTGCCTTCGATCCAAAGAGTGGGTACGTGCTCGGCGGGCTCTGGGCGGAAGCGGTACCGTTATGGAAGATGAAGCGGACGTACGCGTCCCCAGCGCCGGTGCTGCTGCCATTCGTGAATAGTTCGAACGCCATTGACGATGTATAGTCCACGATGCCCTTGAAATCGTCGCTGACTGCAGGCAAATCTGCCAGGCCAAAGAAAGACATGAAAGTGCCATAGGCCCCGAATTGGATCGCGAGTTTGCTTGGGCTGGTGCGCATGAGAGTTCCGTTGAGAAATTGTACGACTTGTGCGGCCAAGACTTTACCAGCGATGGCGCGGGTGTCGTCGCTAGAATTGTAGGCAAGCCCCCATTCGTGTGCATTGGCGAGGGAGCTTAGTTGCTTGAAGATGGAGGAAGTAATCAGTTCCGAATTGTTGTAGTTCGTTGTGTTGTGGATCTGGGCCACGTTGATCAAGTCATAGACTACAGGTCGTTGATTAAACTTTCTTCAGGCGTGCAACGAGCAGTGGAATGTCTACTTACTGCTGTAGGCATTCAAGAAATTGCTTGTGCGGGCTGTAAAGGTGCTGTTTATGACAGGCAGGAGACTTTGGTAAAAATCGGCGCTGCCGTCATACAAGCTCTTGTACTCTGCGCTTGAAAGATAATTGTTCGAGCTTACTATTGCCGCCTGGCACCCACTGGCCGATTGTAGCCAGGCACTGTTTTCGCTTCCGCTGCCAGTAGCCACCTGGGAGACGGGAATGAGCTGATAGCCATCCATCGGAGCTACTACTGTGCTTCCATTTCGGAGCGTGTTCGAGCTGAGCTGGCTACCAACTGGTGGGTACAGTCCTTGTAGAAATCCCTGAGCGGAGTTCATCAATACGACATCGGATGGAGCGGACACGGTGATCTGATTTTGTTTGACAACATCACTGTTGATGCCATTGACACGGTAGCTTGCGCCGTACGCGATGTATCGACTGCGGTAGTACTGGCCAGAAGCGTGGACCTGCGCATATCCCAGATCTGTTAAGTTGGCGGGAGGAAAGCTCTTGGGGGTCCGGTCACCATGTCGATGGAACATGTACACTCCAAGAATAGTCTCATCGTTGGTAGTCTGGGCGTTTATCAGTGATGCCAGGCAGACAAGACCTGTGAAGAGAATGGGCAACATTTCTATGAGAAGGGTGAAGATTGGAAGAAGAAAACGAAAACACGAAGAAGATTGCTTTTAGATTGTTTGCTACACGATCGACCAAAGGCCCACCCATACGTGTCTTGGATCCTAATGCTTACATGGCCGACGGACGCTTCTAAATTGTGGGTCCATGTGCGTTAGGTTTGTGTTATTCGGCTGATAAAGGATGAATATCGGTGAACGGCAACTCGGCATGCGGCGTGGCATGACTTGCATTTCTCCGTTGCTGTCCAGATGGGAAATCTGTGAGTCCGTGGGCGGCTTGACCTCTATACGTAAGCGTGGGGAATGGTTGTCACGCTGAGAATGTCGCGTTTGACATTGTCATTGAAGACTCATAATGAGACGACGAGCTGGTCGCGTTATCGGATCGTTATCATGCAGATCGCTGACCATCGCGAATGGATGAGATGAGCAAGAAACAGTGTCATGTTCACTAGCCAGCGTCCGCTGAATTAATGTTGTTCTTACTTGCACGCATCACCCGTCGTAGAAATTGCGCCCTGGATACATTCGAGACGATAAGCACGTGCGCATCGTCAAAATGCATACAGGAAACATTGCAAATTGGAAAGTGGGCAACGCCAGTGGCCTACTTGATGCTGTGGCAGAGAAAGGGTACCTAGGTAAGGTGCAAATATTCAATGGTGTTGGTGTCGTCGATTCGGTCCGGCGCTAAATTAGACAGGGCGATCGACGTCACGACTACATCCTCGAGACGAATTCGCTGCTACAATTTCGACACAATGGTTCAACAGGTCCAACACTCCCGGGGCTCATAGCTTGGTTGTCATCTGGTCCTTTGACCAATTCTGAGTCGTTTGTTCATCGCTCAAAGGCGAGCTCTCTTTGCACGATAGTCGTACAAGACCGTAGCAGTGCCAGTCTCTCGAAACGAACTGCTTCATCCCACGCGCACACGTCTCCCCCGCTATCGGAGACGTACAAGTGCAGTACAGGATAGACGATGTCACATCGCGATCCACGACCTGCCTAATCCAGCATTGCTCTGAGATCAATGTAAATGTAGGGTACGTTTATGTTTCGACACACACTATCGTCGACCATTGAGAGGCACGACCATTCATCGTGAAAGAACGGCTCCTCTACTGCCTCATCGACCAACTTGTCACACTGAAAGATTGACGACTGTTGTTATGTCAATGGCGTGGCAACACGGCAACTAGCAAGCACAATTTAACGCAAGCCTAAAACACTGGACAGCACGCCAGTGCATGTCTCCAGGAACAAGCAAGCGACCGGCGTCACTCATTGGACATAAATCAACGCATAGCGCTGGCATGGAACCTACATCGCGGCTCTTGGCTCTACCAGACGAGCTACTTCAGCTTGTTCTTTATTTCCTTGAGCCTTTCGACCTCGCGGACACCGCACAATGCTGTCGGCGGTTGGCCTTGCAAAGCTACGACGATCGAATATGGCGTCCTTTAGTCAACGAATCTCTTCCGATACCCATTTCCAGCCCAAGTCCGGCGCCATCGTTCCGGGACTTGTATATCGCACATCATCCGCATTGGTTTCTAGTGAAGAATAAATTATGGTATACAGATTCCGGGCCAGCCGGTAAATTAATCATCGCGACATACGATGCGTCAAATGCGGCGATTGTTGCGCATAGCGTCACCGCAAGTCGAACCCATGAGATTCCCGACTTTCATCTCTGGGAACTGGACCATCGTGTGATGATTCACAATTTCAAACCAGAAGTTCGTTTGCATTGGGCCGTGCCCGCTTTGAAGATCGGCTACAACAGTGAGCTCGTCAATGATCCAGAAAAGAGCGATCAATACCCTGAAAACGACGCAGATGAGAAGCAGCGCGTCTCACGTTACGGTCGAGAAATTTTAATGGATATATTCAAGGAGCCCGGGATTCAATGCTCCTTCATTCTTAGCCGCAAGTTACCTGAAGTAATCACGGACCCTAACACCGACATATGGCCTCCTTTACGACTCCCATGTCTCGACCGTACCCGCAATGACCACGATATGAACGGTCAAATGCATCGAGGCCATGCACCCACGCGCTTCTCCGAGACCAGTCAATCAACCTTTCGCGTTCGACGGTGGGCGGATTTTGGAAAACCTCGCGCACAGTCATCCTCACGAGTCGTCGGTTCACTCATCAATGCTCTCGGTCTATTGGGCGCTCCCGATACAGTCCGCCGACCAGACGTCATTGCCACCTGCGCCACTCTGCCACTGGATTCCTGGCGGCCTACACCGGAGAAGCCGTGGCAGGGGATCTGGGTTGGGGATTACAGCGGACACGGATGTGAGTTCTTGTATATCCGACAACCCGACGCGGCTGAAGCTTTACCGCTCCCGGAAGGCCTCGAATGGCTACAAGCCGAGGTCGACGCAAACGGTAGCAGTCTCGGACAGAACTTGACCGGCAGCGAGCCTCGCGCAGCATCAGCTGCTTCGGCCGCTACAGCGGCGCCAGGTACAAATCCTGCCGAGGGTGGTCTTGCAGATGATGATGGTCAACATCCTCCCTCGGGCCGTCTTGAAGCGATCAAATTGACTGGCGACCCTAACATTCCTCGTGGTCAATATACCTTCATAGCGCCCGACATTGGGAGTGCGGGGTTTCTCCGTGTGGCGGACGAAGAGAGCTTCCGAGGTGCACGCGTCGTTCGAAGTGTAGGCCACCTTGCGGGACGAGGATTTGTCGATGGTAAGTTCCAATCATCAATCTTCCCGTGTATCACAGACAGCCGATTTGTCATTTCATGGCGACTTCGCATACCTTGGTATTTATACTGATTAATCGATTTGTGTAGACGATTACTCGCCCTCACAGCTCATCATGATCTCACACAACCGTCTCGCACAGTACTGGGAAGGTTTCGGACATATTTCGCATTTCGAGCGTGTAGATATCGATGCATTGGTGTACAGTAAGGCTTCAAAGAGTACTGCTGCTTCAGCGTCTCTGCCTCCATCGTGAGATGTGCTGCCGTGTACTGATACAGCGTATGCCATGGGATTATGCACACCACGTCGAGTCGATCTTCCTGCGCCATCGCGCCTGACGATCGTTCAAACAGCGAATGCATTGCTGAGCCAAGACTGGAAGACTTCACATCGGGGCATGAAGCGCATGTGCGAATAGATTGAGCATGAAAACGATCTTTTCCTTCATGCCTCTGTACGTTGAAGCTCATGCATCAGGCCATTTTTTCTCCTGGGAAGTGATCAAGTCATGCACAGAGTCAGAAGCAATGAAAAGCGTTTCCATAAGCGGCGGAAAAGGAGAGGGAGAAAGAGAAAGGGAGAGCTATACAGAGGTGAATGGGGATACATGACAAAGCAAGGAGGATTTGTACTCCATACTGTTTTCCCCTTCACATCAACAAATGTGGACACCTCGATACACGACCAATGTTGTTCGCCACTGATCGCTCGCGCGTTTGCATGGTCCTTTGCTCCTCCGATTATGTCTTTCCGCGTCGTCATTGATTCACGGAAGGGTGAACGCGCACTACAAGCAGTTGTGCGAATCGAGGGGTCACTCAGCAAAGAATGTGATGATCATTGCAATGCTGGCGCTTGCTTGTGTGCATTCGATGTCGGCCATTGTGTGTTCTTTTCACTAAATGCCGTACTATATATGGCACAAATATCACCTCATCTGCCGAGGTTGCGTGGCCCAATGGCAAGGCGCTTGACTACGATTCAGCGACTAATTAGTCATGATTAGTCAGCATTGAAATCAAGAGATTCTGGGTTCGATCCCCAGCGCGATCACGTTTTTTGCCGGGTTCCAGTCCTTTTGGGATACTTTTTTGGTGGTCTTTGGCAACATCCACTGAAGAAGAATGTTTCCATCCGCTTTAAAAGTTATTTCATGGTGTCATTGTTGAGATATCATCATTTGAAGTTGGTGTCGATGACACATGTTGGTGTTGAAATTTCGAAGTCGCGCGACTTTCTAACCTCACCTGCATCCGAGGGTGCCAAATTCTGGAAACCGCTCCTCCGAGTAAGTCAAGCGCTGGCTTAAAGCAAGAACAAAGGAAATCTGTCAAGCTTGTCAAGCAGGAGTCTCGGAGAAGGCTGTCATTCAAGCCATAGTTCGTAAACAAAACAAATAGCAGCCAGACATGGGCGGTCCAAGCCAGAAGGCGCCGATTGCCTCTAATGACAAGACCACAACACATCCTCCAGCATCGGCGTTACAGTCATTCCTCGCAGCGCACGCTCCAGCCTCAAATTCGATCTACCCATCCGCAATCCATTATCTGACTCTCCAAATCGCTCATAACCTCCGATATCAACACAATTGGCGCGACATCCGTCTCCACACGCGACCTGCATCCATCATATCCACCACTCCCAAGCAATCTCCATCACGACCTCTCCTTTCCGGCCTACCGCCTCGACGCGTCTACACACATCCAGATGAACAAATCGATATCCTTCAGACGCACAAAACTCAGCAAAAGCAACAAAGCAAAGAATCTACCTCCACCACTTCAACAGCCTCCATCCCACCCGAACCGGTTGCCCAGCGTGAATGGGTCCTTCCGTCACATATTCGCGAGAAATGGACTCTTCGGCATTTCGGCGCGGCATTCGATGGGATTTCAGCCGAGCCAAACCCTAGTGAAGGCGAGGTATTATTCCCTAATGATGTCGTTGACGAAGACGAAGGCGAGGATGGAGACGACGATGATGCTGCCGGAGAGCCAACCCATAATGATTCAGCGCAGATGAACGTCGCTGAGCGAAATCGCGCGGAGTTCGTAGCGATCGCGGAGCGCTGGCGGAAAGACGCGCCGAAGCGAGTACTGTTGGCCACGGTGCATGAGGACAGTACAGTGGTGTACTATATCATCCATGATGGGATTGTAAAGCCGAGACAGAATTGAGATGTTCTACTTCTTGCGATAAGAAAGGCCTCTCTACACAGGGAAAAGTAGAAAGGGAGAGGTGAACTGGATTCTGGGCACTTTCCGGGCACTTTCCAAAGACTACAAACCTCAAGGGCGGACGCATCGCTCAACAATCGTCTTTCTTTGCCTCCGCAATAATCTCCCGCACAGCATCCACCTCCAACCCCGTCTTTCTCCTAACAATCTCCCTCCCGGCCTCCGCTCCGGACACGAACTCCCTCTCCCACGCCGCGATGGCCTGCTCCGGCACAATCTTAAATGCCTTTCCCCACCCTGGGATGTCGAGAGCCCGTGTCGAGGGACGACGGCCACGGGCCAACATCTGCGCCTCGGTGAGGCCCAGGAAACAACCCATCTCCGGTTTCTGATCGACGTCCTTGTTGAAGCCGACGCAGGCAATGGGCCAGTGTTTGCTCGTGGACAGGGGATGGATTGTCCGTTGACGGAGGACAGACGGAATATCGTGGAATGGCGGACCTTGCGGTGTGAATCTGTCGGAGATGATCACGAAGACTTGGGTCGGGTTGCCGGGATTCAGGCGGCGGAGACCGAGCACGTAGCTGCGGCAGAGGAATTCTTTGAGATATCAGCCACCGGGTGCTTCGCGTTTGTCGATTAAGGTTGCGATGGGCAGGAGACCTTCTCTGCGGCAGGAGGTCTCGGAGGGAAGTCTGCAACAAGATGATGTTATGATTGGCCAGTTGTCTTCGGATCGGGAGGGGTTGTGTGGTGGACAATGCAATTGCATGAGATTGTTGATCTCACCTGGAGCATTGAGAAAGGAGGTTAGCTATGAGTTCTCTGTCCTTCTTTGGAGAGTGCAGGAGATATCTGCTCCTCATTCACGACTTACTATTTACATCCTCTCGTTCAGCTGCTATGATTGGATCCAGCTTGACCCCATCATCATGATAGGCTGAGGAGTCCGCAATAGTCGATGTCGGGGTGTGAATTTTATCGCTGTCATCCTCTCAAGATCCTTGTTGGCCGCAGTGGTAATGGTCGTAAATGTATTCGTCGTATTGATGGTGGTCGTCATACCATTGCTGTTGACGTTAATCGTCAAAAGGTCGGTATGGCAGCGCCATCTGATCGATTCTCGCCATGGTGGTCCTACTTCGATATGGGCCTCTGTCTCTTCGAAGGACAGTGTGAAGAATGAATGCCTTCGCATCGTACAGATCTCTCGAGCAGGGCATTGTAAGTAATTGCAAGTGTCCCTCGGCTGCTGAGGCGCCAGCGTGTATAAGCAGCAACAACCACAGGGGGCGGCCACGAACTGGTGCCCCTTTGACCACAGCCGCCAGTAAACGAAATACTCCTCTCCTGTATACGCCTCTGTACGACACGGGTATGCAAGTTCAAGAGGTGTCGTGAGCAGTTGTTCGTTGTTTCGGAGCACATTCCGAAGCTTGATACGATTCAAGCCATAACTACGACACTTCAAGACGACAAAGGAGAAGGCTTTCTTCAGGAAATGTGAGCATTTCATAACCTTTGTAAAGCTGCATTTCTTTTCCTTGCCTCGATATCATTTCGATTTCCTCCCATGTTCTCTCTCGCCTTTAGCAAAAGCAGTTCCACCGCTTCTCTTCTCTCTTACAATAATTCACAACCCCCCGAATTCTTCCCTATCTTCACTTGTCCGGCCTGATGCTCCACCAGGGAGCGCATCGTTCGTGGTCTTTTGAGACCCATCAGGGGCAGACTCATCATAACTTCATCATCGCGAGAAGGAAAAAAAGCAAACATGCCAACCCTGTAAAAAGGAAAACCAAGGATTGTTAAAGAAAGGAGCATCAAGCATCAAGCTTTTTGCACAAATGAAGGAATCAAATGAACTCAAACGAAAACTCAAACGGAAAAGCCGTGCTTGGATGATGGAATCAGAATCCCTCGAGAGAGTGTGACGAGACTCTTCGGGGTTCATGTCCCGAGAAGCGAAGAAAGGGAAAAAAGGCTTGAAAGACGTGGCGACATTTCTTTGACGCGCTCATTTGTTTTCCAGAATAATCCATAACGCCGGTGATTTAATAAACAGGTCATGTACAAATGTTGTTCAGGCTCCACTGTGACGAGGCCCGTGGTAAAAACATGGTCGGACGAGGATGGTGAAGCTGGTCTCTGACGGGTGGGAGGGCGGCGGGAGCTCTCTTTCCAAAAGGAAGGACGGAGAGTCTGATGCTTTTGTCGTGAGGAGTAGTCGAAGACAGATGGCAACATCAGCTGTCATCGTCATCACGATTGCTGCTGTTGACGCTGAATTTCCCTCTCTCCCGCTGCCATTGACTCAAGCGAAACCGTTGCACGTCTTGGCGCAAGAGCATTTCCGAAGGAGGACAATCGACGACGGGTGGACTGCATCGCCGTGACGATGGCGGGATTTGCGGCGGTAGTGTGAGGAGAAGGCGGAAAGGTGGCTTCCATGTCAATCGCCGAGTAAGAATGCTCGTTGCTGGACACTGCTGCAGAAGCGGAGAGAGAAGGCATGTGAGATGCCCTCTTGGGCTGATGATGTTGCTCTTCTTCGATGACGGCGGGTGTGTTTATGTCATAGAAGCTCAAAGGGCGGAGGCGATTGCGTGGAGAGATCAGGCTGGACGCACCGGTCATCGAAGTTCGAGCCGTAGCGGCAGTCGATGGTGAGGAAGATGCAGATGACGAAGAAGCAAGAATGTCCCGGGCGAGCAAAGAGGATGGTGTCGTTAACGGCGTACCATCAGGTGGAGTGCTGACGGCAGGACTTCCTTCTCGATCGCGACGGAGCAGATGTTGATGGGAATAATTTTGGTCCTTCGCAAAGGCAGTGCCGGCCGGCGGTGAGCGGAGGTGCGAAAATTGTGAAGGAGAGGTTCCCAACATATTGTGAGACGCAGCCGGAGGGGAGGTCAAGATTCCTTTGCTGACAGCAGCACGAGCGCGGACGCCGCCAATATCGGTCATTGCGCGGGATAGAGGTCGAATGGTTGGGTCATTGTCGTGTTCGTTTTCATTATGTTCATGATCGTGGTAATAGTGGTTATTGCGCATGGGTGGGGATTGTGAGACTTCTTCATCACGTTGGTGCTGTCGTTGACGGAGGTGCGCTTTTTCTCGAAGGAGGAATGCGCTTGGGGCACGGCTGACACGTCTGGGAGGCTGTTGCTGAGGGTCATTATTACGGTTGAATTGCGCCCGAGAGGCTGACATTGGTGTCGTCGTTGATTCGTGCTCATCTGATGTAGAATTATAGTCGTCGATGGCTAAGCTCTCACGACGAGCACTGTTTCCAAGAGCGGAGAAGCCCCCTGGCGAAGATGACAGACCTAGAATGCTGCTGCGCCGGGCTTCGAGGCGGCTGATGGGTCGTCCAATGTTTGCAGCTCCCGCTGCGTTGTTGGCTGCGGCGGACCTATCAAATGGAAATGTGCGGTCGGTGGCAGTGACACTGCGGGGTGTCCTCAATGGCGGAGAGCGTCGTAAAGATGTATCGAGAGCTAGAGATGGTGTTTTGACGAGATTCGGCTGTGACTCATGCTTGCCTTCGGACAATGCAATACAAAGGTCGGTCAGGTTGCGGCACATGTTGTCGGCTTTGCGCTTGATCTGACGTTCGAAGTGCGCAGAGGATGCAGCATTACCTTGATTAGTTCGCCCATTTCCGCCACTTGAGAGAGTGGCTAGCTGCAGAGCCTCAGTGGCTGTCGCCTCCAGAATGCGATATAAAGAACCATTGAGGAGCGGCTTGGCTTTGACAAGAGCTGCATCAAGCAGAGGGTGTGTCGGAGCGGACGTTTGCTCGTCTTCAGCTGGCGCATCTGCCACTGAAGGCGTCGAGGCTCGGTCACTCATGTCAATCGTGGGTTTGCGATCTTTCTGCTTTGGAGAAAAGTCGATAGTTGTGGGAGCTGTGGTAGCAGTTTGAGGACGTTCGCCATCACCACCAGACACCGCCGCGCTGGAGGTCGAAGGCATTTTACCAGTCAGCTCAAGCTTCTTAATGCGCGACTTCAGATCGTCAAGTTCATCCCAGACAGTATCTGCTGTCTGCGACTCGACCGAGTCAGACCCAGCCTGCTTGGGTTCCGAGCTATCCGCGGGTGATTCGTCCTGCGAATCGTGTGCCTTTATGGGAGCAAGCTCGTGTTCGTGTTGCAGAGGCAGGAGAGATCTTCCACGTGGTAGATTCTGCACATCAGCAGATCGCAGACCTTGTCGCAGCCGTGTGGGCGAAATCTGCGTGCGCTCGGGCGCAGTAGAATAGCGACGATTGCGCTCTGAGAGAGAGAGACCGGCTACGGAGACGGACTCATCGTCGTAGATGCTGTTCCGGCCATGTGGACTTCTGTATCGGTCAGAAGGTCGATTTTGTGTGTTGGAAATGGTTGATGCATGCAAGCGCGACGATGGCCGGGAGGGCTGAGTGTGTCCAACGATCCCGCCGTTGGATGCAAGGTCGACAGGGCTGTATGCAGGATTCACAGGAAGTGAGAAACGCTTGGCGGAATTGCTGGCAAGTCGATCGGCTCGAGTTTGTAGTGTTCCATATGTTCCCTCGTTGAAGCCATTGTCACCACTCATTCGCGAGTTGCCCAATTCCAAGAACAAATCTTCTGTTCGGCCTCGTGTGTGACGAGCCATGTCGAGGCCAATGACGGAGGCGGGACGACGGTTGGCACGGGTCGAAGCGTTGTGATCGGTGGACTCGTTGTTGCCAGGCTCGAGAGAATGTCGTTGTCGTCGACTCTGTGTATCGATGGTGTTGCTATGATCCTTGTTGCTGAAATTGTTCTGGATGTTGCTGAAATTTGTCGCATTCCCGGTGCCGTGGTGTGATCGTGGGCGCGAGAGGTTTCTCTTGATCGTGGACGAGACAGATGACGCTGTCACTCCACCAGCCGTTGCAGGTCGTTTCAGTGGTGCAGCGGTCGAGGAGGAGAAAGAAGATCGACGTGGATCACGGAAGTGTTGAGATGTGTGACTGGAAACGTCGTCAGGTATAGGTGGGATCGGAATTGAACGGTAGAGATCCCTGGCGAGGTGGTGGTGGTTGTGTTTCTGTTTAGGATCTAGTGCCACCACGGATGAGGAAGCCTTGAGACCTGTTGTGAACGGCGACGATGACAACGGCGGCGCTCGGAGTGAGAGAGCCGTCGACACGGAAGTCTCCAGGGATGGTGGTGGAGAAGGTAATGGCGACGGCGACGGCAATGGTAAGGAACGGTTCAGGGAGAGGGAGCGTGTTGTAGCCAGGGGAGGCGACCGTGGTTGTTGTTGTGGAGGGAGTGGTGGTGATGGTTGCGGAGGTGCAGCAGTCACAACTCTCGAACGTGCAGGTGCATCATCACGGCGATCTGACGCAGAGCGGGCAGTAGTAGCCGTACTCGCCGAAGTATCAGCAGCAATAGTGGGAACAGCAGCAAAAGCAGCAGCAGCAGGAGTGACAACAACACCAGCGGCTGCATCAACGGCAGCGCGGTCGGGACGAGCCTTAGGCACTCGCAGCCCACTAGCGTTGACGCGGGACGCGAGACATGACGACGATTTGTGGTGCAATTGTTGGTGGTGGAGGTCTGGCGTCGTGTCTAGGTCTGGCTCTCGCTCTGGCTCAGCTGAGTTCCGGTCGGACGATAAGAATAAATTTGTCGATGATGATAGAAACTTTGGCCCCGTCGCCTTTGTTACTTCGCTCGTACTGCGGCTGCTACTGCGACGGCGGCGGCTCCCTTGCTGGGACAATTCCTCACTGGTACACTGGTGGTGAGGAATTCTCTCGTTGGCGTGACTCGAGTCCAGTGCAATTGCGGCGGACCCAACAGGGCCAACGGCAACGGCAGCAAGACCGTCGTCCGCGTCGAAGAAACGGTCTTCCGATTCATCGTTGTCTTCGTCGGTACTGCTGTGGTCACTTCCGCCGTTATGCCTTCCCATGGTAGCTTTTACCGTGGTGGGCAATCACTCGCTGGCGTGAATGTATGGTGGGTCCGGTTGGAATCATCCGGTGCACGCGCGGGTCGTGGTTGTGACCCTGTTGCTGATCCCGAAAGCGATCTTAGTAGATTGTGATGTGGTCAATCTTTCTCTCAGGGAAGAAGCCGGCCGTGTGTTGAGATTGTCGATGCTGAGAGAACAAAGTACGATCACAAAGAGTCAGAGAGGGGCCACACCGCGAGAGTGAAAATTCTTGTTCATCCAAGTGTGATGATCAATGACCCGGCCCGGTATATTTGGTGGTACAAAATGCTGTCGCTGGCAGAACGCGTGTTCTTCACCCAAGATTGAGGGTGTCACAAACACCAAAACGTGACGCGGTCAGTTATGCCAGCTGAAGAGCGATCTCGTGTTGGATGCTGGATGGTACAGGAAGAGGCCAAGGACTATCGACGAGTGCGACGACCTTCATGCTTGTACAAGGCAGAACCATTTATTACACATTGGCTTCGAAGGGGTTACGTGTATCGCAATATATTGACATGGTAAAACGAGTGTCGCAATGGTATCCGCCACTCCCGGTCACGAGAGTAAAAACGTCCGCACATGGCGTCGATAATACCATGGCGTGGCTATAGTGCTGGAAAGGAGCAGGGATTTACGGGAAATCATCATGCTGACTCCATGATATTGGCGTCTTGGGTCGACAGGGAGAGCCTCTCCCAGTGCCCAGGTGGCTTCCCGAAACGCCATTTCAACCCTTGTCCACAGCGGGACTTTATCCGACCCAGCTCTACAATCAACCTCCATTGCGCCCCGTTCGGACTCATCTTCCCATCATGCTGAGAAGATCGGATAGAGGCTTATGAGTCAAGGAAAATATCTGGACGATCACCAGAGGCTCCCTCTGCCGATATCCTTCCGCTTAGCAGTGTCCCGCATCTGGTAGGATTTGGCGCTGCGCCGCATGCCGGCATGGACGATGCGGAGATCAGAGAGGCGAAAGAAAGCATACGGCGACACTACAGTACACCCAGGCGGTCGAGGAAAATTCAGTGATCAGAGGGAAAAAAAAGAAAATTTCCTTCATTTCCCGAACTGGACCATCTCATTGCTAGTCAATGTCTTGCACTCTGTCTTGGCGATTTGGTACAGTGTCTGGACAGCAAGTTGTAGTCGCTAGACGCTGGAGATGATCCAATTTCATCAGCAAGGATAGTATCTGCTCCAACACGAAACTCATAGAACGTTCATCGAGCACATGCGAGGCAAGACGCGATCATGCTGGTGTGCCAGACTCGAGATCATGCACCTCGGCTACAGAAACCGGTCGTGCCGTGGGTCGACGTGGAAGAAAATGACACAGCATGCACAATGGACGCAGCCCTGAATCGAGGAACGGTGGTGTCGATGTTTGAAAAGAAGCAGGTTGCAGATGCGCGACGCAGGGGGTTACCAGTCGCTGCAGCAGCCGCAGGGGTCGGTCTTGTGTATGCCATTCTCCACAGGGCCGGCCCAAGCCAGATACACTCACGGTGAAATAGTGAAAGTGGCACGCTTCTGTATGGACACGAATGGAATCCATTTATGAACCTGATTGCGGTCGTCGTGCTACCTAGCCATCGCGGGTGTCAAGTGCGTTCATCAGCACAGAGGGCACACACACACGATCATATCGATACGGGAGTATGTGTGGGGGGGGCACTCGGTACACAGCCGTTGAAACTGGGGTTATTGCCAGAACCACAATGTTCGTCTCTCCTACTCGAGACTCTGATAAGCAAGGGGACAACACTCGAGAGACACAAGTCCGCCTGATGACATTGCCAGCACGGTGCAATGCAGTACGGTCCCAGAGCTGCGATGTTCGTAAATAATTTTACTCACCCAAGAGCGGATACAGGCAGTCTACAGCACGATATGTTTTTTACCACTTGCTCTGCACAAAATTTTCGGCGTCCAATAAGGTCCACCAATCCTTCTTTTTTTTCTCCATTCTAGAGGCCAGGCGCAAGAGCGATGGCGCACCGATGGCGATATGCCCCTCTTGCCGCAAAGAGATGAAACGGCGGACTCCGGCGCAGCGCGCGCATTAGTCGCATCTCCAAGTCGTTGAGAGCAGCGATGAAGATTAGAGTTTGGGTGAGTTGCGCAAGCAGCCACGTGCCGTCAGGGGCGAGTGGGAAATCCAACGCCGGATGCATCATCGTTTGCTTCGGATCAGCGGAGTTTCTCCTGTGCAGGTTGCGAATCCCCGGTGTCGCTGCCGCGATGAGAAAGAGGAGGATAAGTGAAGAATGTCAGAGGTGGGCGAGATTAGACTTGCGTACACATTGGCGTCAATGATATCGTCGCGATGGACATTATAATTGAGATAACATGAATGGTGGTGGGGAGTCTCTCTACCATGATCGCGTCCGGCCGTTCTACAAATGGTGGTACGAAATGCCTGCAGCCATAGGCCAGGCACGTCCCAATCAATATTACTGGCCCCGCATGCTTGATGACTCCAGGGCTGTCCATCTTCCTAGGGTTGTTCGATACGCAGTTGGGGTTATTTTCTTGTTCGTCCAAGGTCCTGATGATAATAACCAATAGAACCTTCGTCAAGAACACACGACGTGCCAGGTAATGTATCTGGTCTGTCGAGCTGGCCTATCATTACTATATATAAGATGCACCACGATCGTCGCAGGTTCTGCGCTGTTGGTAAGACGTCGGCGTTCGAGCATTACTTCCTTCAGCATAGTTGCCAACAAAGAATGCAACGTGCTGACGGGACGATGGCACTGGAAATGATGGTATTGCACCGGTACCTCGTATGTTGTGTGTCTCCGTAGATTAAGAACATTGTTTTCGTCGATACTTAGCATCATCCATTCATATCAAAATTCACCCGTGCGTCGTCAAATCGTGGTTTCTTGCTCATCAGTGCTGTTGTTCGGTGCCCGCCCGATTGACTGCTCTGACGTAGGCGTTCTGTCCCCCACTGCATGCACACCTGGAGCTCACTCCGCCGATCGCATTCTGCGACACGCTACTTGCGATCTTCAGCTCCGAGATCCGTGTTGGTCATGATCTCAGGTACGTCTACACCGGCCCCGAGAGCGAAGACCAATTGCCCGTGTCATGTAAGACATTGCGATAGACAGCAACATAACGATCTATCGCGCCATGTAAGCTATATACAATTTGCAACGCCGTTATATTCTTCGTCCCGATGGGAGAGCCGCCCAACCAACACAGCATCTCCAATCACAGAGAATTCCTCACCGCTCAATCAAATACTTCATCATATTTCCCGTCACCCACAAGCGCGGTCAAACGCGAGTCTCAGCCCAGTGTGGAGATCAACAGGAAGAGAAGGAAAACCAGCGCAGTGTCAGCGCAAGTCGTTCACGCGCCCAACGGACAGGAACCGCAAGGATTTCAGGGTTCTCAGGCGCATCATGAAGCGCAAAGCAATGCTCGTGAAGAGCAAGCCGATATGCGACAGGCTGGTGCGCCGAGTAGCTCGGCGCCAGTATGGACCGAGTTGAAGACCAAAGCAGGCAAAGAACGGAAACGACTACCGCTCGCATGTATTGCATGTCGACGCAAGAAGATCAAGTGCTCGGGCGAGGAGCCGGCATGCAAGCACTGCCAGCGCTCACGCATACCATGCGTTTACAAGATTACTGCAAGAAAGGCGGGACCGAGGACCGATTACATGGCCATGCTTGATAAGCGACTGAAACGTATGGAAGAGCGAGTCATCCGGATCATACCCAAGACTGAGCAAGGAATCGTTGCTGAGACGGGTCGCGCGGTTTTGAAGCCATCATTGCAGAAGTTTCCTGCGAACAAGAGCGGCAAGAAGCGGCAAGCTCATGTTGCGTTTAGCGGAGATGAGTCTGATGGCGAGGCAGAAGGTGCTACAAGTGGTCCCGGGGAAAAGACCAGCAAGCCATCAGTAGATGCATTCGGCTCATCGGACTCGAACGAACCCGAAGAGTCAAATCTCCTCACCGAAGGCGCTGATAAACTTCCCAATAAGGAAATACAAGAGCACCTTAGCGAAACCTTCTTTGACTTCGTATATGGACAGAGCTATCATCTTCTGCACAAACCTAGTTTCATGCGGATGCTGGAGCGAGGAAGTGTACCACCAGTCCTGATGCTAGCAGTCTGTGCGATATCTGCACGATTCTCAGACCACCCGGCATTACGTGAAAGCAACGAGCCAGCCTTTTTACGCGGCGAGCAGTGGGCGAAGCCCGCTCGGGACATTTCGTTCCGCCATTACGATCGTCCAAGCATGACTATATTGACGGTATATCTCATTCTCGGTCTGCATGAATTTGGCACCTGTCACGGCGGCCGTTCATGGATGTTTGGCGGAATGGCTCAGCGTATGGCCTACGCGATGCAATTGCATACCGACTCCCAACATGACCCGCATACTGCCCCAGGGCCGGGTGATCAGACTCTCAGCATTACAGATCGTGAGATTCGTCGCCGGACTATGTGGTCATGCTTTCTTATGGATCGATTCAACTCCAGTGGATCAGAGCGACCCATCTTTGTCGGTCAGAATTACATCCGGACGCCTTTACCCATTAAGGAAAGTATGTACTTCATGGAGCTTGCTGGTCCGACGGAGGATCTCGAAGGAAACCCAATTATTGATCCGAAGGTTGATCCTGCCGACATCATAGGCAATGCCCGCGACAACATGGGTGTCGCAGCCTATCTCGTCAGACTTGTCGCTATCTGGGGCAACTTGATCGAATATAACAATCTTGGCGGCAAGCAGCGAGATCGATATCCCATGTGGTCGTCAGCATCTCAATTTCATGCCCTCAAGACGAAAGTCGCTGCATGGATCGCGTCGCTTCCACAGCCACTACAATATTCCTCCGATAATCTATTCACGCATCGAAGCGAGAGAACAGCCAATCAATTCCTATTCTTGCATATTATTTACAACCAGATACTGCTCTTCATGAATCATTTCGCACTTGTTCCTCCGACAACTTCTTCCCCTGCAGGATCTTTGCCCTCCACGAGCCGCGACAAAGATGTCATGCCGCCTCAGTTCCGCGCCGAGGCCGCGCGCATCGCACTCTCCGCTGCTACACAAATATCTCGACTCACGCACGAGGCCATGGCTCACAATGTCGTTGCCCCATTTTCCGGATATGCAGCTTTCTTCAGCAGTACGGTGCATATCCCTCTTGCGCTCGCAAAGGTCCCCGAAGTTACTCCCCAGACTACCCCGGAGCAAGCACAGCAGCTGAACCAAGCCAAACGGCAGGCTGCGCTCAGCAAGCAATGTCTCATGTATAACCTCCGCTTTCTTGCTCGTATGAGAAAGTATTGGGGCATGTTCGCATATGTCTCTGAACAGATTCGCGAATTATATCGCAAGTGCGCTGCGTCTTCTACTGCGGATGGTGAAGGAGGCAATACGGCCGTGTTTCAATATGGAGACTGGTATAACTTGTATCCGAACGGAGTCGTAAGCGATGTTACGCGCGGTGATAAAGCCAACTCAAATTCTCCAGCGAACCGCTCAGGGAACGACCTTCGTTCTCCCGCCGCAAAGCCTCGGTCAGATCCTGTTATCAGCCTCGGTCAGAAGAGTGATTTGCAAACGGTGGAGGAGTTCTTTGCAGCCGAGAACCGCCGTACTAGCAGTTCTGGCATGCCTCGTCCCGACATCTCCGGATCCAATTCTAGACACAAGCGTTCATTTTCATCTCCATCTAAACCGAGCCTGAACCGAGCCGGAACAAAGGGACCGGCAACAGCTGCTTCATCGACCTCGCCTCCCGCGCCACCGACGAAGATGGTGAGAGTGTCTTCAGCGAATAGTGTTGAAGCCCGCGATCAACCACGAGCAGTCCCACCAACATGGTCTCCAAGAAAGAGTCGTTCGTATCATCCGAGAACCTCTGACCAGCAAACAGAACAAAGCCATCATCGTCCAGAGGTCACACATGATTCTACCTTCATCGATACCTCTCAGCGACGACCAGCAAGCAGCGGCGATCTCCATATATCTCCTCAACAGCAGGATCACACGCAATCCCAAGGTCGAGATTCTGGTAGTCTCTATGACACTCGTCAGCAGATCTCAAACAATAGCACTCAGCACTCTTACGCTACGCACCAAAAGCCACGACAGCATCAACCTCTCGAGGCTGGAGACAATGGACGGCATGTGATGCCTTCACCACTTTCAAACCACAGTAACGCATTTTCAACTCCGCCACATGACATTCGCCCGTCGCCTCCCACCTTCACAAGATTCCCCTCATACTCCAATCCCTCACCTCAACTATCTTCCATTCCCCTCCTCCCGATGATGAACCAAGGACTCGATCTTCCGCCTTCCATGCTCCCTCCACCAATAGGACCTATACCATCCTCGTCGACCGCGGACTCCTATGTGCTCCAAGGCCCTTTCAACTCCGCCACCAGAAACGCTCCAGCGTCCATGATTGGCCCTGCCAACCCCACTTCCAATCTCAACATGAACTCCAGCGTCCACGACTTCTGGATCGACCCATCTACCGCCTGGTATATGCCCTTCAATCTCGACCCGCCCTTATCCCTCTCAGTGATGAATTCCGGTCACAATCAACACCATCAAATGCCCCATCAGGATCCGTCAGCCGCAGCCCCGAATCTATCGGCGACACCGGCGTTGCTAACGTCGCCGGATGGGAATATGGGCTGGTTCGATGGTGTCAGTGGTATAGAGATTGGTTCTGGAATACAAGGCATGGGGATGATGATGCCAGAGCTGAACTTGGATGGGTTTGGGTGGGATCCTGTGCAACAGGGGTGGCATGGGGATCAGGGAATGATGGGAATGCAAGGGATGGGAGGGACATTCGCGAGCGGCGATGGTGATGGTGGCGCCAGTGGCGCTGGTGGCAGTGATGGGACGGCTCTAGGTTGAACCTCTACTTGTCTCAAAGTGGTTGTTGGTCGAGCGCGCTGCGGACCTGGGGTCTGCTGGTGCAGGTGCTCTGATCACAGCCGCGCTTCCCCTTCATTTCTGAGCTTGTTTTATATTTCTCACGATCATGATCATGATTTCAATGACTGCATTGCCTCCTTTTATGCCACGCTCATATTCAGGATGTGGGAGTCGCTCAAAAACCTTTCATCTGCCGATTGTCACGCCATTTATGTCCTCCAGAGCTCCAGGTGGAACTCCGGATCCGATGATTGGACGAGTAAGTGAGAGATGATTTTCAGAAGCCGGCTGCCTACAGATGTACCTGAGGAGGTGGATGGTGACACAAAAACCGAAACAAAAGCAGGGGTGAAATCATTCATGTGAAGGATTAATAGTAAAATCTGGCGTGCTACATCTTGGCAGATGCAGGGGAAGAGTGGAGCAAGTGAAACGCCGCTGGTCGAACTCTGCTTGGTTCAAAGAACAGTCCGCCCTCACGCCCGTCCCGTGCTGGAGGCTATGTGCCACCGCATCGCCGTGGCAAGCAAGTTGAAAGTGAAGCTTCGAAGAAGACCGTCCAAGTCCCGGATGAGTTCTACCGCATCTAAGCAATTGGTTTGCAGAAACAGGATGATAATCCATGCTATGAGTTGGTGCTTTACAGCGACACATTCACGCATGAACCGGGTCTTTTCGTCGGCATGCCTTCGGTCCTTATGCAACGGCTCATCCGCCCCCTCCATATCGCCTGTGGTTCGAAATTGGCATGCGGAACCTTGACATGCGGAGGCATTGACGACCGCATGGGTGCTGCAATCGACATGTCCGAGTGGATGGCGCAGGCTCGCGGCTGCCATATGACCAGAAGTGAGACTGAGCCTTAGTGCAAGATCAAGGCCAGTATGGCCATTGTCGCCTGGAGACGCGAATATCTGCGTGATGAAACTTGCGCGGTGATGAGAGAGATTACGGGACTCAATTCCACTACCAATTGCAAATTGGTCATGGCGGTATGCAAGGCCATGAAAACGCAGGGGGAGGCAAAGAAAGTCGCGAGAGCTAATGAGTACAACCCAATCACAATTATAAACAGCAGTGAATAATCGCAACGCAAAGTCTAAAAAGATCGATGTCTGTCAATAACTCTTTTTCTTCCAATGTGGGTGATAGTATGGTATATGGATATAGATATATGCTATGAATTTATGCTTGTATAAGAAGCAGAACAGAAAGCAAGTATTTTCTGGGACACTATGTTGAGTATAACATCATCAGAGGTGGAGCATACTAGAGCAGCAAAGAAGGGGGGTCGAAGATGAATCTCAGACGATGGGAACGCTGCTGTTGTTGCTGCAAACCCACTCCTGAATATCAAAGGGACGGAAGAAGCAAACTCGCTGTCCTGTCCACCCGCGTGTTACGCCGTCTCGCTCGTTTTCACCATCCTGTCGTCCTGGCGCTCGTGAAGGTTCAATGCTCATACATTCAGCCTCTCCCGCCCCCTTCTCATCGTCTCGTATCGTCCGCTTCCTCGTCGCTCGCCACTGATTCATGACTGTCGTTTCCAGGAATCCAGATCGATCATGTGGTGTTTCTTCTTCCATCAGGAAGCTCCTGCTTCTGGTCCCATTGCTGCTGCAGGAACAGCTGATGGTGGCAAGTAGTGGAAGTAGAAGCGGTATTCGCGGGTCATACCTAGCTGGACAGGACTTCGTTTCTCGTCCAGCATATCGCGACGACGAGCGCGTCGAGACGAAGCTGGCTGTCCGAGAACTGTCGCGGCGTATCCGGTTTAGCTCAAGGATGATCATCGATCGCTGCATCGCTGACGCCAAATTGCGACTTTCCCGCACGGAAAGATACATCGTCAGCAAACACAGGCGGTGAAGATCCGCCTCTCACCCGACGCTTATTGATCCCGCGGCATGGCTCGATAGGTCGTCTGGCCGAGATCACACGAGCCTTTGAGTAGGCCGCTGTGCTGCGCTTGTCCGCATGCGATCGGACCCACAGAGTCCACGGTCGCAAATAAAGCGCGATCGAAAAGCTGTTTCATATAAAGGATTGACTTCCGCAATCCAATCCTCGCCTCTCTCAAACTTCCATCGGAACACTTTCCTCAACCTCCTTCACCGCCGGCAACGTCGAAACCCGCCCTTCCATCTCTACACCGTCTGCATCCACATCCGCATCCTCGAGGTGCTCATCATCGTCCTGCGAGCCGACCACCTGAGCGGGATTCTTCCGCTGCGTCATCGACATGCCATCCATGCCCTTCGTGAGCTCAGGCGAGGTGATTAACGACTTGTTCGTTGGCGAAGTCGTGCTCATGCGTGCGAGTTGCAATTTGACGTCCTCGAGCTGTTTCTTGAGGAGGGCAACCTGCGCGTTCTCGCGTTGGAGTTGGCGGATGTATTCGTTTGCGGACTCGACCGTGGCGGCTTTGCTTGAGGAGCTTTTGGCGTTGTTGGAGTCGTCTCTGCGATCGTCGGCATCGTCATCGTTGTCGGCTGCATCAGCAGATGCGCCTGCAGCGATGCTTCCTTTCTTCGAGGCCGAACCTGATTGGGCAGGGGAGGAGTCGCCGCCTGTCTTGGAAGCGCTGGTGGGAGGTTTGGGAAGGAGTGATTGCATCTCGCGCAGAGCTTCGTTGATGCGATTCCGCCGGCCCTGTTCGGCGACTTTGTGTGAGGTGCGTTTGCTGGTGAGACCGGTGGAGAGGGAGTCGGGGTAGTTGACTCCGGGCAAAGTATTTCCTTCGAGTAGATTTTGGTAGTTCGATTTCGATGCCAGGAGCAAGGCGTGGGTCGGGGAATGAAGGGTGCCTGTGACAAAAGAATCAGAATTGTTTTAAAAAACCAATGAAGTCAAAGCAGTGCGATTGCAAAGCTGAGAGAAGTTTTACTGTTGACTTACTTCCTTCTGGTAACAGCGGTTTGATGCTCGGGCTAATCTTGGGCCTAAGCGCAGGAGAGACGAGGACAGAGCTTGTCCCGCCATTGACGCTACCGCTTCCACCTGCTGCAGCAATGCTCGCGACTGAACCAACACTGCTCCGTTTCTTGCTGTGGCCCCTGGCGGACTTTGTAGCATCGCCTTTCCGGTCACGGAGCAGCGCACCTGGCGTCGATGCCGTCATCGGAGACATTGTGAGTCTGGCAGATGAGGAAGGCGTGCTGGTAGGACCCAGTTTGGGCGTTTTTCGTGCTGCTGAGAGGCGCGGTGTGTTTGAGGCAGTATTAGTTCCGGCAGTTGGAGGATCGGCAGAATCAGGGGCGCCGGTGTTGCCTTTCGAGGTTGCAGTGTTGAGCTGATGGAGTACTGGTCGTCCCGATGAGGAAGAAGCGGTGGATCTACGGCCGTTGGTGAGGGTGGCAGACGTCACGGGAGCATCGACGACGGTCGCAGCGCCCGGTAGTTGGATATCAACAAAGTCTTCATCCATGGTGGCACCTCCGAATGACTCGCCAGTGTTGGCGCCAGATGCTGTGCCGCGATTCTGACCGCCATGCATCGAGAGGAACGACTTTGGAGTGGCAGCAGCCGCAGCAGCCGTAGCAGAATTGCCCGCGGAAGTTTTGGGGCTCTGATGAGGGTGTTGGTTTGCTTGCAAGGCTGGGGAGTTTGTAACACTCGTGGCAGTGCGACGCGGTGGCGGACCCATCAGCGCTTCGCTCAGGGGCTCAGGGCTGATGCTACCGCTCTCGGAACTGTCATTGCGAAACTGAGGAGGAACAGACAAGCCAGCTGAACCAGGTTGAGAGCTAGGGCCGCGAGACGGTGGCTTATAGCCCTCGGCATCAGCCACGGCAAAGGACGCGAGCATGCTCGCTGATTTTCGCTTTGAGGCCTTTTGAATGGGACTTTGCCGGACGCGAGCCAAAGGATCGGCAGTGCGAGGTGTATTGGCACGCTTTAGACGAGGCTTCTTCACTGTGGCTGCGGACTCGGAAAGCGTGATGTCGTCGCCCATCATGTCTACATCTCCGTTCAAATCATGTGGCGAAGGAGCGTTGGAGCTCACAGCCGTTCCTGCATTGTGGTATCCGTGCTGGAAATGTTGTTGCGGGTTCTGTGCGTGGAGCGCAGGCGAAGTCAGGGGAGAGAAGTAGGCACCTGGGTTGATAGTGTAGTCTGGGACAGCGAACTGAGAAGGCGTTCCAGCCGGTGAGACCATCGGTGTGTATGCAATGTCTTCTTTTCGCAATTGGTATCTCTGTTCCAGGATAGCGCGCTGCTGAGGGTCCAAAGGCGGTAAAGGCTGTGCTTGTTGCGACTGATGTTGCCGCTGCAGAAGAAATCGACCTGCCTCGCCATGCATTTCGAAGCTATTTGGGGTCGGCGGGATCTGTTGATTCGAGGAATAGCCAGATTGTGCTGAAAATTGAAAAGGCTGACTTGTACCGTATCCTTGCTGCTGCTGCTGCTGTTGCTGCTGTTGTTGCTGTTGATGCTGTTGTTGCATAGCAGCCTGATATAAATCGGCGGTGTACGGCATTCGATTTGACGCCTGGCTACCGAAAGCGTGATGCTGAAATTGTTCCGGCGTAGCAAAATCCTTTGCTGATGTCGCCGACATGGCCTGCATCTCGTTCATCTCTTCAAAAGGTGTGCTAGGGTGCGCGCCCGCGATTTGATTGGCGTCAGAATAATGCGTCGAACCCACGTTTGGCAATCCATTCAAGTCCAGATCGGTGAACTCGAAGAAGTCGCCCAGCTCGTCCATATTATTAAGCGGCGGCATGGAGTCCACCTGGTCCGGTGGTCGTGTCCAGGACATGGTCGCGGCCCGGTTCATATGTAGGAAAGATGGCTAGTGGGACTCGATGTCGCGGTGAGGTGGGGCTTAGGCCAGCGGCGAGGTGAGGTGAAGTGATGTCGGAGATTGCGCTCCGTCGCGCAAGCAAGATTGAGCGCCTTGCCGATGGCGAGGCAGGGCCGCTCGCGACGAGGCGATTATGGTGTGTTTAAGCGACCGAGGAGTTGCGGTCCGGGATGTGAATCAGACAAACAGGGCTTTCCGCGACACCTCGGGTGTCTCGGACAAGGCAAGCCGGTGCGGAACAACTGACGCAGCAGGCGCGACAATGGCAAGAAGATCCAAGTATCGTTCAAAGCAACCTCATTCGACGATGATTCGCGAAGGTGTCCACCCTTGATAGGACGGAAACGACTCCGGGTTCCGTAGGAGTTTCGCGATGCGCCCAGAGGTCGGGTGGTACAGCGGGGAAAGGAAAGCGACAGGAGTGAGCGCGCGTGCGCGTTCGGGTCGAGCGGGTGACAGTACCGTGATAGACGACGATTCCCAACTGATAGCAGATGTTCGGATAATATTAGAGGGAAAGAGTCACAGCACAGGAGGAAAACAATCGGGAGTCGCACTGAGGTGAGGTGAGGTGTGCGAGGTGGTCGTTCAACTACCGGCCGGTGAAATCCCCACCAACCTGAGAAAGAGGCACGGGAGAGTGCGATGGGATTAATTCCTTCAGGTAAAAAGTGCTGCTATTCTGTGGGCGACGAGCTAAGAAAAAGCCTCTGATGAACTGCTGGCGGTAGGCTTTTCTCTCCTTCACCACACTAATGGGCATACTAGTCCTTTACCATCTGGTCATTCGCACGAACATATAGTGTTTCTGCCTTTCCAGCTGTTACACTTTCGCCAATCTCCAGCGATTCAGCATGGTAGAAATGTCGAGTATGAGCAACATGGATATGATGATAGCAGACGCCGACCCCGAAAGCCTATCTGCATCATATCATGCAGGCAGGCAGAGATACCAGAAAGAGGTATTGCAAGGATTCGCTCGCCTTTGAGGTGGAAAAACCGGCGGGCGGGTCCCAAACGGGCTACCAACTTCGACCAGCCAGTCCAACGACGATAATCCCGCTATTCTTCGGGTAATCCTCTCGCTCTATTCTGGAGTCATTCATAAAACCAGGTCACGGGCTATTGCCGACCGCCGCCAACCTTGGAATACATGAATCTATTAGCCATTGTGGTATTATTAGCACGCGATGTGTTTTCCAAGACTCTCGCCGTCACCGAGTCGCCTTACTCCTCCACCGCCTGATGAGCTTGACGGGAGACTAACATGAATATGAATTCAAAAAGTCAAGACACCTCTGCGAGAGTGCTGGAGCCCGGCAGGAAAGCGAAATCCAGTTAGCAAGACGATTGAGGCGGACAATTTTTGGGGGGGGGGGCGGCTTGATTGCACAAGCACTCAACCGGTGGTGACGGAAGCCCAGAGTGAAGATTGCTGCGCGATCGAGTCTGAACATCCTTAACAGACTCCTTGTCAGTATAACAACCCATGCTCACACATCCATTGGCGGCCTGCATGACATCCTGCATCACACATGGGTTGTTGTGGACCTCTTCCCCCAGCATTATCATAATGGTTATCGCACTTCGGGGGCCCTTCGGAATCGCTAATTGTCATCCGGATCCAGACAAGATGTGCGGTGGACATCCACCTGCCGTATCACGCACTGTGATCAGAATCAGTGTCGCGCGACGATCTACCCTATTGGTACTGCTGCTGCTGTGACCCTCTTCTCGTTCACCCTGTAGGATCATACGAGCTCCCTTTCCATTCTTTTGGCCCGTTCCATGTTCGCACTGGCGGCCATGCTGTAGGCGGCGCCAGCGCCACGTCAGGCGGGCTAAGAGGTGCGAGTGAGATCCAATGATGAACAATTAGGTCATTAGATCGAGAATTTTTTCGCGATCCGTCGCGTGCGAGTGCGATGCGCTTTATTGACACCCGCGCCCAGTCGCTGGTAACTTTGAAAGAGAGAGCAGCGAGAATGGGAGAGAGTGTGTTGGCGGGCGAGCCAGGGCGACAAAGCGTGGGGGTAGCTTGGGACGGGTGATCGATGTGGGACCTGGCGAAGGCTCGCCCGATTTTGGTCCTGTCCCTCTCTTCTTTCCACCGTTTGTTGCGCAATCTCATCGATCTAGACTGTTGTTCGCCATCACTATCGATATGTCATGAACGTTTTTCTTTATTTTATTGTGCGTCATGACGCTGCTGCTTCACCTTGATTTGAACTACTCGGTATCAAACATCCCGAGAGAACAAATAGAGCGGAAGACCAACCGAGAGTCAAACGGGACACTACAGGACCAGCGCGGTTCGTTGACCAATCCAGCGTCCTCTGTATTGAAAGCTAGAATGATGCGGCACTAGTCGGGACGCACTGTCCAATCTCACTGACCAATGTTGCGTAAACTTTACCCACAGCCCTGGACGCTACGTGAAGGAGTCGGAACCTCATCTCACTCACGCTCACTTTTTCGCTTTGATGTTCAGAGGCCGGGGCGAACCCCACTGCATCTGTGGCGGCCCCAGCCAGCGGCAGGAAGTTTTGTACCTGTTATGACCGACCAGCTCGGCGGCACCTTCAATCATTTCGAGTTGAATGGTCATGCGAGAAATCCTTCTCGACCGGCTCCTTTGAGGATTCGAGGAGCATGATCAAATCGTCCCAGGTTTGTTGTTGTTACATAGACTAGCCTTCGACAAACTCTCACCGACCAAAGCCGCCCTCTACGACGACGGATCCGGTCTTTCTCAGCTATCCAGGGAGGTTCACTTTCCCACGCCTTCAGGCTCTGACCTAGCAGAGGAGGAAAAAGCAGCTCGCGTGAGCACTTTCTTGCCGTCCTGCATGGAGCATGAACCTCCCAAAACGACGTCCGATTTGGGTAGTATAACCGAAGGGTGGCGGCAGAGAAAGAGCGCCTTGTATATCCGCTCCTCTGCTCGAAAAACATTATGTAACGTCTCGAAGATCACGCCTTCGAACGACGACGATGGCGGGCAGCCATGGCCCTTCTAGAATTGTGGCGTAAAATACTGGCGTCGTGTGTGGAACCTCCGACTCGACTCTGGGCATCACCATTTCTCGAGTTGAGAAGCCAGCAGAAAAGCCACCGGTTGCAATTGATCTTTTCGTGGAGGTCCTCGGTCGGCGCAGCTGGAAGGGGAAACGTCGGTGGCGTCACAGCTGCATGGGCTACACATGGAGCTCCTTCTGTGGGTAAGGTTTGGAGTGCTCCGATGCCTCTCTCTTTTTTGGTGATGGGAATGTACATGTACCCATGTGCATCGGAGCTGGCCCCAAATGATGGATGCCGGAGGGGATAGATTGGACGTAACCCTAAGCATTGAAGTCCCCGGCCGCCTGTGTGCTTTTGACCAACATCACGAGTTGGTGTCACCCGTGGACTGCTTGCATTGCGCTTGTCACTTGTGATTTCTTGACCGATTTATCGGGGCAACCAAAGAACAATCGTTATTGGTTGGACGCTGCACACATATCAGAGGCTCTGATCGTGAGGGTGTTCATTTCATGGTATATCCCATTGTGACAACGCAGTGAGACAACCATTGATCTCTCGCCGGTGACATACCCTCAACCCATGATATTCCTCAGCCAAGACCGGTCGGAGGATCCTCCAGCTCCCTTGTCGTTTATCGAACTCCCTAGGTATATCTATAACGCCCCAATGCGAGGCGAATACCCTCTGGTCCAGTGTACCTCCTGATTGCTAAGTATTTAAGATGGGTTGTCCATCTCTCATCGCCATTGTGCAGGAATGTACAATCGCTCCCCGTAGAGGTTCGCATTTGCCGGCGATATTATGAAAAGAAGCATGTGGAGATGCCGCGAGAGTACCATCGCCTTGACGAAAATGCAATTTGATTTCGTGAATATGCTTTAAGAACTATCCTCAGTGCGTCAATAATTACTCAGTGATGATCTATACAAACTGGTGCTGCCGGAAAGCGAAACTCCAATTTCGAGCGCCAGACGCAAACCTCAATTAATTTGTGTCCGTTTCACCTGCTGAGACGATGGTTTATGTATGCCGGATCGGCAATACATAGGTGAAAAGTAAATAAGCGAGATTCACTGGTATTAGGAGGCGTTGGTTTCAAACATCGAGGAGGGGCTTTTGCTACGAGGACTCTTTCATCGGACGCGTGGGCCCGTCATTGCCACCAGTGCTGTGATGGAGACAGTATTACTCTCGCCTCGATGAAAGTCAACCATGCTCACCGGAATATGCCTGTGCCTGGGTTTGAGGTTAAGGTCATCTCAAAGTACAGTAAGTGGTCGCGAAATCGATCCCTCTAGAGAAAAAGGAGATGAGAGAGTGGAGTTCGAAGTGTCCTTGTGAGCGACACAATGGATAAGATGTTCTCTCATAATAAGACTGCGAATTGAAGATTGGAATTGTAGATTTTCTCGCAAGATTTCACCCTACGAATTCCCGATCCTGTCGCCCGCAGAATTCTCCTGTGATGAAACGGTATCTCGATGGGGAGTAGGTGGATCGGTAAATTCGTAGCCGCTCATATCACGGACCAAGCTCCGATCAAAGGACCTGGTCGAGTAGTGTCACGTATCGCCTTCACGGACTGACGCGGACACACGCCCAATCGCACGAAGACGTGCGGGGTCTCGGGCACAGGATGATAGAGAGAGCAGGAAAGCCGTTGTGACTTCCAGAGGGAAAATTCTCGGCACAGGAACAGTGATCGGGGTTTTCTGTACGAGCTTGCAATTCTGACAAGGAAATCCAGCAAGCATTATACCTGGGTAGTCCTCATGTGAACGAGCAGCAGGATCACATATGGGTGATGAGTCTTGAACCCTGCGTTCCGCACCTTGGAGCATGCACCACTATTCGAGGCACGTGATGGAAAGGAGACCAGCCAGAGGAATATGCAGGTGTGAGACATCGAACAGAGAGCTGAGACATCCCGGCAACGGTTCGAGCATTTGTGGAGAAAGAGAGAGAGAACAAGGGAATGATGACGCCATTTGGCATGCATTTCTTGATGACCTCGGGAGGGCTTTTGGTCGCTGATGATCATCGCCATTATTGACTATGTGGTTGAGGATTGACGTGAATCAGAGCAGCTACAAGGGCGAAGAAATGTACGCGGTTTCCTGGAGCTTGCGAGAAACCTAGAGGTCACACGGATGAAAGCGCTCCTCGATTGCGGATGCCTTGGCTTTCCGTGGTGCGTGGTCTATAGATATTAGATGGATAACCTGCGCCGCGTGGTGGGACATCACAGCTGGAAAAATATGAAATGCGAGGTTGATTATGCGAATGTTTGGCTTTCCTTTTTCTAGCGAAATTCAGCTCGAATATGGACATGACAGAAAAACAATAAATTTATTCATACATCGCTGCTGAGTTTCTCCTTTCCTCCTCGAGGGAAGAAAAAGTCTCGAAGCAGCGGATCCGTCCTTGATTTTTGCGCCCTCGTGTGGACACAGTGACTTTGGTGCTCAGACAATTGGTCGCCTGGCGGCGGTGATGGTGATGATGGAGGTGATTTTGCTGGTGATGGCGTTGTTGATGATGTTGATGCTTGTGAAATAGGAAAGGGACGCGAGAGAGTGAGTCTTGCTGGGTATTTCGCGATGGAAACAGAGTGAGAACGCGAGGCTGTGGGCCAGTATGTGGGTGCCTCATTTAGGTGGTCGAAGGATCTGCAAGTGGTTGCCGTCGCCCCAGGGCATGCCCCTTGCAGTGAGATGCCGAGCGAGGGCGATTAAGGTGACAGGATCCGCTGCCCAAGATCAATGTTGCGATTTCGTAAAAGTTTCTTCTTGCCGTGGAAAAAGAAAGCCCCACTCCAGTTGAACGCCGCTGTTTGAGGATGTCATGTCCCGCTTGACGGAAAAGGAAATAAAAGCAAGAGTTGAAGCCGAGGACGTGGGTGTGGCATTGGGCGGGTTGATTTTACATGAGCGTGCAGCAGGAATTTGATGGTTGAGGCGCGTATGGATCTTCGCGCTTGTCAATCTAACACAACGGACGCAAAATTAGCAACCGATATCGACAAAGCCGTCAGCAGTTCCTCGGCCAGGAGCATCTCCCACTTACTGTGCCCCAGCGACTGGGAATCATGTAGTCTCTGGGTTCGCGATCCGTGAAGGCAATAAGGCTGTAGCGCGACATGTCAGCATGTGAATTGGAGCAACAACACATTCGTCACCTGCGCGACACAATCGACCGCATCCATGGCCTCTCCAATGGCGTCGCGCAACAACTTGTTTGGCATGAGAAAGACGTACTCGACAGCAGCTTCTGACACGGGTATCCTCCTCCGGTTCAGATCCTCTTGCAGTCGTTGATTCAACTCGGTCAACCGTCGAAGCTTCAATTCGGCCATGGATTGTTTTCGGGAACGACCGTTGTCGTTGGTGCGGATTTCATACGGCGCAGCAGACATGATGGCGGCCGAGGAGGAGGCGGTATTGAAGCGCTGTTCCGCCCGACGCGAGGCAAGTCGTTCAGGCGAGTCGTCGAGGGTGATGTGAATGCGAGGGTTCTGTTGTGGTGGTGGTTGAAGAGGCAGAGGCGGTGGGAGCGAACTCCTCTGCGGCGCAGTCGTGGACCGTATGGTGAATGGGCAATGCGAATTGCGAAAAGAGGTCTCTGATGATCGGCGGGAGGGAAGGGAGCGAGCGAGCGAAGCGTGAGTAGTTCAGAATGAGCCGTGCACCGATCGCGCGCCCGAAAGCTTTCTCAAACAGCAATGTCTCGTCGGCACAGGCGGAAGTGATGCGACGGGATGCGGATGCGGATGCGATTGATCCAGCTGTTCATACGCGATGAAGACGATGTGATTGCGACGCGCGAGGAGGATGTTGACAGGATTGGACGAATGGTAGAGACTGATGATGGTGTTGGTGATGTTGCGTATGTATTATTATTCCTCGCTGTCTGTCTGCTCCACAAAGCTGGGAAGGTCCAAAGCGTCCTTCCTTTCAGCGGACGGATGCTCGGGACGGGGCTTTTTCCTCGCTTGTGCAATGGTGCGAGGAAGGGATTATTGGACGATATGGTTTAGCACAGTATCCAGTTGCACAGTATAAAGATAGCAACCCATTCAATGATACCCAGGTGGAATCCGAATGCAGGTGGGTGAAACGGAAACGGCCCCCCTACTACTGTACAATTTAATCATATAAGATATAGTATAGTATGGACTACATACGAATTCCGGTGCAGTAGTAGAGGGCAAGCAAGGGTGCGCCCGGGCCCCAGCTGCTCCCACAATTTACAGCACGCCCGGTGTTGTATCGATTCGTGGAGGTGGCCTTTGTCTGACCGCGGGATCAAGAATAGGCCGCCGAATGCTTTATTCGGTAGGTATCCTTATGAGGAGGGAACGCAACAGAGTTGGGGCCTGTGCGGACGGGCATCCTTGGACGCTGCAAGCGGGAAGCGGGCGGATTGCTCGAGCGTCACGTGAAAGCGATCTCTCTTCACTCTTGTCTCGCTTTGCCAAGCCTCTGGCACCACTCCCCGCTTCCCGCCGAAAATCCAACGTTGACGCATATCTGAAGACGGGAATCGTGTGAAGACGCAGTGGCATCGACCGCGTCAGTGACTGCATCCAGGCCATCGCAATTGGCCTTTACCCATACCGATACGAAAATTCAACACAACCGTCCACCTTGGTCGAGAATAGCATAAACACATCAATACAAAGGCGAGAGGCCAAGACCTCATAGGTCCATATAATCATGCCTCCACCACTTCCCAACACCAACGCCCTGCGCAGGGCCAACGAACTCATCGATGTCGGCCAAAAGCAAGCGGCTCACGCCGTATTGCTTGAGACGGTCACCAGCAAGCGCACGAGAAATACCACCATTGCTGTACTGGAGCCGGTGATGCTCCTGTTCGTTCAACTTTCCGTCGAACTTCGCAAGGGCAAGGCCGCCAAGGATGGTCTCTACAACTATAAGAACACTAGCCAGAACACAAATGTCGCCACAATCGAGCTGGTGTTCCGAAAATTCATTGAGCTGGCAGAGGAGAGGGTACAGGAGGCTCAGAGCAAGGCGGATGAGGTGTCAGCCCAGGAAAGCACTACCGACTCTGGGAGCTCTTTGGTCAATGTGGGTGATTTGGAGGCCATGGAGACACCAGAGTCAATCCTGCTGTCGACGGTATCAGGCGAGCAGTCGAAGGACCGGACAGACCGCGCCATCGTTACACCATGGCTCAAGTTCTTGTGGGAAACCTACAGGACCGTTCTTGACATCTTCAAGAACAACGCCCGCCTGGAGGTCATGTACCAAACCACTGCTCACCAGGCCTTCCAGTTCTGCTTGAAGTATGCCCGCAAGACCGAGTTCCGTCGTCTCTGTGAGCTTCTGCGAAATCACTTGCAGAACGCTGCCAAGTACTCGCAACAGGTCCATGCCATCAACTTGAGCGACCCAGACACGCTCCAGCGTCATCTCGACACGCGATTCATGCAGCTTAACGTTGCCGTCGAGCTCGAATTATGGCAGGAGGCGTTCAAAAGTGTCGAGGATATCCACACTCTTCTCAGCCTCTCAAGAAGATCCCCCAAGAACTCGATGATGGCCAACTACTACGAGAAGCTTACCCGAATCTTCCTCGTCAGCGAGAACTACCTCTTCCACGCTGCAGCCTGGAGCCGATACTACAATCTCCTCACGCTTTCCGCTCGCCAGGTCGCTGTAGGCGCCTCCAAGAAAGACAACCCGGCCAATATTGGCGATGCCGATCTCTCCAAGGCTGCTTCTTTCGTGCTGCTCTCAGCTCTGTCGATCCCTGTTATCAGCACCTCGAGATCTCGTGGTGCCCTGATGGATGCAGACACTGCCCGCAGCAACAAGAACCAGCGTCTCACAAACTTGCTTGGCATGAATAGCCCACCAAGCCGAAGCATTCTCTTCAAGGATGCCCTCAACAAGGATATTCTGCAGCGTGCACGACCAGAAATCCGCGATCTTTACAACATCCTCGAGTCCGATTTCCACCCCAAATCGATCTGCACCAAAGTTTCACCGATTCTTGCTCAAATTGGCGCTGATGAGGAGATGAAGAAGTACGTCCTGCCACTTCAGCAGGTCATTCTCACCCGTCTCTTCCAACAGCTATCTCAAGTCTACACCGACGTCAAACTCGGAGAAGTTCTCAACCTCGCACAATTCCCTGACCCATTCCAAGTTTCAGCCGCGACCATCGAGAAGTTCATCATGAATGGTTGCAAGAAGGGTGACCTGTCCATCCGTATCGACCATTCCACTGGTATCCTGACTTTTGACTCTGATGTTTTCTCCTCTGCAAAGGATCTGCACGCTGGGTCCGCTGCCGGCTCTGCCGAGTCAGACGCAGGATCTGTACAGCGTCTGCAGAGCACTCCTGCCGAGATTGTGCGTTCTCAAATTTCCCGTTTGGCGAAGGCGTTGTACGTTGCTGCACAATACGTTGACCCGTCGTTCAACGAGGAGCGTCAAAAAGCCAAGGTTGCTGCACTCAAGCGAGCCGAGGCTGGCGCTGCTGAAGAGCACACTCAAATGATCGCTCGTCGCGACATCATCCAGAAACGCAAGGAGACGCTCGTTAATAATCAGCTCGCACGGCAACGTGAAGAGGAGACTAGGAAGAAACTTAAGCAGCAGGAGATGCTTGCTGCCGAGACTGAACGTCTCGCACAAGAAACGAAGGACCGTGAGGCGAAACGATTGGAAGCCGAGAGAAAGAAAATCCAACGTGAAGAGGCCGAGAGGCAGTTGGAAGAGCTCAAGAAGGGCGTCAAGGGTGTCGATATCTCTGGACTTGACATTGACGATCTCGACACCAGCCGAATTCGTATGCTCAAGCTACAGGCTTTGGAACGTGAGAAGAACGAAATTGGCGAGAAGCTGAGGATTGCTGGCAAGCGAATCGATCATCTCGAGCGAGCTTACCGAAAGGAAGAGGTCAAGCATTTGGCCGAAGATTATGAAGCTCAACGGGGGCGCGATCTCAAGGCGTACGAGGACAGCAAATCCGAAACGCTAGAGACAGCCGCACGAAAGCACAAGGAGGATGTGGCACTCAAGCATCGTCTCAGCCGACTGGTCACCCCCTACGAAGCGTTCAAGCAGGACATTACTCAACAGCGTCACGCTGACTTTGAGAAGCGACGCAAGGCCGCCGAGCGTGAGCTCAGCCAGAAGATGGAGCAACGACGCAAGGACGTACGCGAGCAAAGAGCTGCTGCCAAGCGTCAACGTGAGGAGGAGGAACGTGCTCGTGCCGAGGAGGAAGAACGACAGCGCATTGAGGAGGAGGAAGCCGCTCGGGCGGCTGAGGAGAAGCGGATCAAGGACGCCGAAGCCAAGGCCGAAGCCGAGAAGCGCCGTCAAGAGCGACAGGAGGCCGCACGGAAGCAACTTGAACGTGAGGAAGAAGCCGAACGCAAAGCACGAGAGCGAAAGCTGGGTGGTCGCGCGCCCGAACGTGCCCCGGAACGACCTACATTTGAACGTCGCGCTGACGCCGCCCCAGCTGCGCCCGCTGCTGAGGAAGAACGCCCACGCCGTCTGCAGCTTGCTGGTAACACCGGTAAGCCCACCTGGCGTGAGCGTGAAGCCGCAAAAGCCTCTGGTCAGACTTTGCCTGGATCCGAAAGCGAGGCACCATCACGCCCATCCGCTCCCCCTGCTGAACCTAGCGCCGCTCCACCAGCCACCACCGCTGCAGCACCCGCTCCGGCTACACGCGGAGGCTACGTGCCACCGCACCTCCGTGGCAAGCAAGCCGAGGGGGACGCTCCACCACCCGCTCCTGCCGCCGCGTCTGCAGCTTCAACAGAGAAATGGCAACCTCGTCGTCGCCCCGAGGGCGAGACGGCAGATGCACCTGCGCCTTCCGGTGGTGCGTACCGCCCGCCCGCTGCTAGCGGTGGAGCGTACCGACCTCCTGGACGTCGATAAATGGATACATGTGTTTGAGGGGTTGTCCACGTTTGGCACGGTGAATGGTTTGTTGCTGTTTGTTCAAAGAAAGACTACATCGTCTGAAGGTAGAGAGGTTCTGAGGCCTATGGGTCTTAGTATGCAGGGAAGACGTGGCTTCATCACGCAACATGAGAAAAATGAAAAGACTTTCCGATCCTATTGTCATTTGCCCCTTTCAGGCGTAGTCGTCTGTCCAGGTGCTTCTGTCTGTGGTGAACTTTCGGCCATCTGCTTGCCTTGGTGATGACAAGACGGGATGTTCTGCCTACATGAATTTGCCGCTGATCCACACTTTCGCACGTGCCTACCATCTCTCGAAGCAACCTTGTAATGCCCATCAATTCGATCTATCTCATCAGTCGGCCAGAGTAGGAGGAACCATGTGATGCACCAGATATCAGGATGATGTGATGTTGAATCGATGGCGCGGATATTCACATCCTCATGTGATGTGGTCAGTTTCCATCGTTTCGTCCACGGTCCACCCGTCTTGCCCGCGTGAGAACTGACTCATTTCATAAGCGCGGGGTGAAGGATGAATGGTGGGAAGCGAGAAATGGACGGGACGAAATGCAACGGAACAGGTGTGCTTGACGACCGATGATGATGCTGATTGCGGCGGATTGCGACGCGCGCGCGTGCCCCTCTCTCGTCCTCTTCTGGCTCTCTCGCGAGTCTCGTCTTCGCCGTCTCCCTCAGACAGACACCGCTGTGGAGGCTGCCACGAGCTCATGTGTGTACTGATGATAGATTCATCTGATCTCTGAATTGAAGTGGCAATCGTGCGGGTGATATTGTGAATATGACCGGCAGAATCTCATCGACTGTTGATCTGTTTACGGCCCGGCTATCTGTGTACGGCCCAGCAGGCTGCGGATTGAGGGAAGCTCTCCTCACAGCTGATCCGAATGTACTTACTTATGACCCAATTGCGAAGGGGTCGGCATGGGTGGAGATACACTGATATCATGACCAAGAATTTCCCTCCCTACCTGCGTATTAAATGCTAATTCGTTATCATCATATGTCCTGCAGCCAACAAGTCCGTCAATTCACTTCTGCCGGACCATTGCGCTGTAGAACGCTTGTAGGGTGGGTAGGTACACTGCAGACCTCCACGGACCACTGTCGTCTTACTTCGCCTGCAACTACTCCTCCCTCTCTCTTCTTCCGTTCCTTTCTCTACGACCATCGACCTGACATATCACCACCTTATAGACGTCGGAAAGCTGTATCGTGCCTGGGAAAGGCGCCAAACTCCAGTCAACTAACACCAGCATCGAGCTTCAGTCCCTCCTTCGCCAGACCCTGGCCCGCCGGCGTTACTACTATTACCGACGTGTTACTCGCCGAGCTGACGACGAGCTTGCGAACACGACAACACGCGCCGAACGGGCATCGTCGAACGCCTGGCCATTCGAGGATACGACTGATCGCGCGACGTAAGAGACGTTACATCGCTTCTTGAGTCCCGAATAGTGTCACACCTCTATCCGCGGTTCACCACCCCAGATCTCAACGGGTCTACACTGGTGATCTCCACTGCAGTCTGCTCCTCGTCGTTCATTCGTCGAGGAGAGTCTGCGTCTTCTGCGCCTTTTCGAGATCGTTACAAGCACGCCTCCTATGCCCTCTAATAACGACAGCGAACCCCTGGACGAGAACCATCCCGATCAAGCCGTTTTGATTGATCCTTCCCCGCCATCTCAGGCCGACCCTTGGGCGTCTCTCGCCGCAGCAGCATCCAAGAAAAAGAAGAAAAAGGGCAAGGACAAAAAGAATGGCTCGGCGGCGACGCCAGCAGGAGACACACCTCCTCTCCCTACAGCAAATGCTGTGAATGACAAGGTGGAACCCGGGGAGGATATTTTTCAGCCTACAATTGCCCCGTCTCCGCCGACACCACCAGTGGACAATGGCGTACGTGTGGATGTGACTTCGCCTATGTTGTTACCGGAAGTGGACAGGCGTGATCACCTTCCTACGAAACCGTCGCCAATACCTTCGGCAACGTTGACATACTTGGACGATGAGATCGATGCATATGTTGAGGAGGATCTGCTTGGACCAGCAGAGCCGGTGGCAAAAGATTCACCCGTCTCCTCGCCAGCTCTTCGTTCACCACGTCTCGCCGTAGCGAAGCCCGAACCGCCAAACTCACCCTCGCTCGTAGTCCGCTCGCCAAATATCTCGGCAGCCTCTCGAGAGCGTCAGAAAAGTCCTCCGGTACAGAGGCCGGTTTCGATAGGCAATGCTCCATCGACCACCCAAGCGCCAGGGCTGCGAACAGACACAGGCTCGAAGCCGTCCACGTCACCGCACCTCCCTCGTTTCGTTGAGCCTCCTCCACCACACATGCCCCAAGCGCATTTCTGGGGATTGCCTGATCTGGGATTGAATCTGAAACCTCCTGCAGAAGCTGGGAGACCTGCAGGGTCGGATGGATATTGTTGTAGTCTCGATACTTTCACCGACGCGGGAGATGACGTCTCAGCACGAAAGGCAAAAGACGCGATCCTGGTGGGATCCGAAGGTGGTTTAGAAGTGTTTCGCATTCTCCCGAACAAGTTGGAAGTCGTCGGGCGTCTTGAGGGATTGCGAGGATCGGTCATGGCTGCAAAGATCCTTCCTCACACGAACAAATTTGATGTCTTGCAGTCACTTCGTCCTTTGGTGGCAGTGGTGGTTCACGGACTTGAGACGCGAGAACGGTCAGACTCGGTACGGCGAGGGAGCATGGACAGAGGGGACCGATATCAGACAACTGTGGAGGTATATTCTCTACAGTCGCAGCAGCACATCGCTTCGTTGTACAAGAGCGCCACGGTCTCTGCAGAAGTCGGTCGGAATGTCACAGTACCCATTGGCGAGTTGAGTATCAACGCTGAAGGGTCTTTCGTCACGGTTGCGTCCGGCCGAAGCGGCGAAGTATTTGTCTTCACATCAGCACCGCACTTGTCGACCAGAGAAGTGTCATTCCGGTGCGTCGGAAAGTTTTGGACTGCGCTGCAACGGACATCTTCATCTGCGCCGCGACCCACAAATGACAGCATTGCGGGAGCGACAGAAGCACAAGAGGCCCCGCAAAAGCCTTTGTTCAGCTTGAGCTCCCGATGGTTAGCTGTGATGCCGCCTCAATTCTCGAGCATCTCTATCTCTGGAACACCTTTGCTTCTTGCCTCGAGCACTGCTCCACCCGGTGTAGCCACGCATGTCGCTCCGCCACAACCATTGGTCTCATGTGAAGTGGTAGGAACGGACATAGAGGGCACATGGAGTCGCCTCGGTCGACAGGCCGCTCAAGGTCTAGTCAAGTACTCTCAAAAAGGCATTGAAATGAGTTGGCAAGGCTGGAAAGAACTCACCCATCCGACACCACCGGGCCAGGCTAATCATCAGCGCATCTCCAGCAAAGAAGAGCTATTTCCGCCTACAAAAGGTCCGTCAGAGGATCTCGCTCGTCTTGCCAAGGAACCTGCACTGGTTTCAATCATTGATCTGCAAAGTTTGCTCGAATGGGAAGATGTGAAGCCGAAATATACACCAGCACCGGTCGCTACATTTGCACTCGTCGAGGGCTGTAGTTTCATCTCGCTGTCTGCCACAGGAATCCGGTTAGTGACATCTAGTCGCAAAGGCGAGGTGTCAACCATCTGGGACCTCACGCAAGTGGCGCACGGCGTGCCTAAGCAAGTCTCGTCACGTAGAGGTGGACACGATCTCGATGAAGACGACTCCGGAAGTGGGCCATGCATCAGACAAATACACCGCATCGTGCGAAACAGTCCTTCTACGATTCTCGAATGTGCTTGGGCCGTGGACGACGATGCCCTTGCGTTACTGACTGCCAATGGAACTGTACACCTGCACGAGGTCCCTTCTGCGTTTCTTTCTAGCGCTCGCAAACGTAAACGCCGTCATGCTTCTTCGTCGATATCTACGGTCGGTGCATCGAATCCCGAGAAGGCAAATGCTACAGTCGGCTTGATCGCGGCAGGCTCGCCTCCTAGTAGCGGCGGGAATTATGCCAGCACTCAAGGCTTCCTCAGCACTTTGAAGTCGGGTTGGCAGTCCGTCAGCACACAAGTTTCATCTTTACGTGAGAACGCCAGCAATGCAAATGCGCCAACCACACCGGCATCAACAACGTCTACTCCCTCTGGAGGAAACCCGGGCAGTGCGGGCGGTCCGGCTTTCCTTGGTGGTGTCCTTCCTACGTCCTTCGCGGGCATCCGTGACGCCACGGCCGCTGCTGGAAATCTCGGCTCGCGTGCCGTCGCTCGAGGTCTTAGCCAGGGTTTCACTGCAGCCAAGGGCGGTGCAAGCGACTACTGGCATGCCGACGACAACAAGATCCGCGTCGCACTCAACACTGCTCCACAGAACATCTCTAGCTCCGTCTCTGCCGTCGCAATCAATGCAGGCAATAGCAAAACTCTTGCACTACCTTCGACCCTAGAAGCACTCGCCGCAGCTACAACAGCAATTGCAAATCCTCATCGCATACGTTGGATCAGACATCGTCCGAATTCCTCTTCTGCGGCGGCCGCTGCTGCCTCGGCGTTGGACATTGTCATCATCGCAGCAGGAGGCGTCGTGCAAGTTCACCCCGTCTCGAAGGTCGTTCGACGCAAGGGTGACGAATTCATACGTGGCCTGAAGCACGAGCGTTTCTCCCGCAAGGCTTTCACCCTTGCACCGATTGCCACACGATTAAGTCAAAGTGGGAAGATTTCCAATGGTCCCTCGTCCGACAAAGACACCTGCGCTGAACTCGGCCCACATGGCTTCTGGTCACTTCGCCGTAGTCCCACCGGCACTCCCACAAATCCCGCTTTGGGAGTTATCCCACCTTCTCACCGTCACTTCAACAATTCACACTATGCCGCAAATGACGTCGAAACCAACCCCCCTTACTGTCCCTTCCATGTCGATCCGCGTGTCGCGGTATTCGCCTTTGATGAATCTCCTGGCGGTGGCAACAGCCAGTACGGCGCTCGAAATCCTGCAGCTAACACTCCGGGCGCGTGGGAGATTTTCCGTAGCGCAGGCTATGCAGATCACGAGCAGCAGTATGTAGCCCCACGCGGCAGAGGCCGAGCAACAGTAGACACCAGCTCCGGCCCTCGACCCTGGATTTTCGGTGGCCCATTGCCAAATGCCGTGCGTTTGAACGATCGCGCAGGTTTCCTCGAGGACGATGGGGCAGGTGAGTTCGATTTCGACTCTGGGACAGGCGTCGGCGATGAGACCGGCTTTGAAGACTTTCTCTCGCCTGGCGGTGGTGGCCTGGACGCCCAGCGTCCACGCCAGCGCAGCAACATCACGGGAGGGAAAGGCGGATACCGCGACTTTGATGATGTCGACGAAAAGGACGAGAACGACCTCGAGGACCTTGATGATGTCGACGGCGACCCTGACGGAGCCTTTGCAAGTCAAATCGAAAGCCGTCTCATCATCTCATCGTCCCGCCCAAATCTCAATTCATCCGACCAGCAGCAGCAGCAGCCGCAGCATTATCATCCATCCTCAGCCCCCGGCGGTGGGAGCTCTGGAATCCGCAAATCCAACATCGGCAGTCGCCGAGGCGGGACCCTCGACCTCCTCTCCTCCGCCTCCGCCTCCGCAAGCAACAACAACCTCATGCTCCTCGATGACGCTGGGGCGGCGGAGCAATCAAAGGAAATACCCGGGGCGGTCGTCGAGGATGAGATTCGTATCAATACGAGGAGGAAACCTGCAGGTGCAGGCAGGAACCGGAACGCACAGCGACAGTCCCAACCGGGAATTCCGGGTGGGACGCTGAATGCTATTGTTAGAGCTAGAGCCGGTGCGGGCGCTGCTGGTGCTGGTACTGAGGGTGGAGGGAGGAAGTCGAAGGCTTGAATTGGGCCCCTTTTGGTTGGTGTTTCGGTTGGCATTTTTGGCGGGGGGTTGGGAAATACTCGTTCTCTTTCTTTTCGGTTTCGCCATTGTGAACATTCAAGAGGGGGGAGGGAAGGGAAATTTGGATTTCTGGTGTTTTTGCGAGGATGGACGGTGAGATTCTGGAATGGGAAAGGGAAGGAACCGGGGAGGATTTGGCAAAGCATAGCATTTCTCAATGGGTATCGGTTCTCCCTCGTACTTCTGTGCCTGTAGGTATGTATGTGTTTGAAGACTTTTTGTTTGGAGATCATGGCCAATTTGTGAACGGCGTGACGATCGCTTTTCTTCTCAAGAATGGATCGGAAATGGGGATGACGGTTGCATGGTGAATGATAATTATATGTTGGATGTTGGAAGAGAGGAATCGGTAGAGCCTTTGTGTCATTTAACCACGTGCATCGTCGTTTCCTCGTTTGAATGACAACTAAAGGAGAGATATACAACCCAGAAAGCCCATTGGTATTCACAAGTGAGATCGTCTGCTTTCACCTCTCGTTTGCCTCAACAGAAATCCGATAGCAGACGTGACTTCTCATGATTTGCACACGGATGGCAGCCTAGATCGCTCCAGACCATCTCCCGCCGTAATGACTTTCCACATCCATCGGTTCGGAGACGTCCACTCTAAACGTACTGCGACAACCAGCGAATACCCTCGCCGTATCCTTGCCTCATAACGACAGAGCACATGAAAATCTCGATGGGTCGGATTCCCTCAAGCGGAACCTTACCCTTACCAGCTGTTGGCGCGAAAAACGTATGGTCAGCATTTGTCAGTGCAGTCATGATTTTGCCAGATTGAATCCAACATAACAGTACTACCACTCGTCCGTCTCCTCCTCTTTGTCCTGATTTAGGAAAGAGGGCGATCTCCACTTACTCGTCTGGAAAAGTCCCAACTCATGCCTCAACTGATCCTCACTGACAGCGCTCGGGTGGTCGATTTTGTTTCCCAGGATGAGGAAGGGTGTCTTGGCGAGGTCCTCCATGCTCAACAGCGCATCGAGCTCAGCCTTGCTCTCGGCGAATCGCTCGGGGTCCTTAGCATCGACAAGAAAGACGACTCCGCTGACCTCCGGGAAATAATCCTTCCATAGTCGGCGTGCCTGTTGGTGACCGCCAAGATCGAAGGTGGTGAACCGGCAGTTTCCGACGCTCAGCTCTTCTGAAGTTGGGTGGAGAGTGGGTTGTAGGATGGCGACACGGTCGTTCTTAAGCATGTGGAGGAGCTGTCCGTTTGAAACAAATAGAAGTGGTTAGCAAGATGCAAGTGACGTGCTGAAGAATATGAAAATGGCTGCCTTCGTTGCGACCCGGTTTGTCGCAGCACGGGAAAGACGGAAATTGCATACAGTAGTTTTGCCAGCGTTGTCGAGACCGAGAAAGAGAAGTTTGGCATGCTTGTTGGCGAGGCCAAGCGAGGCCAGGATGTCCCAGACTGTAGATTCGCAAGAGGATCAGTTATGGGGCCTTTGCGCATATATGCGGTTCTACGGCAGAGAGCATTGGCGGCGCTGACGAAGAATGCCTGGCGAAGAGAAGATACATACACCAATCGAAGAAGGCCTGCATTATGTCGTTAGGTCGTGGATGAGTAAAGTTGGTAATATACAATCGTTATTGTAGGAGGAAAGAGAGCCAAAGAGCAATCGGAGCTTGTCGAATACTCACGATGGCGATAAGTCGAAGTCGCTGCGGTGGCCAGTATGAGGTCGGCATTTATGCCTGAGGCTCAAATTCATGACGGACTTCCGACATCCGTTCACGCGAGTCATGTCGCTGACGATGGTATGGAAAGCACGAGAACAGCTTCAAGAGACATCAATGAGATCTGAAGCGGCCCAGGCAGCCAGTTGATCATCTCACGTGTGATCATGATCTTATAGTTCTGTGACAATCATGGAAATATGTCCGTCTTTGTTAAACTTGACTGCATAGGTACCTGGAATCCTGACTGCCTACGGTCCATTGGCCGCGACGCAGACGCATGATATGGTGCTCCGTGATTTTGTCTCTTGTAGTGTCCCTGAGTGAGACTCCAGAACGTATGCGGGACCGGCTTGACAGAGGAAGCCCACCACGGGCAGCAAGTCACATTAGGGTAACGACAGCGGTATGCACGCATTAAATTATAGCGAACTGGATGAATACGTTGTGCATGCAGCGTCCTTCAATGCGCTCAAGCTGCTCGCGATAATTGTTGGTGTCAAAGCAGTTTTCGTGGACTACACATTCACCATCTTACGAAACCTCACGAGAAACGACGTCAACGGCCATGCTGTGTTGATCTCACTGCGACGACTCATTTGCTTCTCAAATCACATCCCGGACTGAGGTCCAAGCGACCAGCGAAATGAGCTCTCGTATGTCTGATTAAGGTTGGAGGTTTCGACAACGACACTGACACCATCCCTGCCAGTCAAGCAATTCATTCGCAATGTGCGCGCTGCAAAGACAATTGCCGACGAACGCGCGGTCGTTCACAAGGAGAGCGCCGCAATTCGAGCCAGCTTCAGGGAGGAGGGACACCATTCGGATCTGCGGTATGATGAAAGACTGGCTTAGTCGTTGGCAGTGACGCATGTTGAATATGAGGAACTGATGTCCCGGTCAGGAGGAACAATGTCGCCAAATTGCTCTACCTCTTCACTTTGGGAGAGCGGACTCACTTCGGTCAGATCGAATGTCTGAAACTACTCGCCTCACCACGATTCGCCGACAAGCGGTTGGGGTACCTAGGGACAATGCTGCTGTTGGACGAGAATCAGGAGGTCCTTACACTGGTCACAAATTCATTGAAAAAGTAAGACACGAACAGAAGAGGAAGGGAGCAAGGTCGGCTGGCTAACATTCGCAGTGATTTGAATCACAACAATCAATACATCGTCGGATTGGCGCTCTGCACGCTGGGTAATATCGCATCCGTGGAGATGTCTCGAGATTTGTTCCCAGAGGTCGAGACCATCCTCTCATCGTCTAACCCTTACATTCGTCGAAAGGCAGCGCTGTGCGCGATGCGGATATGTCGAAAGGTGCCAGATTTGCAGGAACATTTCATTGAAAAGGCGAAACTAGTCCTTCACGATCGGAATCACGGAGTGCTTTTGTCTGGTCTGACCCTAGTTATCAGCCTTTGCGAGACAGACGAGGAGGAAGGAGGCGAGAATGGCGTCGTTGAAGCATTCAGGCCACTGACAGGGAGTCTTGTCAAGCTACTGAAGGCTCTTTCGCAGTCAGGCTATGCGCCGGAACACGATGTGACTGGCATTTCTGACCCTTTCCTTCAAGTCAAAATTTTGCATCTACTTCGTGTCTTGGGACGTGGGGATGCCGAGACCAGCGAGCAGATCAACGATATCCTCACCCAAGTTGCCATGAACACGGAATCCTCCAAGAATGTTGGAAACGCAATCCTTTACGAAGCCGTGCTGACCCTGCTCGAAATTGAAGCTGAGCCTGGACTTCGTGTTCTCGGAGTCAACATCCTCGGAAAGTTCCTTTCAAATAAGGACAACAATATTCGCTATGTGGCTCTCAACACATTACTCAAGGTCGTCGCGCTCGAGCCAAATGCTGTACAACGGCATCGAAACACCATCTTAGACTGTCTCCGCGACCCTGATATCAGCATCCGACGAAGAGCGCTGGACTTGAGCTTCACCCTGATCAATGAATCCAACGTCCGCGTCCTGATCAGAGAACTACTAGCTTTCCTCGAGGTCGCCGATAACGAGTTCAAGCCAATCATGACTTCGCAAATTGGCATCGCAGCTGATCGGTTCGCGCCAAACAAGCGATGGCATGTTGATACCATGCTGCGAGTCCTGAAGCTTGCTGGAAACTATGTCAAGGAACAAATTCTATCTTCTTTCGTTCGCCTGATTGCCACGACCCCCGACCTACAAACTTACTGCTCTCAGAAGTTGTACGCCGCACTAAGAGAAGACATAAGTCAAGAGGGCCTGAATCTCGCTGGTGCATGGGTTATCGGAGAATATGGTGATGCACTTCTCCGTGGTGGCTCCTACGAGGAAGAAGAGCTCGTGACTGAAGTCAAAGAGAGTGAGATCGTCGACCTGTTCACCACCATTCTCAATTCGAGCTACGCAGGCCAGATCGTGACGGAATACATCATCACCGCTGCCATGAAACTTACGACCCGCCTACAGGATCCTGCCCAAGTTGACCGACTGCGAAGGCTACTGACGAGTCGCCAAGCTGACCTCGATGTAGAGATCCAGCAACGATCCGTCGAGTATGGAAATTTGTTCGGCTTCGATGCCATCCGTCGAGGCGTCCTCGAACGTATGCCTGCACCTGAGATCCGCGAGGAGCAACGTGTGTTGGGCGAGGCGACCAAGAAACGTCAAAGCCGTATCCTGCCTAAGAAGAAGCCTGCTCAAATTACCGAGCAGGACATGCTACTGGATCTCATGGGCGGCGGAGATGATTCGACTCCTTCTGCTCTAGGTGGTAGCGGCCTCTCTAACGGCGCATCGCAGAACAACAATGCTGATTTGCTCGCTGATATCCTCGGAGGCGGCAGCGACTCCGCCGGCCTCTCTCTCGGCAACTCTTCCTCCGCTGCCGCTGCCGCGCCTTCAAACAACAACGCCAACTCCATCCTTGATCTCTTCGGCTCCGCACCTAGTTCTGCACCACCACCACAGCAGCAGCAGCAATCTTCCGAACCCGCCCATCCAGTCTACTCCAAAAACGGGCTTACCATCACATTCAGCGTCATCCGCACGGCACAAGCGGTGCAGGTCACCGCGCGCTTCCGCAACGTTGACAACACATCTAGCATCAGCGCAGTGAACCTCCAGGCCGCCGTACCCAAGACACAGAAGTTACAGTTGCAGCCTATCAGTTCGAGCGACCTGGCTGTCAATCAGGAGGCGGTGATGCCATTGCGGGTGACGGCCGCACAGGCTGGGGTGAGTTTTCTTCTTCATTTTTCCTTGTACATTCTTCTGCCTCGCGCAATTTTCATCTTTTGTACTGACGATCATTATTTCACTTAGGCCCCACCTCCGCCGCGACTCCGTCTTCGACTCAAAATCTCCTACACCGCGGCAGCGGGACCGGTCGCGGAGCAACTCGACTGGTCGGAACCGGCTTGAGGGATGCACGTGGATGGACAAGAGTAGGCAGGCAAGCTGCAAGGTTGTTGGTACCTGAGGGCATTGTCTATGGAGGCTGTCTAGTGATGGGTCCTTCAACAGATACGCCGTTCTACAATGTATCTCGTCATTCAATGCATTGTTACAAACATGAGGTATCTCATCCTCGCATGTGAAGCGCGATGGGACACATCGCCCTCATTCTATGAATTCTCTCACACACATCAATGCAAGCCTTCCCCGGGTCAAAAATGGGGGCTTTTGGTTTTATAGTTCTCTTATCATAAGAATATCAGCATCTCTCCCCCTATCTACCACCCCGTCCTCCACCACGTCCGCCTCTTCGACCCTGTTGCTGTCGACCACCCTTCGCGCCCCACCAAGCAGGCGCCTCCCTTACAATCTTCCCATCGAGCACCAAGAGCCCATTCTCCGCATGACCCGTACGATCCTCGACCCTTGAGAACAATTCCAAAGGAACAATCCCGCCATCTCCGCCTACCTGCTCCGTAGAACCTTTTGCCTCCCCATCGTCCCCTCCTCCGCTATTCCCTGTAGTTGTTGTATTTTCACTGACCAGTTTCGCCGAAACAGCTAAGCCCTCAATCGCCGTCGTCAGATCATCCACATCAGCCGTGCCCGTGCCCGCGTCCGTGCCGGTTCCTGTACTTTGCTCCTTCGCCTCCGTCTTCGTACCCTCCTCTCCTCGCTGCGCCACGGCCACGAGCGTCTCCGCTACCGACGAGACGTTTGCCTTCTTCTCCTTCTTCGCACCGACCATCCCCGGCGAAAGAATCACCCCATTTGCACTACGGTATAACTCTAACCCCGCAGCCAGCGCGCGCGGGACATCGAGAAAGATTAGCACCGTGGAAGAATTCCTCATGCCGGAAATCACCGGCGCTGCTGATGCTGCTGCAGCGGCATTTTTTGCTGCTTTCGGGTTCTGATTCGCGGAAGACTCATCTCCCCTTTTCTCCTCCGTCACCGTCGTTGCCGTCGCCGATACAGATGTGGAGTCCGTTGAAGAAGGCTTTTGGGGTTGAAAGCCTGCTGGTAAACCACTGGCAAAATGCACGTGGTTCCGACCCATGGGTTTAAGGCCACCGGATGCCACAATCAAAGGCCAGGCGGAGTGCGTCGTGCCGTGGACGGCTATGTTGGGGATGCTTTCGGGGGCAACGCTGGGCAGGATCCGCGTGAGGAGGTCGGTGGCCGCAATGGTGCGGATGCTGTGGCCTTGGTTGGCGCGTATGAGGTAGTTGATGGGATCGTCGTCTTCTTGCTCTTGGACGGACTGAGAGGAAGGACTTCCGGCTTTTGTTGAGTTTCCACTTTCTTTCGTTTTGCCGTCATCTGTCTTCGTTGGCTGGGCTTCTTCTTTCGTCTCAACCTCGTTTTCAGCAGTCCCATCCTCATCGATCCGAATGAGTTTGAATCTTTGCTTGTCGCTCTCGGTCACGGCTTCCCGGATTTCCGCAAAAGTCACCTTCATCGATTTGAGTTTGCGGTTGTTGAGGACTTCTTGGACGTTGGCATAGCCATCGGCTCGCATGGGGAGGTTCTCGCTCTCGGCACCATGACGGAGGAGCCAGGAGAGCTTCTTGGAGATTTGAACACCGCGTGATGCTTCTCCGCCGCCGCCACGTCCGCCGCGTCCAGGGCGGTCATTTTGACGACGGTCACTGCGAGCACCGCCTTTGTGTGGACCGTCCATTGAGACGACAGGAGGGCAATGCAATGAATGATCAATCGATGGATGACAGCAAGACCGATGGGCCTACGTTGCATGCACTTATTAAGCTACGACTTGAGTCTACCTGGCGGGCTTATGATGTACACAAAGAACGAGAAAAAAGGGTCGAACAAGCACGAAGTGTTCTCCCTGTGCGGAAAAGCAGTCAATAAATCCGCGCCGCCAAATTGACATCGAATGTTAATCATGTGGCTACTCACAGAAATGTACACCATCGAGCGACATATGATTGAGAGGCGTGGTGGAGTAAGAATGACTCATTCATTGTTGAACAAATATGGCGCTCCAACACATCAACTCCAAGCCGGCTCTTTCTGCCATTTTCAACAAACCAATGCTCCTTCAGTCCAGGTGTTCTGAGATATGACCATCTCTTTCACAACGGTGATAAGTTCTTGCCACGGATTATCGATGCAGCATCAGAGCAGCTGTTACAGGCCGCTCCTCGCATAATACGCGCCACCACTCCTCCGCCCACAGAATCGTGTTCAGCACCTGCCTTCGTACTGTACATTTAAACATGTTCATCGATGAAAAACGAACAGTTGCAGCACTCCAAGAGATCAACAAGGCGGGCGGAAACGTACCTTGACATGGAGAAAGCTTAAGTAGCTTTGCAACGAATGTTCTCAGCTCATAATTGGAGTCGTCCCATTTCCTCATTCTCATGGGAGTTTGGAAGAAGCATGTCCGCATCGATCATCCGGAGTGGTTGCATTGAAGCGAAGTGAAAATTCGAATCAAGATATTTACAAATTTACAGATGGTAATAAGTACATACTGAAGAGGAGACTGAAAGTACAAAGACATGTATCCCCAGGACGCGAGCTCCTTTGTAATCGCCGATTTCGTCGGTAAATGTTTACGACGACAGGAGAAAAGGCTCGCTTGAACGGGATCTTGGATCCGCACTCACAGGGTAGAAGAATCTAGTGGAAGTCCAAATTCATCATTGATCGCTTCGATTGAAGAGCGGCGCATGGCCATCAAGAACAATGTTCGTTTCCGTCACCTTTGCATGGCCCAAATGGATGTCGGGCTCGGTTCTGACGAGGAGTATGAATGCAATATGTGTAACTGGCTCATCACTTCTTGTTCCTCTCTGCCCTCTCCTTCTCATATTTGGCAATTAGTTCTTTCTGCAATTGCATGGGCGCAGGTGAGTAATGACTAAACTCCATGCTGAACTCGCCCTTGCCTTGACTTGCAGCACGAAGCTGCGAGGAGAATCCGAACATGGCATTGAGAGAGCAGTCAGCGGTGAGAGTAAACTCCTCAGGACCGATCTCGGTATCGTTGATAGTCGCGTTACGCTTGTTCAGCAGACCAACGATATTACCTTGGAATTCGTTGGGTGCCGTGATCACCGTCTTCATCAGCGGTTCCAAGACTTGAGGACCAGCAGCGAGGAAAGCTTTTCGGAAAGCTTGTTGTGTTGCGTTCTTGAAGGCCATTTCAGACGAGTCAGTCATGTGAGTGGCACCGTCGTTGATCACCATCGATACTCCGAGAACGCGATGGCCGAGGAGTGGACCGTTGACACAAGATGCCATGAAACCCTTTTCACAAGCGAAGATGAACTTCTCGTTAATGGCACCTCCAACAACTTGCTCTTCGAATTTGTTTTCTCCGAGATTCTCGACAGGCTCGATCCATCCCGCAACACGGGCATAGTCACCTGCACCTCCACTTTGCTTCCTGAGCAAGTGATCGAATGTGGTATGACTCTGAATGGTCTCGCGGTACGCGACCTGCGGCTGACCAGTAACAACCTCAACGTTGTACTCACGCTTCATGCGTTCGACATAAATACTCAAGTGGAGTTCTCCCATACCGCTGATAATGGATTCGCCACTCTCGGTGTCGACATGTACACGGAAAGTAGGATCTTCCCGCTGGAATCGGGACATAGCTTTGCTGAAGTTGGGCGTATCCTTGGTCTGCTTTGGTCGAATGGATAGAGAAATGACTGGATCTGGAACGAACATACTGGTCATGGAGTAGCTCAAACTTGAATCGGCAAAAGTATCACCAGAGGCACAGTCCACACCAAACACGGCGCAAATCTCGCCGGCTCCGATCTCCTGAACATCTTCCATCTCGTTGGAATGCATTCGTACAATGCGAGGAATCTTGACCTTGGTGCCGGTGCGCGCATTGATCACAGTTTGTCCCTTTCGCAACGAGCCCTGGTAAACACGCACATATGTGAGCTGACCAAAGTTTGACTCCTCGAGCTTGAACGCAAGTCCAACGAACGGGAGACTGTTGTACGAGACGAGCTTGACTGGGGCTTCCGCTCGTCGACGATCAAGAGCCAAGTTCTCCACTTCGGCTGGATTGGGCAGGTAATCACACACGGCATCGAGCATAGGCTGAACGGACTTATCGGCCAAGGCAGAACCCATGAGCACCGGCGTGAACTTGAGACCGATAGTGGCACGTCTGATGGCAGCCTTGATCTCCGTCGACGAAGGCGTTCGTTCGTCCAAGAAAGCATTGGCGATATCTTCGTCGACATCTGCCAAGGTCTCAATCAAAAGCGCCCTCTTCTCCTCCGCAAATTCTTTAAGATCCGCGGGAACTTCGGCGTGCCTCACGATCAGACCTTTGTCGCCTTCGCAATAAATGGCTTTCATGTCGATCAGGTCAACGACACCCTTGAATTCGTCCTCTGCGCCGATGGGGATTTGTATGGCCGCAGCAGGAATCTTGAGCTTCTGATTGATGCCGTCCACAGCCTTCCACGGGTTCGCACCAGCACGATCCATCTTGTTGACGAATGAAATACGTGGGATGTTGTAGCGCTTCATTTGTCGATCGACAGTGACTGTCTGCGACTGCACACCCGAGACAGCGCACAAGATCATGACGGCACCATCTAGCACACGCAGTGCACGTTCAACCTCGATGGTGAAATCAATGTGTCCCGGTGTGTCAATCAAATTGATGTGGTACTTCTCCTCTGTTACTTTACCTGTCTCTGGATCGGTCGATTTCTTGATCCAATCACAGAAAGTGGCAGCTGACTGAATAGTGATGCCCTTTTCTCGCTCAAGATCCATGCTGTCCATTTTCGCACCGACAGCATCTCGCCCACGAACTTCGTGAATATCATTAATACGACCTGTGTAGAAAAGAACTCTTTCCGTTGCCGTTGTCTTTCCTGAATCGATGTGGGCGGCAATACCGATATTGCGGACCTTTTGCAACCTAGCAGCCTCTGCCGGATCAAGATTCGCGATGATTGCGTCTTGAGTCAGACTTGTTGGATCATGAATCTTGGCTGCAACTTCTGCTGCAGCAGCAGATTGCCACCGCCGCGATGCGCCCAATGATTGTGATGGCGGCAGTATTCTCTCGTGATTCTGTGCTCTTATGGTGTTTCTGATAGGGCCAGCAGCATTGATGAAACTCCGTCGAGCTGCTAGAATTTCGCTTTGGCATCGTGCGATATTCCGCACCGAGGCGTGTGCTGAGATGAGCGACCTCATGTTTGCAATAGTCAGTCGTTGGAAGGGAACATCGACAATGTCCTGGTGCGAGATGCACCAGACGGAGGTGCTGTTATTTTTGCGGCGACTGTCCCGATTAGGATATACTGTTCGACGCAGATGCAGCGGGACCTCGCTTAACCTTCCCGGATAAACCCATTCACATGTGAGTTAGCGAAGCGACATGCACGAACAAGAGAGACAATCACACCCACCCACCCGCACACAAACACCATCGCGACCATGTCACTTGTTCCCGCTCGAAATGGCGCCAATCGTCCACCTCCGCGAGGTTCAGAACTTGCACTTGATGCGCCAAAGACATCCACGCGAGGCAAAGTGCCGACTGGCTACGCTGAAGAAATAATCATTTCAGAACAGAGCTTTCGCAATCTACACCGAGAGGTCCAAAGTCAACAGGCCGCTGGCAAGAAGCGAAAACGCGAGACGAAAGGCGCTTCTGATATCGTTTACGGTGCCGGCGCATATAAAGGACCATGGGCAAAATTTGATGAGCGTCGTATCGACAGCGACAGCGGCGAAGAAGTCGAGGTGGAGCTGTCGTCTGGAGATGAAAGCGATGCAGAGGGCGTGGTAGTCTACGAGGAGGATGCGATAGCTCCTGTGCCTGCTCGTGGCACACTGGCGGGCACCAGCTACGAAGATATATCCGCGGACAAGGAATCGAGTAAATTCGAGGGCTCCGCTCAGTACGACTACCAGGGCCGCACATACATGCATGTCCCTCAAGATCTGGACGTGGATTTGACATCAGATCTCGAGAATCTATCCTTGAAATGCTATCATCCCAAGAAATTAATCCACACTTATCGAAGCGGCAGTGGAAAGACAAGCGCTCACGACAAAGCGCTCACACAGCTGAAGTTCTTCCCGTCATCAGGTCACCTATTACTATCATCTGCTGCTGATGGACGTGTCAAATTATGGGATGTTTACCACGACCGGGAACTGTTGCGTAGTTATGCAGGTCATACGAAATCAGTGGTCGACATCGACTTTTCACCGGATGGCACACATTTCCTCACAGCTTCGTATGACCGGCAGATGAAGATCTGGGATACGGAGACAGGCACGTGCACGGGGCGCTATAGCACCGGCAGCACACCACATGTCGTTCGATGGCATCCTGAAAACCGGAGCGGCGGGGACTTCATCGCCGGCATGCACGACAACAAGATCGTCCAATTCGACCCTCGCCTGCCCTCCACCGCCGACGACTCCACCACAAGCTCCACCACCGACCGCGACCGAGATCGCACAAAGCCCACGCAGACCTACGACCACCATCTCGGGCCCGTGAACACGCTTACCTTCAGCGACGAGAACCGACGGTTCATCTCGACCTCCGACGACAAATCTCTGCGGGCCTGGGATTACAACATCCCCGTACCGGTCAAGCTTATCGCCGAGCCGCACCTCTTCCCGCTCGTTGCGAGCGCCCAGCATCCAAACAAGCCGAGCATCTTATTTCAGAGCGCCGACAACACGATTCAAGTATACAACACCTCGGCGGAGAAGACACTGCGTGCGAACAGGAAGAAGGAGTTCCGGGGACACAATACCGCGGGGTACGCGATCAGTCTGAGCGTGAGTCCAGACGGCGGGATCGTGTGCAGTGGCGATGCCGGTGGATACGTCTGCTTTTGGGACTGGAAGACGTGTAAGCTATGGCATAAGTTCCGGGCGGGCGGCGAGAAGGGGGCGGCGGTGGTGGCGACGGCGTGGCATCCCCGAGAGAGTTCCAAGGTGGTGACGGGTGACATTGAGGGAGTGGTGAAGTATTGGGATTAGGCATGGGAATGATCCTTGAATACCAAAAACCAAAACACGACTTGTTGCTTTCCAGTTAACGGCCTGACGATGCGATACATTCAGCAACTTAGATATAATGGCTTCATGACAAGACAAAACTTTTCGAACTAATCGTGCGTCCATTCTATGAGTATCGAGAAAAGGTTCGTAGAGTACAGTACTAGGATCTCACGATTCGCAGGAGACACAAGAGACCTTTGCCCTCGATCGGGTATCCTCCTTGGTCTCCATCGTTTCGCGAAGCAACGTGGCCCACATGTGAAGCCGGCAGAAAGAGAAAAACAGTTATAACGCCGCCAGGCCGCGAGGAAGATATGACACAGCTTCCCACGAAATTCATGAAAAGAGAAATGGGGCGACCAAAGAAAGACAATGGCACGGACCTGCGCGCCCGATGTTGATTAGGATTGATCGGCACAACCGATCAAGATTATGCGGCACTGATGATATTCATGACAGCGTCCGCCGGTTATGAAGGACTTTCGGAAAGGTATCGTCAAATGACGAGGAGGAGGTCGGAATGGGTGATGCCAGGGAGCTCTGAGGCGTAATATTTCGACTTGTTGGGGTGACGTCTATCCAGAATGTTTGTGTAGGCGCAGTGACAGTCGCACAGCCGTCTGCATCGCAGCCAGACATCGTCGCGGGGACCAATGGTAGCAGCAGTGATGAATTCCGATCGTGTGCAGCACCGACGACAGCATAAGGGTCATTCTAATTCGTCTTGGGCGCGTCCTTGCTGTTGCTCTTGAACCATCCTTGTGTAGCACCCACGATGAGAACGAGAACGATGATAGCGATGAGGATTGCAACTGCGAGAAAGACAACGGTCAGTATTGGACATGGTTTGGAACGTCGCATGGTCGGTTTCGAGTACTTACCACAGATGCCCAGGCAGATCCACTTCTTCTTTCGTGCAGCACGTGCGCTGTTGACGGCCTTTCCAACCTCCACATTGCCAGCCTCGAGGTGCATGTTGGTATCCTCGGCCTTCTGCTCGATGGCCATGATGGGGGCCTCCTGCTGAACGACGATAGCGTCCAGATCTTGGAATAATTGTTGTAGCTCAATCATAGTCCGCTCAATCTGTTGGATGGCCTCGTGACGTTGCTGCACATTACGCAAGGTGCTCTGGGCTTGTCCGCGGCGATCGGAATTTAGCAGGGCCTGCTGGAAGATTTGTGTATCACCGCCAGCCTCTGTCGCTTCTCGAATCTCTGCCTCGGAGGCATCTGGTCGAACGATCAAGTATTGCCGACGCTGCTGCTCTTGAACCTCCTTCCGGAACTGTGACTCCTGCGTCTGATAGTGCTGGATGGCCTTGCGGATCCTACGGTCCAGGGCCTCGACTTGTGCCTTGTTACGCGAATTGCTGGCGTCAGGTTGTGATTTGATTCTGCGCACACGGTCACCGAGACCACGGTAGCCACTCATAATGTCCGCGCTGAGGTTGTCAACATCCCGATTGGAAGCTCCTGTTCCGCCGACAAAGGTGCGCTGCATTCGCTTGAGCTCATCTAGACGGTTCTCGAGGTCATCGATTGCGCGAGAGACGGCACGGCAATCATTCAAAATGGCGTTGGGATCGCCTTGAGGCGCATTTGATTCGAAGGCAGCATCGCCGCTAGTAAGAGGCTGCATTTCGACATCGGCTCGTGGAGGTCGTCCTGTAAGGGCGAAGAAGATTAGCCAAGAGGGCGGGTAAGGATGGACGCAAGCCCAGTGACATACCATATTGCGCTTGGCTGTTGTTGTATCCTTGATTGTTGTTGTAGCTGGGCGCATTGTTGTAGTTTGGAGCAGTGTTGTACCCACCATTGTTGTTTTGATTGTCGTAAGGATTAGACTGGCCGTAGCCGCCGCCATAGTTGTTGTTGTACTATTGGAAAGCGAGGTCAGTTATCAGTGTTCGACGGAACAAGATTCAGACGATGGATGCGACAAGTTGGAATCCGTCATTGCAAGCGCAATTTACTTGAGAATTGCGTAGTGAGTGCTGTGTAAACTTACAGCCATGGTAGCAGTGTTGCGCGATATGTTTAAGGTCGAGGATGCAGGGTGGTGAGCGCAATGGAGTGGAAGTAATAAAAGTCGACGCTACTCCTGGAAGCGCGCGTGCTTCAGGGTCGGTCCCTGGAGGTTGGACGATCACCCCCCTCTTGCGGTGGTGATTCTGGTGGCCGGGCTGAGGCGCACAGGAGTTGAGCCGCCGCCGAGTGAGGGTTTCGCGTTTGGAGAGAGATGCACCGTTTTTTATATTTACCCGTAAGGAAGAAATATGGTTATCGCTGGGAATTTGTGACTGTTTAAGAGGCCAAGGATTGACAAAGAGAGAGAAATTGGGATGTGAAATATGATGGAGCAAAGTGATGTCGAGAGGGAGAGATTCCTGGAAAGAGAAGAAGAAACAGAAGAGGACGCCGCCGCGCAAGACCAGCAACAGGCAAGACGTGTGGACAGGTGCAATGGCGATGGTAATGACAACCAATCGATGCAGTTGGCTTTTTATTTTTGGCAAGCAGCGCTGGACGATCAGGAGTACTGGAGCAGGAGGGGCGCCTGCTGTGCCAACTACCTACAGTAGGTACTTTAGAGGGAAAAGTGTTGGTTTTGAACCTGCTCTACATGCGCCGCATACATGTTATCATTGCAGACACCTGAGAGCGCAGGCACAGAAGGGGCCAGCTGCTCTCTCCTGCATTATTACGTACTTTACTAGCGCACGCATTCGCGACAAAGAAGGGACGAACGACTCGGCCAAGCGCGCGGTAGGCATTGTGGAGCCCAGCCCTGTTTCCTCCCTTTCCAATGGTGGTGAGCTCTGCCAGCCCTTTTGAGATTTCGCTACAATCAAGTATCTCCTTGCGATGGATCCATGCCTTCGAGTACACCTTTACAGTACACGTGAATCAAAGCAGAACTCCCCAGGTGACTAAAAACCCGACCAGATGCAGCATCAAATTTCTCTATGCTCCGTAAAAATAGGATTTCGCACTCACCGTACGGTACGAGGTAAGTACATTAGACCCGACCGCGCCACACTCGCCGCGCATGGCCACTCGTACAATCCTTGGGTATGCACGACAAGAACTACAACGCTACCGCATTCATCGATTAAAAAGATGTCTGCCTGATCGCTTGGAATGCAATACATGCCGTGTACTGTATGACGACGCTGCTGGCTGGCTGGCTGATACTCAGACCTTGGAGCGAAACGTTCGCCGATCGACGGACGACGTTGTCCAGAGCAGTGATTAGGCTCCCATCTACCGGATCCGCGGTTCACCACCTGGCGGTCTCCCAAACTCTTGTGTGTGTGCTGACCTCCGCGATGGGTCCGGCTGGAGGAGATACGTTTCTTCTCACGCTTCTACACCACATGCCACGTCTATCACGATTCTATGGCTGGAAACATTGACGCATGAGGCCGTTTAGACACGCGTCTTGTCGAGCTTGTGTGTGCAATGATGACATTGGGTGCCATGCTGATGTCGCTTGGTAGGCACATTCGATGGAGGTGACTTTGGCGATGATCCAACAACTTCCGACACCTGAGATTTCACAAAACGCGCAGTTCACATCTGCTGGATAGATCACCTCTATCGTAGCCTCCAAGGTACCCATTTCGTGATGGCTTCTTTTAGGAATATAACACTCTGCAGCTCACGGGCGGCCGCCAGCTCTTCGACCGAACTACCCTGAATTCTACGAACAATTCATCTTCGAGACAACTTGATCGCTTGTAGTGTATAGCTGAGCGGTAGCCGTTCTTTGCCCTCTCTGAGCTCGTATTCACCTTTGAAGAACCATGTCAGCAGTGAGATCCTGTTGCGGACAATGTTGACTTGACCTCGGCTTCCCAGGTGCAGAAGTCGAACACTTACCATCAGCTCCACGGAGCATTCGCCCGGGTAGCGCGTCCCATGGCAAAGACTGATGCTCATGCAGACCTACAATCTGCAAACCGGATTCAATAACCGCTTGCACGATCTCGGCCAAGCCTCGATTCCACTGCACGGCTTTCTGGGCTTCGAACTCAGCCTTGCCGCTCCCCAAGGGCACATATGTCCCCGGGAACTCGAACAGCATCGGTTCTTCCTGTTCAAAATACGGATACTTGAACTTCAGCCCGTCCTCGGTTGTCTCGTCCAGTGTCCTCCAGATAGGATGTGCTTCACGGATGAACAGCATTCCGCCAGGCCGTAGCAATTCCGACACTGTCTTCGCCCATGCCTTGATATCAGGCAGCCAGTACAACGCCCCAATCCCTGTGTATACCACATCGAAGCAATGCCTGCCGAGCGCCTGCACTGCTTTCTCAACTTCTGCCTCCACAAATCGTACCCTCTCCCCACAATCAGCGTCCGCAACCAATTGTCGTGCTTCATGCAGTGATGCAGAGGAGAAATCGAGACCGACGACACTACGTGCTCCAAGCCTTGCCAAAGAGAGTGTGTCTGTACCGATGTGGCACTGAAGGTGGACGACGTCCAGATTCGAGATGTCTCCGAGCCGGGGCATATCGAAGCGAACTACATCGGACAGCGCTTCAGGATTATTGATCAATGTCTGACAGGCATATGCAGGGGATCGAGCGTGCTGCAATCGGGTGTCAATGACTGTAGGCCTCCCGTGTATTGTTGGCGTCCAAGGAGATCGCCAGGACGACATGTGCATCGTCACTCACTTCTGGGGCCCGCTCGTCCCAATTTGCCTTGTTGATTACCACATAGTCCGTTGCCATGCTGAAGGTTGAAGTGGGTGCTTGATCGACCGCTTGCTCCGATCCAGCTCGACAGATGAAGATAACGAGGATTTCTGTGAGATCCGCGAAAAGTCTGCATACCTAGGTACTTGAACTAGACTCACTCAGATCTTTTCACACTGACTGACCATGGTACTCATTGCTCAGTTGGTGTCGTGTCTGCACGTGATGAACTCAGCATATCGCGCCTGCTAAGAATACTTGTGCCTTCGAACAGCCGAGGAAAGGCCAGAATATGATTTGATCGGACATGTGCAGGTCTGCATAGGTACGTTTTGATCGAGGTTGTCCTAGACAAGCCACAACATCGGCACTTCCGATATGCAGGCGAGGCGGAAGTGTCAATGTGATATCAATCCTAGCACCTGCCTGCGCCTGTTTGTTATATGTCACGATTGAAAACGGCACCTTTCGTGTTCATGCACTCTCCTTGTTGTCCTAAATGGGTTCACACATCACACCAATCTCCTATAGCTGGCGGTCGTTCAAACCACAATTCTAGGCCATCACCCCACACCAGCAACTTTGGAGATGGTGGCGTGAGCGTGACGAGCGCCTCGTTGGGCCTCGACGGGATGGAAGTAGTACTCTACAAATTGTCCTACGTTTTGGCGCAGGTCACGCCTTTGTTAGCATTACGCAACGTGGGTCTATTTTACCGAAGCCGATGATAATTGTCGCATTGGTGAATGTGACATATTCAGGGTTGAGAAAGTTTGACTTCACTGAAGAATGCCTTACCTACGCACATCGATTGCGTTCACGATCTGACGAGCTTTCACGGCTGCATGACCTGAATGTAAAGTCATTCAACCAGAGTCGATGTCATACGTCTAGATTGTCGTGGTCTCGTCGTCGATTTCGACATCTGCTCTATATTTCCGAACCACCAATATGACCTACTATCATTGTTGAGACCAAGACTCATCCCTGCATGACTTGCTGCAATGCTGCACGTCCCTGATCGTCCAATTTCTCGCTCACGAATTGTCCGATGCGACCAGAATGTCTGGTGTCGGCTTCGCGCAGTGTCTGACCGACCCACGCCTTCACGTCCTGAACCTGTGGCCAAGGGTCCCGCGGAGGGAATTTGCAAGTATTGAGCTGTGTGAAGGCCGCACCGAAACCAAGCGTGTCAACGTCGCGCTCATCGATCGTGTCGTCGGCCGTCGGCGGGAGCGGTGGGTTGATAAGCAATTTCAGCAGAGCTTCGCAGGTGAAGGTCCAGCCACGCTTGGCGTAACGTTCAACAAAGGCTTGACTATCAGCTAGCGTGCGAGTGAGTGAGATACATGCCGTTTTGCGATCGAAAGGTCGGCTGAGCTTCTGAGTGTCCGGTAAGATGATGCCGGTATACACCTTTGTGAAACTGTTCTGCTGTACGTTGTCAGCCACCCTGATGAAGAAGTCCGCGCCGAGTCCCTTTTCAGTGTGTGCTGAGACCAGATGGTAAAATTTGACAAAGCGAGTGGTGAAGTTTTCCGTTTTTGAGTTGCTTAGACGAGAAAACATCAGGTTGATAATTGATGGCCAGTATTGTTCGAGCGCCGGTGCTGGGAAGTTTGTCACAATCGCTTCGATGAGGTCCATTGCATGGCTCTCATACGCCTTGCTGCTGACAAGCTTTTGGAAAATCACCAGGACAGCTTCAGTTTGATTCAATGCAATAATGGAGGGGGCGGCGAGTGGCAACATGTTGACGAGAAGTCGCGTCACCGCCGGTACATTCCCCTTCTGATCCCACAGTGCAAGTGTCAACAGAGGGCCGATCAATTGCTGGAAGCTGCTTGACAATGTGTTTGTGGGGTTGATGGTAACGATGAGCGCCTGAAGTTGGAAAACATAAGGCGCAAATTCCTCAGCTGGTCCACCCAGAATTTCCATGAAGGCCGGGAAGAGACTACTCTCGATCTTGTCGAATTGTTTGGGCCCAGCGAACCTGATGAGAGCGCCGAGACTCTCGAAATGATAGTAACAGAAACCGGGATTGGACGGATTATGTCGAATTACCCTGGTAATGTTGACCAGGTTGGCTAGAACAAGATCGCTGATAGCAACGAGGTCTTCCCTCAGAACAATCAGAACCCGCATCACACATTTGATCAGAAATTCGTTCTCTTGAACCTTTTCTGGCTTGGTGTCCCTTGTGATGAGCTTGAAGAGGTGCTGTAAAAGATCTTTGGAAAGTGGCACCACGCTGTCTCGGGGAATGATAGGCTGTCGTTGATAGTCTGTCAAGTAGAGCGCCCGGTCGACTGCAATCGCTGCGTAAGTATACACCACATAGTTGTCATTGTTCAGATGTTGAACAAGCAACGGGAATGCCGCTTGCCACTGTGGCGCAGAGAGGATGCTCCTGTACAGGTAAAGGTATTTGATCGCATCCACTTTGAGGAGGGGATGGGCGTCATTGTTGACCAGATCTTCGGCGACGTGGGTCTCGAAGAATTCGATCACGCTAACATTGTGATTAATGCTGACCACACCCTTGGCGGCCGTAGCTGCTCCTTTCGCCGCAATAGCAGTGAAAAGGTGGACTGCCGTATCCTTCTCTTTCCATTTGTTCGCCTTGTCCTTAGTATATTCGGCAAGATAGTGATTGACATATCGAGTTACAACGTCCGTGACGAGCTTTTCGAATTGTTCCATAAGCTTGGACAGGAAATTTGTGGCTGCGCGCCGTCGTGTATCTTCGTCTGAACCTTCAAGATCCCTTCGGATGAACTCGATAGGCTCATCTTCAAATGTTTCGATGTCAGATTCGCGAAGTGACAAATTTGGAATGACCACGCGCTCCGTGATTTGTCCGAGCACCTCTGCGTTGTTGAACATTTCGGCATGCTGGCGTATTCCCGCGATTGTTGTTAAAAATTCAAGTGCTCGGCTGACCACAATGTCGTTTCTCGCTTCAGGACCAAGAGCTGTGAGGAGGTTCCAGGACGTTTCGATGAATTGTGAAAGCTTTTCTTTGAACTCCTCATCATATTTGCGCGTGTAAAGCACAAGCACCCTGAAAACACTAGCACGCACGAGTTCCAGAGGACCGGCCTCATCATCGTCCTCTGTTTTGAGCACAGCCGATTCATAGGTCAAATATTTGTGAAGGAGTGTTGCGACGGCGCCTAGTTGTTCTTCAAACTGTGGGGGCATGTCGTGCGTTGAAAGATCGTAGACCAATTTGATGATCAACTCCAGAGTAGTGAAATGCGCCCTTAACAACTTTGGATCGCTTTGTGACTGCGTAATCATACGATCTGTGCTTTCCCACAATTGCAACAGCGGTGTGGCGAATTTTCCAAGAACGTGATTGATCTCCTCGTACAGTTCATCCGATCTGTACAACGGCTCCCACCTCTTGAAAATGGAATGCGCGACTTGCAAAACTCCATTGTTGACTACCGCGTTGTCCGGTGTAAGTCTCGAAACCAGATCGTCCACCAGGGTATCCCATCTTTGCCAGAAATCACTGTCTGCAATAATGCTGATTGCATCTCCTAGTTGGGCCTGTATGTTGGCTGGGACCTTGACCATCAACCCGATCAGCTCGCTCTTGATCATCGTGACCACGTCAGCGTTAAGTTTGTGTGCGCCATCTTCATCCTGCGAAGTGGTCAGCCTTCTTCGAGCGATATTCTGAGGCGAAGGCGACCCACCACCCAACTCCTTTTTATGAAGTTTTTGAAGAACAGCGCACTGGCTAGTCTGGTAGTAGCAGGTACTCCTTCGGATGCAACGATCTGAAGTAATACCAAAGAAAAGTTTGGCTTCAATTCTTCCTGTCGCAGGGACTGTTCGGCTGTTGCATGTGTGAATTTATAAGACCTCCCATATGATGATCAGTATGACGTGCAGTCACTCACCTTGCCGACTTTGCGCAGGGTCTAAGCTGGCATTGAGAAGGCCCGCGACCTGTTGCAGATCGACAGACATTGTGAGCAAGAAAATGAATGTTATGAAGACAGTGTGTAATGTTTCAAAGATGTCAAGCAACTACATCTTCTTCAGCAGCAAACAAAATACACAATATCACCTAACGCTTTTGGGTAGTTTCGGTGGTTCCTTGAAGCCCGTCCCCCGCCATGGCTCGCAATCCGGGGCAACGACAGAGCTCGGACCATAGGATCGTCAAGTTCGGTCCATTACGCTGGGCTTGAAATTCACCTGGTGGAACTCGAATGCACGCGAAGTTCCATATTCTTATTACAAGCAGAGAAGAGAAAAGAGCACGCTGCGAACGATCATGTCGACCACCTATCTTATCTCCAAGTGAGTAACCCTATCAAACCAACACCACAATATCGCTGACAGTCTAGGGCTATCGATCCAATTTTCGCCGTTGGGGTTGGAATCACTGCAGCAGCGGTACGAATCAATCGCGACGAGAAGGCCAAAGATCAGACAACGGAACAGACAATTGCGAGCTTAAAGAGAAGGGTCGGGCTGCTCTTCGCTAGCGAACCGAGCAAATCTGTCGAGAGCAAACAGACCTCTTGAGAGTGTATGCGGCATAGGATTTGGAGCGCAGATTAATTTTGCATTGGCTTGAGCTGATCATGGCCATCTTGCCTTCATACACGGCTAGCATGCTTACGTTCATACTATCGCGCTCGAGGTTGAGGTTGAGAAGCAAAGAGACGGTTTATTCGGACACGTCGGATTGATCGCTCGAAGTCATAGCACTCCTGAAAGTGTGGCACGAAGACTGAACGACCTTGTCTCGCTAGACTCGAAGGCTTTGATTTGTCACTAGCCAGAACTCGGGAGTTCGAGTGATCCCGTCTCTATCCCCCTGTCTGTTATAGAAGGATGATTGATCTCTTCCCGAGACATCGAGGGGCGTCTGACGGGTACCGCTCAGGAGCTTGACCTCACCCGCAGCAATGAGTTCCTCGAGTGTGGTCGACACATACGGATCTATTGAGTATTCCTACCTCGACACGCATGTATCTGAGGAACAGCGAATGACGGACACGCTGGCCGTCCCGTACGCCTGTCCATATGACGCAAACATTGACTGCGTTGTACCATTGGGATTACCCAAAAGTAGTGGCGCTCTGTGATCTCCGATAATCACAAGTTTTTGCTTCACTGATCATATGTGTGTGTACAAAATTCTTACCTCATCCCTGATGGAAATTTACTGCGTGTCAAGTGAAGCATCATCTGAAATATAATGAAGCACGTGAACGTTGTGAATCGTGTGCAGGGGAGAATCTAGGTCTGCGGGTGAAGCACACACGGGAATCATCAACACGTCTCTTTCTTGAGGTATTGACCAGGCCATTTTTTACCTGGCCAGCATACATGTCGACCGTAAACTTGCTTCCACGTTGCACAGTGTCTCATCACATGCTGTTTTGATATCCTGGGCGGTCCTGAGATACAAAGTTATTCTGGATTCGGACATGTGAAGGGTGCCCATTTTTGCAGGCGGACGCGACCACCCGCGTGAAGGCACGCGAACGCGACACTTCCTGAACATGAAGGACGACACTCGTTCCGTGGCGACACTTTGGTGGAGAGAATAAAACTTAATAATATCGATTAACAGTCTCATAACCTTGCGAATGCTAAGAATCGATTGAACTGCGCGCGGGTACAAATCTGATGGCGACTCTCCTTGAATATGACGGACTGTCTTGCACCTTTCTCCACACGCGACATGCTTCCTTCCAAGATCGGGTCGCATGAGATTATCGACCTAACATCAAGTCCGAGATCAGAAGCATCCACACTGCTCCCGCCGAAATCAACAGACATCAAGAGAGCAGAGTCCTCAGAAATCACATCCAATGACTTGCTTGCTAGGTTCAAATTTGCAAAAGGCGATGGCGAAGAACGGCCTACGAAGAGAGCCCGGCACGAGGAGCGCGATGGCACTGCCTCGAAACTCCCTCGTGTTTCTCACAGCTCTGCTCGAATGATCGGTTGCGTCGCTCACAATCTAGCTCCGACCCCAAAAGAAGAGCTCCCGTCAGCAGATTCGGCTCAGTGGATACCGACGTGGAGCCCACCCTGGGAACCATCCAAGCTCAGGCAAAGTCAGAGTGAAAAGGTATCTCCGACCATCAGACAGGACGTGCTGTCAAGCTCCTTTCCCTCGAGCCTGAATTCGATATTGCAACCTATCCCGCTTGGACTGCTCAACTCAGGTGCTCGTGTCCCGATCTATGACCCTGGCTGGTCGACCACAAAGCATCACGTCGATAGTGGTCTGGTCTTCGATGCGGCTCATCCAACAGATGCCCGGCATTCGGAACCTGCTAACAGGACCATGCTTGTTAGCGATTCTGAACTGCGGTCTATCCCGCCAGAACCTTGCTCCGCCGCCTACAGCTCGGGGCCATACTCTAAATCAGAGCAGGATCTTCTGCTAAAGCTCAAGGGCATAGAAAATCGGCCATGGGACGAAATTGCGACATACTTTCCCAACAGATCGAAGGCATCGATTCAGGTTCACTACTCTACGAAGGTGAAAAAGTTATTAGGGTCATCCGAAACCAGCTCCTTTCAGCCGCAATCAAAGCGCGAACCAATCTCCCGTCCTGAGAAGAGTAGAGGTCCTCGTGGTCGACCGCCCCTACGAGACACTGTCGTTGATCGTCAGCTCACGCCAAATTCCTTTGCGAAAGAACATTCGAGCAGTCGCTGTAGTGTTGACCGCCCCGAAGTGGCCCACGTTCCCCAGGATAGCGTGGTACAGCTTCATAGTGAAACAAACACGCTCGTCGCGCAAGACCATATCTATCCAAATTCGTTGTCACGGTTGTTGCGAACAAGAGAACTCGGCTGCAGCAGTCGACGGGCTTGGTCGTCCTCGAGAACTGTTACTAACGAGCTCAAGAATCATGCGCATCGAGATTCTGAGTTCATCCGGCACTATCAAGGAATGTCTGGAGATGTTGTAGCGTTGACTTGGTCAGCGAGTGACACTCTGTTCGCTGCTGGATCTATAGCGATCTCGGACGCTCAGAGTCAACAATACAACATGGGCCGAAATTTGCTAGCAGGTAACTTGCGGAATTGGACAGTACGTGAAATGCCAGAACATCACATACCACGCCCAAAAGTTGAAGGCGACAACATCAATGCATCACACTCAATGAGAGCTACTCAAGACGAACGACTTTTCATGACCGTGACAGGGACGGAATTCACTGCTGACGGCACACAACTATACACATCAAGCACCGACAGAACATTGAGGCGATACAGTATTGACGCAGAGTCTAACCTACCACACCACAGCTACGCAATCAAGCACGAAGCCGCTGTCGACCTCTTGTCTGTTCACTATGCAAGTGGATCGCATGCAGGAGTCGTTGCTACTGCCGCTCGAACATCAAACGAGAGTATCAACATTTATGAGTGCTACGAGACTCGATGGAACCGGCGATTTTCGTTCTCGCCAGCTCGCCACGGTTCGCACGTTCTTTTCCCATCCGCACTCAGATTTGGTCTTGCTCCGCAACATCGTGATTTTCTGCTTGTCGGCTTCGGCGCGGCTAGTGAAGCAGATCAATCAGGTCAGACCTGCCTCTGGAACATCAACACTGGGGTCCGCTTGTCACTCAATGTGGTCACACATGACGTTTTCGATGTTGCTTGGAATCCTGCGCCCAGCTCGAGCTCGATAGCTTTCGCAGTCGCTTGTAATCCAAGTGGACTACAAGTCAACAAATTCACACGCAGTGTCGTTCAGTGCTTTGCGCCTAATCAACAAGATTGCCGGAGAGTCCTAGTTTGGGAGAGTCCTGCACGAGATATCAATCGTGTTGTATTTTGTCCGCACGATGACAATCTCGTAGCTGCGGGCGCTACAGACGGCAAAGTGTACATCTGGGATAAGCGATTCGCTGGCCGTCGGCAAGAGCCATTGCACACACTTAGCCACGGTGAGTCACTGAATGTGCTAGCTGCCGATGACGATCGTGAGATGACAGATACCGGTGTCCACTTCCTTGCCTGGGGCGCGACGCGAGAGCGTATTTACAGTGGATCTTCCGACGGCATAGTCAAGATCTGGAATCCCTACAGGGCTGTCGAAAACACGCATGTTGATGACATCACCGTACCGCGTTCGCAAAGAGCAGCAATTATGTCGGGAGCCTTCAGCCATGATGGTCGATCGCTGTTGGTCGGTACCGAAAACGGTAACGTCAATTTATTTTCAATCGGCCGAAATGAGCCAACTGGCGCAGCTCAAAGGGTCGGCAAGTTCAAACTTCTATCTGCAGAAGTCCCTTTGGACAGTCCCGAGGAACCTCATTTCAAGGCCGCCAACGATCTGCTGGAGACTGGACAGATAGTCATACGCCCATGCGGCGCCATGCCCTTTCGCCAAGCTGTCCAGGGACCTCAATACAATGGCCCATATCTTGATCCTCCGCAATCCCAAATCAGCGCCGCGATGGAGAATTACAACAAAGCGTTGATGCGCCAGGCAGCAATGACCTCCTGGCATTCGACACCTCTGGACTACATTGGATGCGAGAATAGCCTTCCAGAGCAGAGTGACACGTCTGCAGTGGAAGAAATTAAGAAATCTCAGTGCGAAGTTTCGAGAGCCGAGATCTCGATGAATGACATTTGTAGCCGCGCCAGCTTCGCCCGTGCTGCTCGACCTAAAGCCGAGGCCTTCCAGCGTTCACTGCTTGAGATGGAACCACGTAAGCCTGACGGTGAAGTGACCTATCATGATACGGCGCATCGCTGCAAGTTGGATTGTAATGTGCTCCGCACGACCGAAGACATGGATGGCGAAGTAGACGACTCCGCTCGCTGGCAATTGCGTGACCCAAGCATGCTACGACTACTGACACGCATACCTTCCGTCGGGACTGGGCAAGACGGAGTTGATCGAAAGCAGCAAGATGCAATGAAGAGGGCCGGCCTACTCACCACTTGCAGCGAATGCCGCCGCCCTGCCAGAATTGCCACAGACGGATCGAAAGTGCTTTGCGAAAATTGTAGCTTCGCTTGTTTCAGATGTGGCAAACCGGCTGCGATTTCTCCAGATACGATGAGGATCACATGTGCGTCGTGCGAACTCGTCTGGGAAGCTGGCGCACTTGGCTATGAGTTGCTCAGCCCACCAAAGACTCGTATCAAAGCCGTTAGCCCACACGTTGAGGATGATGATGAGCTCGCAGAGCAGGAACTGGAACATTACGCCTCATTGTGGCAAACTTCGGATAACAAAAACTAGCTTTGTATATAATCGGCTATGTGATTACTTTTGGTGATCCCGAAGATTTGGAGATCTGACTCGTGATGCCCATCTCTCCATCGCCCGCTGAGCTTACGTCTTTCCCTTCAATGGTGGGATCAGCGTCCTGCCTGACGGGCGGACCTGTGAAATTCTTCCGGCCCGAGATGAAATACCACGCAACGCTGATCGTGGCGAAGCCCATGAATACGACAGATGCATAATTCCTAGAAGACATGTATGGTTAGCTGCGGCCCAGATCAGAGAATTTCGAAGAGTTCTTCTTACATTGTAGATGCCGTCACTGGTAAGCTCACAGGCATGCAGAAGAGCACAATGGCAAGGCAGATCCAAACCAAACAAATAATGTTGATCACATAGCCGTATCGGCCCAGGGAGAAAGTCGAGTGTTTGACCATCTTGCGACCGCGTAGTACCGAGACTAAGATTGGCAAGCCATATCCGCATGACAGGCAAATCGTCGCTACACCCGTGAAACTGTTGAAAGCTGCTGTTGATCCAAAGTAGATGAGGCCAAGCAGGGCATCGACTACTGCGGATAAGACCAGGCCCCAAAGCGGAATGCCGAGTTTCTCATTCGTCGCTCCGAACCACTTCTTGCCGGGGATTGCGCCATCACGGGCGAAGGCGTATGTCGTGCGGGACGATGCAGTCAGCGCACCAGTACCGGCGAAGAATAAGATGCCAAGGATCAGAAAAAGAAGTCCGAATCCGCCCGCTGCTGATCCCGTAACGGTTTTGAATAGGAGGGCGATAGGCTGGCCGCTCTTGACGTCCACTAGCATTTGAACTTCGGGCATCACGAACAGCAGTGGGATTAGATAAACAAGTCCTGTAATTCCTGCTGCGGCCACAGAAAGGAATATTGCCTTAGGAACCTCTCGAGCGGGATTTTGTACCTCTTCACACCTGGGAGGAAAGGTTAGCTCGTGCGGGTTGGGATGATTCTGGATGGACAAGACAATTACTCACATCGAAGCCACAAGACCGTATCCTGTCAGTGTATAAGCAGCTTGTAGCAAGCCCACAAAGAACGCCCAAGCGTCTGGCCACCCCTGACGAAAGGTAAGCTCACTGGCGAGAGCAACGTTGATCACCCACTTACTGATCGGCTAGCATCGTAGTAACTGAAGACGTACGCGCCACTGCGTTTCGTGTTGGCCAAGCTCAGGAGCGTTACCAAAATAATCAGGACACTGGCCGCTGTCCAGTAAATACAAATCTTGTTGATCAGGTCGAGGTACTTGGCGCCAAAGACATTGACGAGGAAACACACGAGCAGAACGGCCCAGAAGGTCAGCACTGTCTGCCAGGCGGTCGGCAGAAAGTCTTCCTGCCAGAGTGTGATGGCGCTGAGAATGAGCTGGCCTCCGCTGAAGATAATTGATAGAGTAACCGTCCAGTTGCCGACGAGATTTCTGCGTGATTGTCAGACTCTACAAGTTCCCTCATAGTAGGAGTAAGAAAGTAGAAATGCGAAGGGAGCGCCTTACAACCAACCAGTCACCCAGGATGAGATGGGAGCCCATTCTTTGGTCGCTTTTTATAGCTTCGTATCAGTCGTGCGAACAATTCGTCTTGAATGTTATCTTCTCAGAACTCACACATCATTGCACTCCAGTAATAGACCCCGCCCGCTGTGGGATACACCGCACAAATCTCCGCCAGAGATGCAGCGATACTCAGCGAGATCAGAGACACCAGGACCCATCCCCAGAGAATGGTGACGGCTTCACCGTCGACCAAAGTGATTGCGAGAGTCGTGGACAAACCAAAGGGCACTGTCGAAGCGCAAGCATCGTCGTGTTAGTCGTCGTTACAGACAATCTTTTGCGACAGGTCCTGTGAAAGAATTGGCACACACCTGCCATGATGGCGAACGACAGGCCCAACACCGACAGCATGCTCAAACTGCGCGGTAGATCGCTCTTGTAGCCCATCTTCGCGAGGTCGGCATCGGCGCCATGGTCGACCACGCTTCCGTGCCGTGACACCATATTGGATGAACTTGTTATCCTTGCGGACTTGGAGTCGTCGGAATTGTCGCCTTGCTATACCACGACGGAAATGTACGCATGCACGATCTCAAAGATCGCGATTCATGTGCTAGGAAGCGGGCCCCAATGTCTCACCATATAGCACGGACAAGGCCAATCGATCTTGAGGTGAACATGTAACACGCGCGTGGTCGCGTATTCAAAGAATAGTAGGTAGTTGTGAATATTTTTAGGTCATTAACGTTGAAATACTATACATTGGAGGCACACGGCCATACATATGTACACTTGACGTCGGGCAGAAGGCTGGCTGGGCGACGAAAGCCATGGTTTTGTCCAGAGGGATTGTTTTTAGCTCACCTGATGCATCACTGAGATAAGAGCCGTCGTTCTCACTGGGGTAATTAGGTGCTTGCACGTCTAGATCGGTAAGGGCTGCCGAGGCGGGAGCGGAGGCAAGATCTGCTTCGGTCATGGCTTGCGCGTGGCACAGTGGGAGGGACTGGATCTCTCGCGGACGTGGGGCTAACTTTGGAGGGAATGTGTCCGTTGTCACAGTGACAGTGCATATATCCACGGGAAGAGATATCGGCCAGACGTCGGCCTCTGATAAGTCCAAATACCGGTCAAAGTACGGATAGTCCAGCATGGTGGTACGTTCGTCTTGAACCCATTTATTAAGGTCACGCCTTCAAGGATTCCTGATCGAAATAAATTACAAATCGCTCGTCTACAGTGGGGATCGATTTGTTCGCGACAAAACAAGATCCTCCAGTCTACGAATTCAACGCCGTAACTCCATTCCCTTCGTGTTGAGATACCGGGGTCATTGGGTAACACAACTGGCCAATCTCCATTTACATTCACATGGCCTCGCCGAACTATGGAGCTCTGCCAGTCGTGGTCGCAGTGCTGGGTTGGTCGTTGTTCCAACTGAGGTAGCTGTGATCGCCGAGTTTCCTATTCGTTCAACGCGTCAGATCATGACCATCGAGACGTGTGCGCGAAAAGGTCATCAAATGGTGACTTACCTAGGTCGCACGAGTTGCGTGACGGTGAAAACCGCGCCAAGAAGAACACACAGACCGCCGACAACGATGTAGCAAATGCCCAAAAATGGATTGCGGCCACCCATGATCGTTCGCGTTGAGATGAGAATCGACTTGGTGCCGTCATAGAGATTGACCGGGAAGTCTGCGTTTGATATGGTCAGCATACATTTCATACATTGCAAAGGTTATCGAAAGGGGCTTCATACAGTCGTAGATTTCGATCTGGTATGTGCCACGCTTCATGACATCGGCATCGTTCCGTAGCGCGAGCTTGCTAAACGTAGGCAGGCCTGCCGTACGCATCCAGACTTGAAATTCCTCCCACTCGTGAAGCTTGGGGAAGGGGAAGCTTTCGTTGTATTCGGGATAGCGAAGCGCCCAATTAGGTGGTGGAACCACATCTCCATATTTGTATGCGGTCTGGCCGTAGAGGTTGGCGTCAGATCCCCACGCGATGCTGTTATTGGACATGCGGTATGTCACATTGTTCGCACTGGATCCGGTCTGCAGGAGTACAGGAGAGCTGAATGTGTCGTTGAACAAGGAATTTGCGATCAGTCCGCACGGGTAAATGGGCTTTGAAACCTTTCCACCGCCTTGCACTGGGATCTCAAGCGATTTGAGTGGGTCGCAGTCGCTGCCACCAATCGAGGTATTATCCCGAGCCTCGCCGGCAAGTTGCTTTTGATCAAAGGACTGAACATAGCGACGGTGGTTTTGATAGAAATTGGTAAGCTGGTAGTAAAGCAGGACCGGCGGATGCATGTCATCAGGCAGGAAGAATTGTACTCGGCAGACGCTCGTGCTGACGCTGACCTTTTGGATCAGGCCGTACTCTACGGGTTTTCTGTACTTGCACCATTTCGCAGCGTCTGCAGGCGACGTAGTGTTCTTAAAATGCGACGAGACTTTGTCTTCTGGGAGTTTTGCCAGGCCCGAGCCATCGCTGCCGCAGTCAGGTGCAGTGGTGTTGCATTGTGAGTAATCGATGATGATCTCCTGCACCTTAGAGTCGTTCCAGACCAGGAGACCACCGAAGAGGGCGAATATGAGGCCGACGGCGTAGAACAAGGGCAGAACAGTTTTCGGGGTGAGGATAGGTTGCCATGCTTTCAGTCGCTGCTGTCGGAACGCATTGTCTGTCATGAAGGAAAAGCATAATTGTCAGCCCATGCACGCCATCATGATGTCCGTCATTCAATCCCGACTCATGCGCGGTGCCGCCGCCGTTGTTGTCTGGGTGCACACTTACTGGGTGGCCTCCGACTCTTTTGCGTCTTCTCCGGTTCGTTATCCTCCCAATTGCTGTTCCGGTCGGTTTGCTCCATGGTTTGCGACATTGTGTCCAGTGGAGCCCGGCGCGCAAAAGATGATGGAACGAAGACAGCGAACAGTCGTCCAGCTGGGCGCAGGCGGCACTAGTCCATCACCAATTGCGGCCGCGCACCCACCTGCCCATGTGTCAGCGGGAATGCCTAGGGTTGATATGACCCTGACGCAACAGTCACGTGGTAAGAAACATCAGTGCTATCCACCTGGGCATGGATTGCATTTATTTGTGCAGGGGTGTCCTGAACGACAATTGCGAACGATACCTACCTAGGTAGGTAGTCGGTTTCTTCGGTGAGGGTTCTTTCCAAGATCAAGGGTAAGAAATGGCTCACGCGCCGCCAATATTAATGCTGTTTCAAGACAATTCTATAATCAGAACAATGTGCCTGCTTCACACCGGAACTCAACTCAGCAAAAGTGAGAACAGCACCGTACATCCAACTCTAATTCCTTTTCACACAAAACATCTCAAAGCCGATCATTCGTCATCATCTGCAACACGTCTATATTTACCACTTCCTCCCTCGTTGGGATCCTCTCCCTTGGCTCGTTTGACGACGTTCGAAATCCAGCCCCCGATGCCTTCTGATTGGTTCTCGCGAATGATAGGTTTGCCATCTTGAATCTCTACGTCCGGAGGCTGCAGGTCCATATCCGGAATAGGCTCGCTTGGGTCGTCTAGTTGCAATGAACCGATTGGTGATCGGTGGCCGCTAAACAAGGAGGCTGCTTCGGCTAAGGTCTCCGGCGTAGGGGCCACTGTCGTTGCATCGCCGAACAATGAATTCATGTCCTCCAGACGCACGTTAGCTGTCTCTGGGTAGATGAAATAGACTGTTGAATGATTAGCACATGTTTTTGCCCTGTCGATCACGTGTAGTAACTCACCAACGACGAAGCTGACGGCACAGAAGAACGCGTGAAGCAAGTACAGACGCCATCCGATCGCCTCCTGCAAAATGGGCGTCATTTCACCCACAAGCCAGTTGAATGCCCAGTTGGACGCGGTTGACAAACTGGCACCCTTGGCACGAATGCTGAGAGGCAGAATCTCCGGAGGGTAGAGCCACGGAATAGGTCCCCAGGAGTATCCGAATGCGGCGTTGTAGATCATCACGCAAATGACGACCAATCGTGGTGTTAGAGCGATCTTGATGTACAAGAAATATGACATGGCAGAGAGGGAGAACAGCATGGCCAGGGCACCAGATAGTAGAATGAATCGACGGCCGAGGCGATCCACAATGTACCACGGCGGGACAGTCGATGCGAGATATGTGATGCCATTGATTCCGGTCATGAGAATGGCATCGCGACCATACCAGCCAGCCTCTTCGAACACGAGTGGAGCGTAGTAGGAAATGACGTTGATGCCGTTCAGCTGCGCAAGCGCCTGTGCCGACATGGCGATGAACACTCGTTTGCCGTATCGTCGGAACATGTCCACGTACGAACGTTCACCCTCTTGGCGTTGAAGAAGGACGTTCATCTTGATCTCACGATATTCGTCGCGAGCCTTGGGGTTGTGAATGTCGCCCTTGCCGTAGAGGTTAGCAATGACCACAATGCCCTCCTCGTCGTGATCGTTGTCCAACAACCAACGAGGCGATTCAACGATCAGAAAGCTTCCAACAGCGAGAAGACCTCCCATAAAGACTTGCATCGCCAGCGGTAGCCGCCATGACCAGTCGTTGTCAATGTAACTGCAGAAGTAGTCTACCCACACACTGCACATGTATCCAAAGATGTTACCCGAGAACTCGATACACGCCAGCTTGCCACGATTGTGCGGCGGGCTGATCTCGCTCTGATAGACGGGGACGATTGTGCTCAGAGCACCCACTCCGAGACCTGCAACGATTCTGCCGAGGAGCATCATGGCAATGCCATTGGCGAATGTTTGTAGAGCACCGCCGACGACAAAGATGGCAGCACCGTAGAAAATCGTCTTCCTCCGACCAAGTATATCTCCGATCTTGCCGACAGCAACTGACGAGACCAAAGCGCCCACTTCCAAAATAGCCACCATTGTGCCAATCTCAGCTCTTGATGGTTGGTTGAAGTAGTCCCGGAAGTGTGGACCTGTGATGATTCCCGACATGACTCCTTGATCATATCCGAAGAGGAACACACCGAGGGACACAAAGATGGACAAGAAGTAAATCAGCTTCTTGCCGTGCAGGCCATGCATCCGCGAGGGCCCATCTTCTGGCGCCATGGCGGCCACGAGCAATCGCTGGCCCCAATTCAGCGGACGACGCGGTGGGCTCGGGATGCGGATATCCTCTTTCCTCTTGACTCCCCAATCACGTCCTCTTTTCTCGTTAGGTGGCTTTGGTGCACGCTGGGGCTGGTATCGTGATCGGCCGCGGTGGTTTGAGAAAGATTGTGTTCCGTCGAGGCCAGGACGATGTGCGAGTGGGTCTTCGAGATCGGCAAGCTGGTCAACAAGGTCACCGGTGTCGCTTCCGAGACCGAACTCGGAATCTTCGTCACTATCGATGGAATCCGATCGCCGACGCAGGCGTTGACGATCGCCGTTCTCGTTGCCGACGGAGTCGTTACTGTACCGAGCGTGTGAGGAGGGTCGAAGATTGTGTAGGGGTATGTTGGCCGGTCGACGAGGATGGCTGCTGCTGCTGCCGCCGTGGAACGAAATATTGGCGGGCGAGAGACTGTCTAGGAGCAGCCCCGTACTCCAATCGAGAGGAAGAGGAAACGGAAGAAAAGAAGTATAAAAGGCAATCCAGCTAGGCAGTGGTGGTGCTGTCAGTTGCAGCTCGGGAGCAAGGCCCGGAACCAAGATAGACTACGCGACAACCCAGGCCGATTAGTTTTGGCGGGTATGACGAAGAACCATTGACGCAAGAAGCCCGTGAAAAGAAAGGGTACAGCACAAGCGGTGGGAGTGGAGAAAGCTAAAGGCAGGCTTGCGGCGGCCACTGCAGAGGGTCGTGTGGAGCTTGTTTTTTTCTCCCTCCTGGGCGGCGTGTTCGGTTGGGAGAATCAGTCGAGGATGGGGCATACGGAATCAACGACAAGCTGAAACTCTTTCTACGGTCGGTACGGGCGACAGCAGAGGACAATGCCGGATGCAATGGGCGATAGTGATGGTTAGAGAGGAGGTGCACATGCGATGTGATGAGTGTGGATCAAGGGGGTGAAGATTGATAACCTGATAACAATAATGATTGACTCGGTAGTGATACGCCCGACCAAGGAACGAACTGACACTCATAAGATGCATGCATGAAATATACCTAGCCTTGGAAGTACGGTACTTGTCCACCTAGGCAGTACGTATCTATCGCCTGTACGACACACAGCTCCAACCAGCAACCCGGCCATGTACATGTACACAGAGAACCTCATGTCATCAGACACTGGCCACATGCACCATCACAGAACATCATCGCCTTTTCGAGTGAAAGGAAACACTGTACAGTCCTATTAGTAACCCTTGGGAATCGCCTAGACCTGGTGCCCAGGTGTGCATTTGTCCATGGTTGAGCCAAACCCTATTTTTGCGGCGGCTTTGCCAGCCAGTGATGAAGATATTGTCAGCACCGCCCAGCGTTACCTTCTCTCAACGCCATCTGGGATCATCCACCATTCCAGTGCTCCGTGTCATAGGAGTTACCACGAGGATCCGCGTGAGACACCCTTGGACTATCAACATTTGTTACATTTGTTTTACAATCAAGCACGTACCTTGCTTGATAGGCAAGAGAGAGAGTCTCCACAGCTCCATGCTAGATTGGAATGGTAGGAAAGCTCCTCCCAGACCTGCGTCATTTGGCTGGCATGTGCCATCCTCACCGCACCCGTGCTACAAGCTTTGGCAACCACTAGGGTTTGGCCTACGCTGGTTCAAACCATCACATGCACGATGATGGTTGGGTACATACAGATGAGCATCTCCAGCAGAAGTCATGAGGCTACCATCATCGTATCCTGCAAATATCGACAGACCACTTCATTGTTCATCAGGTCTCGTGTTCAGATCATGAATACTCCCGTCGAGCCATGCTTAGTGCGTTGCTTGTATAGACGAGGTTGACAACATCTACGCACAATACATTTCGCGACGCTAAAGATGACGAAGAAATTTCGACAATCGAAAATTGGCCTTCCCAAAGCAATTTAGAATGACGTGCACCCACCCAGGGAATTGGCAAAGCTTCCGACTATCCAAAAATCTAAAATCTGGTAGGGAAGGTCCCCAGCAATTGTCCGCCTCTATGTCGACCCGAATGCCGATGTGATCGCGGGCGTCGCAGGAGCCGCCATGGTCGCCGATACCCGCGTGGCCAGCCATAACATGCGTCGGAAATAATGGGAGACGAAGCTCTCCGTGTAGTAGGAATGACGTTGGTCGTGAACCGACACCAAATTATGAGCCAACTCGTGGCAGAGAGTGACGAACCAATACGCCATGGCTTCGACCCGTCCCTCGGCGGTGTCGACCTGGCCCATGTGCAATTGTAAGAAATACCGGAGATTGCAGAAGAGGCTGCCGTTGCTGTTGAATGCGATTGCGGCGCCTTGTGCGTCGTGGAAGATATTGATGGTCTGAGGGGAAAGGTCGAAAATCGCGGCGGTTTCAGTCAGGATCGTTACAAAGTGCGCGATACCGTCCCGGTTCGCAGAGAGGAATGTGTCCGGATTGGCATGATCTCGGTTGAGATAGAACTTGATACCATTGCCGAGCTCGGCGATAAACTTGATATCATGGCCGGGCTTACTGTCACAGTAGGACGGTGTCTCTTTGATCTCCTTGGTCGAAGGCGGCGAAAACAGGGACGAAGCATTGTATTCGCGCGTAGCATTAATGGCAGACTGCAGGTTGGACTGAAGATCCCTGGGTGAGGTTACGCGCTCCGTACCTGGAGTCAGCGCGCGGCTACCTTGAGGGTCGTTCTCGGTATATGGCGGTGGCATATCTGGTCGCTGTCCATTGTTGATCATGTTCTGCATCTGCTGGCCTGCCTGACCAGCCAAGTTATTGAGGCCAAGATGCCGTGTCAGACTACTGAACAGACCGCTTGGCTGCTTTCCTTTGGCTTGCGGGTCGAAAGCTTCTGGAGAATTCTCACCAAATGCACCTGGCATTGTCAGCGATTTCTCGGGTGTCGATGGCTTCATAGCCTTCGTGACGGTATCAGACGTCCCTCGTGATCCAGATGAGCCTCCCTTGTCGCCTGTCGGAGGTGCTGGCAGGGCGAGAGCACCCATGTTAGAGGCCTGCGACTCAGCCAGCCGACGCTGCTCCTCTTCGCGCTTTTGTCTTTCGCTTGCCGCGATGCGCGATTCTGCAGCCTTCTGCCGTAGGATTCGATCCACATTGTAACCCTTCGTCTTGAGACGACGAAGATCGCTGTCAAGGATAGTCTCCAAAGCCAGAAAATCTTGCTGCCGGGGTCGCTTCAGGAGAACGCTCATGATAGCGCGACTGACCTCGTATAAGTCGAAGCGTGCCGTGACAAATAAAGTCGCATCTCGCTTCGATTCGCGATGTAATGCCGCAGTCCGCTTCTCAACGAAATGCATGCGGTATCCCTTCAGTTTGCGAGTCACCTGGAGAAATTCGGTCACTTTGACAGTCAAATTCTGGTCAAGCCACTTTGCGTCGTGTCGAATCACGTCGGTCGTATGGTCGTGTAAGAAAAGACGACAACGCTCAACAAGTAGCTGCTGCAGCTTAATGCCAGCGGATTGGTCATTGAGTAGCGCACCCATGCGTTGGTCATCTTCTACCAGACGACTTAGCCAGGGCGTATCGAGAGACGCATATAGATCTTCTAGAACCTCCTCCTGAGGAGCGGACAGCAGATTTGACTGGAAAAGGCGATATGTAACAAAGTCGTCCACGAGTACCATGTCAGATGCGCGTGCAAGAGAATACTCTTTGATTACGGCATCGTCTTCATGGTCGCCATCTTTCTCGTTCTCTGTGAGGTTTGTGCGCACTAGCTTCTCCGCAAGCAGACAAGGAGCAAGTTTCAATTGCTGCCACAGTGCCTTGTCCTTCTTCAGATTTGCGGCATATTCGGCGATCTTACGCAGTAATTGGAGATATTTATCTGATCCAAGTGTTTCGAGTAGCCGTCCAGGCTGTCGGGTCAACATCGCTGCAATCTCTGCAGCACTGGGTTCATGCTTGGAGCCTACGCGGAGAAGGAAAGTGTTCGCTTCAGCGCCGAAATCAGCAAAATCAAAGATGTCGCCGTAAGTAGAACTGTCTCCCAGGAAACAGGCCCGTGGTGCGACCATTCGGAATTTGGTACCCTTCTCAGAGCTGCGACCGTCTACGATCGGCACGATGGGAGCATCGCTCAGTCGACGTGTCAGGTCATCGTTGGGCCCAAGTTCCGAGAGACGGGTTGCGAAGTAGCCAAAGAGGGTCTGGGCGGAAGTGATGTTGGCTGGCGGTGCCTTGATGAGTCGCTCAACGCAAGCTTGCATTGGCGGCTCCAGAGCAACACCAAAGATGGCGTGGTGAGGCTGTAGATCAGCACGCAGCGTGCGGAAGCGCAGAACTGATGCCATCGGATTTGCAAAACACTGCGATGGTTTGGCGATAAGATTGTTCGACTCCCCAGCGAATGGTTGAACTGGCAAAAAGGCTTTGTCGATAGTCGCAATTGGAAACTTGACGTAGCCGTTCGAGTAGGCGTTCATTATCCAGTAATTGATCGCGATTTGCTGAAGTTCCTGGCCAGCAGGAGCTTTGCAGAGAATCTCAACTAGATCCGGGACTGATGGAGCTACCTGGAGTCCCAGAAATCGAAGAAAACGTCCCTCGGGAGTATTAGCACGGTAATGTCCAGGCCACTGTAAAATTGGAAGACCAAGCTTGCGTATCGCTTCATCCGGCTCGAATAGGTCCGAAGGGCGGTAAAGTTTGCCTTTCACAGTCTGGTCCGTCGATGTACTCTCAGCGGGACAAACTGGCGTTTGTCGTAGGCGTTTGAGGTCCTCTTGGGGAATATCCTCGCGTACGCTGACAAGGTATTTGATCAAATCGACATGACTCCACTTGCCCTCCTCCACGCTCGGCGTGCTTGCCATTAGTCGTTCAAAGACGACGTTGAGTTCGATTGTCTTCCGCACGCCTAGCGAAGATAAAAACTTCTCCTTGACGCCCTGCAGACCCGTGATTGTAGGTAGATCGTCGAACAACTTGACATTCCCGAAATAGGCCTGCGCTGGTTTTCGCATGCCCAGTTTAGTCGGGATGACTGTCCGCGGTATCAGAAGCTCCTGGACGGATTGTTTGGACGAGTGTGACAAGCCTTCCCACCCCTTGGATATGACTGGCAGTACTTGCGAGGCGACTGCTGGCGAACTCGTTAAACTTTGCTGAGAGCCAAACCCTCGGCCATCACTCTCAACAATCCATCTCAGCCAAGGTACAATCTGCAGCTCATCCCAGCCAATCGACTGTAGTTGTGTTGGCGACAAGCTCTTCGTGAAGCGAAATGGTATGGTTTGTGCTGGCGTGGGCATTTCCGCAGGAATCTTCGACGTGTTAATGAAGGTCGACACTTCTCCGAGCTGAAGGACCGGACTGGCGGAGGTGGCCACGAATTCTTCTGCGATGCTGGCCACTGTACCATCGAACAAAGTTTGGACAGCACCAGCATCCATGTCACCCTGGCTGACTTTAGCACATGCCCATCTGACCAGCTCCACAACCTGCTTTTCCGAAAGCGCCTGCGCTTCTAGCTCCTTTTTGATGTCGCTGGTTGTGATGTCTGACAGTAGCCCATAATCCCGGATTTTGGTAAGGAATTCGTTCGCTTTTTCCACCAGTTCACTTGGCACGACGGGAATACCTTCCACAAAAGACAATTGTTCCGTTGCTACACGGACTTGATTGCTGGGCAGAACGCCTCTGGTTGATAATACGTCGATGGTGGCCTTTTGATTACAGGTCCAGAATGCCTCCTCAATATACTGTCCAACTTTAGATGATGGTGTGGATTCCGCATAATTGTATTGCTTGTACGTGTGTATTGCTGATGGTAGTACTGTAGTAATGTCTTCAGGGCCGACTCGTTTTCGGCCGTGTTTGATCATTGATCGCTCGATGCTGGTGCGCAATTCGACCATCTCTCCAGTGTATGCTATTCGACAAGCGATGCCCGCAACGCGGAGCATCTCCACATTCCAGTCACGCACATATCGTGCATTGAGATCTATGCTCTCACGCTCAACCGTCGGGATGACTGACGGTGCTGAGATGTGTGCAAGAAGACCAGTCGTCTGTGCTGTTGGAAACCCGATGAAGATCTTGCCATTCTTGGTCGGCAAGACCGACGCAAAGATATCGGTGGCCCGCTGACTGCTACTGCCTGAACCAAGAGTCATTGACGCAGCCGTCTCATCATATGATGAAGTCAAAATGGCAATGCGTGTGCGCTTTGGCGGGGGCTTTTTTGTGGCACGTTCGAGCTCTTGAGATAGCGATTTGCTGACGTTGGTTTGTACGTTGACAGTGCTCATACGGAGGAAGACAGTGGCCGTCGAGTATCCTGCTAAATCGTCTAAAATAGTCTGCTGTAAAGCATCTTCTTCTCTTTGCGCCTTGCGCGCCGTTGTATTTATCGCACTGCTCGTGAGCTTGCCAAACCAATTTCGAAGACTGACTCCCGCAGATTCGGTTTGTGATTGTGCAGCGACCGCGGTCGATGCTGGAGCCTGGTATCTTCGGTTCCATCCGACCACATTCATCCACTTTGCATCTATCTGCGCACTTTGATATTGCACATCCGTGATCTTCATGAGCCCGTCTTTCGTTCTAGGATTGACGTCGTTCGGAATTTTCACGTTCTCGCCTGGAGACATCTTCTTCGTTAAAGTGAGGACATTCCAATCGTCGATGAAAAGCTCGATGGACTCCAATCCTACAAACGTCAAGCTTGTAGCGAGGAATTGGCACAGACTCAGAAGTTGAGGCACAGGTGTTGTGTTATTCCGATAATCTAGCAGGAAAGTCGTGCTCCCATCCGCCTGCTCTTCCGGCAATTTCCCTCGTCTCGTGAACAGACTATCCTTTTTCCAATAGAACGCCATCGACTGTCTTCCCGAACTCACAAAGGGAGACTCGCAGTCCGCAAAGACTGAATAGAATCCGACACCAAATGCGCCAATTTTGGTTTCATCAGGATTGCCCTCAGCGATTCTCTTCAAGCGTTGCCAATCCGTCTCTTGAAAAACCTCTCCATCATTAGTGACGATCATCGTCCTCAATGTATGATGTAGGAGAACATGACGAATATGTTCTGATGTGTCTTGCGTGGAAGGTAGCGGAACCGTGCTCGAAGGCAAGGTCTCAAAGCGAATACTGACTCTACGAGCCTGAGCATCGGCAGCGTTCTGGATGAGTTCACGCAAGGTCGTCCATTCTCCGGAATATCGCGCCAGGACTTTGTCAATCAAGGCGCGCGTGTTCACCGTGACAGCCTCTTCCTCCTCGAGACTGACCATCGTCTGATCGCGCAGACGCGCGAGATCTCTGGACGCGGCAGCCATGACGTTCTAGTTGACGTAGGACGTCCAGCCGATGTAAAGAAAAAAGTCCAAGGATAGGAAGGAATTCAGGACATGATAGGCTCCACAATCTTGTTCTTCAAGCGATTCGTGACAAGTGTTCTATGAGTTTCCAAAATCGAAGATGTTCTTAGTTTGTATTTCTGGGAAAGGTATTGACTAGTTATTATCCAGGAAGGTACGGTGGCGTAATGGTCACCCTCGATCGCTGCGAGATTTCTCGGCGATAACCAGGAAATAAGTCCGTGACGGCAGACTAGCGCGGTCGAGAGGTTCGAAGGAGACATCGATGGCTGCGCAGGTGACGAACGAGCCTCTGCTACTCTTATTCCTGGAGGTGTTGCAATTCATTGTGCTACTCTGTTGGAAATACCTCAATCACTGTTGCGACAGGCTAATGGATTGACGAGTCCGTTACTGATGTTCATTTTGGGCACTCTACCCATCATCGCTTTGGAAGCAAAACTCTCAAGAAAACCAGTGAAAGCTCTGTGTGTGACTGTTCCGAATGAGAGGTTCAAATATCGCTGACTACCTAGCAAGTACCAAGGTCTCGTCGTGTCAAACCAACAAGGGCAAAGTAGTTCAAAGGGCGCTGAGGCCAGAAGTTTGTCGTCAAATCATATCATTGGCATAGCTTATTGCACCGAGCGAACATCCATGCCGACAAGAGGTTGAAGATTACAATCTCAGAGATTCTGGCTCAAAGTTCCGCTTTGCACGTTATCTCGAGACGGCTTGTCGCACTGTTATTCTAAACGCTGTTGCGTAGAGTTTGCTGGCACATCGCAGAATACGAGAACACCGCAACCAGACCGCGAAGCGGCTCTGAATCTGCGCTCAAAATCCCTTGTCTAAAGGCATATGATTTGTCCGTTCTGATACTAGGTATAGCCCAACTCAATTCCATACCATATTCTCAAACCGATAATAACACCACGAACTCCGTATCCGATGACCAGGCGAGAATTCCACAGGGGATCTTGTCACGAAGGCACTGCAACTCATAGCTTCATCGCATGCGATGTGCACGAATAATCATGGTGACTCATACTGACTCGCCGAAGGTGTTCTCGCCAGAGTATCTGAGAAACGATTAGTATCATATCAAAAGTCCCCTTGCAGGTGCCCTGCGCTCATTTTGCTCTCAAACATACGTGATATACAGGAAACCGTCCTCATCTTTGTGCTCCTCGTAGATTGAGCTCATGAGAGCGGCGGTGGGTGGCAGGACCTCGTCGACGAAGATGAAGATGGCCTTCTCGGGGCTGAGCTTGATGCGCTTGCGGATGACGTAGACGAACTGGCCAACGGTGAGGTCGGCGGGAACCAGGTACTTCTTCTTGTCGATGGTGGCGATGTCGGACTTTTCGACCTTCTCGCAGATGACCTGTTCGCAAAAAGCGGTCAGTATCGATCGTAACGTTACAGATGCGCCCAACAGTATTTGCAGTTTGGTGGCGAGATTGTGAACGGAATGGAATCGACCATATCTAGAAACATACCGGGATTCTGTCGGCATACTTCTGTCGGATGCGCTCAGCTTCGGCCTTGCGCTTCTCGAAGGGGTGCTCATCCTTGAACTTGGAACGCATGATGACGCGGTGTGGAGGGTGGATTTGAGGTTTTCGATGATTTGGATATTTCCGCTGCGAGTCGTTGCGAAACTTCGCCGTTCGAAAACTGATGTTGATGAGTTGCGGTGGTAGGTTGGTGTACAGAAGAAGTGGTGGAATGAAGAGACGACGGCGGCGGCTGTGTGAAGCGATCAGGCAGATAGATACAGTACCCGCAGGGCTACCATCACACGTAGCTTTCCAGGTTGGTCAGCCGAAGCGGTAGGCAAAGCAGGCAGCCCTCTCTGGAGTCATCGTCTCAACTGAGCCACCTGCACCACCTGATGGATAGCGGGGGCGGTCTGGCACGTGCTAGCGTCATCAAGCCTTATCGCCCTGGGGAGAGAGTTCGCGAACAACTTACAAACCCAAGCCCTGAGACAGGCGGGCAGAGTAGTACCGCGTGCAATTGGCAGTCGAGCATGACATCGCGGCGTCCATTTCCGTCGAGAGCACATGATCTGCCGTTTCGAGTCATCGTCGACCCGATCATGATGCAAGTTCGAATGACCGGGCTATTACACAGTACCTAGTAGGTAGGTATAAACACGACCGCGAGCAGATTTCCATCGATACAACCCATGTGGGTACCACCTGCATTCCCGTGTCCTGATCAAACGCAAATAATTTATTGTACAACTGTGTCCCCTACTTAACCATACCTTGTCCACCGCCATATGAATAAACACCGCCCAGTAGCTGCACGCTTCCAGCAAGCTAACACACATGCATGAAATCAAACAAAGGGAAGAGAATGCAAAGCCTGATGCCTCAGAGCGTTGCGGTAGGAAAGTAATACTGTTCCCAAAGAAAGTCGTAATCCTCCACGAAAGTGGCTACCATGTCCAATAGAGGCTTTCCCTTGAGTCGTGATGATACACCCTGTACCATGACTTGTGTTACGTTTTCGTAAAAGGCGCCGCGCATGGCCCACCAACCGAGCGCCCATCCTCGTTTCTTGAGCTCGTCGCGCTCGAGTTGCGTGAGGCCGCGAGCACCTCCAGGTCGGCGAGTTTCGAGGTCGCGTTTCGCCAATTGCCGCGCGCCATACTCGATGCTCAAACCCAAGAGCCAAGGCCTCCAATCAGATTTGCCACGCCCATCATCTCTCTGACTGTAGTATGCCATGGCAACAGCGTAAATGACAGGCCTCAGGATGAACAAAAGCTCTGCGAATTCTCCCAGGCCGGCAGTGCGATGTAACAGAGCCGTCGGCGGCTTAATGTCATCCGCCGTTAGGACCTTGGAGAGGAGGTATGAAGATATGTCGTCAGGACTTGGAAGGGGAGGAAGTGTGAGAGATGTTCGAGGCATCGACCATTGCTCGCTGCCGGCTTCGGACCGCTCTGATGGTGGACTTGCCAGAGTCTCCTCGTCATGGACTTCCTTCTCCTCCAAGAGTTGACGTTCAGGAAGTGGTGGTGTCAGAAGCGGCCGTGAGTTTGTCAGTCGCATGAGTATTATCCGACAGAGCGCTTTAATGGACTCCAGAACTACGACCAAACGCCATTGCGTGCGCTCGTCACGCCGCTTCGCCATCATTTCCAGCAGAAGCTCCACATATTGCACTACCTGTAAAGTTGTCGCCGTTCGCCTGTATGTCTTGCTCTTTTGACAAAAGAATCGCGTATAGCGACTATGTGGTGTTTGATGTTTATGGGATGTGCGGATTGTTTGAGCGATCGCGCGCGAGAGAAGAGAGTCGTGATATAGTGCTAGGAGTTGCACGCCAGAGTTCAGCGACTCCGATGCGAGGTCGGAAGTTTGAAAAGAGCCTGTCACATAGTTAGATGGCCTGCGCCCTTTCCTCGTGAATGACACTGTGTTGATGGCGACCTACCCGGAATCAGGTATGTCAATGACCGCAAAGCCCCTTCAACCTGTCCGACTGCGCTCGCATTCTTCGTGATAAATTCATTGTACATCGCAGGCAATCTCACAACCATTTTGCTCTGCTCTGCAACGTCCTTGATGAGCTCCATATTGTCGAATGCGGTAGGCGCGCGGCCTGATGATGCTGTGATCTTTGCGAATTGTACTGCCAGTCGATATGCATGAGAAGGTGACGATCCGAGACATGCGACAGCCCAGCCAATTCGGAGGTTAGAGTCTCGACGTGGAGAACGCGGGCCCGAGTTTGTATGCCGAGGCTTGCCCTAAACCAGAGCGCTAGAACCGTCGTGACATTCCTACTTCGCGTCGTATTTATTTTGGCTCTTCGGAGTTATTAATAATGGAATTCTAACCTATAGGCATTGGTCTGCATCATACAGCAAGTTGGAACAATGCTTGACACATAGCTGCACAAAAAACAAAAGAAAGAAATTGCTGATTAGGAAGCAAATCATAAAGAAGTAGTAGATGTACATGAAGATGTGACTGCCACAGCAATGGGCCGCGAAGCATCCCGTGATGCAGCACTTTCTCTTTTCTCGCTTATTGTAAAGCCCATCATCAGTGATTGATCGAACGCGGTACGGAGCAGCGGTGCCAGCCGCAGTGTCGGATTCCCCTCCAATATATCAGACCAAAGAAAAGTAGAGATGGGAAGCATCTCTAATCCGTCATGCGCCAGCTCTCGAACCATTTGAGATGCTTGTTCTGTTGGTGAGGTCCAACAATACCGAAACAGAAGGATCGGAACAGCCAGAACAAGCCGAACACAGCGGCATAGAGTACAGTGAACAGAGACCACTGCACGACCGGACGAAGACCGCGGGTGTACCAGTCGAGAACAAATCCGCTGCACAAAATGGCGAAGTAGAGCGCAGGGTAGTAGTGGTGTACATATGTTACACGTGCCATGGCGATGAACGGCAGGTAGTGGAGGAACCAGCCCAATACTGGGTAAATTCCGGAGTATTGGAAATGGTCGATTTGGGCCCAGGTGAGCTCATCGAAACCACGCTGCCATCGAATGCCGTACCAAGCGAGCATGCCGAAGAAGACGAAGATGGAGAAAGTCGAGCCCCAGTACACCAGCGGATTACCGAGAAGGAAATATTTGATGATGTTGTCGTCCCAACCGCACATGCGGAGACCGACGTGGAGGATTGGCCATTGCCAGAATTTCGAAGCAAGATCATCCTGCTTGTCGGGATCCGGCACAAGTGCGTTGTTCGAGGTCATCATTGCCACGTTTAGATGAACAAAGTCGCGGAGGAATGGCGACTTGTATTGCCCGGGGTTTCCAGGTGGCACTGCGCACGGTTAGCATACTTCCGAACAAGGCATAGAACGCTCACTTACGCCTCTCGTTAACATGAGATTCAATGTTCCAGTGAGTGAAAGCGTCGCGAGGCTTGTTCTCCTTTACGCAAGTCACCTCGATTTGCTTGAAACCCCACTGCGGCAGATTGACATTACCAGCACGCAGGTAGCAGTTCAAATCGGTGTGTCTCAAGCGGAACGCGCTTGTCAAAGAGCGGAGCTTCGAGTAGTCGCGTGAGGCTGCGTCGCTGACGACCTCAATAGCCCAGTTGTCTTTGCTGTCACCAACAGTCAAGTTGCCGTATGCCGATACCTCATGGTCTTTCTTTGTGACCGGTGCGGCCACTTGATGAGAGTGAAGATTGCGACCAGTTTGGGCGTGGATGAAACGGACAACGTCATTGTTTCCAACGAATCGGAGTTCGCCTTCAGCATCATAATCCGGTTGATCACGAGTAGGGTAGAAGAACCAGTCGTTATTGGCATCTTTGTGGTGGTAGCAAGTGACTTGTTGTTGACCAGAGCCCTCGGGATATGTCTGGATATGCGAGTGCAAGAGACCACCGCCATATCCCATATTCTTCAGGGTCACACGAGATCCCAGAGCGACCTCAAGAGGACTGTCCCGACCAACTTCAGTCCCGCGGAGGTTGGCCTGGAACAACGAGGACATCTGAGCATCGCCAGGACCGCTGTTCTCGAGGATCAAAAAGTGGAGGTAAAAGTTGAACATGTACACCGCCAGTGGGATGAGAATTAGACCGACCACGCGGAAGCCGAGGTGAGCAGCAAGTTCAACTTTGGGCATCTTCGGCTTGCCAAATTTGTTCCACAAGTCTTCAATGGTGTAAATGCCAACCAATGCTGTTCCAAAGGCGCCAACCCACTTGACACTGCACACGCAACCGATGGAAATTCCAGTCATGAACAGCCAAAGACCCCATTCTGGTGAGAAAGGATCATGCCTCTGATTGTGAAACTTGGCCCAAGTGAAGACAGTGGTGAACGTAAAGAACAGAAGCATGCTGTCCAGCAGGATAAATCTGCTGATGGTCGTGTAGCTATTCTCGAACAAGACCATCATGGTCACCAACCAGACCGTGGGTCGCTTGAAATGTAATTCGCGGGCGGTGTAATAAGCCAAAGGAACGCAGAGCGCACCAAAGGCAGAATTGAATAGTCGCATGAATGTGTAGTTGAGCTCCTCCGGGTAGGTCTCTCCACTCTTGAACTCGAATGAACCATTATAGCCCGCAAGGTATCCCGATAACCCGACCAACATTTTACCCAATGGTGGATGAACGTCGAAGTAGAACTCGCGCTTCAGGTAATGAGAGCCGAACTTGCCGAAGTGAGCCTCGTCCCATGTCACAATGTTGGAGATACCAATCTTCCACATGCGTGTGAAGAAGGCAAGTGCTGTGAAGATGATAGGCGCAATCAGAAACTCGTAGTCGTCTAGTGTTTTGATGAATGAATTGGCCTGTCGTGAACAGCAGTGTCAGTGATGCACGCATTTCGAGTATGCAAGATAAGTCTCCGTAATCGCAATGTGACGAGTCAACACCTGGTACGCACCTGTTTCTTGCTCTTGTCATGGACTTTGTCGGCAAGCTCCTTTGCAGCATCGCTGCCGTTGAGCTGGTTATTGCCCACATTGCGTCTCCGTATGTCGCCTTGAAACTCAGCGCCTGTAGTCGACGACGATTTATTGTTTGCCGCCATGTTTGATGATTTCACTCAGGTGCAAGCACCAATGTGATGTTCTGGCGATGACGGGAGTTCAATGCGGCGCGTCGCGAAATATATTGAAACGTTTCCAGAAAAGTAATAATAGGATGCGACTTTCAGGGACCACCCCTCAGCCGAACGAATGGGAGTCTGGTCTTCGGGAAAATGGTGCAACGTGGAAAGAGCCGTCAGCTTCGTGGGAAAAAAGATAGGAGCATCGGCTGCCGCCGTATCAACGAGAAAGAGAGACGAGCGCGACCTTGCCGATACACGGAGACCAGTCGGTTGCAATATCCTGCAGTGCATCAATTTGATGAAATGCAGTGTTCACAAGAAAGCGTTCGCTATGGGCACCCGATTGGTGTTGGGGGCAGAGATCTTGGTTCACGGCGCATATTTTAAGCCAGCCAAGCTTGACTTCTTCAGGTGTAGTGCACATTTTGCGGTCTAGTCCGCATTAAAGAACAGGTGTCGACGATTGGTGAGTTACAGGAGACATACATAGTCATACAATAAAAATACCCCGAAAATATATTCAAGGAGAATGGATAGGGCGGCGAAATTGATCGCAGCTTTTCGAGCCGATTGATACTCAGCTCCTGCTTCGATCGGCGGCGAAATGAGGCTCAAGGGTGCTCAGGTGGACTCTGGGAGCTGACTAGCGATGAGTCCACTTCCAACCAGCATCTCTGCACGGCTACCTAGACACCGAGGGAATAGCGGAACGGCTACGAGGTCTCCCGTTGTCGTCATTTTTGGAGGTGTTTGGAAGGCATACAGAGAGAGGCGCAGGCAATGCTATAGTTAAACGACAAGCACATGAAGTATGCTCAATATTTGAGACAACGACTCTGAACTTTCCACATTTATGATGAAAGGTCATTCAATTAGATCGATCATAACGAGGTGAGTGTACCTTTAGTAAAGCAAGTTAACTACAGTCTGAGTAGAGGGTATCATGATGCTGTTCCAGCCAGAAAAGTCGACAAATCTCAAACGGAAAAAACAATCCATCATGCGACAAATGACTCGTCAATGAGGACGACCGTGTGCGTTCAGGCTGAAGGAAAGCGGCTTGCTAAGTGAGCAAGCCTGAAAGGAGAGAGTATCAATCAAAACCAAACCCCGCAATGCTAATCAATAAGTCGTATCATCGTAATCCTTCCTCCTCCAATTCGGTGCTACGGCCTTCCGCAGCACCGTCGTTCGTCAATGAATATTGATCGAGGCACCTTCATAGATACTGTCGGAACCAGTGCTCATCGAACCAGCCGACTTCATCGAACGCGGCCCAAAGTTTGCTTGCCTTGTTGACATCCATTGCTGTGCATTGTTGGCAAGCAGTTTTGTTGAAGGCCTTGCCCTCTTGCAATGTCTTCACTTTGGCCTTGAAGATGCGGCGTTTGTTGATGAGGTATTGGTTGCAGTGGAACCTCAACGTAGCTGCGAGCTCAATTTCCTGCGGGTGCATATACTGTGCATCGGGGTCGTTGGACAGATCCAGAGAGTCCGAAGTGCCCCAGCTCACGCGAAGCTTCCTTGCACCAGGGGTATTGAGAGATGCAGTGTCTGGGCAGTAGTCAACGAGTTTGGCCCACTCCGTATCTTTGAGATCATCGTCAACCTTCTTGGAAGCCTGGGCCCGAGTGTGAGATTTCGATTTGGCGGATTGACCTGGAGAGCCGCTTGCACCAGGGCTCATAGGCGCAACAGAACTGGTCCGTCGCCGACGCTTGATGGCAGGCGGCTGGGTGTTTGCCACTACGCTGGGAGCTGATGCAGCGGTTACTGCCGGGCCGCGTCGACGCTTCGGCAGTGAGGGCATTTGCACAGCCTCCTCGACAACTTGTTCCCGAACGCGCTTGTGAGAGACGACCGCAGGTGACTCACGCACCTTACATGCGTCATCAAGTGGCGGCCCATCAGGACTGCCAGGAGGCATCCCAATAATGGGGCCAGTCATACTTGGGCAGCTGTAGGGCTTGCCTTTCTTAATCCGTGGCGCTTTATTGAGCATGTCGAGTTGTTGCAAAGTGTGCGAGTCGCGCGAAATGGCAATTGAGATAGTCGGACGAGGAAGTTCTTTCTCCAGCTGCGCTCTCTCTCTACGCTTTGCTCGATGGTCAGCGTTCTGATGAACTATGTAACGAGCATAATCCACAGGGCCATGGTCGTATATCTTGTCTATGCCCACAACTGGTGGTAACGATCGAAGATATGCACGTGGGTCAAATGCAGACTGTTTGCTTTCGAAATGCACTGAGTTTGATGGCCCTAGTTGCTGGTTGCGCAGCAAAGTTGGAGAAGGCGAGCGTCGACTCGAGTCGCCGAACAGTGGCTTTTCGTTTGGTGAAGCTTTATGATAATCTGGATAAAGTACATGATCGTCTTGTGATGAGCAACTCTCATTCAGGTTGAAGGTGCCAAACGCTGGCGATACAGGCGTCGAGAGTCGGGCTGATTTGTGATCTGGTCGAAAGATTGGTGATCGTTGGTTGAAGTCGTCGGCGGGCGGTGTTCCTGGTGTGGGAAGACCGATATGGCCAGCCATGGTTGAAGGTTTTAGAGTCGTCATGGTGCTGTATTGTTGCGGGCTATCCATAGGCGACGATGAGTTGTGTAAGGCACTTCCGTACGACTCGTCAGATGGTTGTTGTTGGGCGAGACTCATTGAATATATATGCCTAGAGGGTGGCGCTGAAGTCGAAAGTCCGCCTAACTCCGAGCTCTTGAGAATGCGCCGATGGATCGTGAGTTGTGGCGAACAGCGGTGTTCGACGCAATGTTGTGCCTTTCAATTGCAGAAAAGCGAAGACAAATTGTGAGAAGGGTTATGAAGAGGCGCCGCAGGGTGAATGGGCGCTCCGGAATGTATAGCAGATGAATGATGGTATGACACTTGAGACTTGTCACAGCGCCGTGAAACGCTGGTTGGGAGCCTGATCAGGCTTCAGCGCGTGCACGGTAGTGGAACCGCGAGGGATCGGTGAGTAGCTCGCGTCAAGCAGGGATCAGAATGCGCATTGGAGAGAGGGATGTGGCGATTTGAAAGTCTGACGCTGTCGCGGAAGTACGTTGTCAAACGGAAAGTGTCCGAATGGAAGGAGAAGGAGTTCAGTAGAAGAGAAGATGGAGAGGCAATTGCATTGCTTACCGGTCGTCACGAGAGTCATTTCTAATACAACCTGAGAATATGGGAACCTACCGAGTCTTCCTTGAATAATCATAATGGGTGGAAGGCAATGGCGATACGTGGATGCGTGTGTGTGGCATGTGTGTGAGAGAGAGATCGGAGTGTGTGTGTGGTGGATGATCAGTCACAACGAATGCGACCGAGAGGGCGACGCGACCGCGCCAACAAACGTGAGGCGAGGCACACACGTACGCATGACCCACAGGCGGCAGCATGAGCATCAATCACATCAACGACCGCGCCAGCGCCAGCTGCCACGCCCACATGGTCGGATTGGCGATTCAGGTGGGTTCATTTGGGGGGACAGCTGGAGAGACAACGATAAGGTGATCGCTGACCAGCCAAGCTATTGACCTCCCAAAGTTCCAAGGTTGCAAGAGAGCAAGAGAAGGAAGTACTGAATGTGGTTGTCCAATGACGGTGGTGATGGTGGATGATGATGAGGTGCAAGTCGGTCATCCCGAGTGTATTGCGTATGCCATCATCCATCATACATGACAAGATCATTGTCCACGGCGACAACTGATGAAACGAGCGAGAATGTGCAGATGGAGATCCTGTACCCACCTCTCTCCGTTCACTGATGCACAGGAAGACCACGGAAAGCGGGCAGAATACTTGCGCGTCCACATACTGTACACGAGAATGGGCATAGGAGGCGCAAGTCATGCCCGGGCGAATGCTGTCAATCCAGGCCATTCATTGCGGGTTCGGGTGTCCAGGTAAGCAAGAATGTATGAGAACTGACGCTGAGGTGAGCAAGCACTGGCAAGTCCTGTGGGCCGCCCGTGGATGATGAGGCGGCGGCGCGAAAATGTGACTGGAAAGCACGCGAAGTCACCACGATTCGACCGGCGATTGGTCCCATGGCCGAAAGGTGTGGGACGGAAGGGGGGACTGAGCCACGGCCGATGATTTCACCGTGAATGAAGAATTACACGATTTCCTCCACATGATGAGCCAGAACTTGTACACCAACAAGGACCAGGCACACCCGTTCGTCATTGGACAGAGAGGAAACCATGCCACATCGCATTCATGCCCAACGAGCACATTCAGCAGGCTGCCCATTTCCTCGTCATTTATCATTGGAAATCGCGAGGTATGAATCATCATGATCGTTCTAAAGTTGAGTCCGGGTGACGCGCCGCCCGCGAAATGATGTGGACGCCGTGGTCAATTGCGCAAAGCGTCATCATCTTGGTTATTTTTACCACAGTATCATCATTATGAACAGCACCCAAGACGGGGCCAATGTACTGTATATTGCGAGGGTCGGGCGACAGCATCCAATGCCCCACCCCATCCCCGAAAGGTCGGGTGCTGTTGTGCATGTGATAGGTGACTCTTAGATGTGGCGCAGACCCGACTACGACAGCAACGACACGATAACGGGCTTGGTAGTCTCAACGACAAATGTTTTCATCCTCTAGTTCTCGTCCAACCAAGCTGCAATGCTCGTTGATGATATGGAATATGAAACAGGAAGGTTTGTTCTACTGCGCAACGATCTGACCCCGACTGTGACTCATGCCAGAGCGCTGTCCTCGACCAGGCAGCTGCAGGCGACGGCATTGGCCAGGCGAATGCGACTCTGCAATGATCAACCCCCACTCTCGGTCTTCTCGACATTCATCCCCCCGTCGCTCCTCCAAAGGCAGCAATTAACGCCGGCGGTGCGATGGCACCACCGGAATATCCGATAATAAAATCCGTTTAAAGAACATCCCGAATAGCTGTCTAGGATTGGAATTGCCCAATTCGGACAGCCTGGGAAGGGAGGCGACCGGAAAGTCTCATCCAGATTGCGCTCGTCGCCCTCTGCATACTGTAGTCGCAGATTTGCATTACTCTCGCCTCCAGTCGCAATTGCAATGCAGTGAGGCCTTGTGTTGATTGCGACCGCCAGTACGCGCCATCGGCAACAACCACGGCCGGTGGATGACGGGCGCGATTCACTTCACACAACAGCCGATATCCAGCTGGCGCTTCCTATTACCAACGCGATACACATTTTCGATACAGAGCAGCCGGGCGTCTGCTGATACCTCACCATTGTGCTCCAGCTCAGATTCAGTCACGTGCTTGTGGAGAGCTTCAGGGCTCCGCTCCATCTCGCTTCGTGACGAGGAACGAGATCCACCTGGGCACCCAGCGATAACAGCTCTGTGTTGAGAGACGATCGAGAGGTCAGCTGGCCCCATCCCGAGGTTCTTTGTTCGACCTCGATTGTCCACCTGGGCATCTCAAATCCACTGAAAGCCTCGCGCAATGTACTGCCCTCGGTACCAAGTCCTGCTCTCACCGGTTCTCCCCACTCCATCAGTATGTATGTCGCAAAACAAAGCGTGCACCACCTGCCCTCCATGGAGACGTCGCGCACCAGGCTCTCCACAGTTGTGATCCATGCTATTGCAGCCTTATCGCCTGAGTACCAGCGCAGGTTATCGGACGATGCGAGACGGATGCTCACTGGGCACACTGTTGTCCGATTACCAATGCTTACAATTTCTCGCGCTGCACAAAGCCCGGTAACTGTCCCGGAGTCCGACGAAAAGTGATCGAGATATGGGGCCATCTGTGATGACGCCGAGATTGTCAAGCGGCTTTGTTCCACAAATGACCTCCATCCTATACACATAGCAAGAGCAGACATGTGCCCATGAAGCAACCAGTCACAGCGTGTGCCCGCGTGCCAGGAGCAAACGCACATGGGCCAAAGTCAATGAGACAACCTTGGGAATGTGGCAGATGATCGCCACTCACCGCCCGCGTCAGCCCTGGCTTGTGATCGTCACCAATGGCTCAGCCCTGCTTGTGTACCTTCCGTACCCGGGCGAGCTGTCACTCCTTTGTGGATTATAGGCGTCGTCTCGTGACACACCCGGCCCCGTGCTGCTCCTGCCCCAATGTATCCCGCGTATATCCGCTCGCGCGAATTCACGGGTCCATTGCCCTTTCTACTGTAGAGTTGGCAGTCGCCTTCTGGGGCCACCTGGACTTCCTGCACCGCCGTGATTCTCAATGCGCTGCCACCAACGTCTCCAATGCGCGCACGGACTGACAGCCACGCAGGCCGTCCTGCATTTAGGTTATCTGAGTTATCTTAGTTGCCAGATCTCGTCTATCAATAGCAGATCGACGTCATGCGCTCGCCGTGAGCAGCCGTTGTGTCGAGGCTGCTCATATTTGAAATGATGCGAGATCAGTTGAAATTGCATGTGGCACAAGTAAACATAGGGGAATATGCAGTACTGGAGACCGCTCTCGAATTGAGGTCGGGCATCGGCGCAACACAGGGCCTTGCCGAGGTCGCTTCGGAGGCTATAATATGTTGAGCGCACGTTGATTTTGCTGGCAGCGAACTATCCTGCACTACAAGACATTGCTGCATCGTAAGGTGTAGACTGATGAAATGCACATGGCGAGAGGGGCTGAATGAAGAACGCATTATCAAAACATGGTATTGTGCGCACATGTTTAGCTTAGCGGATGAGTCTGGCTGCATTGAAAGCACTGAGCTCACCTGCAAACCAACTCGTGGTGCCGCAGATTCCCCGAGCTGTGAGATTGCATGCGCCGAGTATACTGCCAGTGACATGCTACCATGATTCAACGAAAGCAATGTCGCTTATTGCTTAGGTTGGTCAATTCGTCGTCCCTACTGGTATGGTGAAACTTTGTCCGGACGTTATCACTCTTGAGGCGCGACCAGACCAGTCTCCGGAATCTTCAATGTCAGGGCTCGATGCCACTAGTAAATTTGTTGCAAACGAATGCGACGAAATGGGAACAGACCACTTCGAAAAATTGTCCACGCCAATGAGTCTCGAATGGACCAGCTGCAGAGGTCATCCAGGCCACTCCGTCAAGTCGTGACGGCTCTCTTGCAATCAATCGAGACCACCGTTCCGACAGATGTTTCGACCGATGCAATGCAACATGACCTGCATAACGACGCATCGCCACGGACTCGACATATCTTCTTGACATTGCAGGTTCTGTTTCCAAACGAACTACTTCCCGCCCTTGATATCCTCGATCGCGGACTCGTCACTCGTCTGCGGTGCGTGACTGACGAGGCGGAACTTTCTCTGCTCCTGGTACAATCATCACGCTCGCAAAGCGACTCTCGCAAGGAAAGACATGCGCATGATACCAAGTCTACAAGATTTCAGAATAAGAGCAATGTCACATCCGACCTAGAGACAGATCTCCCACTGCCACCATGTCACGAGGTTCGTCTTGATGCATGGTCCTGCTCGTGTCCTGCCTTTGTTTTCTCGGCATTTCCAGTGCGGTCGGTGACATCAAACTCGCTTATCGTGGAAGCAAAGACTGCGGGAGAGCAAACTGTAACAGACTGGTTCTTCGGAGGCAAGTCCTGTGGCGATGAGCTACCTGTGTGCAAGCATCTCCTGGCATGCGTACTCGGTGAGCGTTGCGCCATCTTCCGACGGCGTATCCGCGAGCGAACCTGTACAGCAGAGGAGATAGCTGGATGGGCGGCTGGATGGGGTGACCTTTGATGGGAAGCGAAAGCTCATCTTGCAATGGGCCGCCTGTCTGTTGCTCTTTGTCATCCATGTTGAACCATGAAACCTTCCAGCGTCAGCATCACACTCTCCTCGCGGGATTTCGCATCGAAATTGCAACGGGTTCCGCACAGAAAGGAAACCACGTGTTACACACAGCTACATCGTCGAACAAGAGACAAGGGGTTCTTAGATCTTTTCTGGGCAGATCGAGCTGGTTTGGAAGCAGGCAGACGTGCCATATCATCTCACTTTCAGTATATCGCTGATTAGATGCACGAACCGTGTTGCTCAGGTTACCCCCGCTGAGTGCGCTTCGGAGTTCCGGCCCCTTGTTTCGTGATGTACATGCCACTCTGCCTTTTGCACGCACAGAAGTGTTCTGCGGACGCACGACAGTACAAGGAGCAGCCAGTCCACGGCAGTGTCTGGCGATGATGCACATCTCTTTCATAGCACGAATAGAACGAACTATCGCTGAAATGGCTCACCCGTGAATCATCATTTCTTTTTGCCCTTGTCATCTTTCTTTCCCTCGTCTTGTCCGTCCTTGTCTGCTGATTTCTCCCCTGCGCCATTGACCTTCGCCTTTTCGTCTTTTTTACCATCGCCTTCCTTAGTCTCATCACTCTCTTTTGCGTCGCCCTCTTCCTGCTGTCGCTTGTTTTGGATTTTGTTCTCGATCAGGTCGTGGAATGCTGTGATGGCTCGTATTAAGCTGGACAAGTAGATCGACATGAGCTGGTCATTCGTTTTGATGCTCATTGCTCTTGCAAGCTCTGAGTTCTCGGTGTTGCTGGAGGGCAGGCCGACCCCACCATTGACTGCGCTATTCACCGATGCAAGGTCTTTACCGGTCGGCTTAGGCGTCGAAAGGTTCGGAAGCAGGTTGAAGACGTCCTGGAGATTGCCGAGAATTGCATGATTTACCGGGAGTTCACCGTCTAGTACCTTCTGCAAGTATCCTCCGATGTCCTGTAGCCGCAGATGCAGCCCCTGCAAAGATTGCAGCTGACTTGTGATCCGAGTGCTGAGTGTGCCAACGGCAACGTCCCGAATGTCCCGTAGCAAGTGCTCAACACCAATCTCTTCCGCCTCCTCTGCCTCGATGGTACTCGGAGTATGAACGAAAGTTTTTGATGTCGTTGTGCCGTCCTGTAAATTGTCAGTTGCCTCGTTTTGACCCAGCTTCTGGTATGCCACGGAATACACACATCTTTGATCTCTTCAACAGCAAAGTATGCATCTGTGGGGACACCGACTTCCTTGGGAACGACGTCGATGATGACTAATAGCGGGTTGGGAGTATATCGTTTGAATAGTTCATTGATCTCCAGGTCACTTGCTCGCAGCTTGGGGCCAGAGTGATACCAGCCGATGAGCTTCTCCCGCGCATTGACTTTTTTGAACATGTCGTTCATTGATTCGACGTAGTTGTGATCCAGAAACCATACTGATGGATCTTTTTCATCCTCCTCGAAAGGTACTATATGTCGTCATTAGTCGCGTGCTTCGATGGCAGCAAGTACCTGTCTTCTCAGATCCGTGGTGTCACACCTGCGAAGCTATTTGATACCCGTACGCTCTTGCCATCGTTCTGTCCCAGCAGTACCCCTACTACTCGTCTTCGAGTGCCTTTGGCTGGAGAACGACCATAGTGATCAGCAGCGGATAAAAGTACAAGAGGCGCCACTGAAACTGTGCGATTCACGATGCTCAGCGTTTCCGCTGTGGTGGCCGGCATCTTGCCTGCTCAGTCGAGGGGATCAAAAGTGGTGATATATGGGTGCGTCGTTGCGGAGTCCAAGCAGTGTCCTTGCGATGTACTGTAATGGTGATGTTTCTACCACGCAATCCGTACCTGATAATGTGTACCAGACTGACTACATACGTACTGACTGTGGAGCTTCCGTCGCGCGCGGCGGCAAAAGCGGCGGATAAAGCCGTGCCCGCATCAATGCTTGGCAGATGGTGCCTGTCACTGATAGAGGCTCCCATCCTACCAGTTCCAGGTCCAGAACAGTCTCTGCCCAAGATCCCTGGTGGGAAAAGTCTTTCTGCGCTCAAGTCTAACATCATGGCCATAATTGCAAGTGAACAGCGTACTCCTTCTCCTGCCGAAGTCGATGAAGCTGCTGTGAAACCGGAGTCTGATTCCGCGCACACCACCACGCTTCGAGACGATGCGGTTCAGACTTCGGACGGTGCACTAGTGGACGCGTCGCCCACCCGGAAGCGCGATTTCGAGAGCTCGGAGCTGTATATGAATGTGTATGAATACGTTCGAGAGTATATGTCGCGTTATGATTGCTCACACGATTTCAACCATATCCTCCGTGTGCTTGCGCTTGCAAAGCAGCTACTAGCTGAAGAACTGAAGGACAACCCGTGGAAGAAGTTTCACAAGCCGGCCATCATTCTGGCAGCTCTTCTTCACGATGTCGGGGACAAGAAGTATGCGCAGCCTGGTGAGGACGCTGAGCAGCTAGTGAGTCAATTGCTCTCAAAGAACGGCTGTCCGCCTCGTTTTGTGGCCAAGGTCGCTTTGATTGTGCAATACGTCTCATACTCGGGCGAGATACAACGACCGCAATTGGTCAAGGCGATCATTGGCGCGCATCCCGAACTCGCCATCGTCCAGGATGCCGATCGCTTGGATGCTATTGGCGCCGTTGGAATCGGACGCGCATTTGCGTACGGAGCGATGAAAGCCCCTGCTCGTGGCCTGCAGGGCTCGATCGACCACTTTGTCGAGAAGTTAGAAAACATCGAAAGCATGATGAAGACAGCCACAGGTAAGCGTCTCGCTGCAGAGCGTTCGCGTCGACTCAAAGAATTTCGACAATGGTGGGAGGAGGAAGTTGGAGAGACAACAAGCTGTGGCAGCTGAGAGAATTGAAAAGTGGGTTGAGAAGTACTTGTCCATACAGCGTCAAGCGACCTCCGCGAGATGCGCTCGTGCTCGCTATTAGCAAGGAAGAGTCTGGGAAGGTCAAGCACTTAACTCCAGACCCCCTGTCATTTTCTCTTCAGCGCACTCTCGATTCTGGAAGGACAGCAGGTCGAGCGTTTCATCCCGGCAATATACAACAGACGACTTTCACTCTCGAGGCTTGTATTTGAAACTTCATCCGGACGATCAGCTAGCCCGACATGGCAGCGGATGAAGCCTCTTAACCAAGATTGGCCAATCTCGTCCGACATCAAACTCCTTGTCGGCGTAACATGCAGCTATCCAAGGCGAATCCCGGCAACTGGAACCTGTCGAAGAATGATCGATTATTCCAGGTGTCCATTTATACATACACGGTGTAATACAGGACGTGGAAGGGCACGAGGCAAGTGCCCATACGATTTCTGACGGCTTCTGCCTCAAATATCCGACGCTTCACCACCTGATGCCTATCGCCACTATCGAGTCCTTCCGCCGCCATGAAATGTGGGCACAGTGTCCCGTGGAATATTGTTCGTCTTGCCAACAGGTCACTGCCAATTCACGCGAGACTCGATGACGACGATGAAAGACCTTGACAGACTGTTGGCGACAACCGGAATAGCCGGTGTGATGGCCTCCATTCTTGCATATGTGTGAGGCACTTGTTGTCCTTGTGCTTTGAATGGGGTGCTCGCAAGTATAACGCAAGTGCGAGACGATGTCGCTTTGAAGATCTCACGTCAAGGCACGTCCCACTTAAATTCTTTTAATAATGACAGATCGTTCGGCGACGACGTCATTTTTGGCGTTGTCACGAATGCACAGATGCAGCCAACAGAGTAATGATTTGTCTTCACCAGTACTTGTAATAAACCCTTTTCTGTTCATCATGCAGACTGGATTGTATCATTTGGACAAGAAGCTTTCCCGAGGTTCGTTGTGATTGCGGCAGTTGCAAACAATGAAACTGGAGTTGCGCACTATTTTGCCCGAAATCGAGGTCTCCTTCCCCACCCAAATCGGCAATGTCGAAACGTCTCCAATATCGTGCAGAAAGTCAATGCGACAAATCCCCCGCTTGTAACTCCCTGACGTCGTACCCTTGTCGGATCGCTCGTGATAGGTCGCTCACTAGTAGGACTGATCACACAGTTGTCTTTATTAGCTCGACAGCGGATAATGACCACATCGCTGTCAACAACACATGGCGACAAGGCTCGTCCGATCTCTGCTGCTCGTCACTCTACCGCACCGATCATCATGACGACAAATAGCCACTTTGCCGGCGCCAGTGCCAATCTGTCGTCGGCGGACTTCGAACACGGAGTACAAATCATCGACGGAGACAAGACTTTCAATCCAAATCTGCCTCAATATCTCCAGATAGAAAATGTGGTGCGCGCGGGCTTTAATTACCATGTCATTGCCGTGTTCGGTAGCCAGAGCACGGGTAAAAGCACCCTCCTGAACTACCTCTTCGGCACTCAGTTTGGCGTGATGAGCGAGAAAGAGCGACGGCAGACTACAAAAGGCATCTGGATGTCCAAGAACAAGAAGGAGCACACTGGCGCTGATGGAGTCAAAACAATGGCAGAAAACATATTGGTCATGGATGTTGAAGGTACCGATGGACGTGAAAGAGGAGAGGACCAAGATTTCGAACGCAAGAGTGCACTATTTGCCTTGGCCACCAGCGAAGTACTCATCGTCAACATTTGGGAGCATCAGGTTGGTCTGTATCAGGGCGCCAACATGGGACTTTTGAAGACCGTCTTCGAAGTGAACGTGCAACTTTTCCTCAAGGACGCGAAGAGTGTACCGCGCAGTCTGCTCTTCTTCGTCATTCGTGACCATATCGGGACTACACCCTTGGAAAACTTGAAGAATACACTCATGCAGGACCTGTCACGGATATGGCAATCGCTTTCGAAGCCATCAGCATTAGAGAAAAGCAGGATTGAAGACTATTTTGATTTCGCGTTCGTCGCACTCCCACACAAGCTCCTACAGCCAGAGAAATTCGAGCAGGCTGTCGCGCAGCTAGGAACACGATTCCGAGAGGGCTTTAGTGATTCCAAGTCAGGTCCCCACGAAGGCGACTCCTCAGCGCTTCTGTTGCCTCAATATCATCGAAGGATCCCGGCCGATGGCTTTCCGATGTACGCAGAAGGCATCTGGGAGCAAATTGACAACAACAAGGATCTGGATCTGCCGACGCAACAAGAATTGCTAGCTCAATTCCGTTGCGACGAGATTGCGAAGGAAGTCCTTGCGCTCTTCGATGAAGTCGTGTTGCCCTTAGAGCATTCGCAAGCCGATGGCATTGCTGCTGGAAAGCCAATCATTCTTCTTGAATTGGGAAAGATGATGGTTTCTGCAAGACAAACAGCGCTTCAAGGATTTGAGGAGGAAGCGAGCCGTTACCACAAGGGAGTGTACAAGCGCAAGCAATCCGAGCTCGAGACTGTTATTGATGGTAGACTGAAGGTGCTCTTCCTCGGGCAACTTAGTGCTGCGCACAAGAGCGGGGTTGCTGAGTTCAGTGAAGCTGTCAGCACAGCCGTCAAGGCTGGCCAGAAGAAAGGGGCCAATTACGACTTTCATGAAATCGTCGAAACGGAGAAAAGGCTGGCATTGCAACGATACGAAGAACAAGCGACTCTTGCATTGGTAGCTGGTACGCCCTGGAGTGACTACAAGCAGCAGCTGGCTCTTTATCGCAAAGACCTTGACGAAGTGAGCTCGCGGCTGCGACAAGATGAGATGCGCCGCCTGGCGACGAGAAGCGAGCGCTGGGTGCGCAGCAAGCTGGGCGAGAGCATCGGAGTGGAATTCAATAAACTTGGATCTGGCCGTGCAGGTGGCGGAGCTCCAGCCGATGGTAAGAAGCCACCAGAGCGCGACCTTTGGGATCGCATCTGGAATGTCTTTACGGACACGGTGTCGCACGCCGAGACGCGATTCACCGAACGAGCTCGCAGCTTCGATGCCACGCCTGATGAAGTCGAGGTTGGCTTGTGGCGACTCCGTCGCAAGTCCTGGGGCGCACTCCGCGATAAGGTAGATGAAGAACTTATGGAGGGCAATCTCCTGCTCAAGTTGCGTGAATTCTTCGAAGACAAATTCCGTTATGATGAGGAAGGCGTTCCGCGGATCTGGCGACCGACCGATGATATCGAAGGGCTGTACACGCGTGCTCGTGAAAGCACTCTCGAGCTCGTTCCTTTGCTTGCCAAGTTTCGATTATCCAGCACGACCGCGTCGCCTCCACTCGATGCATGGATCAGTGAACCGCCAGCCACCGTCTCGACTGCCGACGAAGAGGATTTGCAGCCCATCGGCGGCGTTGACTCTGACGAGGGCAAGACGCTCGAAGAGGAGATGACCATGTTGAGTGATGCTAAGCAACAGGACTTGTCAGCACGGTTCAAGAAGACAGCAGATGGCGTATATGTCGAAGCGAAGCGAAGCGCCATTGGAGGTGTTACTCAGGTGCCTCTTTACTTTTACGGACTGTTGCTTGCTCTCGGTTGGAACGAGCTGGTTGCAGGTGAGTTTCAAATCGCGTGCATCACCGCAGTTTATGAACCATTCGGCGGTCCGGATTCTCAAACGGCATACTGACCAATATTTCTAGTGCTTCGCAACCCTGTCTACTTCATCTTCCTCATACTTCTCGGCGCTGGCGCCTATGTCACATACACTCTCAACCTATGGGGCCCGATGCTTCGCATGACCAACGCTGCAAGCACACAAGGTCTTGAAATCTTCAAGGAGAAGTTACGTGAATTTCTTGAAACCTCTGAGACAGGCCGACAAGCTATCGGCATGAGTCAAAAGGCGGGCGGGCCATCTTTCCGGTAAGTCTTACACCCGGAACTAGTCATATTCGACCATTACTGGTTGAGATGATCACATTTGCTGACAACTTGCTGTTTGTCAACAGTATGGACACTCTGCATAGCAATGGCACGACCAAGGCGAAGGCATCCAGCGCCGATGACGACGTTGACGAGATCTGATGATATCAATGTCTAGAACGATTCTTTGACGCGAGCTTGCCCAGGTGGTAATCTTCCCTTCTTGCTGGCGGACCACAGTTTTAGGATAAAACATGGAAGATGTCGACAAGTTGGTCGATCACCATGTCTATCGACTGTCAACCGTCGCTTTCATTGCCGTCCAGTTAAATCAGCGAACTGAATATGTTCTCCGCGGCTTTCTTGCGTGCCTGCCTGATATTTCGGTCTCGCCGTCATGACCGTGTGCGTAATCAGCGAGAAACAGTATCGCAACAGTTTTATGGCTCGGTCAAGCCACGAATGTGGTTCATATGTCGTGAGCCAAAGCCAGGTTTCTATTTTGAAAAATTCATGGGAAGCAACATATCATATATTACAAAGTGTATATCAGTCGATTTAGTTCTTCCTCTTCCTGGCTGCACTCTTCTCCTTCGCAGAGCTGACTGCCGCCGCCGGTGCATCGTTCAACTCTCTGATGGCCTCGCCATCAGCGTCGGTAACCTTGCCTGGTGTTGGCGCCGCAGACAATGGCTTCGCCGCAGCTTTGCTCTCAGCCTCTTCGTCGTCACCGCCCTGGCCAAATTCATTGATACGAGTGTGGTCGACCTTGTACGCCCAAGCCTGGTATAGGTACACGAAGAAAATAACATCGTCACGGAGCGTGGCTAGACGATGCAAGAGCGGCATCTTAATGGTGAAGGCAAAGAGGTCGTCAATGAAGGTGTTAAGCGCTTTGTACATCATCGTGCGAGCAGGCATGTGCGCGACAGATTTAAGGCGGTAGTTGATGTAAAGGGCGGGTACCTGGAGATTCATGTTAGCTGCCAAATCCAAATCTGCAATTGTGTGGAACTAGTCGATCGCTTACCATCATGAGGAACCCATACGCGTAGACGCTGCCTACGAGAGTCGTGATGACAAAACTGTACCAGCTCTTGTGGGTTTCGTACAGCAGCGAGTAAACGGCATATGCCGCAAGTAGCGGGACTGCGACAATGCCCATGTACTTGAACGCAATTCTGTCGTATTCTTCCGTCTTTTCTTCCGTCTCGCTGAGCTTGTGCTTGTCCTCGAATACCACTGTCAAAGGCAGGCCGAACTTGTGCGCATAAGAGCCTGGCGCTGGTTCGCGTAGACGAACATTGACGGCCTGCGTGACCTTCCATGCTTCGATGGCGATGCCCATTCCCTGTCCGAATAAAATCATCCATGAAGTATTTTCGTTATTGTCAATGAGGTAGAGGAAGATGACACCCTGCATGAAAACATTGGAGAGAATGGTGCGAACAGATACGCCGACGTTATCCTTCTTCTTGCGCCAATGGCCAACGTCGGAGGAGAAGGCCAACATCTCGAATATCATGTGTAGAATACTGACCACCACAGTGGTCCCGAGTAGCCAGACATTCGTGTCCAGCAACGTCTCCTTGATGAGATCCATCTCACTGCCATCTCCTCCTCCAGGTGTGGTCTGGCCGTGTGCCGCTTTGCGCGCAGTCTCCTTCATTCCCTCATCCAAGCTGGTCATGATGCTGAATGCCCAATTGTGTAGCGTGCCTATGTTGATATTGATGGGCAGGCGATCGATTGGAAGAGTCGAATTCAGTTCAACCATGTGCGGTTTCAGCTGCCAGAAGGTGTTCAGATAGAGCACAGGGTAATACCAGCCATTCTGACCAGTCGCGTCGCGAGCTCCTGTAGACTCCAGGACGTAATACTGCTTGACCGCTGGATGAAGCTGACCATAGTTCACATTGCCTGTTTCCGGAATGAAGGAGAGTGTGAAGTTTGGATGATAGAAGGATCCGACGATGGGCCCCGTGGGTTCTTCAATCTCTTCCTCTACGAGTGTTTCCGTCTCATTCTTCGCTTCAAGCAGATTGCGCGCTTTGCGCACTTTTTTCTTTGCAAGGTACTGTGTTAATGGGCGGAGCATGCGATACGCCTTGGAGGTATCGTATGAAGCAGATGAAGGGTCGAGGACGGCGCCGGTCTGGGCAACGAATATATGAGCCCATAAGGTGCCATTTGCTTGCACGCTTTTCGGGACCTGGAAGCTGGAATGAATCTCGCGGCTATCCTTCTCGCTACTTGCGAGAGAGAAGTTCCTCTCGCGAACGATGAGACTCTCGGCAGGCATGGCGCTGAAGCCAGGCATGATGACGCTGGACGAGACATACAGCGCAATATCGACGCTTGTGTTGGCGGGCCACAAAGGATGGAGACCCTGTGGGACGGACGCATACTGGTAGTTATCAGCCTGAGCGCCATCAGTCGCCATCACTGGACCTGGAGGAGCGTTGTTGGTGCTGCCGCCGCCCATAAATTGGCGAATGGCGACTTGCATAGCAATGAAGATGGCGAGATTCTTCCCGATAGACCACAGTTTATCCTCCCATCCATTGGCCGCTGGGGCGCCAGGCTGGCCGGCAACCGCAGGCGCTCTCACCCGTTCTTGCGGCATGTCAGTGTAAAAGATGGATAAAAAGACGGAGGAAGATGTAAACACTTAATCCGAGGTGGTGGAAGCTTCTGTCATACCATGTAGTTTGGGCGTACTATGCTTTTGGCTTCCCCGCGGAGGTGTAGGTATGTAGTATACGGCAGTGGCTCAAAGCGGCCAGGCACTCACCCCCACCCAGCCCAAATCGTTCAGCACCGGCTTGGTATTACAGCAGTCAGATCGGATAGGGCACTCCGATGACTTGAATCTACATGTTCCTTCTTTCTCTAGACTTTCTCAAACCTCATCGATTATATCTCCTTGAAGATGTTTCTCATGAAAACAGGCATACATACTACAAATAAGTATTGTAACCCTTCTTTTTGTCATATGAAGTAGAGAAAATACGTAAACGGCTCGATTTCTCGTAATACTTCAGATCAGTCGTATAGAATATAGACCGTCGGGGCGCCCCGTCGAATTGGACCGACACATGTTGCCTAGGTAGTTAGTACCTAGGTAGGTATGCAAATGCAGGCCGCGGTGTAGTAAAAGCGTAAAGTGATGTGATCACACCTGGGCAGGGATTGGAACGAGGTAGGCTAGCGGATCTCGTCATGGCTTGAACGGGCTACTTGCTAATGAGGGTTGGTGAAAGTGCAACAAGTACTTGGGTCAATAGAGAGTGAAGCTGGAGTGCTAGCAATTCTAATCGGTCTGAGCCACCGTCGTATCGCGGGAAAATTCACCTGTTGAGAGTGCCTATTACAATCTTTGAACCCCCGAGGTCTCATACCCTTTCCGACGGCGGCCTGGGCATCGCCTGAGTGCAGGAAATGTGAATCGAGCCCCATCTGCGCGCCCTTCGAATTCTCTCACGACTGTTGCGAGATCCAATGGCTTCGGGGCTTTCGTCTTTCTCATCCACCACGTAGTCTTCGAATGCGCGGACACCCGTGCAGCGCTCACTCAATCCAGGATCAGGAGCAGGCGCAGATTCCATGAATTAACCTCTCCAAAAGAAGGTTCATCGCAAAGGCCATGATGCAGTGTGATCAAGTGATAACCATCTGGGCGCATGCGACAAACTTTATTCGATCCACATTAAGCATCGTCGATCTTTTTGTACACCAGTGATGTATTGATGGAGACTAATCAAGTATGTCTATTAGTCGATGCGCGACAGGTCAACATGCATATATTAACACAGTGCCCCAGGCGGTTGCTGGCTTTATTAATCTCTCGCTGTTTCTCTCCATACTGTCGTCATCACCTCTTCATCTCAATTCCAACCGCAATCATGGCCGCCGAGCCTGCGATCCCATTCCAGCCTGGCCCTACCACTGCAAAAATCGCCTTTCAGCATGAAAACAAACAGCATGCCTTCGTCACGGTCGGCACGATCGAGTGGGCTCGATACCCGACTACCCTAAACAACGTCAACGTACAGATCAACGATCTCCGTACGGCTCCCGAGTTCAAACCGACCCTAGATAGGAACGGCTTCGCGAAAATCGAAGGACTCAAGCCACTCTCGGCGGCTCTAAAAGAGGGCGATGCCAAGGTTCTAGAGGATGCCTACGCCTGCACCACCGAGACCTTGAAGCGCGAGTGTGTCATCAGCAACCCACCTGGATGAACATGTGTCTTCGCCAATGTTGACGATCACGAATTTCTAGAACTGGTTGTACGGAGGTCCACATCTTCTCTCACGTTGTTCGCCACGACCCTTTCCAGCGAATCCTCGACATCCCTGCCGATGCCGACCCTTTGACAAAGTGGCCTTACAAGACCCCTACCCAATTCGGTCACGTCGGTAAGTACAATCCGAACGTGTGTTGGTAGGCACTGGGCATGAAGCAAAAAGTCTGCCGAACCTGGCAAGAACGTATGCTCCATCGACCGTAGCTTCGAAGTTTTACTTTCGCAACAAACGATGCTTACGTGTTTCACGATTTAGACCAATCCTACGCCGGCGCTGGATCCACACTCGAGAACACACTCGGTCGAATTCCTAAGGAGCGTGCCGAAGTTCTCCGCAAGCTCGGCAAAACCCGTCGATGGGCCATCATCAATACCTGGCGCCCTATCGCTAACGTCTACCGAGAACCTCTCGCCGTCCTTGATAGTACGACCGTCTCTGACGCCGACTTCTGTACTCTGGAAGTCGATCCCTCCGTTCTGTTCGGCGCCCCCTCGCCCCGTACAGAACTTTGGCAAGCAGTCTACCGACCTCGACATAAATGGTGGTACGTCAGTAACATGACGAAAGAAGAGGGTCTCCTATTCAAGTGCTTCGACACCCGTATAGAGGACGGCGAGAACGCAACCTGCCGTCGTGCTCTCCACGCAGCGTTTCAGCACCCTGAGGACAATGGCCCACCGCGCCAGAGTTGTGAGTTCCGGGCCTTCTGCTTCTGGGATGAGGAGCGCACCGGCGATGCTGTAGAGCATGCGTACGAGAACTCATTCCGCGCGTCTGTCGCGGCGGCATAGACGATTCCTTTATCATTCATGGGATTGGAGATATTCAGGCATCCAGTTAGACATCGATGAGTCGCAGGGGAGTGTGATGAGGAAGTTCGTGGTTACGAGAAAGCCTATGCATACAATCACCCAAGAAAAGCGCTTTCTAGTACGCGATGGTGGCTGTCCCCTTCTAATGGATCGCCGCAGTACGTTCATGCGTGGGAGTTAATTTTGCTAGCCCTCAACATTAAAGGCGTCCTGAACGCCTTGGTAGAGCGATCCTCCCAATCATCAATGTCCCAGGTTGGGTTATCCAAATCGAAATCGAAGGCGAGCACCAGTTTCGCGAGGATGAGACGGATTTGAATATCGGCCAAACTGGTTGGAGAGAAAGCTTGGTTAGCCTGCATCGTCCCAAATTGCTGTGGTATTCCACAATTGGCGTCTAGGTCAAGCGTTCGCGGGGGCTGGGTACTGACCTTCTGCCAATGCAGCGGCGGGAGCCCTCGGTATACGAGACCATGTGCTGGTTCAAAGACTTTCCAGCCTCGCCTTCCCAGCGCTCGGGCGCGAAGCGATTTGGCTCACTGAAGATTGCTGGGTCATGATTGGCCATGCCGATGTTACCACCGACGACAACCTGCAAGCACAGTGTGGTTGATTAGTCTTTAGAAGACACCAGCGCAAACAAAATTTGGAGGCCTTACGTTGGCTGGAATGTGATCGTCTCCGATTCGTGCTCCGTCCCTAGGCGTTACGCGCGGGAGGACGGCGGTGACGGGGCTACCCATTCGCAAACCTTCTTTCGCGAAGTTGTCCTAGAGAAGGGAAATTTGAATCAGTCATGCCCATTTAATCGTTCGGGTAATGTATGAAGGTAGAGCAGATGACGCACCAGGGAAGGGGTGCGGACAGCTTTCTCCCACGGGTACTCAGGGCCATCCGGATCTCCAAGCTCACGGAGCTCCTTTCGGATCTGGCGTTTATATTCGGTATGCTTGCAGAGATGATACATGATCCCTGTCAAAGTCAAGGCGGTAGTCTCTGTGCCGGCAAGTAGCAGCACGTATGAATGTCCCACAATCTCTGTGAGGGGAAGTGCTTTGAGATTGGTCTCTAGATCAACATCCTTCGATAGATGGGGTTCGACGAGCCTGTCAATGATTGATTGCTGCTCCGAGTCGCCGCTTGAGCCACGAGCAAGGAAGTTCTTAGCAGCCTCAAGTGCCAAGTTGACCGTTCGCTATGAAGTAATGTTAGTACGTAGTCTTCAAGTAATGTGTCCTCTATGAGCCTTACCTTTCGGAATCGTGCGTAGCCTGAGAGCACAGGACCAATGAGCCACTCTGGTAGGACAAGCACAAGATCGCACAAGCCGGGGATCAAAGTGACTGGCGGTACCGGTCAGAAGTGTTCCACATTACGACGTAAGCCCAACGCACCATATTTTATAGTCTTCATGAACATTTCAATTTCATCCAAGACGAGCGCTTTCTCCCGGAAATTATCAGTGAGTCGGGGATCAGTGCCTAGACAGATGATGGAGATGATGTCCCACTGCAGCAATAGGCATTAGCACCAGGTTATGCTAATGCTCAACGGGCGAAGCCTTACCGTCGCTCGGGCGAAAAGCTTCTGGACGCCGACAGGCTCATCCCGCTCGACAGCATCGTAAATGGCGCGACCTGTCATATCGGCCTTGGAGACCAGGATATCGAAACGTTGATCAATCGCCTTCTGATTCAAAACTGGTGTCATGAGCGCGGCCAATGCTTGATGCCGGCGTGGGTCTGTTTCGGACACAATTGAGCCCGCGAGACCCATGCGGAGGTAGAAAGCTGGATCCTTGAGGATCTTGTTCTGGTTGCGATATATGCTACAGCATTGTAGTTAGCACTTGGACATCACGAGCGGCACTGGAGTCGCGCGAGCAGGTCGCTGATGGGCCGCTTAGATTTCCTGCACGTACTCATGGTGATGCCGCGAATCCCCGACGTGTAAATGGTTCGGACCGATGCGAATGATCGGAGACTCTGTTCACAGGTCAGCATAATGAGAGCGGCGCCTTGTGACAAAGTTCCGTGTTCTTCGTACTGTATTGTTCGTGAAGGCGAGGCAACAGTGCAGCCATTTCTTCTTGATGAATAAACCGCCATACATTGCTTAGGGCTGCTAACCGCGGCCCGGGAAATCTTGCCACAGGATGCCATACTAGTTGGTATGCAATGTAGATGAAGACCAACGATATCGTCGTGCCCAGCACAGTTGTGCGTGGATACGTGAGAAGCAGATTTGTGCCGAGAGCATGAAATGAGCCCATTTTCGAAATTGAAACCCGAAGCTAGGGAGTTGAATGAAGGTCTTCAAACAAAGATACAGGCGCAGACCAATAGACCAATGGATGTTCGTTCTCGGGTTGCCGGAATCTTTATGTATCCGACAACAGCCCTAACGTTCCACCCATGCATGGACTCCAAGGTAGTCTGGTACGAAAGGCGACTGGAGTAGGTGCACAGGGGAAAGGTAAGAAGTTAAATTTGGTTGAATTCTTATACGAGAAATAGTCACAAACTAGTCCTGACAGGCGGGCTATCAATCGATGTTTCATGTGTCACTCCCCGGCGAGGCCTGTCTGGAATGTGACGTCCTCCTTTGCTTGCTCTCTAGTTATATCTTCCAGCCATAAAAATGCTTGCAATCGCCATCAGAATTCCATCGCCTTGCCTCGTTCGTACGAATCGTTGTCCGCCTTCCATTTTAATAAAGTTATAAAATGACTTACGCTGAACCGAAATCCAATTCCCTCGACACTCCGGACGACTCTCCCCCACGATCATTCCGTCATGAGGCACATCCATTGGAGCAAGAGGTGACGAGGGTGACCGATGACTGGTTTCTCGACAATTGGCCATTCGAGAATGAGAAAGCTCGCAAGAAGTACGTGGCTGGCGCCTTGCCAGTGGTGACCTGCAATTATTATCCACGTGCTTCCAGGGAGCGTGTCATATTCGCCTGCAAGCTCTTGACCATCCTCTTCCTCATGGATGGTCAGTATCAATCCCCGCATGAATCCTGCACTCACCGCTCTCTCTAACACTCACCACAGATGTGCTTGAAGAAATGTCACTTGAGGAGGGTAAGAAGTACAACGATGCCCTGATGCCTGTAATGGCAGGTCAAATGCTCCCAGACCGCACCTCTCGCGAACAGTTGATGATGCGGGAACTTTGGGAAGGAATGCGGGCTTGTGATCGGGAGCTGGCGGACGACCTTCTCGAGCCTACATTTGAATTCATGCGTGCCCAAACGGCCCCCATCCGGCTCAACCTCACGAGCCTAGGTCAGTACCTGCTGTACCGGGAAGAAGATGTCGGCCTCAAGCTTCTTTGCTCAATGCAGCGCTTCAGCATGGGGGTGCATCTGACGCCCGCCCAGATTAAGACGGTGGAGCTCATGGAGAAGAACGCTTCGAAGCACATTAGCGTTGTCAACGACATTTACAGTTTCGACAAGGAATTGCTCCAAAGAGCAGCGAGCCAGAAGGAGGGCTCAGTACTATGCACCGCCGTCAAGGTCATGGCGGACGAATGCGCCTTCAGCTATGATGCGGCAAAGCGTGTGCTGTGGTTGACGTGTCGCGAGTGGGAGCTTGTCCACCAGCGCCTTGAGGCTAAGCGTAAGAGCGAAGAGGGTTACACTCCAGAGTTAGCGCAGTACGTGAAGGGATTGGAACTTCTGATGAGTGGTAATGAAGCGTGGAGTGCGACCACTCCTCGGTATCATGGTTATAGCCTTGCATGAGCTGTTTGATGAGACCGCCGCAAAGTCCTGAAGTTTCGAGAGAACTGTATTAGGAGGGACTGTCTTCGAGTAATAAGACACAGAGATCGCAGAGGGCGAACGACTCATCCGATGGCAACTTGTACCTGTGCGGCAGTCAGCGAAAAGGAATTGTCTCGCGGATGGTTGGATATTCCTGATCATAACAAGCCCTCCACATGAAATGGTAGAGCATGCGGGGGCTCCCCGAAACTCTTGGATGACGCACCCTAGTCTAGTCGTGAATCTAAAGTTCCTGGTACGGATAGCCAAAAGTGTTAAGGTTATCGCGATGCCTGTACCTGCAGCTGGGCATTAGTGTGCAACCTTAGTCCTCCTTAGCGCTGTGTTCTTTTCCATTCCTCTTGCCCAATGCGTACAGTCTTGCACAGTACTCACGGTCTGCCGTGTTGTCGCCCTCGATAAGTACTGCGCAATACAGAATCGTTCAAATCCGCTTGAGTGATCTTTGTGCTCTTCCATTTCTACTATCCAGATCAGCGCAGACTCGCGTCGGTAGTCGAAACATGGCAGCGCATCAGGCTCAAGGCTTACCACCCCACGGAGTACCCGGTTACGTGCTCGGCACAGGCAATGCTTCGGAGCAAGATCTTGTCGCTGTCGAAAATGTTCTGTCGGAGGATTCCTCGTCGCAGCTTCCTCGGTGAGTTATATCGCAGACACCGTAAAGTCAATTCAGCCGCTGAGGGGAGTAAGCTCTCTTACATACAAAGAGTTGCGCACAACCACAAGCCAGCTGGCTGCCGGCTTGCGCAAAATAGGGTTGCGCGTTGGCGACCGCGTCCTCCTGGCAGGCCCAAATTGTTTATATTATTCCAGCATCATATTGGCAACAATGGGAGCAGGTGGGTGCTTCGTCAGCGCGCCGTCCGATTTCGAAACAAACGAGTTCCAGCACTGTATCGCGACAGCATTACCGAAAGTCATCATAGCACACCCTAGCGTATTAGCAAAGCTCCCGGCCACATTGGGAGACCACGAGCTGCTGTTCGTGCTGGACGATTCAGATGAGGGCGCGAAGTGGCCTCGAAACGATGCGCTTGGGACATGGAGGCACTGGACCCGGCTACTTGATTGCGATATCGACACGATCGCGACATGGCTAGAATACTCGCCTGTTCAGGCGGCAGAGACTACAGCGCTTATCTGCATGACTTCGGGGTACGCCATTTGATAGTCTGCACGCGATATTGTGCTAACACGGTTCAGCTCGACAGGTCAGCGCAAGGCTGCGCAGCACTCCCACGCCTCGCTCGTTTCCCTGATCCAAATTCAAATGAGAGCGTTGACGACAACGCGGCCTTCCTCTAGACAACTCACAACCGTGGGTACTTTGGCAGCAGGGCATATTGGATTGACCGTCGAGTATTTGATGGCACTCAAGGCTCGCCAGCGGTTTCTAGTCACTCAAGCTAGAGATCCCGCTACGATCGCGGCGATAATTCATCGTTATCAAGTTGATCTCAGTTTCCTACGCCCGTTACTTCTTGACTACATCAATCCTGATGTCTCTCATGTTAATCTGCAGAGCCTCTGTATTGCATATACTGGCGGCATCAGCGTGCCAACAGCGACCATGGCAGCTGCACTAGGAAGGTTGTCTGACCAGGCGCTAGTGGTTTCATTCTTCGGAGGGACAGAGTTGGTCTCGCCTCTTCCCGACAGAGTAATTTGTCCCTGACATACTGACGTTCGCAGGACCGGACTTGTGGCGGTCAAAGATGAACGCCAAGGTTTGCCGCAAAATGGTGAGGGCCTATATCTAGGCCGCCTCATATCGAATGTGAAGGCACGTCTTGAGAGCCTCGTACCAAGCACACCGTGGAAACCCGGCCAGCCGGGAATTCTGCACATCCATAGCCCTGCCAATTTCATAGGATACTGGCAGAACGCCGAAGCGACAGCCGACACTATTGGGCCTGACGGCTACGTCGACACTGGAGACATTGTGACTATGACCGAAGGAGGCCACCTGTGGTTTGTGGGAAGGAACAAGGTAAGTGAAGCCACGTCCAGGACTTTGTCGCATCGCTAAACAAAAGTACACGCAAAGGACGTGATCAAGAAAGGTGGATCCCAAGTGATTCCCGCTGATATCGAGGCTGTCATCATGCAAGAATTTCCCACACAAGTGCAAGAAGTCTGTGTTGTCGGAAAACCCCAGTAAGTGAGCCGTGCGGTGAGAAATCGATTCGTCGGGCTGATAGGATTTGACAAGTCCCGTATTTGGAGAGGTGCCTATTGCATTTATCCTTCTGTCATCTCCGAACAAGGGTTTCGCTATCAATAGGGTGCATGAAGTGGTGGCCCGTAAACTCGGTCCACTGAACGAATTGGTCGGTGGTGTGCGGATAGTCACTTCATTGCCAAGATTGGACCAGGTATGTGTGATGTCAGCAGTCTTCTGGTAGAGGTGTGCAAACTAACAGGTTTTCCGTCGCAGGTAGGTAAACTGGACAAGATGAAACTGAAAGAGATGGCGAAGCTTCCTGCTTGAATGTTTAGTTGTAGCAATATTGTCAGAAAAGCCCAATCTTAAAGGAACTCCATAACAAGTGGAGTCATACTTCACACTGGGCATGCGTTTCAAGATGGCGATTCGGGCGACAGAATCATGTTGCTAAAAATAGTGCGGTCACTGTCACCGTCACTGATGCGCTTCTCTGCCATCTTGCCGACTCTGAAGCAAACGGGGCGCATATCCGCAAACTCGCTGCGACCGGAAGAACCGACAGGACCAAACTCCCTTCTCTCTTAGTCCACGGGATGACATATGATACTCTCTTCCCTGTTAACAATTCGATACACCGCCGCCTACACAACGATACACAACCTTTCCAATAGCAAAGGATGCTTCGACCTCACGATTATCCTTGCAAAACCAGAAATGTTTGGTAAGACCTGCATACATTATTGGGCACAGGTGTATTACGAATTCCACTCGACAGACGGGAGTATCGCAATTAAACGCATTCTCCGCCTGGCCATGGGCGTTTACTGAGTGTTGGCTGAGGATTCTTGGATCCGATGGTCGAATGAGTGTACGGCCGACTGCGCTCGAAATGGTTGCGGCGGCGGCGGCAGCGACAAGGATTGAATCGCGTTTGAGACTGATCGGAGCGGAGAGGGGCATTGATGATCGGCAGGGACGAGATGCCGCTGGGGAAGAACGAGGCGAAACTTTGGCCGGAGACGGAACGGAAACGCAGTAGATCCGATCGTATAATAATCCTTTGGCTTTTCGCTACGTCATGGTACCGGTCAATTGCGGTGAGACTGGAAGTTTCCTAAACGAGACGCGATAGGAACGTGCACGCTATCGCTGTACTATTCATTATTTACGACGAGTCTGCCTAGAAGTATAGATCAGATTTGGGTTGCGTGGAAATAGTAACAGGGATACCAGGTCAGAGGCAAACAGATCAATTCTGATTTCCACAGTACCTAGGTAAGTTTCAAATATCATCCAAACATAGGAAACTCGTGCATATCGCTGTTGGCATTAGTCGCTGGTGCAGTGTTAAGGTGTACTAGTGTAGTGCTGTTGCTGTACAGACCAACCACGTGAGACCGTGATAGGGACCTAGCCTATACTGTACGTGATCAACAGAGCGGAGCGTAAATTAGTGCAAGTCCTTTCTAGCCTCGTCAACGTCCTCAAAGCGGCACATAAATGCTCGTACCCACCTCTACAGCAAGCCAGACTGTCTCGCATACACGGTGAACCTGGTTCGCCCACCGCCATTTGCGCGTGGCTCTGCACCACTCTAGAGCTCCCTTGGGTTGAATCACGCTCGCAGACATGGCCTGTGATACATCTGTCGAAAGTATGCTTTGTGGTTCGGGAGTGCGGGAGACCGGTACGACGGTCTCATCAGCCCGAAACCTCAAGCGTTTGTCGCCTTGACCAGCTTACTTCTCTTTCGCAGCGGCCTCTTGGCGCCGCGAAAGTCCTTGAATTTGACCAAGGCCTCCTCGCGCGACATTTTCAGTAATTTTGGCCATCAGATCGCCGTTTAGATGTAGATCTAAGATGAATAAGTAGCTAGAATGGCGCACGTGTTGCAACGTCAGCGAAGGCTCGAGCCGAGCTTTTTGCTTTCATGTGAGCGTCGTTACCAAAACCCCGCCCGATGTCAGATGCTCGCCTACAGCTGAGGAATAGAGGAATTTGTGAACAGCACCGCAAACAGTGCATTCGAACGGAATCACCACAACACAGTACCAAGGATAATCCTATACATGTGTTGGGCAGACGTTTGCAACAAACACAATGTCCTCCGCTACAGTATCCTATGAAGACTTACAACGTTGTCCACCTCCACATCTACCATGGGAATTATATCAACGCTGGCAGGGATATGGCGACAAGACCGCCATTGGCACGGCCAATGGGACTCTGGTCAGCTTTTCGCAATTGGTCCAAGGGACGGAACGAAAATACTGGGGTCTTTCGAGTTACAACCTTCCAACGCGAAGTACGATCGCAATTGGTGGACCGATGTCCGCAGACATGGTAATGACTATACTGGCCTGTTGGTTGCACGGTTTCATCATCACTTTGATCGATGGAAACCAACCGAGGGCACGCCAAGAAGCATTGTTACGACTTGCAGCACCGCAACTCGCAGTGAATTGTCCTTTGTATGCCGCATTTCCGAGTGTTCTAGATCGTACATATGACGAGATACAATCCTCAAGACACCCGATATCTACGGAGGTCATGGCCGAAGCTGCATACATTGTCTTCACATCGGGAAGCACAGGTACGCCGAAAGCCGTGGTCGGCTCGCACAAAGGGTTGGCTCATTTCTTCATCTGGCAAATCGACGAATTCAGAATCACGAACAGCGATCGCTTTGCACAATTGACTGCTGTTGGTTTCGACGTCATCTTTCGTTCAGTATTCACGCCGCTCTACGCTGGCGCAGCGCTTTTCCTTTGTCCCTATGGAATCGAGCAACCGCGGCCGACTCTCGATTGGTTGTATCGCGAACGTATTACATGCATGCATCTCGTTCCTGCCATTATGAAGTTGTGGCTCACGTCATGTCCGAATGCAAGGCTGCTTGATTCTTTACGGTACGTATTCAGCGCAGGCGAAAAGCTGCACGGATCTCTACTCCGAGCGATCCGTCAGCAATGGAATCCGACTGCATCCATCGTCAATCTCTATGGTACCACCGAGACGTCATTGGCCAAGTGCTACCATCGATGCCTTGATGCTGACGAAGAATGCGATGTTGTCCCCGTTGGGAGGTCAATACCGGGCTCTGAAGTCTGGGTCATGGATGAAGAAGGTCTACGCTGCGGGACCGGAGACGAGGGCGAAGTAGTGATCCGCACGCCGTATCGGTCTCTCGGTTATCTGAACGCCTTGCAAATTCAGTGCGAACGATCGGACGCGACATGTGGTATCGGCGATGCGAAGAGCCCAGACTGCATCAACCCCCCGTTTCGACCTACTCCAGATTCCGAATGTTCCGACGACCTTCTGTATTTCACGGGAGACTTGGGGTACTTGGACGCGGACGGGCTCTTACATTTACACGGTCGCAAAGACGACCAAGTTAAGATCAACGGAATACGAATTGAACTCGGAGAGATTGAAGCCTTTCTAGTAAATCTTCCCTATGTTGAACAGGCAACAGTCTGCCTTCAGCAGGGCCCTAGTCTTGTGGCTCACCTTGTTGTCGGGCAATCTATGAATGTTGAGAAGGTCAATACGGCACTGAGAGATCACTTTCCTCCTTCCATGTGTCCAGCAGTAGTTGTCCATGCCACTTTACCTCTTAACGCCAATGGGAAGTTGGACCGGCAGCTTCTTTCTATGGACCAACGGCAACACACGAAGTGTCTGTCGTCTCCGGAAACAAAGATGGAAAAGCTGATAGCCTCCGTGTGGCAGGAACATCTGCAGATTAGACAAGTCGGTCGACACGATGACTTCTTCACACTCGGCGGAAATTCAATTTCTGCTATAGCCATGGGGTCGGAACTGACTAGACACACCGGAAAGCTCGTTCCAGTGAAAGTACTTTTTCAGATGAGCAAATTGTCGGATTTCGCATGGTTCATGGAGAAGCAAGCCACCGTAGAAGAATCGAATGGACCAGATCTTCAACACGACGCTAAGAACAAATGTGCGCCTTTCGGTCTGACTGATGTCCAGCGCGCATACCTGATTGGTCGAGATTCGTCGTTTGAACTCGGAGGAGTAAGCACCCACAACTACCTTGAGGAGTTCTGGCCGTCGCTCGACGTTCATCGTCTGAGTCAGTGCATCGATCAACTCGTAAAACGACACGAGTCTCTACGTACCGTTTACTCGCTTCAAGGATCACAGCGTGTCTTAGAGGCTGCGCCGTCAGTACAGATAGCTGTTCAGGATCTGTGTCACCTTTCGTCGCAGCAGCGACAAGAAGCTTTCCTCCAGTGGCGCGATGAGCTCGAACAGCAGATCTTTGATGTACACAAGTTTCCACTATTCGAGCTTCGGGTATCGAAGCAGGCAGATGGGTTCACCCTACACTTCAGTTACGATGTTTTGATGATGGATGCGCTGAGTCGACGTATCTTCCTGAGGGAGCTTCGGTCTCTGTATCATGAGCCCCAGTTAGTACTACCGGAGCTAGGTATTGCTTTTCGGGATTACCAATTAGCACACGAGGCTTTGAGAAAGACCAAACGTTTCAAGCAAGATCGCGAGTATTGGCTGAAGCGTATTCCAAATATGCCGCTCGGTCCTGCGTTGGCACTCGCTTGTCGCCCTGACGCTGTCTCTGCTCCACGTTTCGGTCGTCGTAGTTTCAGATTAACAAACTCCACATGGGAGTCCCTGAAGCAACTCACGGAAAGGCAGCAGATATCGACAGTGATCCCGTTTCTTGAACTCTATGGTCGTGTGCTGGCCAATTGGAGTACCAATGAGGACTTTCTTATTAACCTGACACTATTCCAACGCGAGAACTTTCATCCAGACGTTAACAAACTAATCGGAGACTTCACGGTTCTTTCACTATTCGAGTATCGCCGGCAGTTCGAGAAGCCAGCGAGCCAATCACTGCGCGACACGCATACCAGACTTTGGGACAACTTGGCACATACTCTGTTCTCTGGCATGCAGGTGCAGTCAGAACTGGCAAAACAAAACCAAGTCTCAGGACACAAGGCAATCTCCCCTGTCGTTCTGACCAGCATGCTCAATCTACCTAGTGCCTGCCACGAATTCCTCTCCGATGGTCAGCGAAGAAGTACGTACACAAGGACGCAGACTTCTCAGGTCTGGCTCGATAATAATATCTACGAGACGGACTATGGGGTTGTGGTAGAATGGGACTATGTGATGCAGTTGTTCGATGAACAGCAAATCGACGACATGCTCAATGCGTATCAACACTCTCTGGAATGCTTAGCTGCTGGCGATCAAGACATTCCCATTCGCATACCACTTCCAGTTGCCCATAGGGATCTGCTGCAGAAATATAACGACACGGCTTGCGTAGACGTCATTCCTACGGCATCGATCCATGAGATGGTCGTGAAAGCAGCTGCTGTTTCTCCAAATGCTCCAGCTGTGATAGCACCGCATGGTGTGGTCCTCTCATATGACAATCTACTACAGCAAGCATATAACCTGTGCCATGTACTACAAGCCACTGGTGTGAATTCATCTGACAGGATCATGCTATACGTTGAGAAGGGTCCGCAGTTAGTCACTGCCATCTTGGGCGTCTTGATGGCCGGAGCAGTCTTCGTGCCGGTCAACCTCAAATGGCCCTCGAGCCGGTTGCGCAGTATCATTCGTCAAGCGGACATCTTTCACATCGTGGTCAGCAAGTCACGAAAAGACTTCTTACAGAGGGAGATATCTTTGGATTCCACGATGAATGACCAGATACAGTACTATCATCCCAATGTTGACCCGTTCAGTTGCAGCGCCAACCGTACGCCTACAAACACAGTCAATGTTCCATTAGAGCATCCAGCATATACAATATTTACCTCTGGTTCCACGGGTCAGCCAAAAGGAGTCTGTATCTCTCACGGAAGCGTGCTTAACACAATTTTGGACATCAACAAGCGACTAGCCGTCTCGCCTGGAGACCGCACTCTCTGCCTTTCCAACGTCAGCTTTGATCTAGCCATCTACGACATCATTGGACCTCTTGTCGCAGGCGCTGCAGTTGTGATGCCTGTCGAAGATGTGCTGGATCACCCTCATTCCGTCGCACAGCTCATGAATGATGCTGCTGTGTCAATTTATAACAGCACCCCCGCCGTCATGTCATTGCTGCTTCATGCAGGAAGTCTGGATTTGTATCCTAGACTTCGCTATGTGCTTCTCAGTGGAGACTTTGTTCCTCCGAGTCTTCCTGACCAGATCACGACTTCGTTTTCCAAAGCCGAGATTCTAATACTGGGTGGTGCCACAGAAGCTAGCATATGGTCAATTGTATTCCAGTACAAACCATCCGGAATTCAGGGTAAGTGCATTCCGTACGGTCGACCGCTTAGCAATCAGCAGATCTGGATTCTTGACCCAAACCAGCAAATGTGTCCTATTGATGTTCCTGGTGAGATCTACATCTCTGGTGCTGGCGTTGCGTCCGGTTATGAAGGTGATCTGGAAAAGACCAAGGCACAGTTCGGCACGTGGGATGACGGTCGGCGGTACTATCAAACTGGAGACATCGGCATTATGCGTCGCGATGGTAATGTATACATTCTAGGACGCAAAGACGGCCAGGTCAAGATCAACGGTTTCCGAATCGAACTTGGGGAGATCGACTCTGTACTACAGAGCCATCCGGATGTGCAGACTTCATTGTCTCGAGTTCACATTGCCGAATCTGGTCCAAGTCAGTCGATAATTTCTTACGTGGTGCCACGAATATTCGATCGACTTTCATTCAAACTCGAAAGACGTGGCATAAGAAAATGTCGCGAAACGCAAGCCCATATCGCCCTGCAACCGAACACACCAAAAAGGATAACTGAAGATGTTGCGGAGCGCTTACGTTTGCGCAGAAGCTACAGACATTTTGACCGGCTCTCATTTCGAGATGTATTCGGGCGCTTACATCCATTGCTCTCCAACACAACATGGCCGACCTCAAGACCGTCCTTTATCTCAGATCAGATGACTAAGATCGATCTCCTCGCAGCTTCATTATACAATATTCGGTCGTTTGATCACGAGATAGAAGGCCTGGGAAGACACTTGTATCCATCAGCAGGCGGCCTATACCCCGTGCGAGTGTATCTCACGCTTGGGAAGTCATGGGTAGGACAACAGGCACAATTTTATTACCATCCGGACAGACATGCACTCATTCCCACGAATTTAGAAATGGACGACATATCAGATGAGAAGGCTTATATCCAATTCAAGACATGCGTCCCAGCCATTGAGCCGGCGTATCACCAGAACGCCATTCGATATTCCGAAGTAGAAGCTGGCTGCATGCTCGCGATTATCGAAAATGACTGCGCTCTGAAGACAATCGATGTGATGTTGCCTCTTCGCCAATTTCCAGATGAGCCCGATGAGCTTACATTGGCTTCTTTCGCTCTATCTCATGCTCATATCACGGCTCCACGTCCGAAACATAGTGTCGGTCGCCTTCCGATCCATTCACTTCTGCTATACAGGGACAGCAGCAGCTGGCAAGTCTTCAATTTCACAGGTTCCGAATTCGAGCACCGTGGGACAAAAAGCACGAGTCACAAGTTTGGGTGCGATGCGTATGTCGATGGCGTCGTTGAGGAAGCGGCTGCACTTTTGCTTCTGCCTGACATGTCTGGTATTCATCACGGCTACATACTGCAATGCCTCGCTGAGTACTTGATATCCGCTTCATGGGGAAGTTGCATTCTCGGCGAATTAAAATTCGACTCCCTTCCGCCTCTCTCTGGTGCACATCAATCCAGATATTTCGGCGCACTTGCAATTGGGCCTTTATCCTCGGGATCTGAGACTCGCAAGCAGTCATCGAGTTCGTCCCATACTGGCTTTGCTACGCCGCTGCAAGACAAGCTACAAGGCTACCTGGAAGAACGACTTCCCGACTACATGATCCCGAAACAGATAGTTCTTTTACCGGCCCTGCCATTGACGCCTAATGGGAAGATAGATACAAAGGCGCTTCCTCCGCCTCCTAATTCGAGTGATCTCGTCACTCTGGGCCGCCAGCCAAGGAATCAGTATGAGCTGAGTCTGCAAACACTGTGGAAACAGATTCTGACGCATGACCACTCCATGAGCATAGATGATGACTTTTTCGTGTATGGCGGGAGCTCGCTAGATGCGATATTGCTCGCTGCCAACATTGGACAGTACTTTGCGCGTGCCGTTCCGACCGCTTTCGTGTACAAAAATCGCACGATAGAACGACAAGCTCAAGCAGTGATGAAGTTTATATTGCAGCCGACACTAGATCGGGTCAAACTTGTTGAGAAAGCAGATGGGAATGAGCTGTTAGTGCTGTTCTCTCCGTCCGACAGCGGAGCGGAGGCTTACCACGCCTTGGCGCAAAGACTCTCGATACGCTTCACGGTGGTAGGTATCAACAACCTCTTCATCAATCATCCAGAGAGGGTTGAAGATGACTGGGCCGTGTCTTTGGGATTCTACATTGAACAGGTCGCGCATATTCTGCGAGATGAACCGAATCGTCGCGTCAGGCTTGGCGGCTGGTCGGTTGGAGGGAATGTGGCAGTCGCCGTGGCTGAAGGGCTGGCTAGATTCTACTCTCAGATTCATCCTCAGATCATTTTGCTGGACTCTTTCCGCGAATATCGATTCGCGCACGATACCGAACGTGAGAACACGATCGACACGTGGAGCCCTTACCATCCTGAGAATGTCATGTTCCGCCATTTCGCGATCGCTGGCTACACTCGACAATGGTACTGTCGATACCTGGATCGCCTCGCAGATCACCTGGGTGCGATGGTGATGAACAGCTGTCATTCAGAGATTTTGCTGATGAAATGTTCCGAGGCTATCGCAAATTTTCCGGTCGAAGAAGCAAATAATGGTTGGGACAAGCTTGCGAAAGAAATCATTATCCGGCCGGTGGAGGCGCATCATTACAATTTGTTGACCAAAGAAAATGCGGTGGAATTGATCGCGAGCACCTTGTTAGCTCTTTGATTCGATCCGTGAGGCAGCACCACGCCTGGGGAGCAGGAAATATCTCCTGTCGCCAGATGAGAGCGGTCAAGTTATCTCGTATAGTCTCAAGTTCGTCAACAATTCAATCCCACCTACGCATCTGCTTGCCATTCGAGATTCACCTTCCGACGTTTGCATCAGATCATTGGTGCTGAGCAAGTGTCGTCCAGTTCTGGCGTGATCTTTTAGTGGTCACGGGAAGATGGCCCAGGATGAATAGATAACCCTAACGTCGGAGCTTACCTTATCTCCACGTTCCGAGGTGGGTGATGATCGAGTTGCTGCCGACGACGGATGGAGATAGATAAGGATCACGTGCGACAGCCCAGCGTGCGTCACTGGCAGGGAGCCCTCGAAGCTACAGTCATCAGTATACGTGAGAACCACACCACACATATGCACCCGTAGACATGCACATGCACATGATGGGCCGTGAATTCTGCTCTATAAGTTGCGCATGACTGTGGTCTACACCTCAAAGCCTGGGAACTTAGACAGGTGGATGACTGACGCTCTGCCCTGCGGACGGAGGCTTCCCATCTCACTTCCTACCTAGGTACAGGGTGTTTAGATCGAACCTTCGCTATCGCTCACCTACGCCTCCTCCTCGCAGCACCTTTGTACTACACCATCCTTACCTCCACATCAACGACGATAAGCAGTGCGCCAGGCCAAAGGTGGCAGCACGATTGATTCAGCCTGCTGCGTTGCTCTTTGTCGTATTATACTCTCGCCCATCATGTTCTCGGAATGTGAGTTGAACGTCTCACAGCACTACCGCTTTGCGCTCGCGTGATCCTCGTCACCTCTGCTTCATCCGATCGGCTGACAGTCTTCTGGATACAGATGCATCGCGTTTTCTTCAGCAGTCGAATGCCCGCCTTCAATTCCAAGATGACCCACGCAATTCTACCGCCTCTCGTAGCCAGCTCGATCGCCGGCGGGCATACGTGCAACGGCCGTCGATGCCTGCCCATACTTCACGCCAACCCTCCACATCTTCACAGGCCCGATTTCCGTTCGCCTCGCGGCTTTCGCGACAAGATCCGCAGGCGCCGCTCTTCTACAGTGCCGCTGACGACTTCCAAGACGAAGATGAGGGCGACGAACATGAGCGCGAGGTGGCCGATTTCTACGCACTGCAGAGAAGCCGGCAGCACTTTGGCCGCAGCAACTTGACGGAAAGCTCAGAGATGGAGGATACAGCCACTACGAAAGCTGACTCACAGCACTTCCCAGAGGGACAACAACACGATCGGCGGTGGGAGGGAAGCAGACTGGAGGGCAAGGCGGCGTCAACTTCACCACGGTCAAACGCTAGCTCTAAAGGTCGGGGGATGGTGGACGTTAACCTACACAGCGTTGTCGGAGACGACGAACCTCCAGCATCTTTGGCAAATCTCTCTCCCTCGATAGACCCTGACGAGGCACCCGCACCCTTCCAGACATTTCGCACCTCGAAGACGCCGCGATCAAGCCATTTTCTGCCCAGGGAGACTGATGAGGATACACAGATGGCGCACCCTCGACCACCATCACCTGATCGTGAGAGTGCGCCCGCCACAGTCATCCTGCCGTCGATCGAGCAGCCTCTACACGACGGCTTTTGGGGCAACGTTTTCTTGATATCGGAGGCGGCTATGTTTGCGGCATTTGTGTTGATATGGTTTCACACGTCTACACCCCGGAGCGGTAGTCCGCTCGGCGATACGGTCTATAGCGCTTTGAGAGGCAGTATGAGCATGCTGCTCTGGGACACACTCATTGCCATTATCGTGGCTCTTCTCTGGCTATCGCTCTTGCGGAACTACGTGAGGGTTCTGGTCTTTGGAATCCTCGTCGCGGTCCCCGTCATATTAGGAGCCTTCTCGCTCTACCCGCTCATCAGCAGCTTCCAAGGCACATACAATGGTTCGTCATTTCAAGATCGTGCCATGAGATGGTTCTCGTTTGTGCCAGCTCTGATGGCCGCATTCTGGACATGGAGCGTGATTCAAAATCGGCACAACCTTAATCGATCTATAAACATCCTCGAATTCAGTACGAAAATTCTTGCTGCCAGCCCATATTTGGTTGTCCTTGGCTTCGCGACTCTCGGTGTCGTTGTATTATTCTCGTGGATCTGGATGCTCATGTTTGAGCGCATCTTCCTGTCCGGCCACATGACAACTTCGGGCGCTACACGCTTCATTATTGACGCCAACAGCTGGTGGCTTGGAGCTTACTTTATTCTCCAGTACCTCTGGACCCTCGGCGTCATCTCTGGTGTGCAACGAGCTACTACCGCCGCCGCCGTGAGCCAATGGTATTTCCATCGATTTGTCTCTCCACAGCCAACAAGCCGCGAAGTTGTGCGCGCAAGTTTCCAGCATGCCACAACTGCGCTCTTTGGAACCGTCTGTCTGAGCACGTTCTTGAGTCTGCTAGTCCGTCTGCCACTCATCATCCTTCCCGGGCGTCTGAGCGGACTATTGAACATGTGTGCCTATTGGATTATGCCTGCGTCCCTCGCCGTCCTCACCAATCCCCTCACCCTCACCTACGCTGCCATCCATAGCCAAGGCCTCGGCATTGCCGCCCGCGGCCTCAGCCAGCTCAGCTTTGTCAGCAAATCAAACCCCAGCAATACTCTTGGTGCCAGGAATTTCCGTGTCTCGCCTGGCGGCGTTGATCCGGCGAATGCCTTGCTACCCTACCGTCTCGCCAAGTTGCTGCTTCAGGCTACCCGATGGATCATGTCTCTTGCGCTCGGCTTTGGCGGCTGGGTACGTGCCGCTCGGAGTATCGCCTACGAAGGTGCTCTGCCAGGTATTAGAGGCAGTCTGTACGCGTACGTAGTGGGTCTACTCGCAGGAACAATCGGCTTCGCGGTCTTGGGTGCGGTCGAGAACGTCGTTGGTGCCGTTGTGGATGCCGCGGTCATTTGCTGGGCCAGCGAGTCTGCAGGCGGGCAGGGTGAAGCACGGTTCTGCCGGGAAGCGGGCGAGCTTTTTGGTCAGGACGATGCTCCCAATAGGCGGGGCGGGCAGAGAGATGAAGAGGATGGGGATAACTACGTCTTGCGGCGGTAATTTAAGCCTTGCTTTGCAGTGACCGCTTTTGAATACAGATACACTATCGCAGTTTGCTTCAATCTGATATGTATTGGTGATCCTACGCTCGATGGCGATCGCTCAGCTGACGTGTTTGTGAGAGTGATATTGAATGTCCCCAGATTACCCTCTCATTTGCTATATTTTCCGAGGCCACAGCATCGCCTACTAGGAACCTTAATTATTTCACTAGTCTGATGAAATGTCGCTCTATCGGATTTCAAGAGGGCAACCATATACGATGACGCAGGCTACCAGCCTAATGAGTGCCGACATGCTGATGAGGATCATGTCACATCACATCAGGATCCAGCAGGATGCGCCACTTACGGGAGCGTCGCAGCAGATTGAGGGCATTGGTGAGCAAGCCGCCGGACTTGCTCGGGATGCAGTGGTTCGAAGCGTGCTCTCTGAGGAGTTATCGAAACGTCCTCGCTTCTTGCCTCACGTTTCAAATATTTTTTGCATCACGAGATTTGCATCGAAGTCGTAGGCTATCTTCCCCCACGAAAGATGTAAATGTTATGCAGCTCATGTCGTGTAACATCAGGTAGCGCGCATGTTGATCGTGGTTTCTGGTGTGAAAGCGTATCGAATTACACGCGGTGAATCACAATCCATAGAAGGGCAAGCAAGAATCTGTAGGAACCGTTGATAATTTCGGGCCGTGAAGTCAAACCTCAGGACGTTTGATGAGCTTCATCTCAACTTTCATGCCGCGCGGCGTTGCGGATTCCACGGCTTTGCGTGCGTGAAAGCGACGACGGGCTCATGAGGGCTTGATTGACGTACAATAGAGGGGCATCTGGCGAGCTAGTTCCACTACCATTTCTGAACTACGTCTCTTCGTGCACTTGGTCTTGCAGTGTCTGACTCCATGCCACAGTAGACGAATGTAGAGGAGGCAGCCTGAATGCAGGGCCTGATCATCGTACTAGAGTGACCGAGCCAATCGATGCTTCATCCACAGTGAATGGACGGTAGAAAAAGTCGGCAAAGTGAAGGTGAGGTTCGTTCTGCTAGCCTGCAGCAAATCGTGTGAGAGCGATATCATCGATACACGAATTACACATCCGCGCGGGATCCTGCCTGACCCTCAAGCCATCGATATCGGGGCCATTCGAACGAAACATGCACTTCGCGCAGTATGCCTGCACGCCGTCCATCTTTTAGGCGCCGCCATGGAAAATAGTGCATCATGGTCACCCGCGCCTGGACATGATTCGTCGGCCCGCACGAGGTACATGCATGGGCAGGTCCTGCGTCACGCGCCCCCAACCAAACACGACACCGTAAACGTTCACTCCGAGGTCAACCTCTTCGCGGCACAGGCAAGAAAGCCAGGACTCTGCCTAAGTCGCAACCGATACCCTCGCCGTTCAAGACGCATGTCACTGTCACCATACAAAGTGGCCCATTGCGTGTTCTGGCGTCACCGTCCTCAACACGACCGGGCAACCGTGCGATTAAGCAACGTCATTCGTGTTGCTCAGGTAGTGTGCTCAGCTCCTGTACGTAGAGTGAAGGTACTGGAGCTAACGTGTTCGACATGGTTTGGAAGAGATCGTCCTCTTCAGGTTCGAAACGATTCTTCAGGCCAGGATAACTGTGACCATCGGAGACCTGAGGACAGGCTGAGTTCAACCGGAGACAGACTTGATGACCAACAAATATCCTCAAGCTAGCTCCTGCATGATCTATCAAGACGCAAGATTACGGTATTCCTACGCCGTCGACGTGGTCGGTGCGAACCGACCACGCGTGCACGTTTGAGTTAGCGTATGCGGCGCTCTGCCCCAATTCACTCTACATTACGATAGGCCTTCCTCTTTGCTGTGCCGCACAAACAATACCGGCCTCAATATCCACAACGAATCTCACAGTGTGCGTATGGATGAAATTGCATGACATCAACAACATCGGCCCTGCAAGCCATAAACAAGCAGGAAGAAGATGACCTGTTGGAGGGATAGTCCGCGACCTGTATGCATTGATTCGGCCCGCCATGCTCCCTGCATTCGTTTACAAAATGTCAAAGATGCGACAACCACCCGTTGACGTACTTCGTGGGATGAGCCATCTCACGTGTACACCTCGGGCTTCGACTGCGCTGCCTTTACTCGCACCAATCAGGAACGAGAGCAAATGCCGATTGTTGGTGGCCTCGATATTTCCTTATCCTCGACACCTTCGATCATCGGAGTCTTGCATCATCGTGGGTGATACTTTCCCGCACAAAGATCGAATCTTTGCTCTCGATTGATCTCTCACCCAATCCGTATCAAGATTCCGGGACGTGTTTCAGACCTTTTCAGACCACCAAAATAGGCAGCTGAACATGCCGACCTTGCCCCGTACCATTGTCGATCTGCACTGTCCGCATGGCTCCTTTTGTGATCTAGCAGATTTGAATGTGTGCATGCAATTGCCGCGTTCACACGCGGCGTGCTGCCAACTCGACGGCCTTCTCCGCTTTGAACACAGACGACCAACGAATGATACCCTTGACCTGCTTTGCTATCACTAGTGCATCCTTCGCTGTTGATTCTGGCGCTTCCCTTTCACAATAGAAATGATATGTCTGCTGCCTCCTGCTAATCAGAGAACGAGCATCACGGCACCTTCATACTTTCTCTTTGTTCGTGCTCGAGCGACTTCTGCCCTCCGAAGGGATATATGGTGCTGTGCTTAAGCAGTTGTCATTCACAGATGATCTACCCTGCCCGTAATGAAAATTGAGCAGTTCCAAATGCGCGAAATAGCAATCTCACAGAGTCCTGAAACCACTGTGACCTCAGCTTACCCGTCTTCAGCTGAATCAATCGGCACACCGTCCAGCAGTCAAGAGGCGTCGCCAGCTCTTGCCACAGATCACCGACTCAGCCCGTACGCCTCGCCAACAACGCTCCCGGCATCGACTACAATGCCGAGGAGATTGACGGAAGACAAGGCAACGAAGCTTGGCTATGTCCGTGCTAAGATGGCATGCAGTATGTATTCATCCTGCGCAAACGTTGGCCTTGAGATCGCCAGACATGACGATGGCATCTTTCAATTCGATCCATGTGGACGAGCTGACAGGCTCGATCAGCTTACTGCCGCCGACGTAAGGTTCGATGCCTCAAACTCCCGGAGAACCCGACGTGCCTCAGATGCAGCGAATCCGGACAAAAGTGTGAATTCGTACCCGTGAGCAATGATCAGGCAGCTATAGCACCGAGACGTCCCAGGAGAACAAGAAATGCTCGTGATGGGGAACGGCCGTCAGTTCGCACAGGCAGATCGCGACGACCGCCCGCCATACTACCAGAGTCCAGGTCCCGTCCAGCGAACGATGAAGCCGCCTCTGGAACGTTTCAGGATATGTCACGATTGGATCTTACGCATGGGGACCACACCGACCAACATGCAATTCAGAGTGAGTTGCAATTCCATGCATATGCCTCTGACAGAAGCTGACCATCCCAAGACGTCTACCCTTTACAGGAAAATTACATATACTCACAGCCACCACCATCTGGTTCCTACGACAACTTGCACGATGCTTCTGGCCACGGATATTCAAATGCTTCGCACCAATTTACACATCCAATGACGGGCTATGGACAAGAAGCGCATGTCGCAGGACATCTTCCCATATCGTATCACGGATTTCAGTATCCGTCTGCTCATTGGTCGCAAGATTTGGTACCGGTACCATACACGCCAGCGTCCGTGGGAGGAGACTTGCAGCGTCTGAGTGCACAAGCTTCAAGCCTCTATGTCCCCATGGATCTCTCAAATCCAGGTCCGCTCGTACAAGATTACGACATACCGGACGCTCCGAGTACCCATTCCCGCCAGGAAAGGCATCTGGCGGCCCAAAATTATCCTTCATCACGAGTCAATACCCGCGGGCGGCGGATTCATCAATGATGTGATGGATATTGACGACTCAGAAAATTTCATCGCTCCCGTATTTGCCGACGCATCACTGAAATGATTCCCTACGAAATCCTCTTAGCTGGACGCGACTCCTGCCAGACTCGTCTTGGGAGCGGCAAAGCATTAACATGCCAGGGAATCATTTGGTTTCAGAAGCGTTCACGATCGTCACGCGCAAATATCGCCCGACACATTGTCGAGATTTTGGCCCATTTTGTCTGCCCAACGATTGCATCTGCCAGAGAATGCACCCCGGACCTTTGCGCACAGTCCAAGGCATGCCTGATCATCATTGCAGACATTGTCATCACACTCTCTCGGGCGTTTGTCCTATTAATGGCGCATGCCGCAGGAGGCAGCCATAAGGCAGACGGCGTACACATTAAGTGATACTTGATGAAATCCGAGAGTGTCTGTCGAGATGTTGTGTGATTGGCGAACTCAGTGTCTGCCAACGAGCGCGCACAAAGTCTGCGCCTCGGATCAGAGGAGCATGTACAAGCGGTACCTCCGGGGTATGGTCTTTGTTTGTCACATGTAGGCTGGCAGCTGTGCCGCACAGCAAGTTGCAGAAAGGAGGGCGACGGGCTGACCGAGAGGTGTGGGTAAGGACTAGTTGTTGCCAAATTTGGTGACAGCTCTGTTCATGTCGCAGCTGCGACATTGATTTGATGTTCAATTCGTTTTGATGTACCGATGAATGTTTATTAAAAGCTTTGGTCTCCAAGTTGGCCCCTTGTTGCTGTTGTACGAGGTGCGGCGTAAAGAGGATCTATTGACCTAGGTTTGATCACGCGTGCCGACCTTCCGCCGGTTCAACATCATACAAGAGTTTAGACCAAATCATGAATGCCGCCAACGTCATGTCACCTGCATATTCATATGATGTTGGTGGCCTGTATGATTGTACAGCGCGTCGTGCATATACTGTACAACCCACCGCCAGACGGGACTGTACATGTCTCATTGAATGTACGCTTGTGTAGAAGGACAGGCCAACGTTTCACGTTCACCGACATTGACTTTGAATTGACCAGACACAGCCGTCGGACAGCGCCCGGAGATAGTTCTATGACCTTTCAGGATTCGGCTTCGAGACCTTTGAAGGTTGACGAGCTGTTGCTGTGGCTGAATGTTATTTACCTTCCTATTCTACGTCGTTTTCGAACCACTGAGACCAATCATGCAGAATCATTACCATGATGAAGAAGGCACAGTCGCACATGCCGGCGCATGCCCTCACCGCTGCACGAATGTCGGAGTCTGCGCCGCTGGACCAGGGGCGAGAAATAAACACACCGCGGGCCAAAAAAACACTCTCCCGATTTGGTTGGCCGGGAAGCCCATGTCCCATTCGCCCTTGTTGAGCTTGATTGCTATCAAGTGAAGTTTTGTTTCGAATGAGGAGAGGCTCTGTGAAATGAAATCGAGTTGAAATGGGAAGTAAATCTAGAAGGGTTGTTTTGGCCGCAGTTTGACCAAGTCCACGCGCGTGCTCAGACATTCCTGCCGCGGTGAGAAGACGGGAAGCGGATTGTTTATTATTAGGGCAATGTACACACGGGTGGCCGCATGCCTCGTGTGAGGATTCACAGAGTTCACGCCTACTCATTAGGCTGTGCACTGGATGTGCTGAAGTCATTCCGTCCAGTGTATGTCTACGCCACGTAGAGAACCACAAAGTACCCACATGTCATTTCACATGGGTCCGCTTGCCCCCTTCGCCCATCCCGTCCGTCGCACAGAGGGCCTTGCCCGATCATACTCAGATGCAGGTGGAGTGTGACATGTCACATTTGATCTTTGCGGTTATGTGCTGCGTATAGTTTCAGATCTAAGTCACCACTCCGAAGGAACCATCAACGAACGGCACGTCAGAATGAACGGCGTCTATTGCCTTATGTTGACCTCAAAAGAACAGGGTTGGTCACCCATGCGTTGAGACGATGTGAACGAAAAGGCATCTGCGGCCCATGTCGGAATGCAGTATGCCATCACAGCAAATGAAGAAACCCTGGAAGCGAATGGAGGTTCATCGGGTTTCGGCCGACGCCCATGTGCGGTGCACCGCGCTACCACACGGAGCTTTTTTGACGTGACGAAAAACGATGTGAATACCGTACGCAAGATGTGTAGAAGTCCTTCCAGATGTGATTGCTTCATCAAGCTGGAAATCGCCCCGAAAACTTGTCACGGAGGAGTGCACAATCAATCAGAGCACACGTCCGATACCGGCACACTGGACTACGCCATGCCCACGATTAGAGATCGGATCATCGCCCGCGTCCACGGTCGCCAATGAACCAACCATGGGAGGAATAAACGGTTTGTGGCTAGTTGCCTCTCAACCTCAAGATTGCCCTAAGTGCAGTTCAGAATTGGTGAAAGTCTGAAGAAAGTAATTTCACGCGATGGAGATCGCGATGGTAGAAACAAATTGTGCGAGTCTGCTTCGATAAGACAAGTGCAAGGGCTGCAGACGCCAGGAGAATCGCAGAATACATTGGGAACGACCGCAGCCTGACATTGCTGATTCTATCTGACATCCTGATTGATCTTCGATGAGTCGGAAGAAATCGCAGCGTAGTCGCGTCTGGTGCATCGCAGTACGTACTACAGTGCAGTGCTTGGCCTGTGAAGCCAGCCACAGACGTACATTCACAATCTCCGTAGTAAGAAGAGGATGGCGAACACTGCACTGTGGCAGCCAAAGCTTGGATGCCACTGTTGAGAACCGTTCAACCGGTAAAAATCGTATTGTCCACCATGGCTGCGTGCGCTTCATTGCTAACAAACCAAGACACTGCCAAAGAAATTTCGCAGACCGAATACCGGAGCGCGTTCCCTCTGCCGGAGCGCTGACTTTACTAGTGCGACGGAATAAATCGTTGAGCTGCGCGATGGCCTCTCTCTGGAGATTTAATTATTTCGAGGGCTGGGCAGCAGTCACCGTCGTTTGTAATCCTCATTGTATCAACATTAATAGTAATACCGGCTTGCAGTGCAGGAAGGACTTGTCAATTGTTTCCATCGCAGGACTCATCGCTCTTCCGTTTCCATCTCCGACATCGAACGCACGACCTAGATTGACATCTGACGACATGCTACGAACTGTGACGTCGCGTACCCTGTCGCTTCGCTCCCCGAGTGCAGGTTCCCGAGCTACGCAATGTAGCCCCGCATGGCAACCCACAGCACAAAGAACAATCTCTCTGCTCTGTCAAACATCACAAAGACTCCCGTCAAGGCCTGTCCGCTCAATACCAACACTGTCTCCACGAACTTTCAGCACCACCGCAATCATGGGCCGGAAAGAAACCGATGCCTTTGGCGAGGTCGAGGTCCCTGATGACCGGTACTGGGGTGCACAAACGCAGCGCTCGCTTGGAAACTTCAAGATCAACCAGCCAGCGGACCGCATGCCCACTCCGATTGTCCGCGCGTTTGGTATCCTCAAAGGCGCTGCGGCTACTGTCAACATGAAATTCGGCCTGGATCCCAAGATCGGAGAGGCGGTGCAACAGGCGGCCGCGGAAGTGGCCTCCTTGAAACTCGTGGACCACTTTCCCCTGGTCGTCTGGCAGACCGGATCTGGCACCCAGTCCAACATGAACGCCAACGAGGTCATCTCGAACCGTGCCATTGAGATTCTCGGCGGCACCATGGGCAGCAAGAAGCCAGTGCACCCGAATGATCATGTCAACATGTCTGCTTCATCCAACGACACCTTCCCCACCGTCATGCACATTGCCGCTGTGTTGGAACTTGAGGAGCAGCTGCTTCCCTCATTGACGGCACTCAAGGACGCCTTGAAGAAGAAGAGCGAGCAATTTGAGCGGATCATCAAGATTGGACGGACACACTTGCAAGACGCAACTCCGTTGACTCTCGGACAAGAATTCTCCGGATATGTTACACAACTGGAGTACGGCATCGAGCGGGTCAAGTCTTCCTTGCCTCGCCTGCGAATGCTCGCCCAGGGCGGTACCGCTGTTGGAACTGGTCTGAACACCTTTGAGGGTTTCGCTGAGGACATTGCCAGCGAGGTCACCAAGCTCACTGGTCACGAGTTCGTCACTGCACCAAACAAGTTCGAGGCATTGGCTGCCCACGACGCAATTGTTGAAGCACACGGCCAGCTCAACGTCCTCGCCACCTCTCTTTTCAAGATTGCACAGGACATCCGATTCTTGGGTTCCGGTCCTCGTTGCGGTCTCGGTGAACTTCGCCTGCCAGAGAACGAACCCGGCTCCTCGATCATGCCGGGCAAGGTCAACCCTACTCAATGCGAGAGCATGACCATGCTCTGCTGTCAAGTCTTCGGCAACCAGGCTGCCGTTACATTCGCTGGCTCTCAGGGCAACTTCGAGCTCAACGTCTTCAAGCCGGTGATGATCCGCAACCTGCTCCACTCGGCGCGTCTATTGACCGACGGCATGCACTGTTTCCGCGAACACTTGGTCGAAGGCCTCGAGGCCGACGAGGCTCGGATCAGCGCCATCATGAAGGAGAGTCTGATGCTGGTCACCTGCCTCAACTCTGTCATCGGCTACGACATGGCTTCCAAGGTCGCCAAGAACGCGCACAAGAAGGGTCTCACGCTCAAGCAGAGCGCGCTCGAATTGGAAGCGCTCAGCGAGGAAAAGTTCGACGAGATCGTCCGCCCGGAGCTGATGATTGCCCCCAAAGCAAAGAAGAACTGAAGAGCATAGATATCTCGTCTAGATGGATAGGTGGTGGTGGCGGCGAAGGAGATGATGAAGGTATTGATTTGAATCGGTCTCTTCGCCTGCTTCTGCCCTCGTGTTGTTGTGTCAAATTTTAGCGAGCATTTACGATTGAGATTCTCAACAATAGAAATGACAGATATTCCCCTCCTGTTGTCCGCTCACTATCGGATCACAACTAAGTTTGCAGGCATCGTCATGGGTAGCTCCCAAACAAAGTATTCCAAGGTTGGCAACGGTTTGGCCCTCAGCATACAATTTTTGAAACGCGGCTTGGGTCTGGTCAAGGAGTCGCAACAGCCACGGAAGAAGAGCAACAAATAAAGGTTCCAGGTTGACGAGATCTTTTATTGCACTCTGCGCAGGTGCGACTAGGCCTTTCCCTGGCCCAGCCGCTATCGACGAGCGCCAAGGTGCATTGCGCCGGGGTTTATGAACACCTGGGCAAACATTGGCGTGGCGCGCATACTCCGATGCCAGTGACGACAACAAGGTATACTTCACATGTCAATTTGCGAGCGCAGACTGCACCCAGACATTTATCCCGCTCGCCACCGTTATCTATACATTGCATGAATTTGTCGATGGCTACAACAACAGAGATATCCGCCCGCAGTTGGCGGGAAAAAGTGACCTGATTCCCTCTCGCTACCGGTAGCACACATATGGATCCCGGAGGTACTTCGGTATCTTCAGACCGCACGGCCCGAGCAGTCCGGCCGGAATTTAACACTGCAGGTGCAGCAGCTTGCTAGGTTGGCACGTTGGTTGTCACTTTAGCTCGTGTGAAAAGCAGCAGTGACGTGAGCGTGACCACATCCGACCACGTTGAAACGCGCGTTTTCCTTGTTTCGCATGTCGAAAGCATCGAAAGAGTCGAAAGAGTGCCCCAAGCTCCGGGCTACGAAATATCATTAGAATTTCAAGCCCGTCACATGGACGTCTTTTTGCGCTGGGGGAAAGTGCCATGGTGTGTCCACGATCTGTATCATCGTGAGTCTTCCAGAGTCACACCTAGCGAATATGTTGAGAGGATCTATTGATGTTGTAGTACCTAGACCTGGATCGTGAAGTCCGCCTGATTGAACATTGGTGGAGACGAATGCGCGATGGCAGTAGCGGCAGAAGTATTCAAGAAGCGAGAAGTCGATACCCATGTCTTTCACTGCATTCGTGTACCTCCTACCGATGTAGGTGGTGGTGCTGTCGTACACATTCTCAACAGGCGCGATCTCCCTGTCACTCTTGCCTTCTAATCCTTGTGCACACACTTCCCATCATCATCGTCGATCGTCAAGCAATTTGATTTCTGGGCAGCTTTATAAATCTCGTTCTCCCCTCTCCTCTTTACGTCGTCGCGCTGGTTTCGTTCCTGCTCATCGTTATACCTCATCGCAACAGTTGACCGGCATACATTACAATAACAATAACAATAACAACAGCATCAACAACAACCCCACCCAAGGCTAGTCGCTGATACCGTCAAGATGGGTGCCGTCGTCTCTTGCGTGTGTATAGTCTTTGTGCCGATTCTTGTTTACCCTCGCGCCGAACGAACAAGGACTTTACTGACCACGTTCCCGTCAATAGATCAAGAACATTTTCGCCGCCATCGGCTCATGCATCATGGCCGTTGTCAACGCGATTGCCTCGATCCTCAAGGCTATCGTCAACGTACGTACCCATCTTCCTAGCTGGATACATTCAATGAGCGTTCATGAACAACCACAACCCATTCGGCCTGTGAATGAGCAGCGAAGAAGATTACGTCTTGCGAAGAATTATCATGAAGTGTCACATATTCCACCGGAAGCTCAAGCATTCGCTAACGTCTTAATTTCAATCTCTTCAGGGTATCGTCGCCGTCTTCGCAGCCATCGTCAGCTGCCTCACGTGCGGCAAGGCGGGACGTCGTAAGAATACGAGTGTGGTATGACCGACGTCTTAGCGCAACACGACCAGGATATTACTGCGGAATGATCCATCATCGAGAAGGTCTGCGGAGAGTGCAGTTCGATTCAATCAATGGTCGGAGTCTACGCCTATCTGTGCGGGACACCGAGTCGCATACCATGGGCACGAAGCGATTAGTTGTCTTCGGGACTTGGCAACCGACTTGGGTTCCATGATTGATCATGGTCAGGTCTGCATCGGATACGCTGCTCAACGTGACAAGGATGGGGATGTTGGAAGGGCGCGAGGCTTAATCATAATACGTGGATACCCATACTCTTTTTTCTGGCGATTGACTTAAAACATTTCCTGCACTTTCCAAAATTTGCTATTCTGGTGCGCTTGAATTCTCCGTAGTGACGGGTCGTCAAAGGGATCTCTCCGATGTAGATGTTTGTGGGCAACCATTGGCAGACATCACTGGGTAATTATCTGGGATTGGATCCGAATGGGAAGCATTGCAACATCTAAGACATCTTTTCAGGCATCACACCAGGTGGCATTAGAAGGGTATAATAAGCGAAAGAGGTTTTCTCATTATCGATCCGTGGACTATCAATACCACCGATGACTCGAGAAAGACTTTCTCGCGCACACAAAATACATACAACCCGGACTCGCACAATCCTCCCGCTCTTCTTCGCGCTACAAAATTGTTTTTAAAAGCAAGACTATCCTTCTCCTTTTCTTTCCTTTCTCTCTCTGCCTCCTCTTCTGGTTTTCGGGAACGTAATCCCATTTACACCGCTTCAGTTGAGAGGTCGCTGTTGTGTGATGTCAAAGGGCAAGGGGGGCGTGAGCGGTCATTAATGAATCAAATTTCTCTCTTGTCGTACAGGCGTTGAATGACGGGCGTGACGTAGTTCGCAAAGGCCGGAGTTTGGGCCAGCATGTCGTCATGGCCGACAGGATGCCGTTCTCCTTCATATTCGGTGTTGATTTCTTCGTCACGCCAGACATATTCATAGATTTGGGGGTTGCCGGTTTGGGGAAGGGACCGGCTAGGTGGTGTGATGGTCGAAGGATCATGAAGTGATGCTGACGATGGAGATCATCGCCTGCGCCTAGTTCTTCTTTTGAGCAGCGAGGACTGCAGACGACGTAAGTTAGTAGTTGAACATGATGACGACTCTATGCAGAAGCATGATACTGACCACTGGGCACAATGATGACAATCAGGAGGATGATGACACCAACGATGATGCACATGCGCATCTTCATGTCCTTCCACCACATCTGCTTGCGCACCCGGTTAGCACCACGGCGGAAGCTGTTCGCCTGGGTGGAAAGGTGGTCCGTCTTGTCCTGGAGATTATCGAGGCGCTCGCCACGCTCTGAGATCTTGGTGATGTTGTTCTGCATTGTCCGGACAGCACCCTCAATTTCCTACATTCACAGTCAGTTGACGAACTCAGACATCACTCATGATAGATTTGTTTGCTGCGAGCCGGGCAACGGCGATGGACGGAAGACGCCGCCACCACTGCTGCATTCGAGCTTCGCATGGAATTTCTCCTTGTTCGGAGAATGCACGACCTCGAATGGGACTGATGTTTCCGGCGCATACTCGGGAAGACCTGTCCTGCTTACTCGGCGGTCTCGCTGACCGCCGACAGACTTTCCGTCTCTTTCCGCTACGACGAACTCACATTTTGAAGGCCTTGCGTGCGCGCATTGCTCGCCGCCGGCGCTGCTTCGGAGCCAGCTCCTCGTTGGACGTAGGGATCGTAGAGACCTGCGTTGTTCGACATGTTGACTGTGTGGTTTGGTCGTTAGATATTATCTGGTTGTGCTTGAGTTCGAGAGGTATTGTCGCGGACGCTGAAAGTGGACAGCGAAGTCAGGAGGAGATGACAGGTATGCGGCGTCAGTGCACGGGCGCACAGTGTCGGAGTAAGTAACCTTGTCGTAGCGAAGCGAATTCGAATGTGTAACGATGGCTGTCTTCCGCTGACAGTCTGGCTTTGGAGCGTGTAAGATGGAGAATTGAGACGGCTGGTATAGTAGGGTGAATGTATGTGGTTGGGTGGTGTGATGAATGATGAGAGAGGTAAACGAGGCGAGACGACTGGCGCTAGAAGCCCGGGTGATTCCTCAGCTGCCTGGTGGCTCGCGCGAGTTGGCAGGGCGAAATCCACGACTGGACAGACTTGGGGGGGGCGTTCGGGAGTTTGGGGCCTATGATTTTACAGGAGGAACCCTGTCTACCTGCCAGGTAGGTACGCAATGGTTCGCAGCGCAAAGTAGGTCAAGCAGTCCTACGGTACGGCCGTCGGCCATCCACATTTATTAATAATAAACCATTCGCGGCTCAGCGCCCAGCAGAAATTGAAACTCGTCTTCTTGCAACTATACGGTTTTGAATGAGCGGCTTTCGAGACGGAATGATGAGACATACTCGAATACGTCACCAGTAGACTTGTCGATGTGAGCAACCTGGACTACAGTACGTACACGTGATGAACATGCTCATCTGTTCCATTTTCGTTGGTTGCGATAATCTTCCTTGTCGTTGGCATGGTACACTGTACGGCAGGATAGCTTGCTGCGTATTATTCAGACCGATCGATTGCTCTGGAGACGCTGATGATCACGTGTCTGGCTGCGAATCGGTAACCCTAATCGTCGGTTTCGAAGGTTTTGCTGAGACACAGGTAATCTTCCCGTCTCATGTTTGCTCACGAACTCGTGGTTGATGTGAGTACGCCTAGGTCGTTATGGCGATCTTGATGCGCATATCTGCAGCATCGTACATGGACGGTTGGACTTCTCGCCTCCACCTACATGGCCTCTGTGATGTCTTGTTCGGAGAGCTGCCGGTCTGAGCCACGATAACTTCGGCGCAGGCACTGCCAGTAACCCTAACAAAGCACAGCATTCGTCTACACGTAGGTTCCTAGGCGAACAATAAGGACCTCAATATACCAGTATGTGCACTTCCCAACACAAATGAGATATGAACATGTTTCGGAGATGCTAGAGCTACCAGACGTGTGGTCGCTTTCACATATCCGCTCAGCCTGGACCCATAGCCGGCCGGACAGTGTCTCACACTTCCAACTTCTTCTCATGCTTCCTTCTCGATTCTCTGATCCATAATTATAATGAGACACAGGACCACGATTCTTCCCCCCAGTGTGTATGATAAAACTCCGGGGCCCTGGCATCTGTACGCGCGGCTACGATCTCTTTCAGGGAATATTCACTGGCCTTCGCAGTCTGTAACCTTGCTGAACTGCTGTGGCCGCTGCAAAGATCGATGGCCATACTGCCACGATCAATCGCTGAATCTCACTTCCAGGCATATAATGATTCGAACATATAATTAAATTATACTGTATTTATCGTAGCATCTCGTTACCCATGTGTTTCTATCAGCGTCGGATCCCTAACCTGTACGATTGATTACATCGTCTTGCAGACGCCCTAACACTCACGTGCAGGGATCGACATCTATAATCGCAATCTGCACGAATTCGTTCGATCGTCAGGACCTCCGGGTCATGGTGCCGATATATTTCCAGGCGTGGACAGTGCAGTTCGGCTTCTCTGCAGGCATCTCACGATCACGCATAGCGCATAGCGACCGCTGCTGTGGTTCATCGAAAGCGACAAAAAGTATAGCACTCACCTTACTTGTACGTTAAGACAGGATATCGAGGTGGCAAAAAGGTGACGAGGCCTTGATGTTAGTGCCGAGCGCTGCTGCAGGTGCAAAGGGCAAGCGGCATGTCCAGTATGTGATGGTGAATTTTAGGTCGAATAGGCTTGCGCGCAGCTGGAGCCGGGCCTCGAAAAATCATACTTAGGTGCTGGGGGACTGGCCCGACCGCCCCCCGCCATTGGCCGAGCCACGTGTGATCCGCTTTAATTAGCCCTCCTCCCGATTGGCTGGCTACCAGCTGAATCCTCAAAGTTTTGGTCAGAGTTGTCATTTATGCTTGTCGGAACATCGCGAACATGGCCTTATTCAAGCTGGGATCGCTGCGAAAGCTCGACCAGGTGCGCAGTCGAGAAAAGCGCTCGACAAGGGTGGTATATCATGCAACTTTCTTCATTAGCAAGTGGTGGCCGTTGCATGTTCCCAGGACTGGTCCAAGGCGACCAGAACCATGGGAGATCTCCGGAAAAGTGGCGCCTCGTTTCGCATTATGTGTCTGTATCTATCCTCAGAAGCACTTCTGTATGGTTCATGCGCATTTGTGCCATCCTTAATCGACACAGTCAAAGTTGTCGGTTGTGGTTATGCGTATGCCATGGGCTTGTTTTCACTCAAGACTCGGCCAGGAGGGCACCTCATCCACATGCAGAGTCTGTCCGGCGCCGCCGCTAGTGATGTGCTCCGGCCCGCATTCATGTTGCTCCTTTCTTCTTTGTTACACCGATAGGTTTGGTGTGTCGCAAGATGCGATAGCTCTCTTGTGGCCCGTCCAAGACGTATACATGTATGTACGTGCAATCAGCCACGCTCTGCTATGACGGAGATTGTGTTCGAGGTCGTGTGCAGTCGCAGCGCAAGCCCGACACTTCGACCACAGAACGCGAGGCTCGAGAAAGAGAGGCTAGCGGGATGTACAGGTCACGATCATCCTGGCACATTTAAGAATCAAGCTTACCTATAACTCCAGGCACAGCACGCCAAAAGTGGATAGTAGTGGTTCCAAAGCTGCCTCGAGATCTCTTGGGTGGACGGGGAGACAGATGATCGGTTACAGAACTTTTGATGAAATGCTGAAGTGGTGCCGCCTGGTATTTGCTTCTCTAAAATGTGTACTGTACCGTTGACAATACATCCCTTCACCCCTAGTTCCACGTCCTTACCCCCTTTGTCGCGTTCTATGAGGAATGCTGGTTTCGGCGTGCCATTAGAGGTCGCAAGTGCGGCGGACTGAAGAGCCTTGCATTTACCTGCTGTCATAAGTGCAATCAACGCAATAGTAGAATCGTCAGAGAGATGCAGACAGCGTCACCGCCGTTGGGTTGCCAAATTGACCAGTCACCCTGGGGAGGCCGCAAGGATGTGTTATTATTGACGTTTGGCGGCTAAGCCCGCCCTCATACACTTCCGCGCCCGCATCTGTCACCACCACCCACACACACACCATGGCCGACTCCATACACTTGCAACCTCGCACACCACCCATGCCCAGCAATTGGACTCGCCCTCCCTCTCGTTGATGCTGTATCGGCCTCCTCCTCCTCTTCCTCGTTCATCACTTCCTGCTCCGCATCCCTTATTCCGTGTGCGTGCTGTACACTGCCGCTGCGGTCTTCTTCACAGTCTCCGCGCCCGAAACCTTCTGCTGACGGGTGGCTGCCCTCAAGGACGCGGCTCGTCTCTACCCGCTGCTTCCAAGAACGTCCTTGCTGCTCGTTTCTGCTTGGGAGAGAACAGCAGAGGAAGGATATCAAGCCATCCCTTCATCCACTCTACTGCTGATGTATGTTGGGCAGCGGTCTCCCTCCCGCTGAGCATTCCACGGTCAAGGTTCAGGTTTGATCGCGCCGGCACCCGCTTGCCGTCGGTCCCTGCCGCTTGGCCCAGTGATCATTCCCGCGTGCGCTGTTCCTAACTTTAACCCGCCCTCCCTTCACACCTCCCACTCCACCGTCACCCATCTTCTGTATTTTTGTCGCAAAACATCCCCGTGTCGCCAGAATATACGATATTCGACAACGTGATAATAATTGGGCTTCAACAGAAGAATCTCGCTGCATAGTCAAGATGTACCAGTAGTCTCATCCGCATGAATCACTTTTCAAGATGCAGCGCGTTGGTCCTGGAGGTCCTCAGTCGCAGAGCCATAACTTTTCGTTAACCGCCCAAATCGGAGCTGAATTGCAGAGAGACCAGCCAAATCTTCCAACAGGATGGCAGAGGACTATGGACATACGCGAGCGCAGCGCGCGCATCGTACACATCATTACTCAGCTACGCTTGATTGCTACCAATCCCCCAATAGATGCGGTCCAGGTCGCCCGAGCATTTGAGAAGCAGACCATCGAACAATCACCGAGCAAGGAGACCTACCTGCTGAAAATGGAGCAAAAATCCATAGATATCAAGCGTGCTCGCGAACAAAAGGCTTCCGGCATGCAAGCCGATGCTGCAGCCATGAATTCTTTGAACCCGAACATGCAAATCGGCACCGGCACTCATTTGTCCAGCGGCACAATGGGCCTCAATCCATCCTTCCTCGGGGGTGCTGGTGGACAAAGCATGCAAGCGGGGCTTCCGTCGAATCCTACGAATCAATTCAATGCCTTCGCAGGACAGCTTGGAACGTCAATGCAACCGACGCCGCCGTCGATGCCCCAACAGATGAATATGGCCAGTGCGAGCCAAACCCCCGTGAATCCACTCAATCTTCAGATGCGACAGAATGCCCTGCTACAGAACCAGCAGATTGTGCAGAAAATTCACAACGTTGCTCGCCATTTATACTCACAATTTCCCGAGGACAAGAAACAGGCATTTCGCGATCGACAGAGGCAAAATCTGGGCGAAGCCCAATGGGCGCAGCTTGAGAGCAGCGGGAAGGATGTCGTGATGCAGCTTTGCATAAACCGTGCTAAGGATGCAGTTCTTGGACCATTGCTTGGAGGACCCGACGGGACTTCTGTCTCTGCCGCTGGAAACCCCGTGCAGCACCCGCCAGGAAACAATTTGGACATGAACACCATCGTCGGTCAGCAAGTCAACGCGATGAAGATGCAACAAATAGGAGAACAAGTCGTGCCAGCAAGCAACAACAACAACAACAACAACAACAACAACAACAACACAAGTGGCATCAATCCCGCCAGTCGCGCAAACCTTGGGAATCCCACAGCTGTTGGACAGAACCTCAACGCTCAAATGCTTGCCAATGGACTCAATCAAGGGGGCGTTTCGGGCGTTGATGGGTCGCTGAACAATGCGCAGCAGTTTTTGATCCGACAGCAGCAAGAAGCTCAAGTGCGAGAGCGTATGATTAACCAACACAATATGCGTCAAGCAATGATTAACCAGGCCAACATTGCACAAGCTAATGGCAATCGCGGACAAACAGCCGCGCAGATGCTCGGCAACTTCAGTGGAACAGCGCCCGGACAGACAAATAATCCAGCCATGGCAATGTTGACTCGTCCAATGACGGGTCCAACTAGCCAAACAACACCAGGAACTCCTCAAGTCAACCGCCCACAGCCGACACCTTCGCCTATGAATACAAATGGGCAATTGTCGCTACAGCAAATGAATATGATGGCGCAGAATGGACGGCAGCTTTCGCAACAACAGCAGCAACAGTTGCAAAATCTTCAGCAGCAGAAGCAGCAGCAGCAGCAGCAGCAGCAGCAGCAGCAGCAGCAGCAGCAACAACAACAACAACAACAACAACAACAACAACAACAACAACAACAGCAGCAGCATCCAAACGCAAATCAGACGCAGACTCAGGCGCAAGCACAGATACAGCTTCGGCAACAGCAGATGGCTGCGGGCAACAACTTTGATATCAATCCACTAGTCCGTGCGAGGCTAGGAAACTCGACTGAGGAACAGCGTCGCGCATTCTTCGCAAAGCACCCGGACCTGGCTGCCAGGGCCGCCAACCAGGTTCCGCCACCTCGACCAACCATGGCGCCAAATACAAACATGAACCTTGTTCAGAGCGCTACAGAAAACAAGCAGCAGCAGCAGCAGCAGCAGCAGCAGCTCCAGCTCCAGCTTCAGCAACAGCAACAGCAACAGCAGCAGCTTATGAACATGATGTTCAACAATGGGCCGGCATTAGCGAACGCGAACGCCCAACAGAAGCAGCTCCAACAACAGCTTCAACAACAGCGTCAGCAGCAGCAACAGCAACAGCAGCAATCGACGCAATTCCAACAGGCACAACAGCAAGCACAGCAGCATGCACAACAACAGATCAATCAGCAGGTACAACAACAAGCGCAACAACAAGCGCTGCAGCAACAGGTACAACATTCGCAACAGCAGTCGCAGCAGCAACAAATTCAAACGCAAGCGCAATTGCCACAACAGCAGCAGCAGCTCACTCCGGCACAGATGCAACAGATGCAACGAAACCAGATTATCAAGAGGATGGTCTACGACTCATTACCCTTCCCGAAGGAGTACCTCAATTTACTCAAGCTTTCTAACGTGCCAGGCAGCGCCGTTACGTGGAGCGACTTGAAGAGCCACATCGTGCAGAACAAGGCTTCTCTGCCTGACCAGACCTACGAACGTTGTTGCGTGCTTCAACAGGAGATCTATGACAGGAATCCGCCCCCGAATATGGATGCCCTTGCCCGCAGCGTGATAGAGCAAAACCGCCTGAGGAACTCAGCGCCACAGCAGCCATCAAAGGCACAGCAACCGCCTCCAAGCAATGCTGACCAACCTCTGCAGACCGTGCCGCCAGCTGCGCCGATGCAAGCACCCTTGACAGTGCCGGCAACATTACCGCCACATATCATGCAATTACTGCAGGCGACGCCGCAAGAAGTGCAGGCGTTTCGCATGCAGATGCCGCGCCCTTGTTCTGAGGAATTGATCCGCCAACATATCATGCAATCAAAGTACAAGAGGCTTTTAGAATCTCGTCAGAAACCGAAGGTATCAGCTGCGGGCTCCAATGAGCCGGCATCAAACAATGTGCCTCGTAATGGCGCGGAAGATGGTTCGCAAGTGCAACATCAACCTCTACCAACAGCTCTGTCTGTTTCTCAGCCTGGCCGCCTGCCCAACGAGGTGACGAAGCCCAATGAGATGCCCGGCGAAGAGATCAACGGGCGACCTCCTGTGCAAAACGTCTCAGTGCCCTCTATATCGGCTGCGCAATCGAGGGCGCACGCGCAATTGCAATCACTCATGCGGATCACGCCCCAGCAAATTGCTTCCATGACCCCCGAGCAGCAGAACAAACTCGCGAAGCAGAAGGAGATCCTGTATAAACAAAGCTTGACCAACAATGCAATTACTTCGGGTGCAAGTGGGGCTGCTCAAGCTGGGATTCCGTCCAGTGTTGTCGCCCCAGCCCCCTACACAGTCCCACCACTCACACCTGCCGAGAGAGAGAAGATCAGCCTTTTGTTTCGCGAAGTCCAAGCTGCGAACCCCAAAGGTCCAGCTATAGTCGTCGACCAGTCTTATCTCAATAGAGCACAAGAAATGCTTTCCAAGTGTGCTGACCCATTGGACAGGATGGATTCCACATACCCGGAAATTTTGCGGACCCCCAACTTACCCATCGAGATCTTACGCAACCAATTACGTGCCAAGTGGATAGTATCCTGCAATCTGGACAACAACAAAAGTTTGAAAGATTTGAGCGTCACCATTGAGCAAATACAGGAGATCATGCAACACGTCGGTGTTTACATGAATTTCTTCAAGGACATCAGGAACAAGAACCAGGAGATGCACGCTGCGAGAGCAACGCAAATTGCGCAGGCACAACAGGCAACGTTGCATCCACCCTCACTTCAACAACAGCCGACACAGCCGCCGTCAGCTCAACCGGGAACGCTTCAACCCGCAGCTGTAACAGCTGCGAGCCATGCAACTGATGTGGCGAGCGGATTTGCGCAAACATCGCAGCCGTCGCCCGTGATGCTTGCAATGAAAAAGTCGGCCTCTCAGCAAGCGAATCATACTCGTAAGACTTCTTCCACTGCCAAGCCTCCGCCGGCACCGACCGAGAATCGTACGTTCGACTGGGGTACCGGCGCCGGCCTGCCCAAATACGACAGCCGAAATGAGCTCACCCCTGATAAGCTCAAGTTTCCACCAAGTAAGAAGCGAAAGGCTGGTGCAGATAGTGCTGCCTCAACGCCCACAGCTGCAGTAGGAACTCCGACAGCCACGGCTGCTAGTCCAGCCCAGGTTACACCTGGTGCTGCTGTCGTTCCAATGGCTGTCATGAACGCCAAAACCACTAGCCCCGAGCAAGCGAAGGGCGCCAAAGCGGCCTCGTCTGTGGTAGGACCAGCAGCAATGTTGCCGTGGGTGGCCAAGAGTCGGGAAAAGAAGTTCCGCTGTTCTGATCCTGCATGTGTTGGCACGCACCTTGGCTTCGATACCGAGGATGAGTTGACGCAGCACGTCAAGATACAGCACGAGCCTATTGGTCTCCCGCTCGATTTTCTGCTGGGAAACGCCGAGAACTTACTGACGAAGAGTTCAGTGACTACAGCAGTCGGGCACAATGATTCCGCCAGGTCCGAGAAACTTACTCTCGGCGAGGCAATGGAACGCAGCCGTTCTCAAAGCCATAGCAAGCAAGTCAGTGCGACCGCTACTGTGCCAAGCAACGATCTAAAAGCAGCAGTTGCTTCGGTGAAGGGCGAAACGGCCAAGGACACCATCGTTGATGGTGCATTAAGTAGACCTGTGACTATGCGCGATGCCATGAAAGCGAAACTGAACCTCGACCCACGAACCGCACCTTCAACTCTGCCCGTGGCATCGCCTTCACAGGTCTTGCCAGCCTCAGGAGCCTCGCATTTCCCGGACTTCGACCTGCTTTCAACCAACACAGACGGCATGGGTCTCTTCGACTGGGATATGCTCAACGCCGACGCTCCAGTGATGCTAGATGCGGCCAATAATACAGCGGCTGTGAGAGCGGACTCCACGGCCACGCCACTCTCGCGCACGACTTCTTCCGCCGCCTCGACAATCGACTCAGATGGCGTTCTCTTTACGCCTCCCAGTACTAGCGGTAACAACAGCGATGTGGAGATCACGCCGCACGACCAACTCACTTTGCATGCTCGACTTCAAGGGTTCGTGGCGACACAGACCTGGTCTCCGTATCCAGGTGCGGTTGCGGGCATCCCGGTCGCCATGGAGGACTTGCTCTTCAATGGCGCAATCTCCAGGGATGTCGCTGCTGACCAGAGTGCTCCCGCCGGTGGTCTGTCCATAGGCGGCGAAGAATGGCTTTCGGATGACAACTACTTTGATCTGGACGCTGCCAATGAAAGCGACCGTGAAGGCATATCACGAGGTCAAAAGAAGGCCAAGAGCGATGATGAGGAGGCACAGAAAGGTGCCGACATTGACACTAAGCTTGATAATGCCAACGGCAATGGAGATCCTCCAAAATCATCGTTAAAGCCATTGACTCTCACGGCAAACGACTTCGAGACGATTCTGTTCGATTGGGATGGTACCAGTGGCATTGCTGCTGCTGGCGGGATGGATGTCGATGGTGGTGACGATGATACCCGTTCCGGTATGGAATGGGAGGCTTGGATCAAAGGATGATGAGCGAGGCGCTGGGGAATCGAGTAACGCGAAACAACCACGACGCCACGGCATATTTTCACAGCATTAACGACGTCATGCGATGGAATTGAGGCACTGTTGGGCTTGAGAGACGCCCAACGATTTCATCCCACCCTTGGGGGGATCTATGTGGTGTGGGCTTTTTTCTCTCTTGTTTCGTGGATATTATGGCATGGGCGGGACCCGTCGATCTATGTGTTTTGCAGTTTATTTGGCGCAATTGTTGGGTTTTATGTTCTTTGCGGGAAAGCGGGCTTATCAACTTGGGCCGGTCAAACCCGACGATGAGAGGATGTATTTGGGCTGGGTTGCACAATGCAGCTTCAGCTTAATTGTACGAGACAGGCAGAGGTTGGGCGGGCGGATGGGTTGACGGCGGTGTTCTGACGAAGATATACCCTCTTGTACGTTTACTGTTTTGGATCATTGTTTGGCATTTTAGCTGTATGGAAATGGCGAGTAATTCTGCGCGCACCTTAAGTCGCAAAAAATGAGCGATATAACAAAATGTAACACTCTCAAACCGAAGATTCCCTCCGTTTGCAGCATAAAGTGCTGATTGACTAAATTTTGGTGACACTGGCGAGATGCCATCCAGATCTGTGTCTGTCCTCGGCGCCGAAGTCATGCTACGCCTTGCACAAGCAGGAGCAGTGCGTCCCGACGCCGCTCCATCAGGGCGGAGGACCGAACAAATGTGATTTGCTGCATCCCTCCTCCTCAAGGTTGTGCGTCTTTGTCATCGTGACCGTGGGGCTCTCAATCGAGCTTCCAAGATTGGGTTGCGTCAGTTTGCAAAAACCTCCACGCCATTGAAACCTTGCATCACGCCAGCTGAGCAAGAAGGTCTTCGGTGGACAGCTCGACTCTAATCATGCACCACTAGGATCTAGCTCATAAAGCCGAACCATTCGTGCGCCATTTTTCGAAAATTGATGCGACGCGTGCCTCGAATTCGGCATCAAATGTGCCCGAATCGATCATTAAGGGTAGCCGGCTGAAGCTCCTAAAAGGACCATTTCCTTGGCTTGACAGAGTGAGGCTTGACGAGCTTTACATCTTGTCCCAGCATTCTTATTTCTTGACAATGGTGATGATGTCCTCGTCGGCCAGCTCATGAGAGAGACCAACTCGTTGGGGCTGATGTTTGACGCTCTGCCCATACACAATGGCAATGCGGAATTGATCAACGATCGACTTGTGAATGGCATTGCAGAAGTCTTCTACGGTGCACGCTGTCTTTCTTAGCACTACTGGTGCTGTGTAATCTGGAAGCTTGCCCTTGGGTTTGGTGTAGACACGACGCAGTTCGAGTTTCTCCCACATCTGTTCGAGCAATTCATCGACATTCCAGCCATGCTCAGATGAGATGGGACACGCGTTTGGGATGCGGTAAAGAAGATCCAGCTCCTCGATACTAATCGCATCGATTTTGTTGAGAGCGTAGATGACGGGGATATAAGCACGGTGCTTGGCCTCAATCACATCGATGAGGTCATCTACGGTGGCGTCACAGCGGATAGCGATGTCGCAGTTGGCCATGCGATACTCGTTCATGACAGCCTTGATTTCATCCTTGTCGATATGGGTCAAAGGCGAGGTGTTTGTGATAGAGATTCCGCCCTTGTCCTTCTTAGTTATCTTGATATTCGGAGCTTGTTTGTTTACCCGGATGCCAAACCCCTCGAGTTCATTTTCGATAACCCTCTTGTCTGTCAACGGTTTGTTCACATCAAGAACAATGAAAATTAGATGGCAAGTCTTTGCCACCGCAATAACCTGCCGTCCTCGTCCTTTACCATCTTTGGCTCCCTGAATGATACCTGGCAGATCCAGCATCTGAATCTTGGCTCCGTTGTAAACGACTTGCCCGGGTACCGTGGTCAGGGTAGTGAACTCATATGCTGCAGCTTCGGAATGCTGCCCAGTGAGTCGGGACATCAGTGTTGATTTTCCGACCGAGGGGAAACCAATGAATCCGACCGAAGCAACACCAGTACGGGCAACGTCGAAACCAACGCCGCCACCGCCGCCTCCACTGCTGGAAGGAGTAAGGAGCTCCTTCTTTAACTTGGCTAACTTTGCCTTTAATTGTCCCAAATGAAACGATGTTGCCTGCGTCTTCTGTCAGCAATCCCTGACTTTTCAACCGAATATCCCATATCTTGCAGCACGCACTTTGTTCTTTTGCGTCTTAGCCATCTCGGCCTCGATGTCTCTAATCTTGTCCACGGTGGTCGCCATGCTGGGCAATTTCACTCGGGAGTGCTACCACCAGAAACAGCGCCTATGAGTCGATTTGGGATCGTGATGATTCGTTCAAATCGTTCGCTCCGTCGCGACGGCCTATCGATTGTCGGATGTGATCCTGATCACTTGCGCCAGAACGAGGAAGGTGTAGATAACCTTGGAAGTGGGTTGATTCATGAACTGAGAATATCCTCGATATGACGCTGTGTGGAGTCGAAATGCGGCTGCTCCCGCCACTTCGCCTTCCTGTCGGCAGGGCACGTACAGTAGTACAGTACCAGGCATATGCTTGTTGTTGAGCGAGCCACCACCGCATCCACGACCTGCCAGAGTGTCGTGAAAATACTTCTTAATCATTATTATCAATGGATAGTCTCCGATATGACGACCTGCTGTGACTTACAGCGTTACTGAACTTAATGCCAGTCGATACTCGCATGCTTCATCAACGGTTCATTGATCAACAGTTTGGCCCTCTGCCGGGTTGTCGATCTCGTGAAATGACGTAAGCTCGTTCATTCTGCAGAACTTTGAACACCGCTGTCCCTTGTGCAATATCATCCATTAACATGTATACTTCGTTGCAAGGTTAAGTCATATGAGGAACAATACGTCAATGATAGGTATCATCTTTGAGGCCGATTTATGCTCTCACCGTCCTTTACTCTTGTGACCACAATCTGGGCGGCTATCGACGGAAATCCGTTGTCGGCCATCGACGGCTTTGCATTTGTCCCACGGCACTCTGCCGGCTAAACTCAAACTCCAATATCTGGCAGTTTTCTCACTTCGTGGTCCGCAAGGTGCCTGGCATCGTAAAAATACGCGCAGATCATGGCCGAAGGGTTTGTGGTTCTTCTTATGGAATACGATTTTCTTAATGATCACTGGCTCCTTCAATACCATTGAAATACGAAGTGATGATCGTTGAACCCTGGCACAGCACTCCTGCTATTGACGACGCACACCTGAACAGGTGTCAGTCCCCGCATGACTCAACCGAAGTCACATTTCCCAAGTTACCATTTGTACGTCTACGCCATTCAGTTTATCGGATAAGAATAAGGTTGGCGGTGTCTGCTGGTCAGCCGATTGAAAACGTAAACATGCGCTTAGAACGCGTATCACTTGAGTGCACAAGGCACGACACGCGCACAACACGGTCGGCCATGTCATGCAAATTGAGCGGGCGAGAACGGCGACTACACATATATCCCGGGATTATCGCGCGTCTTCCACTCATGAAAGATTAAATTGCTGTCACCGGCCAGGCCTCACTCAACGAATTCAATCATCATCTATCGGAGATATCATAATGTTGGCTGTGTCAGCCCTGCCACTGGCCGGTCCCCAGGACAGCGTTGGATCACACTATGTACAAACCAACAATCACTCCGACGGTTACCCACAATTAAAAGCTTCCACCTTTGACGAACTCGTTTCGAACATCAACCGCGTCCTTGGGCCTTCGAACGGCATTGACAGCGATGGTGTTGACGTACAGGAGCTCGTCAAGCTCATGCAGCAGTATCGCTCTCGTTCTGATGATTGGAGTCGTTTTGCCTTTGCCGGTGTGCCACCCCATTCACATTCCCTCGCCGATGTCAGATTGCAGAGGGATTAACGAAGCCCACCTGCATAATTTGGGGATACGATTGCTGAAATTATGCTTATTCTTCCGCTTGTGCAGACCCAAGTCGAGCGTACACCAGAAATCTTGTCGATCGAGGTAATGGCAAGTGCAATCTTGTAAGTAGTAAGATTGAAAGTCGCGAGGACTGTACCACAGTATTTGCCAGATTGATCAAGCTAGACATGCCTAGGGCGTCATGGCAATCAATTGACCAATCTTCGAACAGTTGATCCTCGTTTGGACACCCGGAAAAGCTTCCCCAATCCATGACCATGCTTCTGCGCATTGTGTCATGAAAGTTCTCCAAGGCACGCTCACGGAAACACTTTATACATGGCCTTGCGAACAGCCGCAGTCGTCGATGAACCAAATAGATCAGATGATCGGCAGGAACCAGGTAAATGGTGGCGAGCTTCCACAGTCCGTGACTGGAGTCTCTTCGACTTGTCCCTCCACACAGCATACCTGCTCGAGTCGAGACTTGAATGAGTCAATGACAACGACCAAGGGAGCTCTCCGTGTGCGACGCCAAACATCCTATCCAACAGATGGCGTGACATACATGAGCGACACCTTGGGCCTGCATCGAGTTGGGAACGCGCATCCATCCGAAACGGCAGTCAGTCTGCATCTGTACACAGTGAGTAGTCTCAATCTCTGCGAAGCTACTTGCACCACGCGCGGCCACCACTCAAAACTCTCCGCTGACCACAACTGTTACGCATAGCCGCCGAACGCTGCGAAGCACGGCTGTCACATTTTCGAGGAGAGCACGGGAAGGAAGTCTCATGTTCAGCAATGCCATTTCTATTCCGAGCTAGGCGTCAAGCTGTAAGGTTAAGTTGTGGTGTGGATTGGCCGGAAAGTCCAGGACACCTGGCCATTATGCGAACTGAGATGGTTCTCCAGCATTTTGTCTCTGTATTTGTGTATACTGAGGAACCTTGGAATCTAAGGACTGTGCGTCTCTCTCACGCCGTCAGTGAATCGATCGTCTCTTACATCGTGATACTTGCTTCTATAATTAGTAGCTGTTCCACTGCAAGGAGGCGTTTGTCATGTGGCATCTCGTAGCTTGAATTGTGAAATGAATTGTAAATTAAGTGATTTCTGAAATGTGACTCGATAGACGGTTATAATGGTCCGCAAGGCTAGGCTGATCTGCGGACTCGATGATGTTGGTGAGTCTGGGGGGTTAATGTCCTTTAGATGCGATCATTCCTACATTATGCAGGCGGTACGCTGCATATTCTTGGGCCGCTGCGGCTGTACTGTACAATTTCGTGCCATCACTGTCTCGCTTTGGCGGAGGCTCTGCCTTCCCGTGATTGATGGAACTGCTTCTAGCTGTCGATGCTTGCGCAAATTCCCGACCATTCGGCCATTTCTCAGCCAGACGTCCTCCTTTTACTGTCCGTCCTGGATCAGACTCGAAACTTTCTGCTCAATCGCGCTGGCATCCAATCCTAAAGATCCAGTATTCAGCCGGTTATCTTTACTGACACAACGTCCTTCGACAACGCCAGATCTCACCTTTTAGGTCTGCAACTCTTTCTCGTCCGAATTCGTACCGTGCGTAAACCTTTGGCTCAATGCCAAGAGCTTCACGGATCATGATAGGAGTGTGTGGATTGCTCTGCTTCATTGATGGATACGATTTCGTTAGAAACGATCTGTCATGGCCAAAGCAGTCAGTTCGGTGTCTCCACCTCGGCGTAGAGAGGTCTCATGGATCGGCGAGCGTACCGGACAGCATTGGAGTGCTCGCTCGTTTGGCAGTGAAGGAAGCGCAACTCCTTGAGTGCCTTAGTGAAAGCGTATTTGCCGGACATGGTAGGTTTTCAATCAGGGCTAGTCACGGAAGCTGACGTTGAAGCGTAATATGCCCGACGACGGTGTTCGACCACGTAGAAATGCGCTCAGCGGTCCCATTGACATTGACATTCGACGAACCTTGAAACGCGGGAAGGCTCATTACGGTATACTGTAGGGACTACTCCAGACCTCAACATCTGTTCTGGCGCAAGTGACAACCTACTGCGTACTCGAATTCGCGTTTCATATCACACAACTCCGTGTTAAGAAGAGATCTTACACCTCACCATGAAGATTGTGCGCAATGATAAATAACGAGCACTTATATGAAGCATACTCATACCTTGCTTGGGATCTTGCTCGGGGTCGTATCCATGCTCCTCACCATGGTACACAATAGCTGGGGTGTGGGTGTGGAACGAGAGATCTATTTTGGCTCTTAGGGCTGCTTAAGTCCGCCCATGTTTCGTCACACCTCAATTCTCGTCAACGTTCTGTTCTGACACCTCCGAAGTCCTCAATCACATCCCAAGCTTCCTTCATTGGCGACTTTTGCGCAGACCAGACAACAATCGTCGATCGACATTCCTACTTAACCGATATCGGGTGAGCTGGAGTATTCTTGAGAATGTTCGCACGCATTGGCTTGCGTACTGCGCAGCAGACCCTCCGTCAGACCACTTTCCGCCTCAAGCAGAGACGAACACAGTCAACAATTTCAGATGCCGCACAAGCGATCCCGAAAAATGAAAACGCCTTCCTAAAGTTTCTGAACGGGCCGACCGGCTGGCGCACTGTACACTTCTGGGCTCCGATTATGAAGGTAAGAATCGAGATCCTACTTCCGAAGAGTCGGATGAGGCTGTTGAGATTATAAGACACTGACATGATCAAATCTGTTCAGTGGGGTCTTGTTATCGCCGGCGCCGCCGATTTCGCACGTCCTGCGTCGCAGCTTTCGCTCTCGCAAAATGCGGCGCTCACAGCCACTGGTTTCATCTGGACGCGCTGGTGCTTCATCATCAAGCCGCGCAACGTCTTCTTGGCCAGTGTCAATTTCCTCCTTGGGTGCGTAGGTATCACACAGGTCGTGCGTGTACTGCTGTACCAGCGCAGTATAGCCGGCGTAGAGGGAGCCGTGAAGGAAGAAGGACGGGCTCTGGAGAAGGCTGTGAAGAATCCCGAAGCAATCAAAGAGGCGGTGGAGCACCCTTCCAAGTAGGCTTTGAGATGGGATCGAAAACTGGAAAGAGAGACACTGGGGGCTCACACTGGTTTGAATCGACGAGTTGAGACGGGGACTGCGGAAGAAAATTCTACAGAGTCCTTCGCCGTCGCTGCTTCTGCTGCGGACGAGCCGGCCGCGGATGATTCGAAAGACAGCGATTCAGCCCCCGGGCAGGTCGATGAAACCACTGACAGCAGGTCTGAGGAACAGTCCACAACGGACGAAGAGAAATGAGGGCACATTTCTGCAGAATACCATGCCTCTCACGTCGCGTGTTCATTCTACCTTTGAACATCATGAGCGAAGATCATATGGGCCGTCGGCGGCAAGCAGTGTGGAGTTTCCTCGGGGTTACGGGTTTCCTAGATGTACGACTGAATCGCAGAATGAATAAAATTCAACGTCAAGATATTTGTAGCTGTCCACGGCAGGTCCAAACTGACAAAACTAAGACACTCTCCCCCGTCGACACGGGTCAACATTACGTCCCCAGAGAGTCTTGCGTTGATCCGGTTCGCTACCTTTTGACAAAAAACGAGCAATAGCACCAGTACCGTACTCATTAAATGCTTTGCAAGTGCCTAATTCTCGCCTTCATGCACAGCTGAACAGTCTCTGAAGCTGCAGCAGCTGCCTCAAAGGCATGCGGAGCCCCCGGGATGATATGGAATTCGCAACTGACTCCAGCCAAGCCCAGCGTCTGCACATAAGCGATATCTTCTTGCCGGAAAAGGTCCAGCTCGCCGACATCGATGTACGCTGGCGGTAGACCTCGGGCTTGTTCGACGTTCGTGCGGCCTGCAGCTTCTACTACTGTGACATCGGGACCACCGCGGCGCGAACCGAGAAGTGCGTTCCATCCCGTTTCGTTGTCATCACGGGACCAAAGCAGGAAAGGTTCAATCTCCTTTTCTACGGCAGATGTGGTAGTTCGATCGTCGAGCATAGGATAGATGAGGATTTGACGCTGGAGTGACGGGATTACATCGGGACTGCCGCTGTGCTTTTCGTGCTGTTGCTTGACATAGTGTGCCAGGCTTGCGGCGATGCCTCCGCCTGCTGATTCGCCGATGACTCCGATGCGCTTTGGGTCAACACCGAGCTCTGCAGCGTGTTCGTGCAACCACTGCAGCCCTGCGTACGAGTCTGTGACGGGCACAGGGGCTTGCACCTCTGGCGCCAAGCGGTAGTCGACCGCGAGCAATGGTACGCTAGCCGATACCACGTTCCGAGCAATGATCGGAGTCAGAACTTCGACTGAACCGGCGATCATACCGCCGCCATGGGCGTACACCCACGCGGATCCCTTCGAGGGCTCGTGAAGTGTCGTGGGCATGAACCAGCGAAGTAGAAGCGTATGCCCGTCTGATGTCGTGGTGTGATAGTCTGTGATAGTGACAGTCCCGGCCGGCGGTGCCAAAGTTGCAGCGATAGGGGCGAAGAAGGCGTCCAAGTTTTTGCGGCGAGTTTCCACGTCGCCAATCTGGAACCAAAACTCTCCGTCAGTAAATTTGGAAGATCATAATGGTTTGTGGCAGCTCAATAAAGACATACCGGGACCTTGGGGCGATCTTCCTTGCCGAGCATCGCCTGGAATACAGCCAAGATCTGTGGGTCATAAGAGAAAGGCATCTTGACTGGCGTTCGTAACGAGATGAATCAAATTGGGCGTTTGGAGCTCGAGAGCGCGACTCAGAAATGCCGAGAAGAATGATGGAAAGATGGGTGAAGTATCTGGAATGGAAACATTTCTGGTAAATACACGTGCATATGTACACATGTATTTACATTCGTCGAGCCTCTCCAAACACGGAGACCTTCTCCGCCGACCGTAGAGTGAGGTGGAATGACGATACTTTCGAGTCAGTGCAACCCTCCGAGGGTCCACACTTCTTGCGACCAAGATGAGACCTTGAGGGGCCCGCCCTGGTTGTGCATATACGGTAGCAGAGGACAAGGCGCAAGTAAGCATGAAGGAGCTTGCGGTCGCTTACAGGGTGATCCTGCCGGTCTACCTGCCGAGACACACCTAGCTTGTAGGTCATCAATGCATGGCCATGAGTAGTGCTTACCGTGCCTACAGCGCTAGATATGTGGATGCGTTTGTTCCTGCGAGGGCATTCGCAATCTCAAGAGTCATTTGTGATGATGTAAAGATTTACCCAAACTGTTGAGAGGCTGTGAATTGACGATTCCTATGTGTTGGGATCGGGGCGTCAATTGAACACTCGTGGTGGGGACTCGCGACAGGGCCTAGAATCCTTAGACCGTTCGATATCGGTGCCGCAAGATTGACATAGTCGCGCCCAATCAGGACTACGGATTGATTGGTAGTTCGGTCCAGCGTCCGTCAACGTCACCGTCCAGGAGCTTGAATTTCAGCTTGCGACGTGTGTGTATGTACACGTCCGCGGGCGGTGACGGCGGTATGCTACGCGAGCAAAACGGGATTTTGGTTGGGCGACCAGCGACAAACTGCCGGAAGATGATTATGTTTTCCCCTATGTTGCTGGATGTTATTCCACCACGCCCAGGTCCATACCAATGATCATTTTGTACAACCATCTGCGACATTGTCGTCCTCTTCACCCATGACATGTTGCGTTCGCAGCAACAGCCGAACAATGATGCCTCCTGTGCAGCACAGGTCGCCAATCGCTCCTTGGTTGCAACATCGCTCACTTTCTTCATTGCTGCTTGCGTAGCTTGCACGGCGACTTGGTCGCGACACTCACTCTTGACTGCCTCGCTCTCCTGGGTTGTCCTTTTCACGTACTGCATCACTCAACCAGGCGCCACTCCACTGCTTTCGGCATCACATCAGCAGGCGCCTGCCTTTGCCGCCGGAGCCCTTTTTGCCGTTGCGCAATTGTGCGAGCGTGCATTGGAAGATGGAAGCATTTGGTGGGCAAAGGTCTACATTCTCCCAATCGAATGACAAAAGTCGGACATGAAATTATGCGGAACACATTCACTGAGACAATGCGCTTTTACCGTAGGCTTTACTACCGGTCCTGGTCTACGCATCCGTTGCAAATGGCATGGTCCACGATGTCGCCGTTGTGCGCACCCCATCTTTAAAGGCGAGAAGTGCCTCAGTGCGAAAGGCTTCAATTTACGGCTCGCCGATGAGCATTGCCATCATCACTCTCGCAGGTCTGGTCGCCTTGGGAACTTCATTGACTACGACAATCTCGCTCTCTAGTATTGCTCTCGGATTGTCCTATGCGTCGGTGCAAGTGTTGGCATTATGTCTTGTCGAGAGGGCACGTAAAGACAACCAGCAGAAGCTTGGTGCTGAGAGCAGGCGGCGAGTCTCTGCCACAGGCCTTCCAATACTCTCGGAGGGCTCTCTTTTGAGCAACCAGGATCCATGGCAACTGGTGCTTCAGGATGTCTCGCTTGCTGCAGCGACAGTAACTCTGATAGCGACTGTCATGTTCGAGAGCCTACAATTTGGTGGCCTTGTATGCTTTGGCCTCATCGACCGGATCATTGGTGAACACTGGATGGAAGGGCAAGTTTTCGTGTCGTCAATTATCGGTGCTGTCATGGTTCTCGTACATTGCATCATGAATGCATCTCTTGTGCTCATGGTAAGTGCGAAGGCTGCTAGACGGCTGAGTTCTTTCCCTTTCGTCAAATATACATCCGCGGCTTCCGTTCCTCCGTTGAGCCGCCCCAGAACAGCTTTCTTCGACGCGCCCCGTCATCGTAGTAGCCGGATCGCGAATGGGGTGGATATTCAACATATTCAGGTGTACAGTCTGAGATGCCCATCTGCGTCCTTTCTCGCACAAGCCACGCCCCACGCTTGTGCAAGCCTACGCTTGAAATATCGTACGCGGTATCAATGAGATCATCACCTCGCGCACACAAATGCACCCATTCACGCAAAGAGTTCCCATTGGCAGCTCCTCGATCAAGTTTGCTGACTCTCATCCGTGACCAGGTCCGACGGCAAGGCGCGTTCTCCGCCAGTGCGGTACTTCCTTCTGCTGCAGTATGCGCACGCCTGCTGGTCGAGTTTTCACTACCTCGAGCATGGTTCTCATCACTTTATGCAAGCGCAGTCTATTTCCTGATTGACGAAAGAGATCTTTTGCCCAACATTCCCGCAATGCAAACCCGAGGTCGGATCATACTGCGCTATCTCGCAGTCATCACGTTTACCACATACATCCTGTGGCAATTAAGACAGCCCTTCCACGATGACCGAGATCTTCGATACACCCACGCACACGCCGGAAAGAATCTCGCAGTGACACCACCGCCGCAAGCCTTCGATCCTCTCCAGTTGTCGAACACACAAGTACACCCCATTGCCCAACTTGCTCACAACGCCGAAGCGACCTGGAAACGGACCTTACAATCCCAGTCTCACACAATCGAACAAGCAGTTACTGAATATAGGAGACGCTATGGCATTCCTCCGCCACCAAATTTCGACAAATGGTTTGATTTCGCCAGACATCGTGGAGTTCAGCTCATAGACGAGTACGATTCGATCTACCATTCTCTACTTCCGTTTTGGGGTTTGAAACCAGCCACCATTCGGGGTCGTGCTCGAGAGGTCTTAGGTTTCGAGAATAATGCGATCATGGGTCTCCTCGTTCGTGATGGGAAGGTGGTGCACGTCGAGGAGGGTTCCGAATGGTTCCAGCAGGCCATTGTTGGCATGATGGAGGATTTCGTGCAGCACCTCCCAGACATGGACATTGTCCTCAACTTGAGCGACGAGCCTCGCGTAGTCATTCCACACGATGAACTTGAACGATTGATCAAAAGAGCTCATCAAGGCGACATAGCCGAGTCAAGTTATAATCCCTATCCGAAAAATGAATTCGGTCCGCGGCCTGCTGATATGAGCAACGGCAAGCGTATCGCTGAAGTCAAGACCACGCGTTTTAATCAATTCGCACATCAGCCAACCTGGATACCTTCGCGAATGTCCTGTCCGCTTGACAGCCCAGCCCGCGCTCTTGACGATTTGAATGCCCACGACAACCTCACTGCTTACGCTTTGAGCGAGCTAGGGTTCATATATAACCAGACCGCATTTTCCGACATTTGCAACTCGCCCTCATTCGCAACATCCCATGGCTTTTTCGACAGACCAAATGCATTTAGCGTTGTGCATGACCTATTTCCGATTTTCAGTCAAAGTAAGATGTCTTCGTACCAGGACATCACGTATCCAAGCCCTTGGTACTGGTTTGGAAAGGTCACCTACACAACTTCTTCTGATCCGGAATGGGAAGAGAAAGAGGACAAACTTTGGTGGCGTGGCAGCACCACAGGTGGCTTCAGTCGTGCAGGAGGGTGGAAACGTCAGCATCGTCAACAAGTCATACGAAAGCTAAATGCTCTTGACGATGCCAAAATCCTGCAAAAGCAGACCTTGCCTCGAGCAGAGAACGCACAGCAGAACGACAAGGACAGATCGTTCTCTTCGAATCCAGCGTGGTCTACCGTTGCCACGCCTCGTGCCTCTTATCCATCCAAACTCGACGCATACTTTTCCTCAGTCGGTCAGTGTGATGCAGGTGATTGTGATGCACAACGCGAGTTCTTTCACATAGCGCCCGCCGCCGAGCAGCAAGAAGCGTGGAGGAGTAAATATCTTCTCGATCTCGACGGTAACGCCTTCTCCGGCCGCTTCTACGCATTCCTAAAGAGTCGCAGCCTCGTCTTCAAGATGGCGGTGTTCCGTGAATGGCATAGTGACTCATGGCTTATTCCATGGGTACATTATGTTCCCTTGAGCCTGCGAGGCGAGGAAAGCCTCGAGGCATTGCGCTATCTGGACAAGGACGATGAAGGCCGAGCGCTGGCAAGGAAGATGAGTCGAGAAAGCACGAAATGGGCCGAAGCGGCGTTGAGAAAGGAGGATTTTGAAGTGTGGCTGTTCAGATTGTTGTTGGAGTACGGTAGAGTCCTCAACGACGACAGGGCGCAACTAGGCTATGGTCCTACTGCTCGAACCGCCACTGGTTCACATGATGATGCTGAACCGGAAAGACATTGAGGGTACTTACTTTGCGATTACCTCCGATGAAGTCTAGGTGCAGTCAGAAACACCGGATGTCGGTGAAAGATAATTTGGCCAGCACGCTGCTCGAGCCATAGGCATGAATTATCTGTACGGGACGACTCAACGACTTATTAGAAGCGTATGATCATGCCCACGGAGGGGACATTTCTAACTCCAGCCATGGAGTGGATACAAATATGGCGTCAAGGAGGGCAAGCATACATATAGAAGCATGATGATGAATCGTTCAGCACGATCACAAATTTAATGGCATTTTTAGCATACGCGTTGTCTTCCAAAACAAAGACAACTTCCTTTCTCATCTTCAAATCCTGTCTAAAGCCTTTTAAGCCTGGGTGTCCCAACCGAGCCAACTCCAATGGATTCGAGATGATGGCTGTCATCCTTGGATTACCCGATCCAGACTGTAAAGTGCCCAATAATGGATTCGACGTCAACGTAGCTCTGTCGCCGCATCTAGCCCAACCACTCTATGTGGTAGTGCAAGCTTAGTAGATCGTGACAGAATCCATCAGCAACACCCCGTCTTGGCTACCAAGAAACGGCACTGCGACACCCGATCGGAGTGGCCGGCGCGCGCCGGCCAAAGAGCGAATACCGTTACAGTCAAATGATGGCGACAAGTCTGTCGCATGTCGCTCTCTGATCATCTCAGACTCGCCTCCGCGCTCTCGCCATCTTTGGTTGCGCCCACGACTTCGGCTACCACTCCCTCCATCTCTGGAATGGCGCCTGCGATTTCCCTCGCTAGAATGTCGCGGAACTGTGCCAGGGCAGTACTTCGACCGGAGAGCTGTTGATTGTATCGCATGACTAATTCGACAAACTCTCGCGTATAAATGTCAGGGTTGCGCGCGCTCTCAACATACTGAATGATCTCCAGGGGTAACGACACAGGTAGATGACGAGCGGAGCGCGATAGCGTCGTGAGATTCGAAAGAAGTTGCGAACTATCAAATAATTTCCTTGTCAGATTTTGGGATCGGAGAGATGAAGAAATGGGCATGCCATTTACGTTTCGGCTTGCATGGCCTGTGATGTCGCAGCGCCCTGAAAATCGTGGGCTTGAGCGACAAGCACGTAGAGATTGCTTATGATAGCGCGGAGCTGAGCTGTGAAGTATTTCATGAGTATTTCCCGCTTGCATCGTGATGCCGGTCGAGCAAAGCAACTCACTTTCGACCTCATCGAGGCTCGTTGTTGTCGACATTGCTGTGGTGGAACTCGTTGCTGCTGGCATCGAACCGTCTTTGAAAGTTATGGCATTGGCACGAGGGAATTCCCTGACGCGATCCTGGATTTATCTTTGACGAGAAAGTTCCTCGTCAAAGATAATTTTATTGTTGGAAACATCAAAACCTTGTGCTTTGTGCAATGGTGAACTCCGGAACAATACAGCACACCTGGGCACCAAGTCGTTCTGCTCTGCGAAGCCGCTGTCGCGCTCCGTACAACCACTCGACATACTGCCCTAATAACCCTGGAAATCACCTGCAACTCAAGCATTTTGGGCTGATTTCACGGAATGCCGCCTGTTGCATAACCTGAGAAGGTAGCAAGGTCCAAAGTCAGCCAACGACTCAGGTGCATCCAGCGCTACTTGGTATCCGAAGATCAATTTGCGCAAGCACCCAGTCTTTTTCCGATTCAGAATCCCTCGACATGAGTACGACCCAGTGAAATCCCGCCGCTATGGTTCAGGGACTGTCTCGACCATCAAAGCCACGTCCTGTCCTGAGCAGAACCACTACGCCTGCTGTCGACGATGTTCGGCCATCGGCGACTCGCGCTCAAGTTCGCCCTCATGGTACAAAACGGCACGAAGACGAGCCTGTTGTGAACTACATTAAACGCACACTATGTGCAGCGGATGGCCGTGATGCTGGCTTGGGACCACTAGCATCGGAGTCATTACATCGAAGCATCATCGCATCGCAGCCCCTGGAAAGTTTACTTCCGCCTTTGACAAGTTCAAATGCTATCGATCTGCAGCTCTATGCTCTCATCGCTGTGATCCTGGACAACTTCGTGCACACTTGGTATGGTCGCATCACAAACGATCGGCAATTCACATCCGAGATTGTGCGAATAATTGCCCATTGTGTCCAAGGCGTAGAGGAACGCCTGCAACGGTTGGATCTCATCGCGGTCCTCTTTGACGAACTTCCCGCTCTGATCATGGAACATATAGACGGTGAGTCTTGCACGCTTCCATTTGGGCTGGTTGCATATCGCTGACAATTTATTGGCTGCCAGCGGTAAGAATCGCCAAGAACAGTCTTGGAGGATACGGTCCACTTCCCACTCCTTCTGATGTCAGGACTCGCTACCTTGCTCTGAACCCTCATGTGGCACTAAGTCCGGTACCATCAACTGAGACGCTCGAACGCGATCAGCAAAGTAATGAAGCTGCATGGGCACTTTTGTTGGCGAACCGCATTTTGCCTCTGCTGCTCCCAGCCGGAGATTTGTCCAATCCATGCCTGGACGTCCTTGTTACTGAGATCTTTGCGGATATGGTTATCCGAGATGGATTGTGCGGCAAAGCGAGCGAGCCGTGGCTGCTATGGGAGGGCGTGACGAAGGCTATCACCTCAAGTCGGCGGCACAAATCTCACTCGACCCCTGCGCCATCACCGCAATCAGCAGTGGAAAATCTTATCAGAGGGCAGCCCACGACACAGGCTACAGGCTTCGAAGCACGTTGGCATCTTGTTGTATTTGCATTCTGGTCGTTCGTGCAAGCCGTCACAACAGCGATACAGCTGTTTCGTACTCTGACGACAACTATAACGCAAGCAGCGACACTACCAGCCCGCACCCAATATACCCCTGTCATGAAAGAGCATCTTCCCAGTACGAACCAAAACCTATCTTTACCTTCAAGACCAAATGATGAGCTAATTGTGGAATCATGCACAGATACAGACGAAGCGAACAGGCGTCCCATTATCAGTATGTCCATGTGGACTTGTGGATCTCGTCTGTTAGCATTAGAGCAACGCATGCCATGGCTGACGGGCCTCTTGTCACTGCTACATTGGTTCGGAATTTCCGGTCCTGGGAGGGTGTGCGAATATGATAGCAGATTGGACAGGTACGTTTTCTCATATTTTCTTGTCTCTCACTACCTCTCTCGTTCCCATTGCGGACCTGGATTATCCCGTCGCGCCACCACCTCCACTATGCACCGGGCGACCTTTCCATGACTTCGGCCACTTCGCGCAATCGACCATGTACGTCGTCGTTCTGCCAAAACCAGAACGCTACACAATTAAATTTCCAGCAAAAGCGCATCCATGAGCTTCAAGAGGACTAGCACACCATCATGTCTGATGCTGCGCTACCTTTAATTTCCCTCGAGCCATATGCGATGCAGCAATCCACGAATGGATTGTCTCGATCAAGGCGGAGCCCGCATAGCTTTTCGGTCATCTGACAAGTTGCACACCACTTGTCGTCGCACAAAGGCGCTTGTCAAAGTGTGAAATTAGGCGGGATCGTGTGATTATTCAAGCTCGACACGTCTCTCGCATCGGTCAGCCATGGGTTGCAGCTTTTCAGCCATGTGCAACAATTTCCGCTTGCGCGTCATGTCGCACAACCTGTATGCAAGCAGCAACCCGTCGATTTCGATTCCGGTCGTCGCACGCCATGTCACAAAGCGCACATCCGAATCACTGCAAAGGCACATGTGATTTGACGATCGACTCGGAATGGGGCAGTACACCAGCACAGGGCATCATTCCTTGTTGGGAAAATAGTTCGCGCGGAAGGGACCGAACCCTGCCGGCGCGTCTCGTGTTTGCGCTCGGTGGGACGAACCTTGTTTGCACCCACATTGAAAGCACCATTCACATCGTCAAACTGCATTGCGACGACATCATTCGTGCGACGCGAGCAATCGCCAAACTTGGTCCATAGACTGTGTATGGACGCAGAACCAGCTCCCAATGCGGCTTCGGCTGTGTCTCGACTGTGCCGAGTGTTTCCTTTTGCGGATTCCCGTACACACACGATGTCATCGAATTGCACAGTTCACTAACAAATCATCCATCACTGCAGACTACTCACGTCCACACTCGCGAAAACCCTCCATCGTCCCGCGACCTGGCTTCCGTCTTCTCTCGCCCTCGTAAGGACATCGCTCTTCCCGCAAAATCAGCCCGCGCCCCCACGTGCATCAATCCCAACTCCCTCTGAGGCCATCGAATTGCGTGCGGAATGCGCTCGCACCATCATCGATGCGCTCCCACACGCAGCGCGACGCGTGATCTTTGCGACAACGGACCTTCGAGATATGCAGCGCGATCTCGAAAGGGATGTGCTGGATCTGATTGGAGATAAGTATCTAAATAAGCACTTGTTGGTCCGGATTGTGGATTTATTGGCCGTGAGGCTGTTTCCGGAGATTGGAAGGGAGTGGCTGTGACAAGGACATTCGGCGATGATGAATCTCATGGTTCAGATCGATCTCGCTGAAGATTATTTTTACCTTTTGAATATTTGTCAACAAGAACTGGCGTTAATGATGATGACTCGTCCAATGTTCGCTCAAATTGTCCGGTTTCTGCAAGCGAGACTGTGACGGCCTGTCAGAGCAAGTAACAGCTGTAGTTGCATTCGGGGAAAATAAATTGTTCCTGTAACGTGCTTTATCCAATAATAACACAAAAGCGTTCACGAGCGCCGAAAGCCTCAGTCTCTCTGAAACAATGCCCCACGACCCAAAAGTGGTGTCTTACAATGAAAGGGCAATCCCGAACTTAACCAACTCCAATGAATCCAAAACATAAACGAAACTCCGATTCGCCTTGCCCTTCCTCCTGTATCGGGTTGCCCCATGCTTCTTCCTTGCCAGGCACCCCTCTGCTGGCTAGGTTCGTGCCTTTTTCCCACTCTAATCTCCCAGTGACCCATAAATTTCTCGTTGAAGTTCATGTTGGTGGCATGAGAAGTCTGACCCGCGAGGGTGCCGATGTCGATGTTTTCGCGTGAGCGATGTAGTTCCGTGTTGGTTTTCTTTTTTATAAAATATATTTTGTTGCTGAATTGATGAAGATGGCATCAAAGGCATGAGTGCCGGATATGTGGTCGAAGATGGGTATTGATTGAGATCAGGTTTCGCTTGCGTGAAGGTGGTGGGTGGTCGAGTTGCAAAAAAGCTTTCGCTGCGGCGAGCCCTTCGATTGATACTTCCCTGTTATCATGTGCTCGCGAGGATGAGGTCTCTATGCTGGGACTGCGAGTGTCGATGTCTTGCGGGGTGTGCATATTTGAATTCCAATGTCGAAATCAGCATCAGAGGTTGAGTCTCGAGCAATCCGGAGGGGTGAACAGAGAATTTATTGAGTCCAGGAATTCGGCCGTGTTTCCTCGAGTTGGCAGTAGCCCACTTTTTTTTTTGAGGACGTTGTTGCGTACCTCGCTTTTGCAGATTCGGCGTATGTGGTGTGTTTAGTTTTCATTCAGCAAGCCCCCGAGCTTGCTGCTACTGTTGCTCGATGTCGAGTCCTTGCTTGGACTGCAACTTCAGCTTCTCCATAAGCTTTACCATCGAAATCGTCTCCTGAAAACCGACATAGCCTGAAGCTTGGTGCTCCAGGAAATTCATGACGACCTCCAAAGCTCGACAAGCCTCTTCGGGAGTAGGAGACTGCGAGATTGAGGTCCCATTATTCAAATGATTCGCAAGAACCGGCTGAGGCGAGGATGTCATCATCGCAGCCCTTGTAGTTGAAGTTAAGGTGTTGTCGTAGGCCGAGGACATCGTTACCGAGTGCTCAGTAATGTGAGCAGGCAGTGGTGGTGGACGCATCGTCTGAGACGGTGAAATAGTGAAACAGCGATCTTCTGCACTGGGCATTCCGGTCGAAGCCATCGGATGCGCAATTGTAGAGAGAGAATTGTCCGAGTGATTGCCCATATACTCATCATCGTTCCGGTTTGACGGGTCTGCAGATTCTTCCATTGGCGAGTCAAGCGCGGCGTTGTCTCCGGAATTCGTAACAGGGGTCAAAGAGTCGCCTGTGCTTACCATGAACGCATCGAGCAGAGGAAACGTCTGGCTCCGAGGACGGATCGGTGCAGTGCTCATGGCGGTATGTGTGATAGCGGAAGATGGTGGCAGAAGCGTGGTAGGCGGACGAGAGCTCGGTAGTCCGAAGAACGGCGAAGGAGCAGTGCCTGAATCGGGGGTGAAAAATGGGGAAGTCGGGCTCAGTGGACCTGGGGAAAAGGTTGAAGATGGTGCTGTGTCGGTGAATGCAGTACTGATAGACGTGGAGCTTGCTGAATGGAAGGGATGCCGGAAGCCGACGTAGCTGTCTGGGCTTTCGTGCTTAATTGTCTCATGCTGCTGAATGGTCTGCAAAGCATTATCTGAAGGTGACTGTAGACCTTGTGGTGACGAGGTGGGCGAGGTGTCAACATTCGTCCGTGCCAGACTCGAGTGAGCGCCAGTGTCGCCATCGTCAGTCTGGAAGGACGCCTTCCTATTTCGCGCACCCATCAAGCCGTTCTTGAACTTGAATTTCTCGAGCCATGTCGCACTGAGCATAAGCTGCCCGTCAGGAGTTGTGGTTGCCTTCGCAAAGTACCTTGCCTTTTCACGTATTAGCTCATCGGTGAGCGTGAAGCCTTGTCGTTCCTGCGAGGATGGTGTCAGCACCGTGTACGACTGGTTCGGAGAATGACTCGAGATCCGCAACATGACCCACCTGTTTGAGAGCCCATTTTGCAAGAGTCTTGTCAACGTCGGGCGTACGGCCTTTGATGCGTTTGATCGGTGAGCGGCTACCGTCCTCGTGGGAGAGGTATTTCTCCTTTTGGCGCAAAACTTTGGAAACGGTGCTGTGGAGGCAACGAATCAGTTCTGCACAATTGTACAACCTTCCTGAGTAGGGTCTAATAGTTAATGACTGCAATGTAGGAACGTACCTTCTTTCGACGCCGAAAATTGCTACGGTGATGGTCAGCTTTGAGGCAAACATGTCAACAGTGATAGATAGACTCACCTCCAATTTCAGTCTGTTTGCTGTCAGGATGTTGATCGGCGTAGAGACACATCTTCTTCCGATCTAGATCGGTCAGTGTCTTGCGCGGAGTTGATCCTGACCGCGAAGAGACAGCGGAGATAGGAGTTGGGATCGTGGGAACACCGATCGGTTGAATCGGTTGGACAGGATGGATATGAAGCGGAGGCGATGATGATGGTGCTTGTTGCTGGTGTTGTTGTCGATGGTGTTGTGGCGGCTGATGTTGCTGAGGCAGTGGCGGAGAATGATGATGTTGATGATGATATACGGGTTGATAAGCGGGATGATTTTGGCTGCTCAGCATGGAGGGCCATTGCGGCATTACTAGAGGTTGTAACTGTTGCGGCATCGATCGCTGTGGAAAGATGGTGCCAAACGAGTTGGACTCCATGGGCAGCGGTGGAGATTGGTGGAAGTTGAAACTCGCATACTCCTGCGCTGGCGTTCCGTGATGTGAGTGCGGATAGATGTGCGGAGCCGGGTTCCAAGCATCGCTGGTCGGCGGAGAGGTATGATACGACGCAGCGGTTGTCGAAACGACGGAACCGCGCTCCTCCTCTGCCATGACCGACCAGAGTGATGATGCGATACTGAATGAGCTCGGCGAAAGAACTGGTGGAATACCGTGCTTGGAATCGATGCGCAGAGCGATATCGTGGAAGTGGAGGAAGGTTCGGAGTGGATGCAGGTGGTAAGTCGGCAGGAGCTGATCAGATGCAGTCACTTAGGATCCGCTTGGCTCCCGTGACCAACGACGATCGACCGGCTTGTAGCAGAGGATCAGGAAAAGATCGCAGAAGGAATCCGAGAGATGACCAGGACCCACGCCCGCTTATGGCGGCAGAGGTCTACGATGATGCGACACAATGTTGTCTAAGCCAGGATCCAGACGCGATGGCAAACGTAGATGCATGAAGCACTTCAGCGGGCCAGCACCAACAGCATGCACGGCGGCGGGAATAGCTGATGGGCGTAGACAATCTTGGAAAGACGATTGCTCACTCGCATGTGGGCAAAAGCAGTAGTGTGCTAAGTAGAAGCGGCGCGGCTGGCGGCATGTGTTATATGCAGTCGAGTGCGCCAGTGCAAACGGGGTTCGAGTGGAGGGTGGGAATCGCAATTGGGATCTTAGTGGCTGTAGTGATAGTCTCTGTAGTGTGGTGGTGGTGGCAGTAATGTAATTATGTACATATAATGACTCTCAAGGAACGATTCTAGTTGACAACTTAGAAGAGAAGATTGGCATGATGGTAAGCGTGGTTGTAGGGACTACTGACCAGGGCAAAGGCAATCGATCACCATTCGACGGATGGCCATATTAGGGATATGAGATTGAGTGTGGACGACAGGAACAGAGGCGCACATGGGCAGCGGAGCACCGTCGATGGCGATGGCGATGGTGGTGGTGGTGGTGGTGGTGGTGCTGATGCTCATGATGGTGGTGGTGCTGATGTTGGGTGGTGATGGTCGTTGTCATGATACATACCAGCACATGGCCTCGAGCGCACAACCCACCCTCGCAGTCAACGACTACACAGCGTCCGTCGTACCAAAGTGGGTAGCAAGTATTGTTGGTCGCACGCCGCACACGCCTCTCGAGTGACTTAGCTCTGCTGTCTGCTTGTTCGCTCGCCTCACTCGTTCGTTCGTCCGTCCCGGTCATCATCGCGGGCGCAATAAGCATCAGCGAACGCCGAAAGATGGTGAGCAGGGCAGAAAGGGTGCTTCACACCACTCTCTGATGTTAGCTCGTTACGCTGGTGTAAATATGGCCCCGGCGCAAAAAGGTTAAGAAACGCCAAAAACGCTCCGGGCAAACTCGTCCCACTGAGGCTTTGGGGGCTTCGGCCGCGGCCTCGTCTCATGTGCGCTATGGAAAATGTCTCTCGCTTATTTAGCCTACGTGGGCGATCATGACTATCGTTCACACGTGAAAGGCCCTGGAGGTGAAGAATAAGGCGCTGAGACAGAAGCGCCGTCGCAAGAGAACTAAAAGGATGGACGCTCAGAGCATGGCGTTCGTGGGGAGGAGGGAGGTTGACTAGATTTGCGCCCCGCTACGATCTTCTCGAATTCATGCAGTAGACATAATTTGCGGTTCGGCACGACGGGGGGAAGCAGGTGCGAGAGGCAGTACGATGGGTGGGAGAGGAGCCGATCACGGGACGGCCACGGCCGAAGGGAGCTGACCAGCTCGAGCAATTCTTGGAGAAAAACACGAGATAGACCCGCGTCTGCAGGAGATTTGTTCCAGCGCTGGTTTAATCAATCTCCCACATGAGAAGAGATACTGCAGACTCTGCTATTCAACGGTCGAAAGTCTGTCGCCAAAGGGGGTTCACGGGACGGACTGTGCACGGCTGCATACGATCCTCCTCCTCATCGTTTTCGTCAGGGCAGAGGAGGAGCTCGGACGATACTCATCGGACCTGCGTGCCTAAAGAAGACCCACGCACACAACTGCATATGGGCTTCATGACGATACGTACTAATAAACAATGACATGCAGTTCGCTCAATGAGGACGGGCCCTCTGAAGCCGCGATCGCGAATCGCGGGAACTAAGGCGATCAGTCGTCAGAGGGGACGACGTGAGATGATCTCATGCCGTCGACCACTCCAGTCGGACAGGAGGAGCATGAGGGGACAAGATGGGGCGGACATTGACGCAATGGGCAAATGAAGGGTGCCGCCGAGTTGACTTCGCACAACAAGATTAACAGGACAAACCGATCTAAGGAGATGGTGGTGAGTGATGAGTGGTGAAGTCGAGTTGTGTGCGATATCATCCCGCCTCGTCCAGTTCCGCTGCCCACCCACAGGGAAATGCGCATACGTGCTGTATGTTCAACCACAAATCCACATCGTATCCATGGTGGTGACAAACATTGTTCATGCTGTGGCCCACGGGCGACTCGCATCCACAAAGAGCGGGACGAGTGCGCGATTGGCAAGGAACAAAAACGCGAACGATCCACAGAGTGATAACCGCCCATGCCCTACAGTCGACAGACATCGCTGCTCTGAGTTCATGGATGTCGACCATCCGTGAAAATACATTGTCATACATATGTAGGTACCGCTCGAAAAGCAATCAGTTCGAGCGAATCCGAGCACGAATTTCACTCCTAGCGAAGTGATTGGCCGCCACGGTGCATGCGACCAGGCCCAAAGCAGCACACCCGGCCGGAGAGTAGAACCACATGCACACCTCTGACACATTCAGCGTTTTGAACATTGTCGAGGATGATGTGCTGGGCGCCTCCTTGCTACTTTCCGCCCGTCGTCGTCGTCGTCGGCAGTAGTGTTTGCCATTGTTAGGTGTGCCCGCCATATTCTATCGGGACGCTTTGAGGGCGAACGCCATCTTGGCCTGCCGCCCGCTGCCGTCGCTGCTGCGGCCGTCGCTTCTCTCGCAAACAGTGGTTGTCCCGAGTTAGTACTCTATTGTTGAAGCCGCCCGGCGCAAATCTCTAATTACAGAAATGTACCAACCACCTTTGTAGGTAAGCCGTCGATCATCAGGTGTGACTCTTCGACACAGAACCAGTCTTTTGACGACTGCTGGTGAGACAATCCACGTGCGGGAACAAATTCGGGAACTCTTGTACCGAGCCCTCCAAGGCTATTGATGATGAACCATGATTGCCTCTCCGTGTGTGAATCTCGGCCATAATCACCGCTATTGACGTACCGTAGGATGCACCGTCCTTGCCGTGAATATCCGAGCCCTTCTCCGCATTGATCTCTCCTTTGAGCAGTAGAAGCAGAAATGTCGACAGAGTAAATACTCACATCTTCGGCTCAGCCGATGGAATGCTCATTGCTCACGGCACAGTCAAGCAAAGTCGCGGCGGCGGACATCCATGCAGTTTCGGGGGCCGAATGTTTTTATGGTCAAGCTCGCCCCACTAAAGCCCTCCCGTTCAATTTCAGAGCTGTAATTCATAGTGATGCTTCTACCCACACAACTTACGCGCGCCTGGTGAGGGTGAGAAGAGAAGAGCACCATAATGAACACTCTTTAGCAGTACCACACGACGTAGTCCGGCTCCGACAAGCGAGAGGGGAAATTGGCAGCGACCGCATTGCATTCATCTTCCTTTTGTCTCATCAGGCGGGGACGGTCAATGCGTCACACCTCCGAGAATGCTTTGTACGAGTGAGTTCTGTACCATCATTGCTCCACCGAATGACCATGTGACATCTTACCTGGGATCGAAGACTCTCTACAAGGACACGAAATCGTTGAAGGACAAGCTGGAATGCAGTGTGACGGTCGGCGGGGGAATGCCGCAAGGATGGACGAGAACCATGACTGCAAAGAATGCGTAGTTTGAATCGTCATCGTCCATTGATGACCGATGACCTCCGCGAAGGGGTGCTTCGGACAGGGCATGCGTTGACGAGCAGGGACGATGATATGCCGGACCCTGCATATCAGTATGCTTCACGACACCACCACTGACGTCATTGAAGTCTGAAATGATGCATTGCGGCACGGCACGAATGGCAACGGGGCCACGAACGGAAGAGGGATTATTGCCTCGGGCGGAGATCGTCTTCATTCCCACGTTCAAGTCGGTACACCAGGGCTCGTGATCAAAGCAACCATGGATGCCATGGTCACGTTTATGGCAAGCAGTGACCCTGTAAGGATGTTCAATCGTGGTCGAGCGTTGAGGGCAGGGCATCCAATTCATAGTACCTAGGTAGTGTGGGCGCGAAACTCTCCTGACGCTGAGTCTGCGCTACGGTTGTTGATTGTGCCGATCGAGCACTATTCTAGGCGACAATCGACCACGAGTCACTCAGAACCTAAGACAGCCCTGTAGCAGATCTTGTCTCACATGTAGTGGATCAATGAGTGCGCCGGCTGGTCAGGCCCGCGGCATTTTCGGCTCTCGCAGGATTGGCCCTCGAAACCAGTGCATTTGCGATAAAAGCTGTGCGATGTCCATAGGACTTCGTGCGCGTCAGCATCAGTATCGAGAGGCGAAATTTCCCAGTGCGGCGGAACCTTTGATTATCTGGCAATAGTGCGTACGACCGATGCGACGGCGTCTGGGATTGTATCACGGTCAATGTCCCTGATGACAGCATGATCATTTCACTCGAGCGTTCATCGTGATCCAGTGTACGATCGAGCGTGACTATGCATCGACGGCTTTATTTTTGTTGGGCGACGTCTCTCGCCCATCATCACTAGGTACATTCCGTTGTCAATGGAGTCACGGTTGGCTCTAGCTCCTCTCCCGCCTGTCCACCCGGAGTTGTGTGGGACGATGGTGCGCGAGCGCGTCCCCGATAGGCATCTCACGTGTTTAGAGGAAAGTCCGGCCGACGGCATAACGCACGCGATCGGCGACTACGGAGAGGCGTCATGATGCGCCCGCCGCCGTCGTCGTTTGTTGCGCGTGCGAGGTGTCTTGAAATGTCGGGGCCGTGCGGGAACGGCTCCGCATCCTTTGCGTATCTCGTCGTGTCCAACTTCACGCTGCTTTCACCCGCCGTCGCTATTTCCGTTGATTTGTTGGTACACGGAAGGAAGCAGACCTGCCAACATACAAGGCAAGGCAACAACGTGATGCTGCAGCCAGCCGCGCTTTTCGCTCCTTCTCCGCTGAACTGCCCTCGAGTTCACCAATGTTGCCAGACATCTAGGCGTCCAAACATGCATCGACGATGTCGAGAAGTGCTCACTGAAATGCACCGCATGAGAATATATGACACGTGCATCATTTGGCTGCGCCTAAATTCATGCATCGCGCGTTAGGTGCAGCTGTGCTTGCCCGCGTATCTCCCGGTCGTGCATACTGACTTGCGGCTTCCCGCAGCAAAGCCATGAACAAACGATCTGGCCGCAGCATTGAGGCCCGAGCTGACCGTGCAAATCATCACCGTCAAGTTTGCCCGAGGAAATGCGTCAACGCGGCACGACGGATCGGATAACTTCGCCCGCGACACCGTGAGTCTTCTACTCCATCGACTCCAGACGGCCCCAGGAAATCCTGCAATCCCATGGATCGCCGCTCCGTCACGCTGACCTCCTGTCTGCTCGTCTTGAGGCTCGCTGGAGACGGTCGGCTCGGCAGAGCAAATGCCGGCCGACTTCGGAGAGCATGCGCCCGGCGAGAGCTTCCTTCCATTCTTTCCCTCTCTTTCTTGCCATTATCGGCTTGGCAAGTCACGCTCGCGCGCGACATCAAATTGAGAACGACGACGTCTGTACCCACTAGCGCATCAACCCCGCGAGGCTGACATGCATCTGCGGCCTTCGTGCTGCAGCCTGTTCCCTTGAGTCTGAGCGAGGAAATTATGCTGCCCGTTTTTGATGCTACCGCTTCAGGTCATTGGTCACTTTTGGGACAATGTCGCTGCAAGTCTTGACCAATGGGGCAAATTCAATCCGATGGAGATTTCCGTATACAGTACACTCACCTCTGACACAGGATTGTGCAATCTTTAGTGCTGTGTATCCTTTGGATGTACCCTCCTCGTGGGTCAGCCTCGGCGATTGCCTCTCGCAGCTCAGACTGGAGCCATTGCAACCCGACCACGCACGAGAATTTGCTCTTGCCATCGGAGGCCCTGCATGGTTAATTCCACAGGACAATCTCAATTGGACGTATATGAGCTCTGGAACATCGAGGCCAAAGGGCAGATCCAAGGCCCTGCCGGGCGTCCATGACGGATAAGCTGTGCCGCAGAAACACTTGCCGACAGCAATACCGACAGCAATATCGTCCAGGGTTAACTACACCACTTTCGGATTTTGCGGTACCCTGGCAGGGGTTAGATTCCTTCACTTTCGTTTGTCTCTCGCCATATGGTCATCCACCGATGAAGCTGTTCGCTGCTCCTTCCGCAAGTGGTAATAGGCGACTAAACGAGCATAGCCTGCTCGACTGTGAGTGCCGTCGTCCTCATGAACAGTCGCAAATGTGCCCAACAAGACACACCAAGGGGCAAGCGTCGGCAACTGCGATGTCCCACGACCGGCCCAGTCGTGCGTGTGGGATGACATCGTACGCAGCTCGATCGTCGCTAAGCCCGAAGCATCTCGGGTGGGCCGGAAGCATCTCAAATGATTTCACTCGGACCGACGGGGATTTCGCAGCATGATCGAATTGGGGGCCGCCGTCGCATTTGCGGCGCATCACCAACAGGCCAATATATCTGTTCTTCTTCATCATCATCATCATCATCATCATCATCATCAGGGTTCACGCGCTGACGGTTGTTGGCCTAAACGAAAACTTCGGGCCTGCAAGTCGCAACCTTGTTCGTCTCCCGCGCGCATCCTTGCACGCTCCGAACGCTCGCTCACGGGCTCCTACGCTCGTTCGCCGGCCCCAGGCCGCATGCAGGTGCTACGACCTTGGCTGGTCCGGACTCTGGCGCCACCGCGAAGTAGTCAACGTTTCCAGTGCCGCAAACGGTTTTGATGATTACGAGCTCGACATGTGCACGGACGACGCAGCTCTCCCCGAGATAAGTCCGTTTGTCATTAGCGATCGTATCAAGGGGCATACTGTCCACGGGTGGGGGATCTTTCATTGTGCAATTGTTGATGTCGTGATGCCTCAAAATGTTCGGCCAACTAGTGATTTTCTGTCGTCGATTGTCGGACGAGTAGGCGCGTGACTGTGCAAAATTGACGCTGAGTGATCGCAGTATATCTCGGAACATCATCTCACCGTGTGCTGGTTGTCTATTGAACGTTCGCCTGAATAATAGATAGACAACGAGCGCCTTGGTTACTTCCAAGCTTCTGTCCATCGGACATCAATGCCCAACCCGAAGCAGACTTGAATGCAGCATCATTGCTTAACGCTGAGAAGAATACAAAACGCCATAGCTGAAAGGGCAATTTAGTTCCGATGCATGAACGATCATTCTCCTAGCCAACATGTCGCTCGCTGCGAACGTGCACGTCACGATCAAGGCCATCGTTGCGCATCTCGAAGACCAACATTTACTTGTCCACTGCCACGTCGTCGTGCTGCTTCCTACGTTAAGAGCGAATGAGCCAATGGTCAGGGCGATCACCTTGAGGATACAATCGCACCACCCATGCTGTATCGCTCATCTGACGTTTTGAGGAATTCCAGCCTCGATTTCTAAATGGTTGTCGCGCGGCGAGCTCCCTTCTCCATTGAAGACGAGTCACTATCTCTGACGAGAATCCTGTAGACTCGGGTGTGTGGCTTAGGTCGAGAACGTGACGGGTTCAAGTTATCAAGCAATGTCAAAAACGATGTGAGATTCCTAGAAGATATCAAGTTTCGCTTTCAATCTTCCTCCGCAAACAGACATTGTCTTCTGGGACTGTACACCACAGCGGCTCATGCTCCAGTGATCTGAGTCAGATCCTAAAGCCCGTTATTCCCGTATCCCTCCAGGATCCAAACGATGTTCATGTCTCCACTGAATACCACGACCCCGCCCACGGCAAAGTTTTCGAGTCACGAGATTGACGTCCGCTTGACTCGGAGCTTGTTCGCTGCAAATCGGCACACGTGAGACGCAAAAACGGATGGGCTTAGAAATCGCTCCCATAGCCGTTCTTTTTTCTTATTCGAATCCCCAAAAGCAAGCGATCTGGCGGGAGGGCGGCAATCGCTTGATCGAGCCATGTTTCAACCACTTCTTTTTTCGTCCCACGTGATCTTTTGAGCCAAGAGGGAAACATTCAAGAATAGGTGATACGACATACCTAGATAATTGCGATGGGTGTGTTCCGTTGCTCGGAAGCGGTGGAAAATTGAAATCGCGAATAATGCATCATCTCATCGCCGTTCGACGACCGCGAGCCGCGACCATGACGCAGGCCCGCTCTCAGAAGCCACTCGGGCATAACAATATCCCGTTCGAATCGCCCATTCATGATAACGACGGCCCTAAATTCGCCATGGCTGTCTGTCCAACGCCATAAACCTTCGTGAAGCAATTCCTTCGAGGAAAAAAATCAGGCCAACAATAATGACCACCATTGCGCCAATGCTTTCGAAACACCAAAACGCCCGTCATTATAACCCGCTCCCGTGACTGGAAAAAGACTCTCCGCGAATTTAGCTGTAGGCCGACTGCTCACACGCAAAGCTACTTCTGACTTTGCCCTGGGCGTATTGATCCACGATATCCTGGACGTTCGCGTAGGTACCGCATCCGAGGATGGCCATTCCGATGATGAACACGGCGGCGTTCACAATGGTCAGGCTGATGTTTCGCCAGTCCTTGTTCCAGGCGCCCTCTTTGAGAAGGAACCACCAAAACATGGCCGGGAAGTAGTAGCTGAAGCCGCTGATGAACAACGATGAGATCAGACCCAGCAGCGCGTTGAAGAATGGAATGGCTTCGGCAATGATCCAGGCAACTAGTACTTGCAGGCCGATCAGGGGCACCCAGACGAGCCATCCCTTGAGGGTGTTGACGTATTGAATGGTTCCGTGAGGGAAGGCGCGGCGGAGAATATATCGTCCTGCGACGACGCCGTTGATGCTACCTGAGATGAAAATGACTGGCAGCGCAACTCCAAACGCGACACGAGCGACGGTCGAACCGGCGGAGAGAAGCGCGGGACTGCGAACGGTAGGTCCAACAAAGGCATAAATCAGTGCACCAGTGACAGTGTAGATGAATATCTCGATGAGGCCCAGCGCCCAGATGGACTTGATGTAGTCCTTGGGAACGGCCATCTCGTCCATGAAGGAGAACTGACAGATGGCAAAGGAGTAGGCAAGAACAATGTTCGTGGTGGCCTCGAATGCTTGGTAGAAGGTCATCCCAGGTGGTGGATAAGCAGACCAGGGCACCGCGGCGAGCCCACCGGGTTGACCGGCAGCTTGTACGCCCGTCGCGACAACGGTAATGAAAATGGCGGCGAGGATGGAGACGAAGTCGACATAGCCAAGCCATGCAAATTCCTCAAAAGATGGTGGCAAGGCGAGAATGAAGATGAGAATTGCTGAGACCACGCTGAAAACCAGTGCGCAGACCGTTGGGTCGCTGACGATGCTAACCCAGGCGATGGTACCAGTGAGAGCGTGGGATCCGAGCAGGAGCACGAGCACGAGGATGAACATGACCGAGGTGATTTCGAAGCCAACACGACCTCCGATCAGTCCGACCGCTTCAGCGTAGTGCGTGACATTGGGGTACTTGAGCTTGACCTGACCGACAAGATAGCTGGTGTAGATGGAGATAAGCCCAAGGCTGACACATAAGATGACGCCGCCTATCATGCCGACAGCAGCAAAGGCGCTGGGAATACTCAGCGAGCCCAGAGCAATGGCCTCGACGATCATGCAGACGGTCAGCTTGACCCATCCGAGCCGCTTGAACTTGGCTTCGCCCTCGTGAATGGTGATGGTTTCGCTGTCGACCTTTTCGAGATCCTTGGGCTTGCCACCGTTGACGAGCTCGCCTGACTCGACATCCTGAGTGGAATCTTGACGGACAGATTTGTCGCTCTTTTCGTCGAGAGGAGCAGCAGCGGGATCCTGGTAGCCAACGCCTTGCGTGGCTCCGTACGGCGCTTGGGCTGACATGATTAACAAACGTCCGTAGTCTGTCGTGGTTGTCGTCGTATCGAATTCGCTGCGCCGAGGTGATTTGAGCTGTTTAGAGATACAGGCACTTGCTGGGAGATATTCGTGAGATCGATCTCTCTGAAAGAACCACTGCGCGTCGCGAAAGACGAGGCCAACGTCTGTCGATAGGAATGTCGACCGGAGGAGGTGGGGACGGGTCTGAAGATGGCACGAGGAGGAGAGATATGGTTTGGGAAAGGCGAGTCTAGTGCCGATGTCACCGTAGCGTAGTCACTTTAGCCCGCGGTCTAATATCGGCAATGATCTACATCAGCTCACCAGGGTATTCAACATGTGGAGCATCGTTAGTCGGGGTAATTCTACAAGTGCACGCGACCGTCCGCGGCAATGGACATGTATTATGTAACATGGAGGAAAGGAGAAGGCATAGTAGGTAATAATTCAATGTTTCAACTCGTTTTGACGCTTGGTCTGGCTCTCTCGAGGAGAGCTGACTATCGGCGGTGTGGAAGCGGTGGAAGTAGTATCATCCGGGCAGGTGAGAGAGGACTGACTGACGTAGGAGAGAGGTAACTCGCGGCGGCTGAGACTTTCTGTGCCGTTCACCACTTGGGCGGTCCTTCCACACAATCATCCGCCCTGGAGTGTTTGTTCCAAGGCTGTTAGTCATAATGAGTCTGCAAGAGTATGCGGATTGCGGGATCCTTCGCTTCTGCTCTCCGTCAATCCGTCCCATGACCGCTGCGGCGTCATCATCATCAGTCATTATCTTTATCTCTCAAAAAAACGGGATGATAAGTGACAGAGACAAGGTGGGCCTCCCAGGACTACTTTTCCTCATGTCATTACTATTGCGAACCAACGATGGCACCAACATCTTATCTCAGGGTTTCAGGGTAATAACAATGAACCGCAGTTCTCATCGGTTGATAGATAGTGATGGTGCGTGGGTCAAACTTTCCTCTCAGCCTTGGGAATTCTCTCCCCCACACCCCGGATGGATGCCTCCGGTCAACATCCTCCTCCTTCTCTGGGTACTGTAGAAGTTGTGGGTGCATACGCAACTGCAAGTGCATAGATGACATTGCGGGAATGGACAGCTGTTGACTTCCAAGGAAGGTTGGAAGCGATGGCGATCCGTCACGCCCGACCGCCTCGTAGCCGTGACTAATACAATGGTCGTCCCATCGCTTTGCCATACAATCATGAGCCAGGAAAGGTTTTAGGAATTTGTATGATGAATAGATAGGTACCTACCTAGGTAGATGCAAATGGACAGTGTTCAATAACAATTCACTGCCTACCTAGGTTTCCATCATTTTCATTGCTACGGCACAATGGCTCGCCTCGAGATGACTGAGAGGCGCTCATCAGCCAAGCCGGGACAAAGCTTTTGGTGGAGGGCGCCACCAAAAGCTTCGTCTGTACTTTGGGCTCTTCGCACCCCGACGTGTCACCGGCCTGTCCCATCCGGTCCTTTTTCTGTTTATGGGATCGTGGGATCCCCCAGGGCGATAAGGACTCCCACATACTATCGAATCCGCTCGAATGTTGTTATCGGTATGTAAATAGTAATGAATTTATGAACCACGTCTACCATCCACAATAGAGATTCACCTTTATCCTGCCGAGCCGGCTGATATGGTAAAGGAGAGCTTTTCCTTGTCCTTCGTACTTTCCCGCCGAAGGATGCAGGAACCGCAGCCACTGACGTACGTAGTCACCAGCAAAGCGACGACTGCAGTACAGCCCGAGGACATACAAGTTCGTCAGCCTGGGCAGGTGTTGCTTCTCCATCGTCTCCTCATACGCAACCACCTGGGCATGCACGAGAGAGAGGGAGACGACTTCCGGGTTGTTGTGCGGGCGGGGTACCTTTTCTCTCTCTTGAAACCCTTTGCACCTACTAGGTAGGTAGTGCTCTATGCAGGTGTGCCGTAAATGCTGCGGCATACCTAGTTATCTCATGATCACGCGCGCGCAAAACCTCATCGTCATCATCGGTCCATCTACGACAGAGGCTGCGAACAGTCTCGGAAGGACGGACCCCTCGTCTCGTCTCATCTCGTCTCGCTTGGCCGCACGTTGCGTTGCGTTACGTTGCGTTGCGTGAGCCTACGCGTATAATCCACATGCCGTACAGTTCTGGTCAGTGCAGATCGTTTGGCCCACGGTTGTTAATTGGAGCCGACTTTCACGCCCTCAATTTCTACACCGCTGCCACAGTACCGTACCAAAAGATCTACCTAATTCCTTCGGAGATGGGAATATTGGCAATTGAATCTCGCTACCAATACACTCCAGCTGCTGCCCGTATCTCATTCACATTGCTCCAGGGCTATCGTCAGCCGTCTACTTGTTCGACGGCAGATCAATGTCAGACCATCTTGATGATCCATCCAGCTCATCAAGGGGTCGACTGAACATCGCGTCTCAGCAGATTGATTGAGTAATAGCCGACAGGAGTGCGACAGTGACGCACATCTCGAACGTTTGATCGACCTCGATCGGCTCAGACTTTAGAATTTGATCGCTCGGCGCTTGGTAGGTTCCAGGAGGCTTTCCATGTCGCTATGCCACGTGACGGTGATCGGCCGCCATCGTCTTCGTGACCCTGTGTTTCCTGCAGATCTCTGAGTGCCCTCCGCTCCGCTGGTTGCAGTTTACCTCTTTCGTGAACAAGATCGTTTCCCTGTCGGACCCTGCCTAGCAAGCCTTCCTAAATAGCAGTCTCTCCAGACATGTACGACTTCTTGCCGAATCATACAGGCATTACACTTCTCACATCCTCGAGAGTCTTGACTATCGCAAATAGTAAAGCTTTCTCAATGAGCTCTGGCATCCACTTGCACATGGGCAGTTGGAAATCCAACGTCGCAAAACGGCAGAGTCTCGAACCTACACCCATTGCATCACCACTCATAACTGCATGACTGTCAGGGTCACGGACATGGAGTGAGTTTCGAAACGGTGGACCAGTAACTCTCGCAACGTCCTTGTAGTCATGGTCGTGGTGAGCAACCGCGACAGCCGCCAAAGTGACGACTATCCCAGGGTCGCCCGTTGAGGTACTCTGTATTAACATGGCAATGCATGCCTTCAACGTCGGCTCGTTGCCATCGCAGTGACTGTCGTCTACAGTTGCTAGAAGCCCACTGCGATGCAAGATTTGCTGCAAACGTCGGCATGGCAAATGTATAAATGCAAAGCGTCACCTCCGCATGAAGAGTTCGTTTGGCCTTCCCAGATACGCTCTCGTCTTCTCGTCACAAACCTATTCCACCACTACTCAGAATCCATTCACGTCGAGATGCAGCCTCCGCTCGCCCTTCTACCCATCTTCGTCGGTGCCGGCATGCACAAAGCTGTACAGCAGAAACTCCAATCTCCCCCTCCGACAACCACCGTGGATTATGCTCTCGAAGCTGTCTCAACTGTTCCTATGGCGCTCCCCGGAAACGGTATGTTCCATGGCGTACAAGCAGCTGACTTTACTCCAGATGCCATCACCTTCACAGTCACGGGCGCCAGCACCACCTCGACTTTCGCGTTGATGCCGAAACCGACTGCCCCGAACACTTTCTCGACCATCGTCGTGCCCGAAACGACCGCCTCGGCCGGATCGGCGGAAGATCTAGACGGACCGGTGCAGACTCCTCCTGCCCACGGACCTCCACGTATATCGGCCGAAGCTGCAGACGAACCAGCGCATACTCCTCCCCATGGTCCTCCACACAGACCAGCGGAAGATGCAGATGGAACGGCACTGTCTCCTCCCCATGGACCTCCATATAAATCGGCGGAAGATGCAGATGAGCCGGCACTGTCTCCTCCCCATGGATCTCCACAGGTACCGGCAGAAAATTCAGACGAGCCAGCACTGTCTCCTCCCCATGGACCTCCACATGTATCGGCGGAAGATGCAGACGAGCCGGCACAGTCGCTTCCCCATGGACCTCCAAAAGATCAACATCACATGATGTTTGCTGCTCTCATGAAGCCTGATGTCTCTCCACCTGGTGATGAGGAAGCAGAATCGGAGCCCACTCCCGTTGCACATCCGAGGACTCGCGCCAAGAGGACATTGGCCGTCACGACAGATGCACCGATTGCGGAACGAGATGAAGTCTCGATGGCCACGCGAGTGGCCTGCACCAGCGCATGTGTTCGTGCGGACATGTCATGCTTGGTCAAGGCGTCCCGAGTGACCAGTGAATTACGGAAGTGGTATGTTTATAACCTCATCCTCAGAAAGTCCATTCATGGCCTCGAGTCGAACGTCACTGACCTATGTCGTACAGCGCGGAGACATTTGCAAAATGCTCGAAGAGGTGTTCAAAGGGAGACAATAGAACTAGAAGATGAGCAAATCGGGTATAGATTATAATGAAGGATGAAGGACAAGTGACGAAGTTTTCTTTTCTCTTCAATACCACAGCAGCGATGGAATCATGTGATATGTTCAAAGAACAATGAGGGCCCCGTTATCGGGATGAATAAATGAATTAATGAAGGGTCATATAGATGGAGACGAGGGACCGTCAATTGAACGGATATCAACAATTGGGCTGCTTTAGCCTGAGGCTCACAGCTCTTGCGTCATACCACGAATTGAAAGTGTTTCCAGCGCGGTAGCGCCTCCTGCTGCTGCAACGTGGGTATTTGGGCATCACATACAACTCCAGGATCACATAAACCGTAGTAGTGCAAGAGCGAATTCTCGGAGACATTACAGGCCGAGCATCTTCCCACTTCTCGCCTTACACACAAGTACCAATCGCAACCGTGGCGTCGTCAGCAAACAATCACGCGAGTGTCTATCCCGGCCTCGTGCAGGGCACACTCTCCCATCTGAGCGAAGCATTCGCCAACGCGACCAAGGCCCTCGAGCAGGCCCTCGGTAGCAACGGGCTCACAACTGGACGTCGCGACGTAGCAACCGATCGTTTCCTGGCAGTACTTCCACCAGCAGTGACCGAATTCCTCCTCAGCCGAACACCTTTCGAAAACACTTCCATCGCCCTTGTCATCAGTGCTTTCTTCATCCTCGCCATGTCTTGGGCTTCACGTTTAGGCAACCTTGGGCGCTTCTCGCCGTTTGCTCGAGAGCCGCCAAAAGGGCCCAGCACTGTGAGTGAGGCCGACTTCAGCTACATCACCTCCGACGACCTGCGAAGATTCGACGCCGAGGCCGGCGGGCAGCACAACGACGACCTCGGGCCCGCTCGGGACACCGACGTCCTCCAATTGAAAAACAACGGCACAACCTACCAAGTCCACTTCCCCGCCTATAGCATCGGCAAGGGCGAGGTCACCATCGGCCAGATCCGCGACCATGCAGCGAGGAAAATCGGGATTTCGAACCCCCAGAGGATAAAATTGGTGTCGAAGGGGAAGACATTGGCGGACGATAAACGGACTAGCCGGCAGGAAAACCTAAGCCACAATGCGGCCATCCTCTGCATCGCCTCCGAAGGACAGGGCTCAGATGACGACGAGGAGGACGATGACGGAGAGTACGATTCCCCCGCGCAGGACGGCGAGTCGACCAAGAAGAAGCGCAACCGCGGCAAGAAGACCAAGCGGCGAAACAAGCGCGAAACCCAGGATGCACCTCCCCGACCTGCAGTCGCTGCACCCACGACGCCGCTCGGCAAACTCGACGCCTTGCGCGTTGTCCTCGAGACGTTCATTCCACAATGCCAGGCTTTCGAGGCCTCGCCGCCCGCGGATCCCGCGAAGCGATCTTACGAGCACAAGCGTCTCTCGGAGACGATCCTCACGCAGGTGCTACTGAAGATCGACGCCGTGGAGACGGATGGCGATGCCGAGGCGCGGGCACGGCGGAAGGAACTGGTGCGGGAGACGCAGGAGCTGCTATCCGGACTGGACGCCGTGGTGAAAGGTTGAAAGAGATGAAAGACTGGGGAGTTTTGAAGAACATTTCTCTCCTTGGGGAATCTTGGATTCTTTTTAAGACCGTTATACCTATTCGCGGCGAAGAAAGATAATTTACAATACCCAACTTATATCAAATCCTTCGTTCATGTCTGATGCTTTCCGTATCATCCTGATCCGCGGAGTGGAGGTATAATCATTCAAAAGGATGGTCCGAGGACGAGCTTGGAAGGACAGAAAATCATGTTGCTATGCGTGCCATAATGTACAATACTCTTGGCTTTCATCATCACATGCATACGTACAAATAACATATCGCTCGTATCGTTTTGGGGGCAGGTGGGCAGAGAAACAAGCGAGATCAAAATGTGACCAGGACCACAGGATCTACCTCGAAATGCAAAATCATGAAGCAAACGCCGAACTCCAACTCTGGTAGATCAAGCCTTCATCGTCTTCAGGAATCCGTCCAGATTGAACTCCTCCTCGTATTGCTTGTCGTCCCAGAGATCGCTCAGTTCGTCCAGGATACCCTTCTTGCCCTTCTCGCGCATGTTACCTTCGGCGTCGACAGCATTGCTTTCATCCACGCCGTTGCCCTCCGGCCGGTCTGTCGTGAGGCTCGAATCGGTCTCACCTAGGTTGAAGAGGTCGAGGATCTGATCCGTCTCCATGGTCCCGAGGCCGGCATTTTGCTGATTGACGACAGTAGACGCGACGTCGATCTTGAACCGTTGCAGGTTCAGAATCTTTTCCTCGAGTGTGCCGCGCGTGATCAAGCGGTAGACGTTGACGACTTTCTTTTGACCGATTCGATGCGCGCGGTCCATGGCTTGTAAGTCTTTCTGCGGGTTCCAGTCGTGTTCGACGAAAATGACCGTGTCTGCGCCTGTCAAGTTGAGTCCGAGACCACCGACGCTTGTGGTTAGCAAGAGACAATCGATCGAAGGGTCGGAGTTGAAGCGATTTACTATGTCTTGACGTTTGGACGCTTCGACGGATCCATCGAGACGGGAGAAGGTGACAGATGGGAGCAGCTTTTTCAACACAGTGTCCTGGACCATGTCGAGCATCTCTTTCATCTGACAGAAGATAAGGGCACGGTGTTGTGACACGGCTTGGTCCGCGGTGGGCACACCTCCAATATCGGTCGGAGCAGCGCCAATGCCGCAATCAACTAGCAAGTCTCGGAGTGCCATGAGCTTGGGAGCGTGCCTAGGATCTGTCAAGCTGGTGTTGTCGCGTGCCAAAAGGGCCTGAGTGGCAGCATATTGCTTGTGACCTTCTTTCATCACCAAAGCTGGTGAGTTGCAGAGCTTCCGCATGTATTGCAGAGCCTGGAAAATATGCGTCTTGGCTTCCTTGTCCGGGTTGCCGGCCATGTCTTGCAATGCACGGCCTTCCTTCTTCGTGAAGTCATCAAACAACTTCTTTTGCAAATCGCTCAGGTCGCAGTAGTAGTTTTGCAAGATCTTGGGCGGAAGGTCGTCCAGAACCTCTTCTTTCAAGCGTCGAAGGAGGAACGGCAGGACTTGTTTGTGTAGGGATTCAATAGCAAGCGCTCCCGCCTCTTGTTCTTTAGATGATGATTTGGCAAAGCGACTTTGAGCGATAGGCTTGGCGAAGCGATCCTGGAATATCTTCTCCGTACCCAGGAAACCCGGCATGAGAAAATCGAAAAGTGACCATAATTCTAGGACATTGTTTTGGATAGGCGTTCCCGATAAGATCAGACGATGGTTGCTGGCCAAACGTTTCACGGCCTGCGTGATCTTTGCCTTCGGATTCTTGATGAGATGACCTTCGTCCAAGACACAATAGTTCCAGGCGATGGGGAATAGGATCTCAACATCATTACGCGCGATGTCATAAGACGTAATGACAATATCGGCAGTAGCGAGTTGACTACGGTATGGTCCGCGCTCTGAAGGTGGCCCGGCGTATGCGACAGCATTGAGGAAAGGGGCATATGTCTTGATCTCTTGCTTCCAATGGCCAGTCAGTGTAGGCGGGCAAATTACCAGTGATGGCAAGCGACGACTGTCGGGAGACTGTGTCTTTGCAAACTCTTCAGCACGGTTGTGATGGTCGCTGGCAAGCATGCAAAGCGTCTGCAATGTCTTTCCCAAACCCATGTCATCGCACAGAACACCGTGAAGGTGGTAGCGATTGAGGAATGCGAGCCAGTTGACTCCATCCTGTTGATACGATCGCAGCGTCGCTTTAATGGCGACCGGAATGGTGAATGGCTCTACCTTCTTGGGATCAAGCATCTGCGCAATGAATTTTCGTTCTCGTTCTCGTCCCTCGAGCAGCGACTGTGGCAAGCCTGGAGGATCGGGAATTCCGGCCTCAAGAGGGACCAATTTTACCAGTGTGGCGAAGGCGGTCGTGGCAATGAGACGTACTCCGGCGTCTGAGTCGCTCATGCGCCCGAGTACCGGGACAAGTAGGAAGATCACGTATGGCAGAATTCCATCTCCCATGACCTGGATGAGATGATAGATGCATTCAATGGCACCTTGCCGATCGATGGCGTCATGCGCATTGTTGATTGGCGGCAGCACTTTTTCAACAAGCATAGTGAAGCCTTGTACTGTGATGACACTGCAGACACTAGCAAAGCACTTGGCGGCCGTATAACGGAGAACGGAGAGACGACATTGTAACGCTCGAGCAACGAAAGGCAGCAATTGAAGCACCCATGTATGCAGAGAAGCATCTAGGGTAGCCACCAATGCTCGTAGTGTGGACATGCCGTCGATTGCCTCCTGGCCGATAGTGCTTTCAGGATCAGTGATTTCTGTAGGCAATTCGCTCGTGAAGCATTTCCGCACGGGACCCTCGATGACCTCTTGCAGTTTCGGCACTTTGGCGAAGATTTCAGGCCCAAACTTTTGGCAGAGCTGCTCGAGTGCATCTTTCGCGCCCCTTCGGGTGATACGAGCCGCTTTGACCTCCCTTTCAAACTTCGCCGCATCTGGTCGTTCTTGGATATCTTCGTCCTTCTGAAGGGACAGAATACCTGATATCTTGTCCGCGTTGGGATGGAACTCGGGCGTTTCGCCAGTCTCCATGCAGCAGAACTTGACAATGTTACCGACGACCTTCTCGACAACCTTGTGGCGCTCACTGGCTACCAGCTGAGCGATGAGCTCAGACACTGCGGTAGCAGTCCTGTGCTGCAGATCAATATTCTCCTCAGCTTTCACGCTGTCCATTACTGCTTTGATCGTGGCTTGTGGCTTCTTGGGAACCCTCTGGAAAGCAATTAACGCTGCGGCAGCAGTGGCTCTCACGCGCAGATCATATTGCAATTTAGCCGTCTGGGAATCTGCGATAGCCGTCTCAGCATCCAGCTTGGCTGTATTTAATGCTTCTGCTGAAGACATTCTTTGCACCGTTGTCAGGCTCTTTTTGAGTCGGTCGAAATCCGGGCCGACAATCTTCTGGGCATCAAGGATTGAGAAAGCATTCTTCCCTGCCTCTGGCTCGCCTTGACATACTACTGCAAGCACCGGCAATTTCCCGGGGGGCATGTGCGCATGGTCCTGGAATGCATTGAGGAGTTGCTGGCATTGTGCACGAGCGATGCGAAGATAATTGGTGAGATCGCTGTAACAACTTGGTCGATCGTCCTCGACCAGCCGTTGAAGGTCGGCGATCGCCGCTGAGACGAGCGATTCTGGGGTAACAAGACTCGTAGCATACGCCTCAAAAGCCATTGCAGCGAACAACTGCGTGGAACCAAATCCTGATTTGAGAGCTGGTAGCATGCTCGGTCCGAAGGAAGCCTGTCGCTCTTCGGGTGGGAAGAGTGAGACCGCTTTGCCTAGCGCTCTTGTGGCGAATATCCGGGTTCTGATCATGACATCTGTTCCAACCAGGTCAACATCCCCCTGCATGATGGCCGCATCGATATTGTGTGTCGTTGTGCCAGGGACCAGAGGCACAGGTGCGGAGCTTTCCTTCTTATCCGACCTCCGGCGTTTCTTGGCTGGCTCTGAGCCGTTGACAGGAGAAAGTCGGTTGGCATTTGACAGTGGCGCATAAGCCACACCTGAGGGTTTGATGAACAGAGTTGCATCCATCGGGATGGGATGGCGGCTAATGCCGATTGGATGGAGTGTGAGCGTGATGAGTGGATCCGCATGGGCCTCAAATTCTTGCTTGAAAGCATAGGGATGCCTGGCAGCTAGAGACTCTGCTAGGGATGTCCAGACTTCGAGGGATAGTTTCAGAACGGCGTCGTTGCGCTCAACAAGGAGATTTTGATACACCAATCGTAGAGCTTTGCCGTTGATCCAGCCTTTCGTCTCATTACCTTCAATGTTGATGAAAGTCAACAAAGCGCGAAGCACAGCAGACCGAACAGTCGTGATTGTGTGTCGTAAGAAGGGGTACAAGCGTGGCACAAGTTCGTCAAAAGATTGCGATGGATCATTCTCCGCGTTTTGCTTCATGGCTGAGAGAACTTCCGGAAAGCTGCAGAGCTTTGCCAGAAGATCCATGACCGAGCCAGTACTTGCGCTGAGGTCATCAGAGAGATCCATCAAGCAGGTCCAGACAACGCTGATCAGATGCCTCAGCTCGTCTGAACGAACGTTGACAAACTCCCTAGCGACAGGTATCAATGTTGCGGCACTGACAGATCGCACGTCATCATCGTTGTCGCCTAGGCCCTTGATTACACACTCAAGCACTCCGTCCATCAGTGATCGATCCTCGAGGAGCAGATCGGTCCGGACAGCCACCAAGTATCGCATGCCGATCATTCCGCCATGGCATGCATGCCATATGCGCTTCGAAACTTTTAGGTCCTTCTGCATCACAAGTCGGTAGAGAATGCGGTTGACTTCATGCACCGATGCGGGTGGCAAATATTGTAGGACTGATCCAAGTACTTGCCCAACTGTCTCTCGGATTGGCGCTACAGCGTTGTCTGAGACGTAATCGGCGAACCGATCAAGCATGAAAACGCAGCATATTCGACACGCAAGATCGTCTAGCCAGGCTCTGTTAAATCTTTGGTTCTCGTCCCAAGTTTTATTTGCCAGCCGACCCGCGCCAGCCCCGTGCACGCGAACAATCTCCCGTAGGCCCATAGCGGCGCCGTGTCGGATCTCCCAAGCCGAATCGAAGAGATCGACAGTGAGGAATTCGCAGAGTTTCTCGAATGGCCACTCGCTACCTTCCACTTCTGTGTCGGAGATCAACGAGGACTTCTCTGGCATTGCCAAACCCTTGAATTCCGAGACAACTTTGCCCTCGTCGTCGCCAGACTTGCGCTCGAGTGAGAAATAGTCGGGATTGCCGTTGGCGTCAGTTTCGGGCTTGGCCTCGAGTTTGATGTCATCGACGGGGGTCTGCGACACACTTGTGCTTTCGCGGCGAACCACAAAGTCGTACTTGAATTTCTTGTTGTCGCGTTTGAGCTCCTCCTTACGTCGCCGTTTGAGCATATTGAGCTGGCGTTTGCTCATCTCTCCTCCGCCAGGGGTTTGCGGCTGTTGCGAATCATCAGGTGAGTGCATTGACGCATCCGCACCATTCGGAGTCATCTTTCCCGGATCTGTGTCTGCCCGTGAAATTCCTGGCGTGCCAAATGATGCACGGATTGCCAAATCTTTTTCATCGACAAGGTCTTCTTCGATATATTCACCGCCCAGGCCGAGTCGGGCAGTGAGGGTTTTCTTCTGATGAGCTAGACGCTCAACTGCACTAAGTCCAGCCAACTTGAAATCATACTGCTTGCCTGCACTCCCGAGTAGTTCTTTGCCATTGGTCAGGATGGACTCTACATCAAGTGAACTCAATTGTAGTTGGTCGGGAATATTTGGTGTAGTTGAGCCTTCGTCCTTCACCAATACCTCGCCGTTGCCATTATTGTCCGATTTGATATCGTCAATAGTAGCATTCGGGTCGAACTTCTCGGCGTGTTCAACGATACCTCCAATGGCGCGAGCAGCCGCAGTGCGAGTATCCCATGACGGAGAACGAAGGTATGGTACGATACGAGTCAGCAGATTGAACAACTCGTCAGGGTGATTCTTTTGAACATCTGCAAGTTGTTGTGCGGCAGTTGTTCGGATGAGCTGGGTGCTGCCCGTCTCGAGCAAAGTAACCAATCGATCAAGTCTGTAGTCTGATTAGTCAATCGTTCGTCAAAATTGGCTGCTTGCCTCGACAACATACCGTGAAGTCGTCATTGTAGTCGTGAGAAATTATTATTCAGTCAATCAAGAGTCGTGATAGGAACGCCAAGAAACGAGCAATTAGATATCCATTGAGAATCCCATGGAAAGGAAAGCATGTGCGCCTACGAGGCGTTCATTGGCATTAGAGGAGGTATGGCGTGGGCGGAATCAATGTTTTGTTAGGCAATTGAATCGATTGACTGGAGACACACATGCATGAGAGCTCTAGTGTATATCAATCAAATATTGAATTGCAGCATTCGCAATGACAGCAATATGTAGGAGCAACCTTGTGGAGGGTGTTGTGAGAAAGAGCCAATGAGGATGGGCAGAGAATATGTGTGATGTGCTGCTGCGGTCACTATGTAGTCCACCATAGGACGATGATTGTGTTGCCTCAGGCGTCAAAAGCAGAACACAGACAAACAGTATATCTCGCTGTCGCGTGCACTGCGGCTAAGAAAGGGTTTCTAATAGCGCAGTAGCAACGGCAGCGATATTATGATATTAGTAGAGAGGCAGCAGTGGCGATGGCGATGATAATGGCAGTCGTCCGGTACGTAGCAAGTAGTCGCCGTGGACGCTGATTGATGATTTGAGAAGGGCGGGTGAAGGTTGAAACAATGCGCGCTGCTGCAGTGCTGGTCGTTCTGTGGGCGAGGGCTGAATCGAATTGGTGGTGACTCTCTCCGTCTATACCACAGCGAATTGGCGAGGACAAGATCCGCCTTTATAAATCTGCTGCGCGACGGCCTGGGATGCACAAACTTGTCGCACTTGTGTCCTTCCGGCTTAGCCGCCGCTGCAACGGTCAGGGCCGCCCGACGCCATCAAGCCTATGGGGGGCGGCGCACTCATCAACTTTGGGGCAACTTGTCTTTTCGCTCATCTCTTCCTACATTCTTCGCCAGGCTACATTGCTGCGAGTCTATACTTCTGCCGGTCACCACTCACACCGTACGCTAGCTGGTGCACAATCACAATCTATCATCGTCACCATCTTCTTCATCGCCGACGCGTGCCCAGCCCATGGTCAGCCGATGTTTGCGGCCGCGATGCGATGCAAAGAAAGTGACAGGGTGTGCTGTACATGAGAATATCGGGCTCTCTTGTCTTTGTAGTAGCATCTACCAGTTGGGATCGCCCTTGGAGGTTGGTCAAGGCAATGGAATTACTCAACGTTACAGACACCGATGATCATCATTGCTATCACCATATTCCAGCTCCGCACTAGATGAACCACGTACAGCAGGAATCCTGACAGGGTTAGGGTCGGGGTGAGAGCCGCGTCCACAATCCCCAACGAAGAGCGGTCCTTCGCGAGGAGACCCATGGATCGCGATGCTGTGGAGGCACCGCAAACTAATGCCACATGAGTAACAGCCTGAAGGCATTCAACGCCGCAGACTACGCAGTATGAATTGCCGGGGTCGTGAGCAAATCCTTCACGTGTTCCAGTGCACGAACTGCAAGAGAGGGTAATGGGTCAGAATTAGAGCGCACGGCTATCATCACCCACGTCCGAGTAGCTGCCTTTGATGGATCAATACTTCCTGCGAAGATTACATGGCGAAAACACGCGAACTCTGTAGGCTTTGGGTCTTAAATGTCTGATAAGAGTCACATGCTGGCGATTAAATTTGCGTCTCTTCATCCGCTGCTTTCGGGTCGGTTCTCGTGGTATGTCTCGGTTCCTCCTGGGCCATTTCTGGCTCCGGTGGTCCCCTTCAATACGTGAGGCTCTGAGCAGTACGCACGCTGCAGTTTCTCTGAACATGAATCAATGACATGTGATGCAACAACTCATGATCAGGTTATCATGCTCATCTTTCGATGGGACGACGGCGGAAACATGCTCGGATAGGTATAGCATGTGGTCCTAGCAATCGAACAGTCGGCGCACGTGTAGCTTGGCAGGCATAAGACGATGGCGTGCGAAAGAGTGCCCAAGTGCCTTGCTTCCGGGGGAGAAAGTGGCTCCGCCGCCAAATGCCGCTTGTTCTCCTGCAGCAGACCATCCATCCTTGTCACAAGTGAAACAGGAATGCATCATGACTCCACGACAGTAGCATCATCATTTGATCGCCCATCATTTATACAGGCTCCATGAGAAGCAGATGAGACTGTGATACAGCAGATGACTTTCGTTCTTCTGCATTGACATCAAGAGCGGTATGGCATGACATTGTTATCATCGATCGATAGACCGGGCCATGCCGAACCCTAGCCGCGACTGACCGCTCGTCGGAACGCTTTTCCTCTGCAGTGCCAAAAGATAGATTTCCAGAAGCAGATTCCGTGTCGATGAACCGGAGCGCTTTAATAATTTGGCGGTGTGTGGCTTTTCCGACCCTTCATCAACTCGAACTGTTGAGGCCATCGAATAGTGGTGCCTGGTGAACGAGGCAAGTATTTCCACAGTCGCCTGCTCGAATGGTTTGCAGCACTGGCTGATCCAACTCATGCACAATGCTCCTGAGTTTCTATCGCGCGCATTGCGAAAACATGACTACCATAGAGTCATGGTATGCAAAGAAAACGTAAAAAACGACTAGCCTTCCTTGGTCGTGTTTGAATATGTCCTCACATGTACATCATCAAAATACTAAAATATCGACGCAAGTCATACATTTCGTTACAGTCACAACGACCTCTGATGACGTTGTTGTCGCTCATGAGCTCTCCACCTCTCGCCTTCCGCCCTTTGCCCAATCTCTGAGGACGTTCTTCCTCACCTTTCCCGTCGTTGTCTTGGGCAGCTCGGCGATCACCTCGATCTCGCGCGGAACCATGAAACGGCTGATTCCTCGTTGCTCTTTAGCCCACGCAATAAGTTCATCGCCTGTCACCTTGCTCTTCTTGTCACCGCCTGTCTTGACGGTAACGAAAGCCTTTGGCCGCTCGCCCCATTGTTCGTCGCTCACCGCCACGCACGCTGCTTCCAGCACATCCGGATGTGTCACGAGCAAGCCCTCCAATGCGACAGAGGAGATATTTTCGCCACCACTGATGATGATGTCTTTAGCTCGATCGAGGATTTGGATGGCGCCATCCGGATGCCAAACCGCCAGATCCCCTGAGTGCAGAACCCCGCCAGCGAACAGCTTTCGTGTGGCGGCCGGGTCAGCGTGATAGCCCCGCGCGCAAATGTTGCCGACGAAAACAATCTCGCCGATCTCGCGGCCGTCCTTTGCGACATCCTCGATGTGGTTGCCCGATGTCCAACCGCCAGATTCGTCTTCGTCGGAAGCGGTCTTGATTACTCGCGCGGGCAAGGACGTCAGGAAACCATGTCCTTGCCGAGCCATCTTGGCGTATTTCTCCTTGCTGGGAAGATCAGCCCAAGCGGGCATGTGATAACCTTTGGTGATGGGCCCATAAGTCTCGGTCATGCCATAAACATGGACTGGGAGAAGATTGAGATTCTCCATGGTCTCGAACAGGTGAGCCGAGGGCGGACTCGCAGCGACTGTTACTCGAACAGGTTGGGGTAGTCGACTCGCATTTGGGTCAGCACAAAGCAGCGTATTCACAGTTGGCGCTGCGTTGAAATGGCTGATCTTTTGTTCCTTCAAAAGTTTCCAGATATACGGGTAGTCAATCTTTCGAAGCGTGTAGTGAGTGCCTCGCACAGCTGTGACGGCCCATGGAAAAGTCCAGCCCGTGGCATGAAACATCGGCAGTGTCCATAGATATCGTGCTGAGGAGGAGTTGAGGTTACTCTCGACAATATTCGCCATCGCCGCGAGATATACGCCGCGGTGGGTGTACTCAACTCCTTTCGGACGCGCAGTAGTGCCCGAAGTATACGCCAAGGCCATGATCGCATTCTCATCGTGGGTTTCGGTTGCTAAGCCTGCCCAGCCGTGTCCGCCGCTTTGTTCATCGTGTTTGAGTCCCTCCAAGACTGCTTGGTCATATGGTCCCGAATCCTCATCCGTGTCCGTATCCACGAGTAAGGGTATTTGCGAATGACTCTGAGCAAAGTCTTCGAGGAGAGATTTGAATTCTGCATCCACAATGATAAAGTCCACCTGAGCGTGCTCGAAAATATAGCTAATGTCGTCCGGCTTCAGGCGGTAGTTGATGGCTAAGTACTCGCATCAGTTGATCGCGCCATCTTCCTTGAACAACGTGTGCCTTCTGAGACCTACCGACATTGACCGCGCCGGCGCCTCCGATGCCATAGAAGGCCTCGAGGAATGCTGGAGTATTAGTGCTCAGGATCCCAACACGTCTATAGCCATGCTTTAACAAAAAGTAGGCTAGCCCTCGTGCTCGATCTGCCGTCTGCGCGTACGTCCTCCGCAAGGTCTTCCCATTAGCGGTCAGATGATGAACCGCAATCGCCTAATTTTGAATGCACTGGTCAGCACAAGCGCACCACCGAGTCTACTTAATCACAGCAACAGTGTCGTTCTTACATCAGGCTCTATAGCAGCAGCGCGCGGAAGGAACAGGGTCGGACTCAGCTGGTGAACGTGATGCGTGTGATCGTAGGCATCTGATGTGTACGGAGGCCGCATAGAAGACGGCATGAACTGCGCGGTCAGGCCCGCGAGTCGTTTGGCTGCGCCTGACATCTTGGATGGCGCTGTCTCAATGCAGAATATTTAGTGAGCTTTTTTCTGTGCCTGTTCTTCGTCGTCACCGAACGTCTGAAAGCTCGAATACTGGTGAACACGACGAGGGCTACACTTTGTCTGCAGTGGCCAGAGCGATGCAATGCTATCGTCTTCCTGTCGATATGTGCGCACCAAGATAAGCAGCAAACCGTACATATATTCAAATAGGATGTGTCGAAAAGGAACAACAAGTATGCGAACACATGGACTCAATGTGAAAGAGAGCTCAACGGCCAAGACTCGCAACTGATTACCCCAGTTTGAGCTACGTCGCGAGGCTACGAATGGTAAGCTCTGTTGAACTGGCCTTGAACTCCTGGGCATGCATGGAAACGGACGAATTGGAAGACAGTCATATGTGAAGGAGGGTCTGAGCGCATGCGCACATCAGGGCCATCAGGAGGCGAAGTGCGCACAGTATCGTCAGCCCTGGCGGTTTTTCGAGGGTCCGGCATTTGCCTCGGAGCGACGGCGCGCGGGGCGAGTCGCGTGCGACGAATGCATCTCGTGATAGCGCTGAGCTGCAAACGAACTAAACTTTTCTCGCGCGAAGGCATCCAATACATTATGGCAGGACTACAACGCTTTAGTGAGCATCAAAACGGACAGGCTAGTTATGCTTTCGTCCTCCAACCGTGAAGCTTTATGCAATCGACATAGTAGTCGATGATGCTTCAATTGATGATCCGATCTTGCGCAAACTCCATCTGCTCCACAGCGATCGTGAAATCACCGGGCATCTTATGGAAGCAAAGTTGACAAGACGACTCCAGCAACAGGGGAAGCAAAAGCAAGCTCATTCTGTGATTGGGGAGGAACCTGTATTTCATGCTTTTGTGGCGCGAACTACCCAAAGTGGGTCACGAGAGTTCATGCCTATCATGCTCATAAGTCCACGAAAGTCCTGGGCCACGAAGGAAGACGGTTGTCCAGCGTCTTTGCCATTGCTTAATTCCACCAGCTCGATGTCCTTCCAACCTGCAAAGTGCAGGAAATCGCCAACCATTTGCAGTCGTTCCTCCTCGGAGATGCGCAACCATCGATTGATCGCTTTGGTGGGAAAGCAGCGGTTGCTGATCGTAAGATGGACTTTACCGCCTGGCTTTGTGACTTTCAAAACGCTAGAAAGCACTTCCACTGGCTGGATGAGATAATCAATGCTGACAACTACAGTAGACGCGTCTATGAGTGTCTCCGGGTCTGACAAGTCCACCACCTTCGCTTTAACCAGAGCGGCCGAAACGTCGGGGTCGATATTCAGATCAACGAGAAGACGCCCGTGTTTGAGAACGTCATTGGCTTCAAGCTCGGCCTGATTCATGCCCATGCCGATCGCTTTGAGCTCATCGCGGGCTATTGCCTGCTCCACAGATGCTGGGAAATGGCTTATCCAGCTGCTGCAAAAGTCAAGTGCTTTTCCTGAGGTAGGAAGAACGTCTGCGTAGTACTCTTTTAGGGTGGAAATTGCAGCGTCGTCAATATGTGTTACGAAACGAGGCGCACGGTAGAAAGACGAATCCGACGAAGGATCTTGCCGCGAAAAGTCGGACTCTTTATAAGGCCATGCTTGATGGCGTGGAGAGTACGGTTTGACTGGCCATACGGGTTTAGAAGTAGCCATTGAGGAGGTTGTTCTTGTGGACAACCCAACAGTCGATAGGAGAAGGACGCCACTCGAAACGCTGAGCAGGGGGATCGGCTTCAGGCAAGGGCGAAAGATGCACTGCATTGATGTTTTTTTCCGCAATTGCAACCTTTTACAGTTCCTGAAATTGCGAAGGTATGTACTGCAGAATTTTACAGACATACCTAGATATCTTCATGAATTGCAAATGGCCAAACAAGTCCACCGGGCAACTATTGAGCACGGGTTGCGGTCATTGCTGATGATGACGTACACTACAGTTCAATTTGATTGTCTGTTCAATTTGGAAAAGCTAGCGGTCTGGAGAAGCTGGAAGAGCGCAGAGCCGGGGTCAGCATGCAACGCAGTATTCTACAGCACGCATGTCAAATGCTCGGCACTAGCACCCGGGCCTTCGCAACCAATAGGAACTTTGCTTGGCATACAAACTTTGTGCTTGGCACACTCCCGCGAAATTCTGTGTGGATCTGCTGGCGCACTGGGTGTAAATCCAAAGATACCGGCTTAGTTTCGCGACAACACTTCATCAATACCTGTCCATTTTCACTTATTCGAACAGGTACAATGTCGACCTTCGAGCCAGTGGTGCGTAGAACATTGCGAGAGCTTACGTTCCGCAGCCTCCGTTCAACTGCGCGGACTCAAACTGACTTCAGTTGCTGTAGATCGTCATTGACGGCAAGGGCCATCTTCTTGGTCGTTTGGCCTCAACCGTGGCCAAACAACTCCTCAGTGGCCAGAAAATCGTCGTCGTTCGCTGCGAGCAAATCAACATCTCAGGCGAATTCTTCCGCTCGAAGCGTATGTAACGAACCGGCCCACCGAAATTGAATCCTGAGTCTAATCCCTTCATACAGTGAAGTACCAGGCCTTCCTCCGCAAACAGACTCGATTCAACCCCAAGCGTGGTGGACCATGGCACTTCCGTTCACCCGCCATGATGTTCTGGCGCACTGTCCGCGGTATGATGCCTCACAAGACCGAGCGTGGAGCCAAGGCTCTTGAGCGCCTGAAGACCTTCGAGGGTGTCCCACCGCCATACGACAAGAAGAAGCGTGTTGTCGTCCCACAAGCCCTCCGTGTTCTGCGATTGAAGCCCGGCCGCAAGTATTGCACAGTTGGCCGTCTTGGCTACGAGTTCGGCTGGAAATACCAGGATGTTGTCGCACGCCTCGAGGAGCGGAGGAAGGTCAAGGGCTTGGCATACTATGAGAAGAAGAAGGCCGCACAGAAGAGCCTCGCGGAGGCCAAGTCAAAGGCTGCCATCCCGGAGAAGGTCAAGCAGCAGCTGGAGCAATATGGTTACTAGGGGAGGGGCGTTTGTTCTTTAGTTGACAATGGTGGAATGACTGCTCGGCGTGGTGGTCACGGCTACAACTTCTTTTTCATCGCGTAACTCGGACTATGGGTCTGTTCTGGCGTCAAGAGATGAGTGCCGTACAAAATTTCACAGGCATGACAATAAAGCATTACGACATTTTGCAGAGTGCCCCTTGCTGTTGTGTGACTGATCGAGGATAATGGAGCATGATGGGTGAGGAGTGTGAGCTTGAAGGGCCAAGCGTGGCTTCTAAAATTTTCAGCTTTCGACATGTGCTGTACACAAGGAGCTAGCAGGAGTCATCGCCGACGTCAGCTGTCGAAACTTGCTTCCTCCGCGATCTGTCGAAGCCTACCACAATGGAGCAATGGACACGGGTACCAAAGATGTCAATGAACACCCTCATGCCTTGACTGAATGTTCACTTTTCACTATATGTGAACTGCATCATGTAGGCCTGCCTCATCTACAGTAGACGCGATGACCAACGTATCGCGACAAACGCCCATCGCGCTCGCAGACTTGATCAGAAGCAGCGGCTGACGAATCTTGGAATTCTCCAACCTTGAGTCTCGCCTGGCATATTTTCCCATGTCGACCGCAGCTCTATACCCCGTGGACGAGTTCTTTCCCCATCCGCGAGTGCGATGACGGCCCTTTTCGACTTGCGTGCTATAGTCGTCGACGAGAGGTCGCAGTGTCACGCGTTGACACATATTCACGTCGCCTCCGAAATAACGTCGGCCATTATCAATAGCCGCTGACCACATTGTTACACAATCACGCACTTTCCCAGCTCTGGCCCCACCGCAGCTAACAGATGCACCGGACTTGAGCATAAGCTCCAGGAATAAGCGCACAGAGGTGCTGGGCTGTACTGTATGAGTTCGTAATGGTAGGCGCGTCGAGAGAGCGATCGTTCCTGCAGAAATCTTCTAAACGACAACTTTGTCACTGGTCACGACATTGTGCAGATCAATGCAGTACGACGGACATTTACATGAAGCGGCGTGGTTTGCAAAGAAAAGAGAGGGATGAGCACGCCCCCTGCTAGTCAATTTCGTGATTGTACTGCAGCTGATGAACATGATCATCTAGTTAGACTGGTGCAATAATCAATCGAGCCGGGTGTGGGACGCAGGTGACGCAGCAATCACGCACCTAAGAGATCGACGCTGCTCAGTGCGGAAGTTGAGAAAATGCGATTAAGAACCCGAATAAGATCTCATCATATGGAGGCTGCTCGGCGTATTCCGACCAACTGGGCTGCAAACAGATGCAGGCAGGCGCCGCTACCGAAGTTATATCTGAATGATCATCAGGAGCAACGGTACCGTGATGATGAGTGGTCTGGTCGATACACACTTCCAGGCAGCAAAGTCGTCTCCAGGGCTGTCGCGAATCCATTGTGCGGAGTTTACGGGGCGGAGGTGGAATAAATGCGGCCGACAGCGGAGGCACGGGCTAACGTGGTGGACAATGGTTCGCAACATAGACGGCTAAGCTTGAAGTGGGAAGGCGCGACAAGAGCTAAGCATTGAATCGTGCCAATGCAGGTTGAACACTATTGAATTGGATGACGACGCCGCCATCGAAGGAGCTGACGGTTTTCAATTCCACCGATTCGTTCGAAGGACCGATCCCACCGATGGGGAATACCACCTGGTCAGCATCGTGATTGATTTACGATTTCCCTATCGTGTGCCAACCGAGGCATGTCGCGAATCTGATCGATATTACGTTCGCTTGAAGAGCCAGCCCGTGGCATCGCGGCTGACGTATGCCCGCGAATGGCGCCTGGGATAGTGCACACAGGAAATAGGAAGGGCGCGATAGGCCTGGCAATGTCGCATGCAATGCTCCAATCAACCCACACACCCATGAAAAGTTCCTACCCACGATGCGAATTTTTACATCACTGGAATGCTGCAAGTGTATGTCAGGTGCAACGGACAGACTATGCGTGACGTCAGCAGGTTTTTCGCGCTCTTTCATTGCCCAGGTGCGTGTCCAAAAAGTCTTGGGTCTTCCGCGATGTGGACCTGCGTTTGTCAGCACGGCTTCAAAGATGGTAAAACTCAATTTTTCCTGGAACCAAAGGGATGTAGGCATGTGCTGTATAACACCGCGCGCGGCAACAATCATGGGCCATGGCACAGATTGAAGTAGAGCAGGCATGAGCATGCACACGACGCCACGTTGCCCCCAATAATAATACAGTATGATCGTCGTCCAGCTTTCTGGTAAGACGGACTAGTGGGTGCCCCGGTGGGCTCCTCATGTTCTGTACGCAAAACCTTCTCCAGTCGGGCCTGCAAACATACATGAAGCCGCGCAACACCCAAATGTGCCAAAATCCTTCACATACCTCATACGTGCACGCTCTGGCTGAATCCTGACTATCATTCCTCTTATCCTAGAGAAGTACCCCGCATATCTCAAGAGTGTTTCCTGTTGATTATTGGGACATTGCGATGACAAGCGACGACGCATCGTGACTTCTGATGTGCATCATCGTCGTTTGTTTCGGAAACCATTTACGGACACCATCAAAGATCCAGTAGCTACAGGAACACATCGAGCAATTTAGAATGACCGCCTTGCGAGCTTGTTGAAGCGTTTGTGCAACAAGGGTGTCCCAAAGCTCATTGTGCTTTCACGAAATAAACAAGGGACCTGGTGTCCCGCCATGAAGCAGACTACCATGGAGGATTCAGAGGGTCACGCGAGCGATGGCGATTCCAGCGTCGAGGATTCAGAGATCAAAGGAGGGTCTGCAGAAGCTTCGCCATCATCGAAAACCACTGCAAACAAGACGCCTAGCCATCTCCAGAAACGTCGACGAGTGACTAGAGCATGCGATGAATGCCGGCGGAAGAAGATCAAATGCGACGGCGCACAGCCGTGTACGCACTGCTCCGTCTATAGCTATGGTAAGCTCCTCAAGCCCCGGCCGGTCGTGAGCTTCACTCAGAATAGAAAGTCCTGACCAGAAGTGGTAGACTGTACGTATGACCAGCCCTCAAATCGACGCAGGAACCCAGCGCCAGCATATGTAGAGAGTATCGAGAATCAGCTTCGGAGTGCTCAGACTTTGCTGCATATCCTCATTCCCAACCTTGATCTCAACGACCCAGCCATGGTCGCTGCGGTGACACAAGGATGGCTGCAAGGGGGGCCTGGCAGTTCCAGACAAGCACCGCAAAGGGAGTCACTAACGCAGCCGCCTTCTTTACCTGTGGCGACAGAGGCAAAACCGGAGATGAATATCGAATCCATGATTCGCGCTGTAGCGCAGATTGATCTCGACGAGACAGGTCACTGGGATTATCATGGCCACTCTTCCGGTCTCAGTTTTGTGAGAAGAATGCGCGAACAGCTAGGGGATCTCATGGGGCCGGAGGAGCAAGGCGCGCCGTTCGTCAAAAGCCCGACTTTGCATCATGTCCTGGACTCGCCCAAGTCCGGGATGGACTCGCCTTTCGCCGATGGGATGCGATCGCAACCCGCTCTGCCACCTCAGCAACTTGCGCGTCGGATATGCGGCTACGCAGTCAATGATGCCGCCGCCTTGCTCAGGACAGTCCACCAACCCACATTTTGGGCAAGCTTCGAGAGGATATTCAGCGTACCTCAGGAGCTATACACCAATGAGGATCATGTATTCCTCCCCTTGTTATATAGCGCTATGGCCCTCGGCAGTCTGTTCGGTAAAACAGATGATAGAGAAGGCTATGAAACTTCCCACGCTCAAGGTCTTGCGTATTTCCGCACTGCGCGGCATCTTATGGATATTGCAGACTGTCGAGATCTGGCTCACATTCAAGCTGTTGTTCTGATGATCCTGTTTTTGCAATCAACGGCGAAGCTTTCGCAGTGCTATGCATACGTCGGAATCGCCTTGCGCTCGGCTTGTCGCATGGGCCTGCATCGTTCGGCGGTCGGTAAATTCGACCCCGTGGAATCGGAAACTCGAAAGCGTTTATTCTGGACTATCCGAAATCTTGACTCGTATGTGGGCGCATTGATCGGTCTACCCAACACACTTCGAGACGAGGACATCGATCAGGATTATCCTCTCGAGGTTGATGATGAGTACATCACGCGGAATGGCATTCTACCGATGCCGGACGGCCTGGTTTCTACCATGACCGCCTTCAACATGCATACCCGTGTGGTCGACATTCTGAACAAGATCGTGCGCAAGATTTACCCAATCAAGTTCCAAACACCCCTTGGTATGGGAGACAAATCATATTCTGTGCCTTTTGCAAGCATTAGAGAGATTGAGAACGACCTCGAGAACTGGAAAAATAGTCTACCGCCAATTCTCACCCCAAACGAGACCTTAGGAAAGTACACCAGAATTCAGCAGCTATTGCGGTTGACCTACGCGTACGCCCAAGTCATGCTCTACCGCCCATTCCTTCACTTCGTTGCAAATGACAAGCGAAAAGAACTGAAAGACAAACGAGCATACGCTTGCGCTGCATCGTTCATCAACGTCTCACGAAACATCATTCACATACAGACGCATATGCAGCAGAAGGGTCTTCTCAATGGTGGCTACTGGTTCTCGATGTACACTGCCTTCTTCTCAATATTGGCATTGGTCTACTACGCCGCCGAAAATCCGGACAGTGACACCACGCATGCCTTAATGAGAGATGCCCTCCAGGGCAAAGAGGTTCTCTCAGCACTTGCCGCACATAGCATGGCGGCGGACAGGTGCTCGGCAACACTAGATACCATATTTCAGCGCTTACCTACCTGGATGCGCGAAGGTCGTCCAAATCCTGCGCCAAACAGAAAACGCACATTCGAAGAAGGCACCGCACAGCCACACAATAACAGCACACAGTCTCCTCTCGCTCACATACAGTCATTCGCTGATACTCAAGATCCTCCACAATTTACAAGACGCGCTGCGACCTTCCCTCAAATGGGCCAGCCTAACCCTCAGAATATGATAACGTCGTATCCTGAGACCTGGGCCCGGCTGAGCCCGGCGTACACACCTGGGCAGAGTTCTACCGATGGCTCCTATGACTCCAGTCTACAAACGGGTGTCGTGCAGCCGCCAATGCCAAACTCAATTGACGGCACAATGCCACATTACGCAAATCAACACAGCCTCAAGCCGCCTGAGTTGACCGACCTCTCGAATATGATTTTCCCGACCGCAAATGAGCCATTTCTCTATCCAAACCAATCTTTGGCCTCTTTCGAGAATCGTCAGCAATTCGACCAGGGCATTCCATATGCGGCCAATGGCCGCAAAACCGCTTACTCTAATATCGACGTTGACAGCCGACCGACGTCGAACCCTCGCAGCGAAGGAGACATCGAGGCGCAATTCTTCGCACTTCCGCCTTATATTCAACAGCAGCACCCACAATCGCACTTGGTGCCGCAACAGGCTCAGCAATCTCCGAGCATACCCTTTCCGCCATCTCAGCCCATGTCCTACAGTCAGGCGACACCGCCGCTCGGCAACCAGACGATGCCCATGTCCGCTGAAGAGTGGCAGGCAGCCCAGGGACTTCGCCAGGAGATCCAAAATATGTTCGGTAGCAGCGAGTGGGATCCCATGGCCGGTGCATATCACAACACTTTGTAGTGATGACCATCTTATCGAGACGATTAGGGAGCCGTGCTTACAGTATGTGCAATCTTGCCATACTGAATTTTTGTGATATGTAAATCGTGGCCGAGTCCTTTCATCCACATAATTCAATATTCTTTACTTCCGTGACTTGCCTCTGACTCTGCCCAGGTGGTGATCTTGGGCTCAGTATTCAAATTTGTATGTACGTGCTCCCATGGATTGTCGACAATGGATGTGACGTCAATGTCGCAGAGGGCAAAGCTTGAGCCACCTTCGGCAGTGAGAGGGGTGGTCTATTGAGGTGTGGCAGGTGACGCTTCGCCTGACCGGATGTTCGCTGCTCCCATGTACAGACTTCACAATCGATTTTTGCTGTGATGTGTTTTGTGTGGTCAAGCGTGCGATCTTAGGAGCGCAGCAAAGTGGATCCTCATGGCGACCAGGTCCAACTCGTGGAATCCAATCGCCTTTTTACCGGCCCAAGTCAGTCTTATTGGCGGCTCGATCTACGCCGTCCTGATAACGGCGCTGCTATTCACGCATTTGACCATACCATCAGTACCCTCGAGCGTATCAATATCATCTGTCAATATCACTGAAGCATGGCATGATCTTGGAGTCATCGCGACCGGATATCATCCCTGGGGCAGTCGGCGCAATGACGCTGTAAGAGAATATCTGCTGGAAAGAGTCGGACAAATACTGGAGCGTAATGGCGCAGATTACAAAACTGTTTTCGCCTCGGACAAGAATCGCTTGACATCAGGCATATCCAGCCCAAAGCTTGTGACCGTCTTCGCCAATGACACATCCAACTTCACTTCTAGAGATGATTGGAGCTTCCGCCCTCTGACTCTCTATGGCGAGTCGGCCAACATCATAGTGTACATACGCGGCAAGGATGATGAAAAGGACGACTGGTGGAACACCACGACCAAATATCGCGGATCTAGCGGAGTGCTAGTAAATGCACATTTCGACTCCGTACCGTCTGCGGTTGGCGCCACTGATGATGGAGTTGGTGTTGTCACGATTCTGCAGCTCATCTCGCACTACACCAGCAAGGGAAATCGGCCAAAGCGAGGCATCATCGCGCTGTTGAACAACGGCGAAGAGAACGGTTTGTATGGTGCTCGTAATTACATGCAACATCCAATCGCACAATTGCCTCATACCTTTCTCAACCTCGAGGGAGCCGGAGCTGGCGGTCGAGCAACACTCTTCCGCTCAACCGATGCGGAGGTCACTCGGGCCTACTCCAAAAGCCCTTATCCATTCGGCTCCGTCATTAGCGGCGACGGCTTCAAACGCAACTTCATTCGAAGCGGCACCGATTACACCATCTTCACACAGGACCTTGGAATGAGAGGTTTAGATGTTGCCTTCTTCGCGCCTCGCGCCCGCTACCACACCGATGAGGATGACGCGCGAGACACAAGCCGGAACTCTTTATGGCATATGCTCTCCGCTTCGCTTGCTACTATGGACGAATTGACGTCTTATGCTGGCGACGAATTTGAGGGAACCACAGATCGCTCTGGCAAATTCAAGCTGTCCACTGGAAGTGATGCTATTTGGTTTGATTTGTTCGGGCGAGCCTTCGCCGTCATGCGTATGGCAACACTGTTCGGGTTGTCTGTGGCGCTTTTGACTGCTGGTCCGGTTGTCTTCATCTTCTTACATGTCTTGATACAGCGCAGCGGCAAATGGTATCCATTTTCGACAAGGAAATATCTTCGCTCATCAGACGACGACGAGTCGGCTCAACTCCACGGAGTTCGTGGGTTTTTTCGCTTTCCCATCGCTGTTGTTGTGGCTTCGGCGGCGGTGGTAGGCCTCGCATATCTGTTGACGAAGCTGAATCCTTACATTCTATACGGCCACCAGTACACGGTCTGGGCCATGATGTTAAGCATCTGGTTCTTCGTTGCCTGGTTCATCCTTGCCGGCGCTTCAAACGTGCGTCCTACAGCTCTCCAGCGTATGTACGCCCTGATTTGGTTGTATATCCTGTCCTGGATTGGTCTGGTCTTTGCCACTGTTGGTGAGAACAACCTCCACCTAGGATCTGGGTATTTCCTGGTCATCTATAACGCTTCGGTCTGGACAGCGCTCTTTATATCCTACCTTGAGCTTTTCGCATTGCCGAAGAAGTCCAAATACGTGGAACATGTTCTTGGAGCTCAGAGCGATGCAGTATCGACGCGGCCTGGAAGCATCTCCTCGCGAAGAATTTTGTCGAGCAGTGACGATGGTCGGCATGACGTGATCGATGGTGATGACATCACAGAGACGACCTCTCTTCTAAGGGGCAGGACTGCGAACTCCAACAAGACATTTCCTTCTTTCTCCAGGCGTCGGCGTGCAGATCGAGACGAGGTTCCTGACGATACTGAGGATCCATACCTCAATAGAGCGTACATGAACGAGCAAGCATGGTCGAGCTCGTTGCCGCAGTGGACCTGGATTATTCAATTCCTTATTCTGGCGCCTATCAACGTCATCCTCGTAGGACAGATTGGTCTTTTGCTCACCTCAGCCTTGAGTCAGACCTCAGCTGATGGCAATGGAGTACTCGTGGTCTATCTGTTCCTGGCGGCTTTAACAGTTCTACTGCTCCTCCCATTGACACCCTTTCTTCACCGGTTCAGCTTCCACATTCCACTTGCACTGCTGCTGGTGTTCGCTGGTTGTCTTACTTTCTCACTTGTGTCTTTCCCCTTCTCGAGAGAGGCGCGTATGAAATTTTACTTTATCCAGCAAGTCAATCTGGACGAGGGCAGTAACAATGTTACCATTCGTGGTCTTAACGGCTACATTCAGGACGTCATTGCTGAGCTTCCAAGCAGCAGCGACCAAGCACTGTCATGCCACGCTTGGGATCCGAAGACGAGTTCGAACATTAACATCTGCAATTTTGAGGGCATTCTACCTCAACTCGTCCCGCATAATTACTCGACTATCACCACAAGCAAGTCAGAGCTTAAGTCCTGGCTGAAGTACAATATCTCACACAAAGATAACCACGCAACTATCACGCTCCAAGGGCTCAACACGAAAATTTGCCAGCTTGTTTTCAACAACGCAGTTTCTGAAGTTCGTATCGAAGGCTCAGGCTCGGATCCTCGGATGCGTCCTGTCGCTGACGGCGGTAGCTCTCAAGTTCATCTTTTCAGCCGCACCTGGGACAAGACTTTCAAAGTCGACGTTGCCTGGCCCGATGCTCCCGCCAAGGGCCAGAGGGGAAGGGTGGTGTGCTCGTGGAGCGACGGCAACACCCCGGGCGTGATACCAGCTTTTGACGAGATCAGAAAATTCCAGCCCGTCTGGAGTATTGTCACCAAGGCGAGTCATGGACTCGTTGAGGGCTACAAGGAGTTTGAGATCTGATCGTCTGCATGGAAGTGCTGTCAAATACGATTCCCTGCTTTGAGTAGTCTCAACAGTGGTTGTTTTGCATTGACATATCATAAGATAAGTATCTGGCGCGGTCGCTGTAATAATATTCAATTATACTCTGATGAGCGAAGAATCTGTTGTAGTTTGCGTCAAGCATTTACCTTTCTTTCACTCCTGTGATGTTTGACTACATTATTACTTAGGTGTATATCTCCACCCAATATTGCATAGGACGATACATAGGAACCTAGGTAGCGCTGCGACTTAGGGTTTACGGAAAAACGTTTCGCCGCAGCGCACCATTGTGAGCTGCGAAAGTTGAGCTTGGCATGATGGTGCAAATTCGAGATATCCCAAATTTCGAAGTTCTGTAGAGTATTCTTTGCAAGACCAGCAGCATATCAGTCAAGATGTCTACTCAAGCCTTGAACAAGATCGCGCCCAACAGCCCATCGCGGGCGAAGCCCAATGAGATCGAGAGCAACATTGCCACTGCTCTTTACGAGCTCGAGACCAACATCCCCGACATGAAGGCCGCACTCCGACCTCTGCAGTTCGTCTCTGCACGCGAGGTAAGATGAAGCAGGATCCGCGCCAATAGTCGTCAACAGCAGTCAATGTGTGGTACAAGGAGTCATTGGACCCTACTGTTCGGATCATATCAGAAAGAGATGGTCATCATTACTCTGGATACGGCTATTGGCACAGGCACACATTTAAATGAAATACCTCGATCTTTTCGGAGAGGCGGTGGACACTGGGCGGCTTCGCGCTGACACCAGGACTCTTACAGATCGAGGTTGGACACGGCCGCAAGGCCATTGTTATCTTCGTCCCGGTTCCCCTTCTTCAGGGCTGGCACCGCAGCCAGCAACGGTACGTACAGGAAAATCAATTGTCGCAGCAATGCATGTCAGATCTGACCGTTTTACTTCAGATTGACCCGTGAGCTCGAGAAGAAGTTCTCCGACCGTCACGTCATCATCGTTGCATCGCGCCGCATCCTCCCCCGCCCCAAGCGCAGCAACCGCAGCCGCACCACACAGACCCAGAAGCGCCCGCGCAGCCGAACCCTCACTGCCGTCCACGACGCCATCCTCGCTGACCTCGTCTTCCCCGTCGAGATCGTTGGAAAGCGTGTCCGCACCAAGGAGGATGGCTCCAAGATTCTCAAGGTCGTCCTCGACGAGAAGGAGCGCGGCAGCGTCGACTACCGCCTCGACACCTACTCCGAGGTCTACAAGCGCCTGACCGGCAAGGGTGTGAACTTCGAGTTCCCCCAGGCCCAGGCTGACTACTAGATGCTTGTATTGTGGGTATGATGTCCCTCTCGTGATAGGGAGTGGGCGATGAAATTTCTTCATGGCAATGGCGAAGGCGTCTGGTTGAATGGGATTGCGCAAAAAGCGTATTTACTTCTATGCCAAATGAAATTCTCAAGAAGAAAGTTCCGGTTCTGCTGTGGTTTTGTGTTCTTATGCTCATCTTCGAATGTGTGCGCCAATGAATTACCCGTCTTCGCTTTGGGCATTTGGCGAGGCAAGCCACCAAAGGTTCAACCAAACGCGATCTCCCTGCTACCTCCAAAGGCTTTATCTCCCATCGATTCGACGAAACATTTTCAATCCAGTGATGAAAGTGTCCGCCCAAAACGATCCCATTTTTATCGGGGTATCTCTAAAAAGACGTGGCACCAAAAAGCTAGCATGACCCTTCAATATGCTTTCCCAAATCCTTGCCCGTGAATGCCGATGCCCAATTTCCCACGCGATTTCAGACTTTTGCCTTTGATTCCCGCCGTTTCCCGGACTTCATGTCCTCAATCAAATAATTTGTCTTCGTTCTTCTTCAAACTCATCACACATTCATTCGTCATGACGTCAATCGCTCATGCAATCACGGTGTTGGACGCGAGGCGGCAGTAGACCGAGCAGCATGATATTGCGTCTTAGGTCATGCCTGTGACGCCCGCTGCGGACATGGCCCTCGCCTCCTCCTCCGCGCCGATTTGACCCTTGCCCTCTCTCATGACCACATCGGTCCTGCTCTGACCCGCATTGCTTTTCTTGGCCTCGGTGGACGCCCCTTGGTCTGTGCCATCACGCTGGCCCTTGGTCGATGCATCTTCGTCTTCCTCGTCGACGAAAGTGGTCCAAGGGTGTTCGAGGACGGCCTGGATAGCGATGCGGCGCTCGACGTCGCGGTCGAGCATTTTCCGGATGAGATCAATGCAGTCTTCCGATAAGATGTACGGGACGCGTAGATCGTGATCCATGATCTCATCGATGGAGTAGAAAGGGTTCTCTTTGTAGACAATGGTGTAGAGGAGGATGCCGAGAGCCCAGACATCCTGCTCCTTGCCGCGGTAAGGAAGACCGCGAAGAACTTCAGGCGCGGCGTAATCTGTGCGAGGAAACGTCAGCATGGGCGTGGTCTTGATATAAAGCAGCAATTACGTACCAATGGTCCCGACGAAGACATCAAAGGGTCCACTCTTGATGTACGCCGCACTGCCGAAGTCGATCAATTTGATGTTACCCTCACCATCGAGGATGACGTTCTCGTCTTTGATGTCCCGGTGTACGACCTTGGCATCCAAGTGCAGATGCCCGATGGCCTGCGCGACTTGCCGGAAGATCTTTCGGCATTCCGGCTCATCCATAGTAACGCGGAGTTCAATGTAATCGAATAAGTCCATTCCAGGCAGGCCATGCGGTACCATTTCAATGTAGTAGTTGATGTCGTCCTCGAAGAAATCAGCCATCTCGACGATGTTTGGATGTTGGAGACCATCGCGTCGGAGATAGTCCAAAACGTGGATCTCGAGCGGGACAGTGCCGAGTCTACGATCGCGGTGCCAGGTGTCGACGAGAATGCGGCGCTTGGTGACATACTTGATGACCATTTTGCCAGCACCGGGTTTCTTGTAGCGCGCCAACTTCACCTGACCATAGGCACCTTGTCCCATTTCCTCAAGAATCACAAAGTCGTCGATGCGTTTCTTCCTGATCACTTTCACATTTGCTGCAATGAGGTCTGGCGATGGGTGCTCGAAAGGTTCGCCATCACTCGGATTCGTAGGAATGGACGACTGTCGTGGCGAAGAAGGCGACTTGGCTTGAGCGAGCTGCTCGTCGAGGATCTTGATGCGAACATCGTTCTCCTCGCTGGCCTCCGGGCTGGATACAACCATCGGACTCTGCACATATTCCGGAGCAGGCTGCTGAGGCGGCGTACTTGGGCGGCTGACGAATGGCGTCACTGGCCCGACGCCGTGGTTAACGGCGTGAAGTTGACGGCTGTACGTGATCCACAAAGCGTAGACGACCTCGCTGCTATTGACAGCCACATCTTCTTCAATCACAGTCTCGTTGTAGATAGGCTCCCGATCGGACTTCACCACTCGCATTTGCACATCGATCATGATCTCTGCGCCATCTCTGTGCTGAGCTGGGACACCGCTAGGGCGTAAGAAGATGGCGGCCGCATCAGCAGATCCCTCTCGTAATGCTAGAAGTGCGCGGGCTCGGCGGAAGCTGTGCTCGGGAATAACGATACCATCCACTAAGCCAATCTTGTCTTCGTCAGTCATGACACGTAGAATTGTATCGAAGCCGGGGATCAGGTCGTTGATCGGCAGACCGTCCGGTTTAGCGTGTCCGAAGAGCGCTGCCGAAAACACGCTATTCGAGCTGCTAATACGCATGGTGGCTGGGTTGACCACGATGATGCCAGCAATGTGCGGGAAGCTTGAAATGCGGAAAATGCTACCGTTCTCCATCTGATCAATCGTCACGGGGATGTTGATGTCGTTGCTCGTCCTTGCTGTAAAGCGCCGCAACTTTGCGAGAGCATCGTAATCGACCGCACCAGTGTTTGTTCCAGACAGCTTGGGCCAGGATGGAATCAGGCGCTGCACATCCATGCCGTTACGCACACGATCCAGGCCGAAGATCTCCTCTAGATTTCCACTCCCTCGAAGTACCGATCCAATCTCATCTACCGTAAGCATTGCAACGTCCTCTGCAATTTCCTCTAGCACCCAGATAAGATTGTTGCCCTTCTCCTTAACCCACAGTGAAGCACTTCCGGTGGCGCCATTCATCTTCCGAATGGGAACCACATCGCCACAAAGCAAAACGCCTCTACTTTTATTGTTTGGATGATGCAACTCCTTCTGTGACGGCCGTTCTCCGTCTTCACTCTTGCTTCTTCTGCTTTGATATGTTTCTCGCGCCGGAGGCTTAGATAGTAATCTAGCTGTCAGGCCATTGCCCATGCCTGCCAAGCTCGGTGCCAAAGTTGTCTTTCCATTGGCGGGCGGTTGAGGTCGACTTATCTTGGGTGCTGTTCCGCTGTCCGGATTTCTGAGTTTGTCTTCGAGCCACTTTCGCCTCTCTTCTTTGATGACCTCCATGATCCCTAGTTTGCGGACTTCTGCTCTTGTGACGCCGAAGACGAGACATGCTAGGTCGTTGGCGGCGGTGATCGTCCAAGGCGCCTTTGTCTCCGTGGTGAATATGGCTTGCGCCGGGGCATTTCGATGTCCGTGAGGTGCGCGTTCGGCGACAGTGTTTGAGCGGGTCGGTGGTTGCGATGAGAGCTTTGTCGAGCTGGGCGTAGATTGTCTGGCAGACTGATGTGGTTGAGTGAGGGCTTCGTTCAATCTATGTTGTAATGAGTATCCTGCGATGTCGGTATAAGTACGTTTCAGAGAGGCGCGGTGAGGGCGGCTGGCGGGCAGCCCGGGCATGAAGTCGTCGTCAATGGAGGTCAAATGAGGTCGATCGAGCGGTCCGACGGTGCTGTCGTCAGACAAAGTCGATTTCGAGGGAAGGCCGGCTGCGCCTACTGGGGTTACACTTCCTTCTGCCACCGCAGTCTCCGTCAACGCACGAGGGCTCCCGACGATCGTATCCGGGCTCTGCATCTCGACTGGGCTCTCACTCTGTTTCGACAAAAAGCTCTTCTCGAAGATGTTCTCGTTCGTAAATTGAGCCGGGCCCGTCAAGGGGCCAGGGTCGATACCTAGGCCGGAATCATTCATGCCCTGTGTCACCCATCAGCCCACCTCAACAACTCAAAGCCTACGTGACTCAGCGCGCTCTTACCTGGGTACTTATGATGCTCGCCTTCTGAAGTAACTCCATCATGCTCAATATCTCTTCGTCACCAGCCAGTCTTGCTTGAGCGCTTGCTATACGAGGTGAAGACGCTGCCCAGTTCAGCTTATCTCGCATGAACTCAATGCTTCTCTTCAGCACATTCTGACGATTTTGCAGTGTATCGCTGCTCTGGTGAGCGAAGGAGAAAGAGTGCAGTGACTCCGATGGGAAGCGACTGAGATCCTCGCCGAATGGCAAAGATGGTGGGGCTGGGCCAGAGCCTGGACCTAAAGCGAATGATGATTTCCGGGAGACAGCAGGACTCAACGCATCTGGTGTGACGGCGCCCACGTTCGGTGAAGAGGGATGGCGACTCGGAGGTGCAGGCTGCTGACGAATTCGGCGAAGACCTGTGTCTCGGTCGGTCAACGGAGACAAGATAGGAGATCTATTAAGGTCGCGGAAGAACAGTCAGTGGGAGGATCTTCACGGTACAGTTCGTTCGACGAAGCTGGAGCACTTTGAGCGGTCCAGTTCCCATGTCCATCGGATCTCTTCAGCGTATCGACGACAAAGCTTTCAGCATCAAGGTATGTATTTCTATCTTGCACACCAGTCGGTGCTCAACTACGTATGAGGGTGCCCAAGCTGTCCATAGAAACTGCTCGGCGATGCTTGCGGGCGGAGTAACGATATGGGTTCTGGACGCACCTAGACAGATTCTCGTAGGTCTCTGCAGTACTACCACCGTCACCGGGGAAGCGCGACGACAGGCTCGCCGACGAACGGTTCTTAGGGATTTGTAAGGCAGGCGGGCGTGAGGAATTGGAGGCGGCAGAACTTGCAGGGTGCTGCGACTGTGCTTGTCGGGCCTCAGCGGCGGAAGAGGTGTGAGAAGAGGATGCATCTGTTGTCGCACCGACCTTGCCGTCAGCACATGGCTCACGCTGCTCGATTGTGACAAGCCTGGACACCCAGCAGAGAAGGTGGCGGGATCATCAAAGAGTTGGATGCTATTCCACGGCAGTGAACACCGTTCCGCCGCACCATGGTCAAACGTGATCCGATACCCTGTTTGTGGCCCCACTCGCCGCTCTTCCGCTGGTGAAGCCAGGCCTGTGTTGCGAGCTTACCATGATGCATGAGGACAGGCGATGACATGACTCTCGCCGCTGATGGAGAGGGTCGGCAATGCTCTCAAATCATGAGAATCGAGTGCAGAACAAAAGCAAGCAGCGGACCAGCGAACGAAGCAATGGTGGGAATAGCCAAACGGACAGCGTCGGCACTGCGAACCGATTGGACTGGCAGCGCGGTTAGACCTGGCCAGGTGACAATGCGACTGCGGCGTGTTTCTAAGGTCTTGGCCCAAGCGAGGGCAGGCCTGGACAATGTCTGATCCTTTCAGCAACCTTTCGGACGATTGATTTATCAAGTGAGGAGAGTCAAGAACGAGTGTGAGTAAATTTGCGGGCGGCCATATATTTTCATCAAATGGTAATGACTGGTGTAGAATGAAAAATGCATGCAGGTGGTGGTGGAGCAAAGACAGTAGTTCATATCGAGGGGTGGGTAAGGTCACCTAAAAACCCCATCTCGGGCGGATAGGGTCCCCCTCGACGAACATTTTCAAGGTCGATTAATACAACATATGCAGCGTCAGACCACCCAAGCAAAGACGTGGTATGTATAACCCTTCGATCTTGGATGCCGCAGTGTCTCGAGTCACGTATTGTATACGCATGTGGGAATGGCCGCAACAATGTCCTGGGGTGGATGCTACTTTGATATACACATAACTACGTACACACCAGCCGTTCATCACGTTGCAGAAGGATGGAGCGGATCAAATGTAGTGGGGGAGGCACGGCCAGGCCGGCTTTGGCAGAAGCCGTTGAGATACAGCCGAGGGCGAGCGGCAAAGGACTTATGGAACAGCGTAATGTGATCCCAATTCCGCTCATGGTCGAGGGATACTGACAAGCAGCGGGCAGAGACGATGCGCACTGCTCGGATGGCGGCGCTTGTAATGACGGGCTGGGCCATCTATGACCGAACAGCTGATGATGGCGAGTAGGCAAGGAACGAGGGGGATCCGCTACTCACAGAAGAGTGTGTCAACGCCAGGACAAGGAGTGTCATCATTATGCACACCGAGGAACACTAGCAATCGAATCTGCATTGGTCCGCTCAGGAGTAAAGTCCGTGATCGCTTGATGACCACGCGCAGCTTCTGTCGATGCCTATTTTCGTCGCCGCGCTGTCAGAGATCCATTACGGATGCTGTCTGTGCACCCTGAATTGAGTACGTGGGAGTGGAGATGCGATCTTCAAGCTAACGTAGTTCGTTAAACACTTGTTGTCAGTGTCGGCCACTTTCTTGAGTCTGCTGCCCTCGACAGACCTTTCGTGATTCATGTTACTGCCACGGCCTGGTGTATCATCGCCACTCTTACATTGGCCCTTCGTGATGGACACTCTCGTGGTGGCGTGCACCCAAGGTTACGTGACATGCAGGCTGTGTGTGGAGTGCCAGTGACTGCGAGACGTCTATCTTGAGCTGATGCTATGGTCAATCTCTCGTGCCTGCAGCAGAAAGTATTGTCTGGTGCAGAGTGGATAGCGGTGAAGTCATACACAACGGTGTCGTCGTGGCGGTAAATTCGAGCTTCGGACAACATGACATCTCATTCTCCAACCAACACACGGCGCTTCACACATGACATTGCGTGTGCCCCGGGCTCATTTGTCATGATGATTGAAACCTGTGAACACCTTTATCTACCTAGGTTCTGACATGATTGTTGCAAAGCCCCCTCTGCAACCAATAATTATTTGCTCCGAGGGGAATTATAACAATGCAACCCTATGACTTTGCCCCAAGTCGACCAAAAACAACCCTAAAATTATGCTTTGCTTCAGACGACATCTGCGCTGATGGTCACAGCAGACCCGTCCTGACAAAATATCATGACTCCGACAGTAGCCTATCGTTCACCGATGATAGTCTTCACCCGGGCCGTCACGTGTCCGTATCCTCACTCTTTACGTGTTGATCAGGCTCCTCGTCCTCGCTTTTCTTGTCCAATCCCTTCGCGGGATGATGAGACCGCCAGAGACGCATCCACTCGCCCATCTCGTCTCGCGCCAGGACGATATCCTGCATCAGCTTACAGTCTTCATCGATTCCGTCATAGCAGAAAGTCAGGGGCAGCTCTAAAGTAGCCAAGACCTTCAGCGCCGACAAGAGTTGGGTTCCGCGGAGACGAGAGCACCAGCGCAGACCAGGGAATTTCAGCGCCGAGAGGTTGTCTCGCATACGGTAATCAACGAGTTGTAGAATCGCCACGTAGACCGTTGTCATGTGTAGCTCTCGGGATATTTGTGTGACGAGTGTTTCCTCAGGCACTTGGCGACGTTCCGTCGGTATATCTTTGGCCCATGCAAGCCACTTTGATATCTCGGCATGCTGTTTCCTTGCCTTGGCTTGGAGCTGAGCGAGCGGCATACCTTTGCGAAGCATAATGAACGCACGCCGTGCGTCTTCCGGCCATATGTATGAGACAGGGGCATTCACGGGGCGTACATCGTCAACGGAAGACGATGTTGACAAGGAGGCACGTCGGAGGGAATATCGTGCTCGACGGACTGCCTCGGCCTGTACATACTCTTGGGTTCGTGATCTAGCGACGAGGTCAAGGGCATCGAGGATTGCGCCGACTTTCTTGTTTAAGATGCCGATGTTGTCCTTACTTGCGTCCAGGACCTCCGCCTGGGTGATGCCGTTCTTCTTATCAACAGAGGACGACATTCCAGCGATGGACGTGTAGCCCTTCGGCGGGTTGAGTGAGGTTATTATGGAAAAGGAGCGATAGAAAAAAACACGAATCCCTACGAATCTCGATTATTCTTCGTGAAGCCGACGCTGTGCACAAATCTTGCACTGCAGCAACGGGAGTCGTTGTGGAAGTTCGCTCATAGCAAGTCACACCAAGCTCGGTGATCCTTACGTGAGTACAAAGAGCGAACAGTTCTCCCTTTTAGGCTTTCCAGTCGGTGATGATGTGCTGGTGACGACAAGGAAGTCATGTGGACAAAGCGGTTAAACTTATGAACAATGGTGCAAGCAAGACCGTGGCAAGTCTTTGTCTGACTTTGCTACTGTTTGTCCCGTGGAGTCAGTGTTGTTGCACACATCGTACTTATAGCAAGTGGCGCACCATCGAGGGATCCGATGCTTGGACATTCAATCATTGTGATAAGTTTTGATTCCGTCACGCACGTAGCTGGCGTATCACAAGACGGAGGATTCGCCGATTTGGCACCCATCAATGCAACTGACGCCTCAGTGTTCGCATGTGTCAAGTGATGCGTGACTTCTCAATTAACAAAGGTGCACGTCGTCTATGAGCACGCGATCAACAACTTCGCGCGAAGATCGACCGGTCCTGGTTCGGCACTCAGGCATCATTACCGATTATTCTTAGCTGACAGGACAAGCATTATCGCGAAACTTGGAACGCCACTTGATACAAGGATCTCTAGAGTTAGCTGGAATGAATCCGCGTCACAAATGAACTACTCACCGTTCCCGCTTGTGATCCGTTGCATGCCGAGAAATGACTTTGCACGAGCCATGTGCAAAGTCACACGAGAGGTGAGCATGTTGCACAAGCCGGTCAAGTTGATCTGAGAGGCAGAGCATGCGCTGGAGCGGGCGGGAATATTTTATCACAGCTTGAACTGGTGTGCGTGTCCATGTTAGACCTTTCGCAATCTTTGTTGTAGGCCGAGAATGTTGATTTACTGCAACAACAAAGACACTAGATGTCAGCGACGGCGAACGACCACAGGCACGAAATTTGCTGTCCGATTTGTGTGTAACATTAGCTTGCAAGCATTAAATCATAAGGGGCTCAACAATAATCCCCGCCAGCTTCAGGCTATTTCTGATGGATCACCGTGACTTTAGTCCTCCCGACAACAACGACAGGTTCAAGGGCAGCATCTACCCGCCGAGGACCCTTGTAACGCCTCGGTAGCGGGCGACGTTGTGCGACTTCATTCGCGATCTCCACGAAATCACTCTCGCTGGCGAATTTGCCCTTGGTGGGCGACGCGACGTGGGGCGAGTATTGGAAATAGTCGAACCGAACATCAAATTCGACCTCCTTTAGGGCTGGTTGCAAATTGTCCAGCACTTGATCCCACCTGACGTAGCGTAATGCAATGTTGTGCTTCGCGAGGCGTTTTCGGGCATCGGCTACGGCCCGGAGCTGCTCGGCGCCGTGCTGCATCATTTCGTCGAATGTCGGTTCAGTATCGCTGGGCGGCGGTGGAAGAATCTGCGGCAGGTTGGACAAGAGCTGTTCCATTGCCGCAGCATGTTGGTCTTCGACGGCTTTCGTTGTCCATGTGTCGGCTAGAGATCCTGAATAGCCGATCTGATCCGGTTGAAACATCAACTCCAGGCCAACAGGACCGACTAAGGGAGCGACTTGGGCGTTGAGCACCCACAGAGACGCATCTGCGCCCTGATCCTGCTGAAGCACCTGTATGGGAGTAAAATGATGAAGGATGTACTCCGCCGATGCTAGACCGTCATAATTGAAGCCTGACCTGGGATCGAGTGCATGGGCTATGGGCGCGGGCAGACCGCAGAGCAGAGACGCGTCTCGCGAACGCTTCGCCAATGCTTTCTGTTCGTTGGCCTTGCGTTCTTCCTCTATTCGAGCTTCCTCTGCAGCACGTTTCTCAGCTTCTTTGCGACGCTCTTCCTCTTCTGCCTTCAACTTCCGTTCCTTCTCCTCAGCCAGCCGCATTTCCTCCTCCTTGCGTGCCTTCTCCTCAGCGGCGCGCTTGACAGTTGCAGCCGCCTCGTCTGCTGTGCGCTGGGCCACAATCTTAGCTATTTCCTCAGCCGCCGCATCCGTGCTCTCCTCCGCTTCAACCTTCACATTTGACGGCGTTTCTGAGGCTGCGCTCTCTCGTGAAGCCAGTTCGGAGGTCCTGACCTTTTCGGCGTCTGGTGCTGATTGATGGGAATTGCGCGGATGTGCAGCAATATCGTTGTCGGAAGCTTGAGTAGGTCGAGGCCGCGTTCGTTGCTTGGAAGCATTTGGAGAGCCTGCCTGCTTCTGTCCGGTTGCGTGTGAATCGTTCTCTTCTGCCTCGTTGGCACTATCTGATCCAGAATCGTCGTCATCTTCATCTCCTTCAGATTCATCTTCGGGTCTGGATTTCCCGTTGGCACGAATGTCGCGCCGTGACATCAATCTCCGTTTGCCAGCGCGGCGCGGAGTGACATCCTCGTCGCTGTCGTCTTCGGATGTGGCGTGTGCTGGCCTGCGCTTTCCTCCATCCCTGCGCGACACTGGGCTGGAACTTTGTCGCTCCTTCCTCTGCGCTTCGTTGAATAGCTTCTGGAGCAGCTCTTTCTCTTCCCTCACCATGGGTCCGTTCCGATCCTCCGCAATCTCGGTCCATGTCCGACCCCTTCTATCTTTCCAGACAGGATCGAATTGGTCTAACTCGGTGAGCGATTTGACCATGTCGAAATGAGAAGTTCCGAGGACACTAAGCATAGGCTTTTCAGGTTTCGACACTCTTTTCTTCTCCGGCATCTCGGCCAACAACATGTTCAACAAATAAAGGTCTCCTGTTTTCGCAGCAGCTGCGATGATAGCGTTGTCCACAGGTACGCGCGCCAAAAGAAATTCTCGCACACCGTTGCGATTATTATCCTGCACCAGCCTCAAGAGGTTCTCATACGTACGTGCCATGAAGTGGAGTTCTTTCGTGGGCCCAGCCCGATGACGTTGCTCCTCTTCCTCCTCACGTTTTTGTCGAGCACCACTGCTATTCCACTTCTCGATCGCCTGCTTCAATACTGCACGAATCTGGTCCGCATCATCGGTTTCATCCTTGACTACGTCGAGCGCAGTCCGACCCTTTAGATTCTGTCTAAGGGGATCTACACCCGCGTTCAAGAGGCTCTTGACCACATCGATGTGCCCATTTTCAGCAGCGTCAATCAACGGTGTGTCCTTGTCCTGGTTGGCGCAGTCGATCTGACAGCCTTGTTCGATGAGATACTCGACAACTTCGATGTTTCCAGCAAGTGCAGCGATCTGCAAAGGCTTGTTGCCAGCGAATTCTGCAATTTCAAGCTGGTCGGGGTCTTTTTCCCGCCACAGCTTGACTTGATCCAGATTCCCGGTTTCGCATCCTTCGGCCAACTTAGTGAAACCGTACCGATTAATGCGTCGTTTGTGCTCCCTTCCACTAGGTCTGCCTGGTGTTGACGTCGATCGGCCGATCCCGCGGCGCGGCATCTTGCCCTCCAGATGATCGTGAGAAGTGGCCTCGGATGACCCGTCAGATTCTTCCCAGTTCGCCTTAGATGCCTTAGTCTCTCTGCTTGAGCCGTGTGTCACGGACCTTCGTTTGCGACTTGTGGCATCTGTAGAACGGTCCAGAACAGCAGATTGAGTAGAGACTGCGCGTCGGTGATTTCGCGCTTTTGGCGAGAGGGATTTGCCGTTTCGTGCCGCTTCCGATGGTGGTCCATGAGTCGCACGCCGAGTACCTTCGAGGTCTCGACGCTTGTTGGGCAGGCCTGCTGATGATGCTCTATGCTTTCGTTTTCTCGGGTTCGGGGATTGTGAGTGATTTGGTTGCTCGGAGCCTGCACGAGAACAAGAGGCATCAGGCGTGCTGAGCGGGTCACTGCCGTCGTCATCTTCGCCTTCAGTGTCCATTCGGTCGAGGTCTTCGGCTTTGACGCTCGTGTTTGGTGTGGGTCGTTCGATGCTGATCTCAGTACTCGGAACAGGCGACACGACCGAGTCGGCTTCGTCGTCGCCTTCTGCGGGAACTGGAAGACCTCCTATCCGATGTTGCTGCGTCCTTTCTGTGTTGACCTTGGCAAGCCTTTCGGCCTCGCGTCTCTTTACAGGGCTTTCGATAAGAGTCTCGGCTTCCGACTCGTCCTCCTCGTCCTGCGCGGCGCCATCCTGTGCCCGAGCATCGCGTTTCCTTTCGCGAGACGGACTGTGACGTGTGAGCCGCGGGGATTCGCGTGTGGGCGGATTGTCTGGACTCCTGCTTCCATTCATGCTCTCTGTCGCATGCTTCGTCGCATCAAGTCCAGGTCACGAACGGACGACTCGTCCGGTAATGGGTCGTGCTGGTACCAGACTGCAGGTGCGCAATGTCGCAACAGAATAATGCTGGTGCGCGTTACGTGCACGAGGTGAGAAATATAAATCTGTTTATTATTGGTAAAATTCGCAGTATGATTAGCAGGTAAGTTGACTGCCCAGTGAGCGATGCAAGCGGAAACGAGAGAGTCAACTCGATGATTCGTCCTGCCCGTCAATCACCACTGGTCCGCTAGTCACTGACGCTAGTGAAGCCGCCAAGACACCGCAGTGGAAGGTATCCCGTGACACGCCTTTTCGTGGAGGAAATAGCCGCCTACAAAGCGATCAAGTTGAGTGTTAGACTCTCAATACGACGCAGCACCTACCGAGTGATGATTATTTCTGCCGGGTGTGGTCCGCTGTGTGATGAATTTCAAACAGCCCACCAGGAACCTTTGCATACATGTGCGGCCGAAATGTTCTGGCCCACCTCTCGCAGTAACAACCACATTTGGAGCAAGACAATGATGTCGCAACGCCGCCCATGGCGAGGAGGCGAAATCTGGAACCCGCGATATCATCCCACATGTATCAGTTAACAATGGAACCATGACACGGCTGTACCTTAACGGCCCGCGGGGCATCGCGTGCGGCAGTTGAGTGAACCAGATTTTACGATTTCTCCACAGGACGTAATGATGCATCTATGACGATCGCGGATCCAACGCCAGACACCCGCGCTGCTTCTCAAAGAAAATGATGCCAAGACAAATTTCATCAAGATCATTCAACTGCTGAAAGTTTGCTTTGTTGTGTTCGACAGGAATTCGACACAGGTGCACGACAGACGTATCTGAAAATTGACGCCATTCTACTTCCATTCACATGACGCTGCATCCTCCGCTTCTTGCGCGCCGCCGCCGACCACCACCGACTCCCGATCCAGGAGTGTGCTCATCTTCCTCGTCGGCGTGCATCATCTGGGCCTCTCGTGCTCTTCTCCGCCGGCGGCGACTGCCAGCACCCCCAGCATCGGCTTCTTCTTGCGCCATCATGAAGTCGGTCCATTTGCGGTCGAGCCTTCGCGCTGCAATGAAGTCGCCGCGTATCACTCTTTTGGTGTGCTCCTCCACAGTGGGCTGATACGTATAGAAGCACTTCAATTGAATGATCTCCGAAGGGAACGTTGTGCTGCGTACGATGTGAATGCGTGGTGATGGTGGGCGAGAAACCAAAGTCTCCGATGACGAATCAGCCGATTCCGTCGGTGATGGCCGGGGAGCTCGCTCCAGGGGTGGCAATTGCGTTGTGTGCGTTGTGATGTGGACGTCAGCGTTGCGGGAAAGAATCTCCCGAACTCCGGTCCACGTGACATTCTGACAATCATATGCGACCAGTTTGAGACCGATCTCTGGCTTGTATTGGCATTGTCCTGGTTGGTAAACACCCTGAACTGTCCTTCGCGGCGACCTTCTGCGTACCATTGCCGCCGCTTCGGCGAGCGACAGATCGCCAATGCGAGTATTGTCCATCTCCAAAGAACGCAGGCTTGTGCCTGCCTGGATGACAGGAATCATGCCTGCATCCGAGAGGTTCTCGCAGAAAGAGATATTGAGATGTCGCAAGGTTTTGATGCACTGTGACTGAGTGAGTGTGTTGAGGAAGTTGTTGGTCAAATCCTCCAGCTCCTCTAAGTCGAGGTGGGTCAGCTTGTCTGTCGTGGGTAGTAGCTCTATCAACGTTGCGTCAAGTATACCACGACATTTTGACAATTGCAGGCCTTCGATCTCGGGAATGTTTCCAACTAAGCAGCGCAGACCATCATCGGTGATGCTACGGCATCTAGTCAAATCTAGATGCTTCAATTTTCTCGGCGGTACGATGGGTCGATCCGTCAGGCAGTCGATTTCAGGGTTCAAGCCCTGTATCAAGACCTTCAGAGATTCGTCGTTGAGACTCTCGCAGTTCATCAAAGTCAGCCGCTCAAGACCATTGGTTTTGAAGAGTGTCGCCATAAATGCCAAGTCATCCCAGTCCTTTCCTTGTCCAGCAAGCAAGTCTGTGAGTCGAGTGCAGCTTAGCACGACCTTTCGCAGACCTGAAGTTGTCACGTTCTTGCACCAAGATATGTTCAAATGCTGAAGTTTTGAGCAATTGTTGGCGAGAATCTCCATGCCGGCGTCCGAAGCGCCATCTAATCCAGAAAGGTTTAAGTGAACCAACCTGGAATTCCCCCACAAGAAATTGTGAATGGACGAGCGGGTGATATGGCATCCCTCCAAAGACATGTTCTCTAGATTCTTGCAAGCATCCGAGAGACGGTTCGCCGTGTTCCAACGATGCTCAAGTTGAACACAGCCTCGCAAATTCAAATCTCGGATGAAAGGTCCAGCAGCAGCAATTATCTTCTCTAAAGCCTCTCCTGGAATATCGCGGTAAAAGCCCGTGGTGTCTAGGTCACTCCACAGCTGCCCATCGAAGCACATCGCGTGCCATGATTTAGAGACGATGGAACACCTCACGATCTGCCGCGGAGTGAGGTAAGAGAGGACTTCCATTCTCAGTTCTGAAGGCAGATCACGCCAGAAATTGAACCACTTCTTAGCCTTCTTCGGTTTCTCAACACTTCGCGAGAAGTAGTCCTCGTCAACTTCCACAATGCATGGCGTGGAATGAAGCTTCGAATTAAGGCAAATCCCGGCTGGAACTGCGATTGAGGTGTTATCATGCTGACCCACATATCGAACTCTTGCTGCTCCCTCAAGCACCGGCGTCTGTACTCTGGGACTATTCAGTGCCGAGGCTGGGGCTGTGGCAAAGCCTGTTGACCATTGCCGTGTTAGAGGATGGCCGAATAGTGCCGGATCCTCCGGGGATGCTGCACTCAACGAGATGCACGAGATGGATCCTCGAGCAGAGTCGCTGTAAGCTCGTGATCGGCTGGAACCGCGTCGGCCACCCGAATGGGACGATGTGATTCGCTGCAGGCTAGCAAGGAGTCTCTGACGTCCTTTGAGCCTCAGTGGCTGCTCCTGGAAGGCCAGCATAGCTGCAGAGGTGGTTTGGTCACTGGTGGTGGATGTGCTTGACAATTGAGGCTCCATCATCGGCGCGGTGAGCGCCAATCCCGCAGCGGCCTCCATATAGTGAGCAGATCAAAGCACGGGAAATGTGAGAAGGAGGAGTCTCAGCGTTGTTGCGGCCACCTTCCGCATTCGAATGTGTTCGGACGAAACCAAGGCAAGAAGAGCCGTGAGCGCGGACGTGCTTGGGAAAGCCTACACGTACAGCGCCGTCATATGTGTGATAGATTTGGAAGCAGACTAATCAAGCCGATGTCCTCTGCGGAAACGGATTCGGTGGCTATAATGACGAGAATGACGAGGATCGAGTAGATGCCGTATATCTATCGCGTCATGCTCAACGATATGGCATAGATCACGGTCGCAGAGGGATGAGCGACCGAGGAGCTGTCATGAATGGCGAAATATCACGCGAGGGAAACGGCTTCTATCAGGTTCGGTCTGCATGTACCTCGTCAGCCGGACAACTTGACTAGATACTGTTATCGACGGATCCTGTTGAGGTTCTCGTTCGCGCATTTGTTCTGTAGGACGATGAGAATTTGGGACCGAACATACCAAAGGCACCGCGTGACTGCTGGCGCGAGACAACCTTTCGTTATCAGACGACCCTCCCTTATCGCGCTTCGAAAGCGCGGGGCTTTGAAATTGATGATCTGTGTATATAACAACCAGCAAACGATGCACTGATCTGTTCAAATATAAAGGCTTTGCGAAGATAAATAAAGACCGTACAACGAGAGTCAGCGAGTGAACAATACTCAGACCGCAAGTCTCATCAAGCATGAGATCCGGGAACTGGCCCGATAATGCAATGAACCGGGAAAGCGAGCTGCTACTCCACTCCATCCTTGGGGGGCGACGAATCCCACCTCCAGTACAGTACACCACCACTACACTTCCACCACCATCAAACACACCCACCGCACACAGAGCACTGAACGGAACCATCTGACAGTCCAGTACGTACTTCCCCGACAGCAACCTGTGGCACCACACACACGCCGCCGACATGCAGAGTACATCCGCCCACGCTTGCGGAAACTCGCAAACACACTCGCTGGCCAGCCCTCATTCCTTGCCGCTCTCCATAAATTCTAGTCACATATTATACACCGGCGGGTTGTGACCGGATCCGCTGCGCCTTTGTTTGTCAAAGAGTTGTTTCAATCGCCCAAGGACTGATGATAATACAAATGATGGTTATCAAAACTGGAAAATGCTGAGGACGATCAGTGAGATTAAACTTGGAACCTGCCTTCTTTGCTCGTCCCGTGTCAATTCAGGTGTCCAACCACAGGACGGAAGGGAAACGCTGCATGCAGGTGTACAGTCCACATATTCCCGAGGCACGCGGACGCGTCATGCCCACCTGATGGGCCATATCAACAGTCCTTCTCACGCAGGCCCGGAAGGAACGCATTCAGAGACTTATGGAAGAAAAGACGGCGATGGGGCCGGTGCACAGCGGTCCGATTGAATGAGAGCCACTGTGAGAGAGCGAGGACGGTTCAACCTACACCTGGGCATTGTCACGATAGTCGTTCCAGCTCTGGCGCCATCTGCTCCTCCAGATGGTTACCTCGCCGTGACGAACGGTTGAATGCAGGTGCAGGTGGGATGCAGCGGTCGGCCAGCCCTGTGCAGCGAGCACGCGAGCGAACGGCGAGCCCGTTGGCTCCTCTTGGCGGCGTTCGTCCCGCCTGGCTAGGTGGGCTTTCTTCCACTTCCTTTCCAGACCATACTAAGTCCTTAAGTTAGATCCCAACTATTTCCCGCCTCGTCTTGTGTGGAATAGTAGGATTTTCGGACCGTGGGGAGTATGGCAACTCTCATGTCGATCGGGCGAATGATGATTCGAAGTTTAGGCTGACAGTAAAGATCCTGTCAAAACCGCATTGAAATGGAGGATCATGGGCTGCGGCGAGACGATCTACTATCTGATCACAGTGCATTCCCGCCCATGAGAGCGAGTGGAGATCTGGCTAACAACTGGCCACCTGCATATGTACAGCCAGCAGGTGAACCATCCACGTGTGGGCTGGAATGCTCCGGCGGTGTATGTGTATGTGATAGACGTGCTCGACTACCATTTGTTGGCCGTTGGACTCTTTGTTCCCCGCAGCTGCGTTTGATGACAATTGACAGGCAACGTTGTGGAGAACAGGAACGACAGAACGACTTAACATACCGGTGAACAATGGCCGCCAAGTGTCGCTGACATGCTCGTTACGCGCTGAGCCACCAAATACGGCGTATGTCTATATGCTGTGACTGGATCAGACGGCTTTCTGAGGATCTCTTCCGCGGATGTGGCTGCATTCGTGCCGGACCTCGATTTCCCTGCATGGCTTCCCTTCCGACGAGTTGCCACGCCGCGCTCACAATCTAGTCCTCCTCAGCTGGGGCGACGGTGCCGCTAGACGGCAGAAACCAGAGCAGAAGAGACGATCGCATTCACATACGGTATGCTCGGAATGTACGATTCAGGGCATTGCCTGTGATAACATTCGCTGAAGTTGCTGGAAAAATGCACCAAAGTCAATGTATGGAACTCCAATTCAGCGGCTTTTTTGCTTTGCAATCCACAACACATGGAGATTGCGCATGGCAATGTATAATTATATTAAATACGCTGCTTTTCGCCCGTTGCGCAGCCAAATGACCTCCATACGTGCGGAGTCCAACGAGGGCCTATCTTGAGGCATAATAATCTCACCGACGCACACCATCGCAAACAAAGTGTCCGCCCGAAAGATGCTACTTTCCGTCGAGATCCCAGTCACATGCTTCGCAGTGTTCACTTGCTCTTGTTGGCAGCCTTCTTCTTGGCAGCCTCGACATACTTCGGTCCAATCTTCACAGCTTCCTCCTCGTTCCAACCTTTGCCAAGGATCGAGGGGAGAAACTTGCCCACACGCTCCTGGTAGAGTTTGTATTCGGGGTACTTGCCGCCGCTGATGCCCTCAGTGAGCGGGGTGCTTCCCTGGAAGACCAACAAATAACCGATCATGCCAACGGCAGTCCAGTTGTACATGGTGCCAGACGCAAAGCATCCCCACTGGTATAGAATGACCCAGATCGTTTGCTCGGCGGCGAAGTTGGGATGTCTGCTGTACTTCCACAGTCCGGTGGTGTTGAAGCCGCGCTCGAGCTGCGACCTGACCCAGCCGGTTGGCACCTTGGCAGTCTTCTGGTATTCATGTTTCGCCTTGTGGTAATCCCACTGCTGCTGATCGGCGAAGTATTCAACCACGACAAGTCCCATGAGGACACGGCTGATGATCAAGTCGTATGTCGTGAGCGCGGGCTCGATGCGCGAAGCCAGGAGGATAAGGTACGAAGGCAGAGTGACAGACCAAAGCAGGATCTGTGAGAGTGTCAGCCACGATATCTTGCTTGGAATTACAAGCTGGAACATACGACTTGTAGAGAGGATGTGAAGGTCACGTTCAGAATGAAGAATGCGAAGGAGCCGATTTGGTCCTTGATCAGCATCCAGCGGTAGTCCTCGCTACCAATTTTGTAGCCTCCACGACGCCAGTAGTTGAAAGTCAGACGAGTGGACCATAGAAGACTGAAGATGGCGACAGTATCGATCCTGTCAGTCGGCAACCCGTTTAATCGTGTCCAAATAGCTAAGTGGATATGGAACAGGGTTGGCAAGAGACTCCAGCATCGGTCCACCTGACTGTAGTTCCGGTTGATTTCGGAGACGATCAAGAAGATGGGGCACAGGGCAATTGCAATCGCGAGACCGAAAATCGCGGGATTTGTGGTGAGGTAAATTGTCTTGAGCGCCTCGACGTCGCCAATGTGAGCGTATATCTCGTTGGGAAGTGCGTAAAGTTGCGGCAGAAATTGTCCAAAGGACGTCTCATATGTTGCGAAGTCAGTCGCCGAAGTGACGACTGGCAGAGACGCCAGAGCTGTGGCGATGATCGGCATGGTCGGTGAGGTGTGTTATGTGTCAAAAACACAACTTGTCCGTGGAGGAGTTCTTCCTAGGCATATATTTATTTCGCACAAATTCACAGCTCGATACCCCAAACATTCGTGCACGTCATTCCCCCGGCGCGACCACGATCCGGCTTGAGATGCGGGAGTTTAGTCTCGACGCTGCACGTGCCTCTTGTAGCGCTTCACGATTTCTGACCCACAAGTAATCCCAGATCTTTTGCAAATTAGGGTAGCGAACATCCAGCGACATCATTTTGATGACCGATCAATGTAACCAGAAGGGGGAATTACCTCAGAACATCCATTCAGCCAGCGAGTCCCGTGTGCATCACCATGTCGTGGCGTAACAGTACCAGTCAGACTGGCTCAAACACCATTCCTCTGGGCAAGCGTCGATTCGGTGGCGACGATGCACCAGACGCAGGACCAGTCCAGGAAGAGCGTGGCCGCAGTGCTGAAGTTGCTGAACGAAAGGCACCCGAGTTGAACCCAGATGGCACCAAGAAGCGTCGTAAACGGAATCGTTGGGGTGACGCAGCCGAGAATAAGGCCGCTGGTCTGATGAACCTGCCGACCGCGATCACGGCTGCTATGACACAGGAGCAGATCGAGGCATATGTGTTGCATTTGCGTATCGAGGAGATTAGTCAAAAGCTAAGGATCAACGATGTCGTTCCTGCAGATGGCGATCGGTGAGTACAGGAACCCCTTTGCTGCCTCATGAAGCCGAGACTGATCGTACTATAGGTCTCCTTCCCCTCCTCCTCAGTATGATAACTTCGGCCGTCGTGTAAACACCCGCGAATATCGCTACAAGAAGAAGCTCGAGGACGAGCGGCACACACTCGTCGAGCAGGCGATGAGGGAGATTCCGAGCTATCATCCACCTGCCGACTACCGTCGTCCAGTCAAGACTCAAGAGAAGGTCTATGTGCCTGTCAATGATTATCCGGAAATTAACTTCAGTGAGCTTGATATCCCACTAACATTTTTCCCCTGCACCATTTTCAGTTGCGTGCACCTGTCGTCAATGACACAGGTGCGCCGCGCTAACCCACTAACACGTCTCGATTTCAAACGCTCCGATACTAATGAACATTTCCCCATCCACAGTCGGGTTGCTGATTGGTCCTCGTGGTAACACCTTGAAAACAATGGAGAAAGACTCGGGCGCCAAGATCGCGATCCGTGGCAAAGGCTCCGTCAAGGAGGGTAAAGGAAAGTCTGACGCTGCTCACGCGAGCAACCAGGATGAAGACCTTCACTGTCTGATCATGGGTGATACCGAGGAGAAGGTTAACAAAGCCAAGGAGTTGATCCACAATGTTATTGAGACGGTAAGTTAATGCAGTTCTTCCTTTTCAAGAATAACCACTAACACATTATCCTAGGCCGCATCGATCCCAGAAAGTCACAACACGCTGAAACGAAACCAGCTTCGTGAACTCGCTGCGCTTAACGGAACGCTTCGTGATGATGAGAATCAAGCTTGTCAGAATTGTGGAGAAATTGGTCATCGCAAATACGACTGCCCTCAGACCAAAAACTTCACTGCTAACGTCATTTGCCGAGTTTGTGGCAATGCTGGCCACTTTGCGCGCGATTGTCCTGATCGTGCACGTGGTGCTGACTACCGCAATCTGCCTCCTCGTGGTAGCACCATGCAGAATGACCTTGACAGACTCATGGACGACTTTGACGGAAAGGGACCGACAACTCACTCTGGTCGACAGATTGGTTGGGATGAAGGAGGGCGTGGATCGAACGACGGTCCAACTGGAGCTCCTGCTCCGTGGGCCACTGGAGGTGCTACTGGTGGGCCAGCACCATGGTCAAAGCCACAGAACTCTGGGGGACCATCCGCCGCTCCATGGGCAAATCGTGGCCCGCCAAGTCACAACTACGACTCTGGCTCAGGAGGTGGTGGTCCAGCTCCTTGGGCTCGTGGCGGTGGAGGTGGCGGCGGCGGCGGCGGCGGCGGCGGAGGTGGCTCTGCGCCCTGGCAGTCCGATAACAACCAGAATTACGGAGGTCACCAAAGCCATGGAGGCTATGGTCAGAATGGTCATGGAGGTGATGGCTACGGACAACAAGGCTATGGCAACCAAGGCTCCCGCTACGGTAACCAAGGCGGTGGTGGCCAGGACTATGGTCATCAAGACTACCGCAATCAAGGCCACGGTGGTCAGGGACGCGATTACCCACCTCCGCCACCGCCGCCGGCTGATCTTCCGCCTCCACCACCTCCAAGCGACATTCCGCCGCCTCCTCCGCCTGCTTGAACGAACTGACTGCAAAATTCCAGGGCTTCTCGCACAGATTGGATCCCTGTAGATTGTGCTCTAACCAAATTGTAACTAATGAAGCGCCGTGCGGTGTGCGTGCCAGTTTGACATGTTAACCTCAGATTCCTCAACGATCGAGAGCACGCAAAGCCGTCTCGATCATGGAAGGCACATTAAATGAAGCCGACCAAGCGAACTCTTCCTCACATCAGTGATGAAGGTCATTAACATTATTGTTTGTCTCAGGCATCGCCTCTCAGGGTGCCCTAATCAATTGGCCGCCAGCTCGTGAGTGGATCTGACGAGCATCTAGAGGACACGGTCCTGCTTTGCGAACTTTACAAATTTAGTGCCGATCTCAATCTTTTCACGAGAGCGCGAGCCTCAATAAAAGGCAGGGGCCATGCCTGGACCGCGTCACTCGTCATACGAAACACGCTTGAGATGATTCCAGCGCCAGGCTCGTCGCGGTCACAAATGATGTGCTGGTATAACCCATGATCGCGGTCGGTATCGGATGGTGTGGCTCCACGAACGAAAACGTCGTCGTGGAAGACCAAGAGCCGAGATACTACGTGCCGCGCTGGCCCTCGTTCACATAGTTTCGTCCGTCCCGCCTGCATCTGATCAGGTCGATGATCATAATTTGATACTGCCCAGTCCTCATTCTACTCATTCTAGACATGGTTTGGGCCAACTTTCAAGACGAGCAATGTTATTACTCTCGCAACACGTCTATTTGGCAGTGTACTCTTGGGGATCGCATTAGAGACACATGTGCTCCAAATCTCTGTTTCATGGTCATGGTGACGCCAAGTGTCGTGTCCGCTAGTAACACACTGAGACGCCGACCCTCGGGTCAATCGTTAGATCTTTCACCAGTGTTATCTGTCTCTCCAGCTCACCGATACCGCGCGAGCATGGTGTCACAGAAGTGGTCACGGTTCGGCAGTGCTGGTGAAAGCTGGCCGGTAAGAACGCCCCGGCAATCGAGCTCTGTGACGGGTGGGCGAGAATCGTCGTGTTACCAGAAAACTGAATCAAGCATTTGGAATACAGGGCAGGGACTGGCAAACAACAGTGGTGCAGGAGACGTCACCCGCCAGTTATGTATGGGCCAGTTATATGTGGACCAGTTGATGGAGTATCAGCATGTATGGTCCGGAAGAAGTCTCCACCGAAAGCGTCACGCGACAATTTTCCTTTTCTCATCTCGAAAATTCTCATGTTTCGATCGTCTCCGCAAATTGGATTTGTCTCTACTTACCTAGGTAGGTATGTATGATGTTGATGATGTTGATGTTGATGATGATGATGATGATGATGATGATGATGATGATGATGATGATGATGATGATGATGATGATGATGATGA